TTTAAAACAGATGTTTTAAGCATTCATTTGCTTGCCATGATTTACTATGCAGTCCCAAATCCCCAGTTTTGCGTACTTGGCCATGAAACCGTGTGGAAACCTGTATGTGGGAGGCGATAGAGGTGTTGTGTAGCGATTATGAAGGGGGGGGGAGGTTGTTATACATGGGCCCCAGAGTGGTTCCTACATCACTTGTCACTCTCTCCCATCTCGTCTCGGTCGCGCCATTGTACGTACTGTACATAACCAATAAAACTCGTCCGTTTTGTAAGGAAAAATGTTGAAGACTGAGGAGTGTATTACTTAGGTTTGGCTGGATGGCTGGTGGTAAGTTTTTACAGTATGTATCTCTATTAGAGATTAGTGGACAGGGGCTCCCTCGCTGTTGTTTCAGTAATAATTATGTGCCTTTTGTAGGGTTGATGCAGAGAGTGAGGGAGACCGTTGCGGGTCAGGGAGAAGGGAGGAGGAGGGGGGCAGGAGGAGGGGGAGGGAGGAGAGGACAGCCCAGTTTGACGAGGGGGACCAACAACCCCAACCTCCGGTCAAGGAAAGTCTCAAGCAAACGGTCTTCATTCCGAAAGTAATTGGTCTCGGTAAGGACACAATGACGAAGAGGTATTGACAAACGGGATAGGAACCGCGTCCAGTTTGAATCCGGGCGGTCCCGTAGAAAGTGGGATGGCGGGGAAGGGGGAAGTTCTGTCTGTAATGGGGGAAGGGGCGAGAGCGAGTTTCTCCCGGCAGGAACTCAGAACGTGGAGGAGGGGATGGAGGGAGATAGGACCATTCTGACGCGACAAGTTGAGGAGAAGCCTCAGGACGCAGCTGAGGGTAGGTTTGTTTCTGCTTTACTCATTGAGGACCGCATGTGTATAAATAATTTACAGATTATTAGTCAGCACACCTAAAGTTCATCAGCCCAAGAGAGTAGTTCAGCTCTTTCTTCTCTCGGGTATGTATTGTCGGAACCATGATGATGCTCTGGCCGTTTGTACCCAATGGAAGATTCAACAAGTTCGAACATTGAATCGGGAGGGGTCGTCTCAAAAACGGTCTACAAGGGTCTGGAAAAGGAGAACGGTGGGGCAGGGGATTGGTGTGGCGAACTTAAGTGTGGCAAAAGTATATCCTCACCCCCCCCCCCCCCACCAAAACCCCCACAAAAAAAAAAAAAAAAAAACAAAAAAAAAAAAAAAGAAAAACAACAAAAAAAAAACAACCCCCCCCCCCCCCCCCCCCCCCCCCCACCCCCCCCCCCCCCCCCCCCACCCACCCCCCCCCCCCCCCCCCCCCACCCCCCCCCCCCCCCCCCCCCCCCCCCCCCCCTCGTATGTGTGGGTGGGTGTGTGCGTTGTGTCAGTCACACTTCCGGTTGCCAGCAATTTACTTACACTCGTGCAGGAAGTGTGTGTTTGTTTATAGGCTACCAAACACTGTCTGCATGTATCCAGATTGTGTTCAGTTTTGTTGTGACCTGGAATGTAGCTGTACAAACCAGGTGTGCAATACTCTAGGAAAAACTATCACCGAGCTGCCAGCTACTCCGCATCCCAATTACATGCATGTGTACCATACTTTAAAAATACTTCGATGCGCGCATTATTGCCTAATGCATTAGAAATACGCTACAGTTTTTGAAATATGGAGAATGGGAAATATTATGCCCCTTTCCAAGAGTTGCGTGGCAGTGGCGGGTGGAGTCATGCAGTGGTTTTCATGGCTGTCTTTATAGCTGTGGGGCAGCCACCCGCCTAATGCATTGATGTAGTTCAGCAGGGCAACCCCTATTGATTTCATCTGACGGACAAACAGCTGGTAATTCAAAAGACTACGGTTGCCCACTGAAGCTCTACCAATGTAGCAGGTTGGAAGTTGAGGAGCAGTGGGGTTGTCTGTCTTTCACTGACATTCATGACTGCTATTGAACCTCATTGGGTTACACACAAGAGAGTGCATTAGTGTGTATGAGGCTTGCACCATCATATCCCAGCCTGTTTCTGCCACACACACATGGCGCTGGTATTCTGTACAATGTGATATCTTCATGTCAGCTCTATCCTAATTATTCTGTCAATCACACCTGCCTCTCCCTGGCATCCTATCCCTTTTCCCTCCCTGCCATCTCTCTCTCTTGTAAAATTTCTTCTGCTTTTTCTCTTTGCTATTCTTCTTCTCTCGCTCGCCTTCTCCCATTTCCTCTTTCCTCCTTCCCCTCTCCCTGTACACCAGTCTATTCGTCTTCTATATGTCCTCTGCTGTTTATTCCCTCTTGCCGTCCTCCATGTCTTTCCCATCTCCCTTCCACCTCTCTTGCTCTTCTTTCCTGCTCCTTTTTTATCTCTCCCCCTCCCCCTCTCCCTTCCCAGGAAACACGATACAAACCAGGCGGAGCAGGCGCGGTTGGTTCAAAGAGGAGGTGGCCATCCTGACAACACCCTCCAACAACCCAACATCCTCCGTCTCTACGATTCCTGGGAGATTGGCCGGTAAAGTGGTAGGAGAGAGGTTCCGAGAGAAGAGAGAGAGAAGTCCTCTCAGTCTCATTACTACTGAACTCATGACCGTCGACCATCAAAACGTGAGCTCCCGTTCTGCGCCACTCTCTAGCTCCGTTGTGGTATTTCTGAGAAAACTCTTCTTTGATGATTGAATCGCAGCTCGTGTCTATGTCACATATATTCTAAACCGATCTACTAGCTCTCCCTTAAAAGGGTCGTTATATTGTCACATATAGTCTAAACCGATCTACTAGCTCTCCCTTAAAAGGGAAAACTCAGCTGTCTTAATTAGCATTATAGAGTAGTTTTACCACACAACATGTGGGTTCATGAGGTGCAGAGACCAAGCCCCGCTGAGTAAATAACATGCGTCGTGAATGGTCCTCAACGAAAGGTAGTGTTGGGGTGTGTTGCAAAGCAGTAATACATCAGGAGTAATGCATATTGTGCATGTATTCCAGGTGTATGTACATTAAGATTTGATTTGTAAAAACAGGGTACTATGCCGTACCACGAAAGTGCTGTGAGGCCAATCACAAAAGCGGTCACATTAATTGTACCAATATAACTATATTTGGGAAAATCAAAGTGCACGCTCAACCCACGACACTATAGTGATGTTAAGTGGGTGTGTTTATGGCATAGAACAGTATGTGTGTATTATGAGACATCAATGTGTTGTGCATGTCTGTGTATACATACATACATACATATATTACTAATTGTGTGTTTTGCTGGTACCAAAAGCACATGTCAACGCATTTCCTGCCCTGTGACTGGACCATGTACGATGTAGCTGAATAGGGCGAGATTGTGGTTTCCTGCTAATATGTAGCTAATCTGCTCTCATCCAAAGACCATTGACGCCTTACTTTGCTTTGCATTGTCATCTATCCCAATATTACATACAGTAGTTTAGTGCAATTTGTATTACGTATAATGTGTCTGTATGTTTGTATTGGGCCGCCGTGCTGCGGTAGGCCCCCGACCAACTATGTGTGACTATCCAATACTGTAATGGGATAGTCAGTCTGGCAGCCAAACGGACCGCAAGACATTCCCAATTAACGTCCTTCCTGATTACAGGGGCTCACCCTTTGTTGTGGGGGCATATGCGGTGGTCAGCTGTGGGTGCATTCCGATCATTCCAAGCCCTAATACAGCGGGTTTTGGGACCAGCTCCTCACGCAGGGCCAGCGAGAGAGAGAGAGATTAGAGAGATGAGATTATCTGGACTGAAGGAGAACCCCCAAGACTTGTGATATGTAGCTGGTGTGTCATTATACAGTTCTTGGTGTGTAGGTGGGTGTATGGGGGTGCTCAGTAACCATGCCTTCGTTGCTCTGTGTTCATTTCCCAGCACACAACAGCTGTTACCGGCTATTTTAGACCATTCCACTAACCGGCTGAACATAAAAATCTTTTTTAGTTATTTATCATCCCCTCCCTCCTTCCCTCCCTCCAGTTACATGCGGAGGTTTCGGCCAAAGCCAAAGGTCATTCGCAGCTGGGGTCGGCAGATCCTCCGCGGACTCCACTTCCTCCACACCCGGACTCCGCCCATCATCCACCGAGACCTCAAGTGTGACAACATTTTCATCAACGGGACGACGGGATTGGTCAAGATTGGTGACTTGGGCCTCGCCACTCTCAAGATATCGGACGTCAAAACAGTCATAGGTGAGTTTGTAACCTCTCTCCATCATGTTCAACATCCATGTTACAGTGTGGTAGGAATTTGCGAACACATATAACTTTTTCTTCAAGATCAGGTACTAGCGTGAAGCTCTTGGTGTAAGGGACCCCAATTGGCAGCAAAATTGCCAAATTTTCCCGTTTCGTACAATCTTGCAAAATGACAAGTTTTCTTACTCGAAACCTCCCCATTGTGCTATATACACCTGTATGCCAGCACTGTCCATACCACACACAGCACTTTCTTTCAGAGGAGCAGCTTACAAGGCAATTTGTGTGGTGTCGGCACAGGGCCCCCTCCTGCAATTGTAGCTCGTTATAACTCTCTCATGTTCTCTTTGGGACCTGGACACTTCTCATAAGAGGGTGGTTTGTAGGCGTACCCCCACACCCATGTGCCTCACTTGCAGAGTGCCCTGCCACGATTTGGGGAAAGGAACTGTGTATGCTTTTAGCTTCCGTTGCCTGGCTGCCCACATGTTCGCATAGCTGGTGATTTAGGGCTACTACTACATTTATTGTGAGGCTTCAGCACATGGCTGTGGTGTACTGTACTACATATAATACCTAATGCATGTGCTAGTATATACAGTGCAATACATTTGTGTAGTGCTAACAGCACATTGTGGCTCTGTGGTACATTCCATGTGTATGTGCTCATGTATAATACAACTTAGGAACTATAATATACACCAGTGGTCAGCCTTTGTAGGACAGGAAAGTTGTGCTTCATCCCGTCTTAGCTCTGATTCTGTTCCTCCTTCTTCGAGTTGGCTCAGCTACATTTACCTGAACAAATGCAACACATTGTTGGCAAGTATAGAGGTATTTGCAATGCGGGTCACATTCACATGGCTGTGGGTATATTGCTTCACTCACAAAGTAATTTACCCCCCGTTTCTCAGGGACACCTGAATTTATGGCCCCCGAGATGTACGAGGAGAACTACGACGAATCGGTCGACGTGTATGCGTTTGGCATGTGTCTACTGGAGATGGTCACTCTGGAGTACCCCTACTATGAGTGCAAGAACCCGGCACAGATTTACAAGAAAGTCACTTCTGTGAGTCTCTGGGGGAGAAGGGGTCGGGAGGGGGGAGAGAAAAGGAAGGGGGGGCGGGGGGGGGCTTTGTAGATGATGAGAGTGTATGTATTATTCATGTCTCTTCTTCTCTTTCTCCACTCGCAGGGCACCCCTCCCCTCTCTCTGGAGAAGGTGAAAGATCTCGATATACGCAACATGATAATCAACTGTACCTGTGTGGACAAAGGACTGCGGTACTACACATAGTACAGTGTACTACAGTATGTGTGTGTGTATGTACATGTATGTATGCTCATCATACTGGCTGCAGGGTGGCTCCGGAGAACTGTCCCTCAGTTGTAGAAAATGTGTTTGTCTTACAAGAGCATGTAATGGAACTTTAATCTGATAAGATCGACAGATAGTCCCAGCTAGTAATGTACATCTCTAATGCATGTGGCGATGATTAGGTCACTGCCGCTGAATTTGGATACTACGACCACAAATTGAACCCTGTGACATCCATGAATATTTCCAGTTCACCTAATGAACTGCCTCTTAGCATACCAACGTGTTATAATATTGTTGAAACATGTTTGGCAAGCGAGCAAGTCTGTAAACCGGCACCTAATTTCGATCTACACACAGTGACTATGCAAAATTTTAGCAAAATTTTCAATTGAGAGAGTATGCTTTCTCTGCTCCTCAGGACTCAGTCACAACTATAAAAAAAATTTAGAAATTCACAAGGAAAACTAGCTGTACATATGGCCCCACCCACAAATTAGTTTATTTCGAGGTATGTAGCTAACCTCACCCTAACTAATTTCTCTCCTCCTCCTCTCTCCTCTCTCCCTCTCTCCTCTCTCCCTCTCTCTCTCTCTTTCTCATCATTTCTGTCTCTCATGGACCAGGTTCATGGTGAAGGACTTACTGCAGCACGCGTTCTTTGCCGAGGACGGAATGAACGTTGACGTGACTCAATCAGAGGAGTCCCCCGACAAATTGACCATTCGGATGATGGTCCATGGGGAGGGAAAGAAGAAGAACGGAGAGGAAGCCATAGAGTTTCCCTACGACCTGAAGACAGACATTGTGGAGGAGGTGGTGGGGGAGATGGTGAGTTGGGGGAGGGAGGGAAATCATGTAAAATTCTTTAGGATTGTGTCGTTGAACTTTTGAGCTTCATCGATTTTACACATTTCGCGGTCATTGCACACCACAAGAATGGGGTGTATATATGTACCTCTTAACAACCAATGTTCACAATTTGATATATACTGGACATGTTTGTTGAGAGTGTAGTGTTAGGTGAGGAACACTGTAATGAACATGAGGTGAAAGAGAGAGGGAATGAGAGAGGATTGTTTCCGGTGCAGGTGAAGAGTGGAGTCCTGCGCAGCGAGCACCAGAAGATGGCTCTGAGGACCATCAAGGAAACCATGGAGACGGAGCTACACAAACGAAACAAGGAGAGAGACAAGGACAGGCAGGAGCGACTCCAGACCCAGCAGTTGTCGGCCGTGCCCTCTGAACCTCTGTTGGAAGGAGACTCGGTCACTGCCACCTCATCAGTTAGTCCTCCCCACCCCCACCCCTCTTACCATTCTCTATTGCTAATAATAAAGGAGCTTTAGATAGCAAAATACAGACGTCTTCCGTTTGAATAATATGCTCATTACAACAATGCTAGTGATAAAAAACTTTATGTAAAAAGTCTGAAAATGACTTTTGAAGTCAATGGTAGGTAAACGTCACCAACCTCTTATATACCATTCTCTGTCTTTTACACACACTCACACACTCGCTATTTCTCGCAGAGCAAGACCTCTAGACAGCCGTCCAACTCGGAACTGGTAGGTCAGACCACTGACACAAAGGAGCGGGCCCACACCCCGGCCCCGGCAACAGCTCCCTCCACCGCAGAGACCAGGAAACCACTCGAGTCAATTGCCACGGTCATCGCTGCAGGGAACAAGTCAAACTTGGAGACTGTGGCGGCATCTTCCCCAACTGGTGTCCCTCCCTCCACCTCTTCCTCTTCGCTGCTTCCTTCTCCTACACCATCTACTACCTCTGCTTTGGTCCCCACTGCCGAGCAAACTCTGAGCGGCCCCCACCATCCGAATGAAGGGGGCCCAATTTCTGTCGTGGGGGGTCAAAACGACAACGCCAATTGTACTGCTGGGTCGGAGAAAGTCGACGTCTCGAAAGATTCTCACCTGATCAGAGAGAGTGTGAAGTTCTCTAGTGTAGCATCAGAGGCAACAGTTCTCGAATCTTCTTCGTCTTCTTCACTCTCCAATGACCCAATAACAACGTCTACCGCAGTGTTGGACGAGGTGGGTGGGGTCACATCTTTGCCTCCCACGGCAACGGAACAAGACCAACAGCCCGCATTGTCGGGGACCGAGCAAACGAACCCTCAAACTGGGGGGCAGGGGGGCGGTGTCGTCGTCGGGAAATTGTCGTCGGAGGAGACTGGACACCACGGCCCGGTGGGCGGGGCTGGGGGCGGAGTTAACGGAGGGAAGAAGAAACCGGGGAGGGGGAAGGGGAAGATGACCTTGAGTCTGGTGGAAGTTACCCCCGACCACGTGGTAAAGTGTGTCTTGGTCACCAAGAACGACGTGAGGATAAACTTTCAGTTCAGCCGAAAGTTTGATGAGACGAAGGCCATCTTCAAGAAACTGGTGAGTCAGCTTAGCTGTTGAACTTCTAAATCTGTCGTAAATTCGCGACAGGAAGAGATTACCGATAGAGCGTGCATGTGTAAATCTACGTTCCTGCTCAAACACACATTCAGTAACTCATCCATGAGACAGCTACGTATGCTTACGTAACAACTATGGGGCTTGTAGCTGATTACCAATGATTATAAATAGAGATAGGTGAGTCCGAATCATGCATGGGGAGTGGTTTTCTTGTTTTGAAAGCCACCGTTAAGTTTTAAAATCAACTTTTCTCTCTTCATACACATGACTGTGTTGTGTGCAGGTACACGCTGGTCATCTGAAGGCGGTGGAGGAAGAGAACTTTGTCCAGCAGGCAGAGAAGATTGTTCTCTCCTCCAAGAACAAAACTGCCGGCGGCGGTCCTGCTACCACCGAACAACCACAGGAGACCAAACTAGACAAAACAGAGCCACCGGTGACGACAGGCGAAACCACTTCCGCCAAATCTGCTGGTCAGCTGACACCCCGACTGGCACCCAGGGGGTCTCACCAGGCGAAATCCTCCTCCCCCTTGTCCAACTCCGTCACAGACACCTCTGCGAGCTCCTCTCAGAGGAGTGATAGTGGAGTTAGCGGTGGTACATCGCGACCTCTGGCAAAGGTCGTTAACGAAGTCACGGGTGAAGTTGTGGCAGTCGTCGGTAGCGAATCCGCTGCAATATCATCCCGGAGTGATTCGGACCGAGAGAGGGAGAGACCGGGAAGAGTCCCCGAGGTTGCGTTGTCACAGCAACGACCTTTGACCCGTGACGTTGCCACGGGGATGTCGCCGGCGACAAACTCGTCATCGGTGGTGTCTCTGGGGTCTCAGAGCAGCGGAGGGGACGAGGCGGGGGGAGGGAGGAAAGTAGAATCACCTCCTTCTCTCTCCACACAGACCTCAGACGAGGTACGTGTATACGAAATTCGCACTTGTTAAATTAATTTTTGCTGAATCTAAAGTGTTTAGGAACTTTGGAAACTTAATTGCTTTCTTTAACTGGGCCCTGTTGTTTTGTTTTTCTAAATTTATGTAGCCCTTATGGTGCTGACACATCCATCTAAATGTGGGAAATAGGCAGGATATGTATGCCGGTCTGTTTAGCTTATTTCTATCCTCAGAGTGTGAGTAGTGGTGGCCAGGCCTCGACTCCAGCTCCTGTCCCCCTGAGCCTCGTCCAGAGTGCCCCTGTCAAGACCACCTCTCTACCATCAGGACCTCCCGTCCCTCCCCCCACCACTGCCTCTTCGACTGCTGCTACTGGGTTTGAGGTGTGCTCCCTGTCGGAGCCAGTCTGCCTCGTCACGCAGGAGTCTTCATCTTCCACTACCACCGTCCACACACCATCAACACAACGACGATTTGTGGTGGCAGACGTCGCCGAGGAGCAAGATTCCCCTGATGAGTTATCAACGCAGGGGTCGACCGAGAGTTTACCCCAGTGTGAGGCTCACTTGCAGCAACCTGGGGGAGCTCTTGAGCATCCCGTGACGCAAGTGGAGACTTCGACGACAGTTTCCCACCATCGCTCAGTTGGGGATTCTTCCGGAAACAGTGTTGAAGTGATTGTTGTCTCGTCCCTGGCTGCTCCGGAAACGAGTCGGGAGGACCTCGCGACGCCGAGACCGCCCCTCTTGAGCGCTCCGTCTTACTCCTCTGCCCTCGATTCGTCCATGGCCGCACGACAGAGGTCCACTTCACTCCCTCACAAACTCTCCTCGGTCCCATCGTCCCCGTCTGCCGTCTCCACGACAACGACGACATCAGAGAGATCGGGTGTGGCCCCGCCCACCATGCCTGTCATCCCAGAGAGGTCACTGACCTCAGACTCGGAAGTATTTACTGCAGAACCTCTGTCTACTACATCTGGAACAGTCCCTGCCTCCAGTTCATCACAGTCCAACCATCACCACACCAACGCCAGTGGCCAACAAGAAGTCCACCAGCCACACCCGATTGGGAAACCACACCCACCTAGTTGTCAAGACAACGCCCCCTCCCCTCAACCACAGGCTCCGCCCACTACAACCCCACTTGCCGATATTAGCCAACACCACTCTGAGGCCTTGTCCAGTGCCTTCATGTCGTTCATCTTCTCCATGAACCAGATTTTGAAGGAGCCGGCAATCCAGCCCCTCATTCATCACTTAGAGCATCATTACAGAGGGGCTCACCCATCGTATGACGTCGCCCCTCCCCCTTCACACAATGCCCCTCACCCCCACGGTGACAAGAAAGATGAAGATGCTGATTTGAAGAGAAAAATTGAAGAGTGAGTTCATCTGGTTAAGGCTAATGATCTCTTATAATTTCCGCGATTTTGCATTCCATACACTCAAGCATTTGCGAAACTCCGTAGAATTTTACGTGGTCCAGAAATTTTTTTATTCGGTATGTTTCACTCTTCTTTTTTCCAGTCTGGAGCAGCAACTGCAGGTGACAAAGCAACAGTTGCAGGTGAGGCAGACAGAGAGGGAACACCGCCAGCGAAATACCAATCCCTCCTCGGCCACCAGCCCTGCTACTACATCAGTCGGAGGAGCAACAACAACATCGAGTGGGAAGAGAGAATCGTCCGCCCCGCCCGCCCCAATGTGGAGAACAGGAGATGAGAGAGGGAGAGAAGACGGAGATGGACACCAGGGAACGGCCCAGCGAGAACAGATGGAGCAGAGAGTGCGAGAGGAACTATTTAACGACCCACTTCAGACCTCTCCACCTCACGCCTTCCCGCACACCACTACCGCCAGCACTACTGCAGGTAGTGGTAGCTCTTCAGTTGTCTCATTCCACAACAGCTACCATGGAGAGACCGCCGAGCAGCTTCGCAATCGAGCCAGAACGGCATGGGACGGTTCAACACAACGATTCAACTCAACCGGCGTGACTTCGTACACTGGAATCGGCAGCACGAAATCCTCCGCTAATAGATCCGCCTACCCTCCAGTATACCCACCCACAGGAATTCAGTCTTCCACACCGCCTCATTTTGTACCCTCCCCCTCCCCCGCCTCACCCTCCGCAACTCCCCAAATCCCTGCAGTCACACCCTCACCCTCGCTACATCACCAGTCCGTTAGCCAAGAGTGGACTGAGTACACGTCGGCGCCATCGGATGGCTCGCAATGCTCGGTACCTCTCTCACCACCTCCCCACATTAATCAAGAATCTTCGTCGACTCCGGATGTCTCAGAATTCGATCCCATCCAGTCCTAGCATTTCAGTCTGGGCCTGCGCAATCCGCGGATGGGGCAATCCAGGATTCAACTTGGGCCTTCGGCTGTCATGTGTGTACATGGTGTTGTATCATCTGTGTAAGAGTGTGCGATAAGAGTATTGTGTATTTTTAGTGTATCAAACAGCATAATTATTATGCGCACAAGCGCCAGTAATCAAATGGGCGGGGCCATGACGCGAGTCAGGTTTCCTGCTCGTCTGCCTTGCATTTCTGGGTTTTTATGACGTACAAGAGGAGCGAAGAGGAGATGCATCATTTTGAAGGCGCTCTAATGACGGTTCTCAGTTCCGCCATGTTCTGCTCGAGAGCTGCGAGGGTGGCTGGCAGGGAGCGCCCACTGTCCTCCTTCAGACTGTCGTAGGCGAGAACAAACTGGACCGCCTGCTCAGCTACTGCCGTTACTTCATCTCCCACACAATCACCACTCGCTTCTCCTATAGAGAACCGCACGATGAGTCGTAAACGAGCGCGCGCGTAGAACCGTGTTTACCCGGCAGAGAGAAGGCTGGGTCCGTGTGTAGCGCAGACGCCAGATCTTCTTCAATGTCTTCCGCAGTAGGTGGAGTTGGAAGCGCCATTTTTTTGGCTGGCCACGATGATGAAGAACGATGGCTGGCGGTATACCTGGCTAGGCTGCGCTGGCTCGCGCAAGACCACACCTCTTTTTTTAGGTCAAAGGTTACGCGATCGTAGCGGGAAGTTGGCGGCATGTCTTCGCCATCCGGACAAACGAGAGAAGAAATCAACAGAAAAGTGAGCGCATCTCCAGTCCAGTTGTTCCACGCATGTCTCTCGTACCGCACACAGGCCGGCGTGATATTAGAGCGCGCTCGGCAACTAGCGGTGTCGCGAGGCGATGACGAAGCCAGGGGTGACGTGGTTACTGAACTGCGCAGAGAGTGCCAGGCCCTCAGGTCCGAGTTGAAGCAGGTAGATCACCTATCCTGCAGTGTCGCCTGACGCAAACTCTTTCCTTCGCTCCTCTGCAGCTGAAAGTACAGTATTCCAAACTTCAAGCTCCGCCCGTGGTTGGATCACGTGACGAGGTCTCGGCGCGCGGCGCACGCAGCACCACCTTGTATAGCAGAATCTGTGTTGCTCGTTTCTCTATTACAGGATGCTCCGTCCACGGCTAATCTTCTGTTGGAGGAGGCCAGACTCCAGGCAGAGTTGGCTGTTTTGCTGCAGAGGCGGAAAAGAACTGAAGGTGTGTGTGACCTGACTATCTTCCACATTTCATATTAGTTTTTGTGCTGCATTAACTGCAGGAGTGACCACATGTGATGCTGAGCTGCAGACTATGGCATACCAGCAGGTGAAGGGAACAACAGATTTTCCTATCTAATATATATATATAGGGAGAGATATATATATGTTATATATACCACTTTTGAGGTCCATCTAAGAAATGTAGTCCTTTTCCCCCCGATATTCTAGCTATATACCTGTTTTCATTCATTGTGCAGGTGTGTGAGAGTGTGTTGCAGCAGGATCAGCTGCTGACGGCTCGTAGGAGTGAGAGAGACAGAGTCGAAGCCGAGCTAAAGAGGTCCTTACTCCACCCCCTATAATAAGCCCCGTCATATACTACGATGTGGTGTGTGTGTGTGTGTGTCAATGTGTGTGCTGTAGGGAGGAGACTCTGTTGAAGGAGTCTCAGGAACTGGAAACAGCTCTGGAGAGAAAGTTGGCCGAAACTCGTGGACGTTCTGGACAGGGAACACACAGACAGGTTTGAAATAATTTGCTCAGCTTTTGTATGATGGACCCTATTATCAGTGAATTAGTTTGAACGAAACTTCTGATTTTTACATTTCAGGGCAGAGGCTCAGCTAAGAGAGAGGATATCGCTGGCAGAGGAGAGCATTAAATCCATCCGAGAAAACATGGTAAATCTGTTATATGAATGCAACTTTTTTGAGTGGCACGAAGTATAATTTTTTCACACACCAAAGTATTCTTTACAGAAATAGAAGCATGAATTTATCTAGGTGCACTGCTTACATGCAGGTCGGTTTCTGCATGGATGAGATAATACAACCTTCGGATGACGTTGATGGAAGAGGAGGAGGAGAGAGAGGGAGAGGCAAGAGGGTTAGTGTAACTGATCTGTGGAGGAGTCCTCAGTAACCACTGTCTGTCTGTCTGGTGTTGTTTGTTAGCAAAGGAAGGGAGGACAGCAGAGGTTGGATAACATGCTGTCGAGGGCCGGTAATAGTCGAGACAGTGATGACACTTTCCCCTCTCTTCCTGATGTGGTGCAGGTATATACATACATAATGTTGTGTACGTCATATACCCCTCTAAAACCTGGTTCACAATAATGATGGAAGTTGTACTCTGGTTCACATGCGATTTATTCTTTAACCCCCCAGGAGCTGATTTCGAAAACGCTCACCTCGCCCCATTCTCCGTACCTCTCTCTCTCCTCCATTTGGCCCCCTCACGGGAACCTCCTGCTGAGGTCAGGGGTCATCCAGCGTCACCCGGACAACCCCAGCCTTGTTAGGGTCGCTCCATTCCATTTATAGCCCACTCTCATTCTGTTCCATTTACAGCCCACCCTCGCTACCAAAATTTAGTTCTGTCATGACAATTATTGCTCTGTTCTACTAAATTTGTGATACGGTCATAATGATTAAACACAGTCTATAATCTGGTGTCATGTGAAAAAGTAAAGCATCTCCTCTTCCTCCTTCTCTTTCTCTGCTTTGCTTGTCGTCTGCTTTTTCTTCATCACCGGGGGCTCTGATCTGTACATCACCTTACGACCCCTCTACACATGGAAATTCAGTTCTTACTGAAAAGGGGGTCAAATATTGCAGATACATTGCAAACTAAAATTTTTCAAGGGAACACGCTCTGTATGTACTTAGTGCTGCTTGCTCAGGGTGCAAAGTTTCATGGATGCAGTGAACCAGTATATAATTATACAGCAGCAAGGAGACAGACCGTCTTAGCAGGCCCCCCAGTAGCTCTCTCCTGCATCCGCCGCAGCTTCAGCTCCTGGTATAGTCTCTGCTCCGCCATCTTCTCAGCACGCAGCCTCATCCTCCTCTCCTTGTCCTTCAACTGGAGTAGTATATACAAGAGTGGAACCTCTTATATATAATGGGGCACTCTGAATAGCACTCTTTAATTATTCGATTAGTGGGTTAGGAAACCTCTGTCTAGAGGAACACTTTCCCAGTGTGTCCTTCAACTGATACAAGGAGTCTTATCAATATGGTCCTATGAAAATGGCCGACTTGCCTTTTCTGCAGCCTCGACTTTGTCAGCTGGCAGTGTCTCAATTGTCTCAAACAATTGCTCCAGACATCCCTCTATAGCAGTCAGCATGTTCAGAGACCTGTGCAAAATTCACTTCACTATAATATGGTTGGCAGTATAAAGATTGCGTACAATGTTTCAAAAAACACATTTCGTCAGTATTTGCTGGTGTAAGTGTCTGTCTGTGTCGTTTGTGTGGCTCACGATATGTTGGCTTCGTTGGGGCCAATGCACTTGGCATACACGCTGGCCACTTTCTTGTTCATCTCGGCCAACATCTGTTCCTGATCGTCGGCTCTATACTCTCCGTATGAGAGCAGTTTTGAGTTCATCTCCAGGTCAGAGCCCTTCTCCTCCTCCAGCTCTATCGCCCTCATCAGGAGATCCACTTGTCTCTTAAGGTTATGGATCTGTGTGTTTCTGCATGTCCAATATATATAGTACATCAAGGGGTCCGAATTCATTTTAGGTAACTGAGAAGTTGTAAGGAAGGTATCACATTTTAGCGTGAAAACCATGTGTTGGAATGCATAGCTTCATTTATCAAGCCACAAAAAAAAACGATTTTCACCTTACAAACAAAGCACGTTGTCAATATATTAGTACTCTGTGAAATATGGTAATAGGACCCCCCGCAGAGGCTCTGTCATGTGACATGGGAGGGGCCTGACTCACAAGGTGTGCCCTGTCTCCTTGTGAGTCTGTCGCAGGTCCTCCAGCAGCTCCTCTGTCTCCTGGGAGTTCTGGATGAGGCTCAGATTCTGCTCCTCCAGCTCCGAGAACAGCTGCAACAGCTGCGACGGAGACGTGAAGAACAGCCGGCACTCCTCGTCGGTGACCCTAACGAGAGGGGTCCTCCCCGCACCACCTCTCTCGGGTAGTGGCCCGTCTTCAGCAATCTCGACCGATTTCCTTGCCTTTTTGTCAGCGGCCCTCACCTTATCCTGCCACTCCTGCATTATACGCCATAGAACAGCACAGTAAAATTGGCAAACTGTAAATTTGTCAGAGTCCTCCTATAGTGACATTATAAGTAACTGCCACAGAAGCAGTGGACAGCAAACACCACAGTTGTAATTGCAAAACCGGGCTAACTTGTTCTACGGCGTGTGTGTGTGTGTGTGTGTGTGCAGAGTGGGAGACCTGAGGGGAGAGGCTGTGTAAAAATGTCTGACAGGACCGCAGCTCGGCAAGAGTCTCGTTGTTGCGAGATATTTCACTGCATTTGTTACACAGAGAGTAGGATAAATACTTCATGAACACAAATTGTAGGGTATAAAGTAGTACACATACTTCTTGATGGCCATTAGTTGGGAGTTGAGACGTTTGATTTCAGAAGTCTTTTCCAGTTTTGCCTTTGTCGCAGCTTCAGCCCTGCGTGGAACATTCTAGAACAGACTACATGTGCTGCATTATCACTCACATTCTGACAGCTTCCGAGGCATTTTTGTCGTTCTCTTTGACAAATTCGTCAAACATTTCGGCACTCTCTTTCAGGTAGCGTTCGGCAGCCACCAGCTTCTGCTCCTCTGCCTGTGTGGACGAGAGAAAGTAGCCAACCTGAGTTTCTGTGGTGTAGCGGTTATCACGTGTGCCTCACACGCACAAGGTCCCCGGTTCGATCCCGGGCAGAAACAACTTTTGTTCAGTTTTTTTGAAAATAAACTCTTGTGTGCGCAAATGCACCAAGTACCTTACGAACACTGCATTAAGTCAGCAGTACACAATTACGGCTACTGACCATAGCAATTTCCTCTAGTTTCCGAATCTCGTCCCTCTTGACTCCGAGTGCATACTGCACCAGAAACATCTCTCGTTTGCGGTTCACGTAGCTGGTGATGTCTTCTTTTTCCAGCCGCCGATCTCTGGTGGTTGTCAGCAAGAAATCTGTGTCTTCGCTGACTCCCCTCTCCTCCCCCTCATCTCTCCCTGTCCCTCTCCCCCCTGCCCCTGACTCTGGAGGCGGCGACATTACCTGCACACATTGAGAGCACATTATTTGTGACTGCCACCAATGCCACAGTTGGATGCATCTTTATTTTTAACCTCACCGTCTTTCTGAGAGCGGCATTCTTGGCGTTGAGTCGAGACGTGTAAGTGGACTTCTCGTGGACCTTTAGTTTCCTCTGCTCGGCTCTCTGCTCCCGAGCCTCCCGTCTCTGCCGCTCCCGCAGCGTGAACAGCTCGCTCTCCGGTGGCATGAGGAACGGATTCCGCCGCTCGGCTCTTCCGTCCTTCTCTCTCGTCTCTCCCTCAGCGGTGTTTGGTCCCTGGGGTGCCGTGGGGATTGGCGGGAGAGGGACGTGTTTTGCGAGGCTTGACCGAAAAGCGGAATTCCCGGCTTGATGGCTCACGGCGAGCCCTGCTGAGGGAGATGGGTGAAGGTTGGACAATAGATCTGTCGGTTCTCTTTTACCAGATTTATTCAGGGGCATGGAGGACGGAGATGGAGCTGTAACGGTAGCCATGACTGGAGAAGACGATGAATGTGTCTCGGTTACCATGACAACAGCTAAACCACGCCCATAAATGGTAACGCATGCGCACAAAAAGTACGCGTGTAGTATAGTCTAGTTTATGAGCTAGAGAGCCGAAGGAAACAGCAAGTAAAGAGAGACGCAGACATGTCAGTAGGAGCTCATCGACTGCGTGTGCGTAACGCCGCCCAAATCGTGACCGTGTGCTCGCGAGGAGAGCGAGTGTTGCGAGGAGGGGAGATGGGGAATGTGGCCGTGCTGGAGGGAGAAGAAGGAGAAGGAGTGGGGTTGGCGGTGGACGGCGACGGGAAGATCGAAGCAGTCGACCTAGACTCGGAAATCGACGCTGCCTTGCAAGGTGGGTGTGGCAAACTCAGTAGTGTGCACACGCATGCGCACTGTGTTCTGCAGGTTGTACTTTTGATCACGTGATCGATGCCAGTGGCCAGTGTGTGATTCCAGGTCTGGTTGACGCCCACACTCACCCAGTATGGGAAGGAGACCGAGTCCACGAGTTTGCCATGAAGGTTATTACAATCGCAGCACTATTCTAATTATTCATCTGAAGTCTGCGAAATTTTAATTTACTCCTTGAGCTAGAGCAACAAAGATTAATGCTCAACTTCATTTACAAAAATGAACAATTGCTGTAGACTAAGTATGCTCAATTCTGATACTGTGTATAGCTGGCTGGAGCAACTTACATGGAGGTCCATGCAAAGGGAGGAGGGATTCATTACACAGTCGACTGCGTTCGTCGTGCAAGTCTGGACCAATTGTACACCTCTCTGGACCGGCGACTGACTGCCATGCTGACCACTGGGACCACTGTGGTAGAGGCCAAGAGCGGGTACGGTCTGGACCTGGAGAACGAGACCAAGATGTTGCGAGCCATCGAGCGAGCCAAGAGAGAGCACGCCATGACCATCTCCTCCACCTACTGTGGAGCTCACGCCATTCCAAAGTTAGTGCACTTTATGAGATTTGGGATTGACCCAGACTACATAGAACTCATATCAATGGAATATCATGTCAGATGTCAGAAGGAAAAAGTTTTAGACTGAAAAAAAATTAGGTCTGGTGTCATCTCCATTTCCTTCATTTTCAAACATAATTTTTAGTGGAGACTGGGGAATAGTTTGCGACCAAAGCATCTGCAAAACAATATTTTTCACGGGCAAGTATAAGCAATGCACTGTTTTCTGTGCATTTCCTACCGTTTCAGATGCTTTATCATCTACTGTGTATTCTATCTCCATATTGTGTGGTGTGTTGTAGAGGAAGCACGGCAGAGGATGCAACTCAAGACGTGGTAAATGTCCAGATCCCCGCACTCAGAGAGCTCTGTGCCACTGGCGAACTCAGCATCGACAACATCGATGTCTTCTGCGAGAAAGGGGTCTTTGACACGGATGCCTCGCGACGGATCCTCAGCACCGGGAAAGACGCCGGGTGGAAGTTGAATTTCCACGGAGACGAACTCTTCCCAATGAATTCTGGAGAAGTGAGTACAGTTTCTGTGGTGTGGCGGTTATCACGTGTGCCTCACACGCACAAGGTCCCCGGTTCGATCCCGGGCAGAAACAACTTTTGTTCAGTTTTTTTGAAAATAAACTCTTGTGTGCGCAAATGCACCAAGTACCTTACGAACACTGCATTAAGTCAGCAGTACACAATTACGGCTACTGACCATAGCAATTTCCTCTAGTTTCCGAATCTCGTCCCTCTTGACTCCGAGTGCATACTGCACCAGAAACATCTCTCGTTTGCGGTTCACGTAGCTGGTGATGTCTTCTTTTTCCAGCCGCCGATCTCTGGTGGTTGTCAGCAAGAAATCTGTGTCTTCGCTGACTCCCCTCTCCTCCCCCTCATCTCTCCCTGTCCCTCTCCCCCCTGCCCCTGACTCTGGAGGCGGCGACATTACCTGCACACATTGAGAGCACATTATTTGTGACTGCCACCAATGCCACAGTTGGATGCATCTTTATTTTTAACCTCACCGTCTTTCTGAGAGCGGCATTCTTGGCGTTGAGTCGAGACGTGTAAGTGGACTTCTCGTGGACCTTTAGTTTCCTCTGCTCGGCTCTCTGCTCCCGAGCCTCCCGTCTCTGCCGCTCCCGCAGCGTGAACAGCTCGCTCTCCGGTGGCATGAGGAACGGATTCCGCCGCTCGGCTCTTCCGTCCTTCTCTCTCGTCTCTCCCTCAGCGGTGTTTGGTCCCTGGGGTGCCGTGGGGATTGGCGGGAGAGGGACGTGTTTTGCGAGGCTTGACCGAAAAGCGGAATTCCCGGCTTGATGGCTCACGGCGAGCCCTGCTGAGGGAGATGGGTGAAGGTTGGACAATAGATCTGTCGGTTCTCTTTTACCAGATTTATTCAGGGGCATGGAGGACGGAGATGGAGCTGTAACGGTAGCCATGACTGGAGAAGACGATGAATGTGTCTCGGTTACCATGACAACAGCTAAACCACGCCCATAAATGGTAACGCATGCGCACAAAAAGTACGCGTGTAGTATAGTCTAGTTTATGAGCTAGAGAGCCGAAGGAAACAGCAAGTAAAGAGAGACGCAGACATGTCAGTAGGAGCTCATCGACTGCGTGTGCGTAACGCCGCCCAAATCGTGACCGTGTGCTCGCGAGGAGAGCGAGTGTTGCGAGGAGGGGAGATGGGGAATGTGGCCGTGCTGGAGGGAGAAGAAGGAGAAGGAGTGGGGTTGGGCGGTGGACGGCGACGGGAAGATCGAAGCAGTCGGCCTAGACTCGGAAATCGACGCTGCCTTGCAAGGTGGGTGTGGCAAACTCAGTAGTGTGCACACGCATGCGCACTGTGTTCTGCAGGTTGTACTTTTGATCACGTGATCGATGCCAGTGGCCAGTGTGTGATTCCAGGTCTGGTTGACGCCCACACTCACCCAGTATGGGAAGGAGACCGAGTCCACGAGTTTGCCATGAAGGTTATTACAATCGCAGCACTATTCTAATTATTCATCTGAAGTCTGCGAAATTTTAATTTACTCCTTGAGCTAGAGCAACAAAGATTAATGCTCAACTTCATTTACAAAAATGAACAATTGCTGTAGACTAAGTATGCTCAATTCTGATACTGTGTATAGCTGGCTGGAGCAACTTACATGGAGGTCCATGCAAAGGGAGGAGGGATTCATTACACAGTCGACTGCGTTCGTCGTGCAAGTCTGGACCAATTGTACACCTCTCTGGACCGGCGACTGACTGCCATGCTGACCACTGGGACCACTGTGGTAGAGGCCAAGAGCGGGTACGGTCTGGACCTGGAGAACGAGACCAAGATGTTGCGAGCCATCGAGCGAGCCAAGAGAGAGCACGCCATGACCATCTCCTCCACCTACTGTGGAGCTCACGCCATTCCAAAGTTAGTGCACTTTATGAGATTTGGGATTGACCCAGACTACATAGAACTCATATCAATGGAATATCATGTCAGATGTCAGAAGGAAAAAGTTTTAGACTGAAAAAAAATTAGGTCTGGTGTCATCTCCATTTCCTTCATTTTCAAACATAATTTTTAGTGGAGACTGGGGAATAGTTTGCGACCAAAGCATCTGCAAAACAATATTTTTCACGGGCAAGTATAAGCAATGCACTGTTTTCTGTGCATTTCCTACCGTTTCAGATGCTTTATCATCTACTGTGTATTCTATCTCCATATTGTGTGGTGTGTTGTAGAGGAAGCACGGCAGAGGATGCAACTCAAGACGTGGTAAATGTCCAGATCCCGCACTCAGAGAGCTCTGTGCCACTGGCGAACTCAGCATCGACAACATCGATGTCTTCTGCGAGAAAGGGGTCTTTGACACGGATGCCTCGCGACGGATCCTCAGCACCGGGAAAGACGCCGGGTGGAAGTTAAATTTCCACGGAGACGAACTCTTCCCAATGAATTCTGGAGAAGTGAGTACAGTTTCTGTGGTGTGGCGGTTATCACGTGTGCCTCACACGCACAAGGTCCCCGGTTCGATCCCGGGCAGAAACACTTTTGTATTATAGCATAGCTTCGACCCTCCTTTTTTATTACCAGCTTGCAGGGGAATTGGGTGCACATGCAGTGAGTCATCTGGAGAACGTGAGTGTGGCAGGAATCGAGGCTATGGCGACAGCCAACACAGTCGCAGTTCTTCTTCCTACCACTGCCTACATCTTGAGGCTCCAACATCCGCCTGCCAGGCAGATGATAGAGCGAGGTGAGACCCCAGCTGTATTATCACGCAGTCTTGTATTCTCCGTCTTATCCAGGGGTTGCCGTGGCTCTTGGCAGTGACTTCAATCCCAATGCATACTGCATGTCAATGGTGAGCAAGTTAAAGTTTAGATTTTAGGTTTGAGAGCCTTATCGTGAACTTTGATAGTGATTTTTCCACGCCCACACGCACTCTCTCTCCCTCTCTGCGAAGCCGCTGGTGATGCACCTGGCGTGTGTAAACCTCCACCTCACGATGTCCGAGGCTCTCGCAGCTGCCACCATCAACGCAGCGGCCTCCCTCGGTCTGTCAGAGAGCCACGGGTCACTGGAGATCGGGAAGAACGGTGACATGGTCATTATCAACTCAGCAAGGTGAGATATAGGACCTTGTGAACCCCTCTCCTCCCTCCTCAATTTTTCTCTCCTCACCTTCCCTTCCACCTCTTTTCCTTTCCTCTTATATTTACTCTCTCTCTCTCTCTCTCTCCTCTCTCTTCTCATACCCAAACGACACACACACACACATGTAGGTGGGAGCACCTCGTATATCAACTGGGGTGCCACAACCAACTCATAAAATATGTCATCAAAGAGGGGAAAATAGTCCACAGACAGCAATAGACAATTGTTGTTACGTTTTGTATATACCCAATGGCAACACTGAGAGTGTGGCGTGTTCAATGTAACAAAGTTAAAATGAATTGAAAAAGACATTCTATATATAATTGCGAGCTATTGTGTTATGTAAGAATTTGTCAGGTGTGTCGGTTTCCTGGTGCTGGATGTGGGAGGTGTGGCTGGAGTTAACGAGAGGGTGTTGCGACTATATTCCCGCCCGTAGCGGAGGAGAAATGAGAATCACTCCGTCTCCTCTGACAAACAGCATCGGAACATTCCGTTTAGTCGTCTAGGAAACATGAGGACGGAAAATGTGCAAATAAACTTGAATTCTTACACACCAGGCAGCCATAATATAAAATAGAAAAGTAACAGCAATCAACTCTTTCCTCTTTCCAATGTAAGAAAAATTGTAAGTATTATGTACATAAGTACTTTGTATATTTCTTCAAAGGTTTCCTCGTCCAGTTCCATCGTAGTTATAATCTCCTCAACTTCGCTCAGAATCATGTTCAGGTGTTGGTCGTACGCCTGGAAAGAAGAGAGCAAAAGAAGTCGATACTCACTTCGGGGGAAGTTCTGGGCGGCTCACGTGGAGGCGTCCCTTCAGCTCTCGGTTGTTTCTCAACTTGACGAAAATCCTCTCGTCCAGGCTGAGGCGGACCAAGTCCAGCGGCTCCTCTACGGCCACCGCCTGCTGGGCCTCATCCTCGCCTTCTGCTGCCATGCTCTCTTCTTCCTTCCACCATGGACCAGCGCTCCGCGCGCTACGTGCAAGAGTACTCGAGTACGAGTCACGTACCAGCCAGCCGCGTAATCCTGCGCATGCGCACTCGCTTGGAACGGGCATGCGCACTAATTGGAACGAGCACATGGTCGTTGAGAAGTAGAGATGAGGGCGAAAGGGAACGTAAGTTCGCAGCTGTCTATCAGTTTAGCGTTCTTTGAACTCAACTGAAAATAATCTGCCTTACTAAGGGAATGGGTCTAGCCTAGCAGTGGATACCCTATCTCTCTCCCATTCAGCTGAAGGAGTATAAAGTCGTTGGAAGGCGGGTACCAAATGAAAAAGCCCCGAACCCTCCTCTCTATCGCATGAGGATCTTTGCCCCAGACCCTGTCTCTGCTCGCTCAAGATTCTGGTATTTTATGAAAAAACTGAAGAAGATCAAGAAGACCAGCGGAGAGATCTGCTATAGCGGAATTGTGGGTTTGGTTAATTAAATAGAGCATTGCTTTTTTATTGCCTGGACCTGCAAAGTAAGGTACCCAAACACTGTTAGTGAAGATTGTGTTCAGAAAACCCGCAGTTATCTCCCTCAAAATGTATATTAATGATAGCTGTTTCTAATGTCTTAAATCTGAACGTGCTCGCTGTCCTGTGTAGGTAAGTGACAAGTCGCCGACAAAGATAAAGAACATTGGTATTTGGCTGAGGTACGACTCACGGAGCGGGACACACAACATGTACCGGGAATACCGCGACCTGACTGTCGCTGGGGCTGTCACCCAATGCTGTGAGACGATACATTCGCTCACCCACGCACACGCACGTGTTAAATCTCGCTTTTGTCGAGTGTTTATTGCTATCTATTGCTCTGTAGATCGTGACATGGGAGCAAGGCACAGGGCGCGTCCAACCTCCATCCAGATCATGAAGGTTGCTGTCATCAAACCGAAGAACTGCCGAAGACCTCACGTCCAGCAGTTCCACGTGAGATGATCACTTCATACCTGTCCCATACATACCTCTTTTACCAAGGACCTCTCTTCTCTCCCCCTCTACCTCCCCCTCTTCCTCTTCTTTCCTCACACCTCTGCCCCCCTCTTTGCAGAACTCCAGGATACGGTTCCCACTGCCACACCGAATAATGAATGCGCATATAAAGTCGAAGTTCATCGCGACAAAACCAAACACTTTCTACCAGTAGTATATACAGTACTCTCTGGTGGAGCAGTGGCCAACGTCAGCCTATGCGATTGTATAATAGTTTTATTGAACCTGTATGTTTGGAAAATTGTAAGACGGTGTTTCAGAAAATTTCACGTCTGATAGAAGCAGTAAAACGGCGGCAACCAAGTTTTTGAGTGAAATCTCATGAGTGGGATATTAGAATAGAACGTTATGCACATCGTGATTTCAACAGAATGTATATAAGATGATGATTTGAAGTTCAGTAGAAGGCTAAGTGATGCCATAGTGGGTCCTGAGGAAGTCGAGAACGGCAGGAGTACTGGTCAGAGTGTTGAATACCCTCTTCTCCACTCGACTGTGGACTCTCTCCACATGTGTATGAGGTGGCGGTGGAATATGGAGTGGGTCAGTCCGTGTGCAAGTGAGAGGTCCAGCCAGTCCTGCACCGCCCCCAGAGGAGTGGTGGAGACACCAGAGAACATGGCTGGGTTCTCCAGAACACCTCTCGCTGCCATCACTCCTGGCGAGAGAGAAAACCGGAGAGAGATTTAAAGTCTTTGACTATTATACTGTACACTGGAAAACTTGGAAAAAATCTTCACTGGGCCAGAAAAAGATTCCCTCTCGGTGAAACGAAATGCAGTACAGACTTACCATCTACTCCAGTCATATCAGCAACTCTGTGAATGTCATCTTCATTTCTGATGTCACCATTTGCCACCACTGGAACATTCACACTCTCCTTTACCTTCATTTATACAAGAAAACTAAACTCAATCAAAAATTTGGCCCTTTATTGAAGAACTTACAATCTTGATTGCATCGAAATTGCAGGGTTCCGCCCGTTGTTTGGTGGTCCTCCCGTGAACGGTGATCCAGCCACACCCGGCTGACTCCGCCCGACGACACAGCTCCACTGTCTCTCTCAGGTCGCCGTGGATCCTGATCTTGATAGAGACAGGGAGAGACGTTCGTGTCCTGGCCCCGTGGACCATGTCTGCCACTAGCTCCGGCTTCTTCATGAGAGCTGCCCCGTATCCATCTGCCAGGGCCCAGCGCTGCGGACACCCGCAATTCAGGTCTATCCCGTCCGCAAACGGGGCAACCAGCTCCGCTGCCCGGGCAAAATCTGCAGAGTTTGTAGCGGCAAATTGGACGATCAGTGGACGATCATCTACAGAACACGAGGAGCGCACATTTACGGTGGGAATGCGTGTACATAGAGAGATCTAGACCGTAGTTGGTGGTGAATTCTACGTCGCGTGCCTTGCTAGATTGCACGAAGGAGTCCGACACGATCATCGGAGTGTATGCCACGTCACAGCCGTACCTACAGAGGATTGGACGATACGACTCTACATGTGAAGGTATGAGGGAGGGAGAAGTGAGCTCACCTCCTCACGAGAGCCCTGAATGGAAGCCTACCGCAAAAAGAGAGAGACAAGAAGAAATATCGTGAGAGGCAGCTTTCGTTGCAGACTTACTTGGAATAACGGACCATAGGGGCGCATATTCTGACGACTTTCTCGCTTCTGAGGAGTTCCAGAGGGCTGATGACAGGCTCCGTCGGGCGCAACTCTGCTGCGCACCTCCCGTACGGAACGACGGAAGCGTCTCCGCCGTCCGCATTCTCTTCCATTTAGTGCGCACCAACAACTCCACGTGGGTGTGCATTATTTAGTAGAGTTCGCTAAGGAGAGAAGCTGTTGTTCGAAAATCTGCTGGATGGTCCGTTCCAGTAGGTTTTTCGTCTGATGTATTCATATATATACACATCATTATCGCTCTGCCTCTGATCAGGAAAACAGAGCAAGCGGATGCCCGCGAGAAAAAAGTTCAAGATCGCCAAAAAGGCACGTTTTACCGTCCATGAATTGTGTTCTCCATTGCCGGTTTATTGACTACGTGCTCTCTAGGTCCGAGAACATAACAGGAAGGCCAAGAAAGAAGCAAAGAAACATAATGCAAAAGGTGAATACGTCATCACGCAATGTGGCAGGCGCGAGACTGACAATCAGAACGTTTCCCCCTCACTCAAGTGCAGGCTTTGAAGAAAGATCCCGGGATCCCCAACCTGTTCCCGCTGAAGGAGCAGCTCCTGAAGCAACTGGAGGAGAAGAAGCAGCAGACGCTGGCGGCGAAGGAGAAGGAGAGAGAGCTGAGGCTCCAGGAGAAAAAGAGGAAGAGGAGTCTGCAAGGACTGCAGAACGACGCCCAGAGACGGACGAAAGAGTTCGAGAAAAAGGTTTTGAGCTTTTTATAGTGTATGAGTAAAAGGAGGGAAGTCGTCTATCTGTGTCCATATAGACTGCTGTACCAGAGTGTCCACTATTATGTATGTACTGTGACCTCCCCCGCCCTTTTTTACCCTTTGCACGCATAATGTCTCCTTTCTCTCTTAGTTTGTAATGGCTAGAACTGGATTAGCAATATGGCCCAGTGCAAGAATGCAGTAACTGCCACATTTCCCTCTGTACTACAGCAGGCTCTTCAGACGTCTGTGGAGAATGAAGGAGTTTCGGCTGTGGACCGTCGGAGCCTCAGAGCCTACCACCGAGAGTTCCGCCAGGTGCTGGAGATGGCCGACGTGGTTCTTGAGGTGCTGGATGCCAGAGACCCCCTCGGGACCCGCTGCCTGGAGGTGGAGCAGTCCGTGATGGCTGCTGGCTCCGACAAGAAGCTCATCCTCGTCCTCAACAAGATTGGTGTGTGAGGGAAATAGTAGAGTTACTGCAGGGTGTTGTTTTTGCATTACGAGGTTTAACTGTTCCCGTGACAAAACATTTAACATGCAATGGTGAAAAATTAAGATTTGCATCCTAAAAACAATCTACGGTCGCATGGACCTTGGCCATAAGGGGTTTCCCGAGGAGACACTCTGGAGGCATCTATGGCATTATCATCTGCTGTTTGATTTTTCAATGTGGGCAAGGGAGAGAAAGAATTGAGCACATTCTGTTCTCTATCTCTCAAGATCTGGTTCCCAAGGCGAATGTGGAGGCGTGGCTAAAACATCTCCGAAACGACTTCCCAACCGTGGCCTTCAAGGCCAGTACACAGACCCAGAAAAGAAATCTGGTATTTCACATGATGTCATTCTCTGTAATGATGATGTAATGGTGTTGTGTTCTGAATAATAGTCTCGTAGAAAAGGTGTGAACACGGCTCCTCCTGGTGTGATGACATCATCAGCTTGTCTGGGGGCAGAGCTTCTGCTGAAGTTGCTAGGCAACTATTGCAGGAATGCCGACATACGGACCAGTATCACAGTGGGCGTGGTTGGTGAGTCATGTGACACCAGCTTGCCAGTCATGTGATAATCACATGACACCCCAGGTCTGCCTAATGTGGGTAAGAGCAGTATCATCAACAGCCTCAAGAGATCTAAAGCATGCGGAGTAGGGGCCACCCCTGGAATTACCAAGTAAAAACAGGTTTTACTGGAAAATCCAGTTTACGGGCAACCCCTGGCAGGTCCCTTCAGGAGGTTCAACTCGACAAACACGTCAAGTTGATCGACAGTCCCGGTATCGTCATAGCAACCGGATCTGGTGACTCCGCCTCCCTTGTTCTGCGGAACTGTGTCAAAGTAAGTGTGCAATTGGGAATGTCCTTTATTCAGAGTTGTCAGAGGTTCTTACTGCACCCCCACAGGTGGAGACAGTGGAGGACGCGGTGCCAGCCGTGGAGGCCATTTTAAGGAGATGCAACCATCTCCACCTCCTGCAGCACTACTCCATCCCTCAGTTCACTGACACGCAGGAGTTCCTCGCCCACCTGGCACGCAGGACCGGGAAACTGAAGAAAGGTGAGGAGAGGGGAATTTTGAGGGGAAATCTTTCGCTTCTCCGTGGTGAATTATGCTGGAGTAAGAGAGTTTTCCCGCAGGTGGCATCCCTGATCTTGGTGCTGCTGCTAGAGCCATTCTTCAAGACTGGAACACGTGAGCCCTGTAACAACGATTACATCATCATTACCTCATCACCTCTAGTCTGCTCCTATGCATTGTCATCTGTTCACATCTCAATTATACATCATCATTAATAACTCATCCTCTATATAGTCCGCTCTGAGTATCAATGACACTATTACCGATTACATCATCATTACCTCATCCTCACTGTACAGAGGGCGTATATTGTACTACACTCATCCTCCTGAGCAGCACACCTTACCGACTCACATATCGGCTGAACTGGTTCAGCGGTGGAGCCAGGCCTTTGACTTGGTCAGTCTTTCTCTCTCTCTCTCTCTCTCTTATCGATTGATCATCCACGAAAAGGGTTGTTCCCATGTTGATTTGCATAAAATTAACGAGGTTGTGGTTGGTACAATAGACACCACTGACAGTTTAAACGTCATTTATGCACAATCAGCATCTTTCGTGATATTTACATGGGGAAGCAAGAAAAATGAGTCATCTCATTGGTTGGTTTGTACTCACAGAAAGCTCTGGAGGCGGAAGAGAAGGAACAGCTGTGCGGTGAGTTGTTGCAACGTATGTGGTATGATTCATTTCCGTGTGTGGTGTTAGAGTCGGGGAGTTTGGGCAGGGGTTTAACTAAAGCAGGCGGCTTGTGGCACCCCCCCCTCCCCTCTTGTATCCCTAGCAGAATGTGGTCTCTCTCACTCAGCACTGTACTTTTGTCTCGGCTACAAATATAAACTCTCCGTAACATACAGAGCTGACAGAGAAGATGGATGAAGCTGCAGTGGTGGAGAGTGAGGGGGTGGTGTCACATGTCTACTCCGAGGAAGAGGGAGGAGGAGGAGGAAGGAGGGAGTGAAGTGGAAGAAGAAATAGTTAGTCTTGATATGTATGTACAGTGAAGCCTTTGAAAAGACCCTCTCAATAAACGTCACTTCTCTACGAAGGTCACTCGATTCTGCCCCATACTAATTACCTCCGAGTAAGGGGCACCTCTGAATAAAGGACACCTTTAATGTACCCAAGGTATCCCTTTTCCAGAATTTCATCTTGTTCCTCTCTCTCTCTCTCTCTTTGTGGTGTGTATGTAGGGTTCAGATGTAACAGATAGTGAGGGGGAGGATATGGAGGAAGGAGACCTCACTAGTCAGGTGACTCTCACGTGATCTCTAACCTATGTCATGTGACCTGGAGAGTGTCATTACAGGACCCTGGTGGAGTCACAGTAGTCTTCAACAAGAAATCGAGAAGAAGAGGGACGCAGACACCGCCAGCTACGAGTGCTAAGGAGGAGAAAGAGAAAGCTAGACAACTGCAACTCAACCCCCAAGTTACTTCTGCTCAAAAGAAGGTAACTCTCTCTATCTTTGTGAGTTGAAATAAATGTTCCCTCATCTTAGAGTTGAAATAATTATTCCCCTCATCTAACTGTTTCAGTCCATTTTCATTCGCTTGTCTTTTCTTTAGGCCTTGAAAAAGCAGCAGAAAGAGGCGGAAAAGAGAATGTCGAGATGTTAGTCATTCTCTATGTGTTAGAATCGTGTGTGTACATTATGTCTCCAGTAAAGGACGGTGGAGATGTGGAAATGAACGAAACTGAGAGAGATGAATATGACATTACTGAATTCTTCTGAGCACTCATACAAAAAAAAGCAATGTACTCGTGTGTGAGGTTATCTTCAGTATATACACTCTTGATGGGGATACTGTCTGATATCCGCAGAGCCATTCTTTTCGGAGCTTCTTCAATGCACGTTATTCTCATTAGCTATATAACTCATTTTTAAGATTGCTCCCGCTTCCATCACCTTGCATGTGAAAATTATGAGGTACATAGAAAGGCAAAGGCACAACAACAAACAAATCAACTACACCCAGGCACCGCCAGCTACAAGTGCACGTGTAATCGATGTTCATTTCCACCATTCAGTGGGTCAACAATCAAAATTAAGATGAGATGAAAGGTCATAAAAGATTTCGCTGTTTCAAGTTTCGAACAAACTGTAGTCCGACCGCAGAGCCTTGTGGGTAGAACACAGGAGGCCGGCCCAGCGGTGCCTCGATCAAAACCCAACTGTTAGCCCCTGTTTGTATGTGCACGTGTGTGTTCATGATAGAGATAAAAATGGCCAAAACTTACTGAAAACGAGGGGGAGGAGGACTAAAGAGATACGGAGTGTGGAGCCATTGAGACAGAAAGAAAAAAACAAGTAATCAGACTACAAAATTGAGGGGAGGGGCAGGCCAACAAACGAGGTGTAATAATTATTTTTGGTCCACATGTGGACTCTAATTCACGTAGAGTCCGGAAAAGCAAAAAAATACCTCCAAAAAACAAGTAATCAGTCTTCTATATAACTAGGCCACTACAAAATTGAGAGGAGGGGTAGGCCAACAAACGAGGTATAATGGTTCACGCACGCACTCTAATTCACTTAGAGTCCGGAAAAGCAAAAATACCTCTATAGGCTTTCCCAGTCCAGATGTGTACCCAGGTGATGCCTTCAGGGAGAAAAACTCGCCTCTCCTCGAGAACATCGAATCTCTCGTGAACTGGAGCCACCAGCAGCTGCGTCCCGAGCATAAACTGGTAGCTGAGGTCTTCAGAGTATACCCCGGAGTTATTGGGGTACACCAGCATCATGTGGCGAGCCACAGGCCACCCGTACATCTCCGCTTCTTTCATCAGTTCTCGGCGATAGAAATCCCACGAGTGGAAAACGATGGACATGTTGAAGAAGTGAGCCAGAGATTCAGTGTCGTTGTAAATCTGCCAGTTTTTCGTTGGAAGAGTTCCGAGGTGGGAGCGGTACATTGTGGTGAAGGCAGCGAGTTCACACCACCTCATGAGTAGCGACTTAGAACGGACGTAGCTGAGTATAAGAGAGAGAAAAGTAGATCAAGTTAGTTAGGTGGCAGAATATTTCCTTAGAATGTCACCATTTGAACAAGGCACACAATAAAACTGAAGAGGTTGAAACAACTGAGACGTTCGTGCAAGGACAAACGAAACACGAAACATGGAACTAAATTTGCTTGAAGACGAGAGAGAGAGAGAGTGAGAAGAAATTAATATCATCTGTTTGTGTCTCTAGTATATATCCTCATACTGCAGAGGGAAGAAGTCGATGGCAGTATAGCCTCCAATGTCCGAGTGGGTGAGTGAATATCCCGAGAGCCCCTCCATTAGCATGGCGATTATCACGGTACCGAGTCCGTCGTCCGAGTCCCACGTCACCGTCTGGTCCCCGACCCAGAACAGTGGCGTGGAACCGGGACTCTTGCCGTTCCCACTCCGCATGAAGAACACGACGTCGTCCGGGTCGCACACCCCTCCGTTACCACGGAGACGACGGAGCTCCTGAATGGCATCTTGATTAAGTCGGGCCCATATCTCGGGGTAGAGAGAGTGGTAGGCGTGGGGATCTGCCCCACTGGCTAGTTTTGCCTGTAGCGGGTACAGTCTCTCCGAAGTCACACATCCAACCACACACACCGGTAGCCAGCATGTTCTGAGGAAGACAAGTATATATATATACAACTGAAAGTGAAACAGAATCTTGTGAAGTTATTGTTAGTAGGGAGTGGCAAAAACTGGGGAGTTAACTAATGTATCAAATGTGATCAAATCTATATTAATCATGACCCACAGACGATCAAATGACTAATCGGAATGGCCTCAGTGCATGTCAGAGGTTTAATACAACATACATTAACAATCATATTCTTCATCCACTGATAGGCCGAGGGGTTACTCAGATCAACCAGGAGACTGTCGCTGTACCCAGTCCATACCGTCCCGTCCCCATTCCGTACTGCAAACCCCTCCTCCAGAGCCTCGCGGTAGTAGTTGTGTCTGTATGGTGTCTCTCGCTGGCTCACGTTGCTGAGTAGGGGGTTAATATACGTCAAGACTTTGATTCCTCGGGAAGCCAGCTCCGAGATCAGTCCAGTCCAGTTCTGATAGTGACTCTCATCTACCTACATGATTACATCATAATGACATCATAAGTACTAATATTATATACACCATAATGAAGAATGTTTTATGACATATTTTTTACAAATCACATTATGTTATGTAATCACAACGTAATAATGATGTAATCGGCCACACCCTCACCTCCCAGTTCCACCAGAGTCCGACTCGAGGAAGGTCGCGACCTCCGTTCTCACCAAACACCCTCTGCCCGGTCCAGTCCTGGAGCCACACCCCCACGACATCGCTCATATTTCCCCACTCCTTCTTCACCAGGTCCAGTGTCTCCAGTACTGACTGGTTAGAGAGAGAGAGAGAGAGACAGAGAGAGACAGAGAAATCGGAAAAAATTTCCCACTTGGGAAGAACTTCAGCAATTTCGATATCATAATAGCAAAGAGAAAGAAATTTTGCAACCTTTCTGCCCCACTTTACAATTGCTCCATGTCCATAAGGAAAAAAAATTAACCCTTCAAAATCCGATTAAAAACATTTTCGCAGTAACAGTGAGTCCAGTTGTTACCTCAGTTCCTCCCTGGAGACCCAGGATCGCGCCCTCGCCTACCCACTGAGGTAGAGGAGACATACGTCCCGAGTATGCTGTGTATGACGTAATGATCTCCAGCGGGGAGGCCCCTGTGTAATGAGCTTGTAACAGCCCCTGTGATACCAGTCTCAAACCTGTTATGATCCGGCCGGCCAGGACGAGGCTCTGGACTTCAATGACGATGACATCATCGCGACTCATGTCAAATACGGCATATTCGAGGGAGTCGAGAGAGAGGGAGCGACTGTGGCTGGTGATGTAATGGGGCACTCTAGTGTATGTTGTATACCATTTCCCTCCTGGAAAATTGGATAGCACTCAAGCTGATTCTACCATCATAAAACAGGTTCCTTCCTAATTTGCGATAATACAGTGCCTTATATACAACAAAGTAACCTAGTAGTAGCTATTGTACATGCATACCAGCACCAGGGGAGACCTCGTCGAGTACAAAGGTGAGTGGCTCTAACCCTCTCCCGACTCCCTGCTCGGACAGAAACAGCGGCAGCCTCTCTCCCTTCGTGTTGAACTTTGAATACTGAGCTCCGAATCCGTAGATCTGTTCGTCTATCTCGCAGCCGTAGGTGAGTCTGAGCTGGTTGAAGGAGAAGGAAGATGAGTTAGTGAGGGAGAGGTTGAAGAGAAGGTGGGTGGTGGGTGTCGTTGGATTGTAGAGGTCCTGAGCCTGAAACAACATCTCGAACTCTACCTCTTTGCAGAGAATACCTCCAAAGTAAACCTGAGTTTGAACAATTAGAGATTTCTTAAACCTCATATATAGCTGCAGTGTGAATGCACCTGATTCAGAAGGTTTCTATGCTAGTAGCTATCAATACACATCTTCGCAGGAGGAAGCTGTGTGCAGCTTACCTGATTGTATGCATTGGTAGATGTTCTGGTTCCGTTTCTCGTGATGGTCATCTCACTGCAGACTTCCTGCACGCTCGTTGTGAATATAAACGTCCCGCCATTCTGCTGCACCGTCTGCTCAACCCTCGCCGCAGTCACAAACGTTCGGTTGGAAGTTGAAGTGTACCAGACGACGGTGTCCGGACGACCGTCTACCGTCGCCGTGATGCGCAGCGTCGGTGCCTGCGTTGCGTCGTAGTGGATGGTAAACGGGCCCGAGTCGTAGCTGACTGAACTGCCTGCAGTCAGGACTGCGCTGATGAGAAGGATGAAGAGAGCCATAGCTCTGCAGAGTTTATAGCTCCGCCTAGCCTAGATAGTTGTTGCGCATGTGCAGTAGCGTTGTACTCAACTGGACATTCTGACTTCTGGGAAGTTGCCTCGAAGTCAGAATGTCCAGTTGAGTATAACGCTACTGAGACACAGGGAACCACAGTGACCCTAAAGCATAAAATTGCAGCTCCTGATGAAGGCCAGCCTCTTGATCTCAACCTGTTTATTCCTCAACAAGAGAGGAAGAGCACTGTATGGTTTTGCTATAGTGTACTGATTAACACTCAAATGTAAGGAAGATGTTGTGTGCATGCATGGTGTGTGTTTCATATAATATCATGAAGATAAATCCTTGTGCATATATATACAACACTCCATAATTTGTGCAACAAAGGTTTGTGTGTATAGTTTGTAGAAAATGTATGGGAAATGACTCCAAACTAGATACTGTAAGCAGTTCACAAGCGTAAAAAAATGCTGTTTATTCAGCATGTTTGTAGGGAAAGCCCAGAACAGGCTCTCTCAGTTCTGGCTGAGGGGAAGTAGGCTCCTTTTGCCGCTGGCTATCATCTGGTGCAGCGATCATATCCCGGAGAGCCAGTGAGCTTGTGGGTGCAACTGGTGTTGCCTCTAGTTTGGAATATCCAGTCTGGTATTCCTCCTCACTCTGTAGCTCCCCAGTTACTCCTCCGTCACCCTCCCTCCTCCCTATCTTGGCCATGATAATGTCTCCTCCTTTCCCCAGCTTCAGAGCCTTGGCAAGCCTCATTACCACTCCCAACACCTTGCCATTGACTGTCTTGTTCTTGTGGAGCTTATTAATCAAGTGCCACAGGATGATGCCTACATTTGTAAGTAAAGTAAAGCTCAGGGAGAAATTTACCAAGATCTCTTGATTGTGGTACATCTCCCCATTCTGGATGGTGTACAAGGCTCCGAGGGTGATAGCAATGAGGTTGAGGAGGAATGATAAGTCGAGAAGAGCCACCCCAAGACTCTTGAACGGTCGGATGTAGGCTTGAATGACAGAGAATCCAACCAGAAGGCTAAGTTCGAGAGTGAGAGAGAATGTAGGGTTGTCCGTGCCACGGTTGGCAATGATGATGTAGATGATGGAGGTAAGAATCAGTCGTGCTCCAAACCAGAATCGCAGCTTGTTTCCATACGGAGCAAGGCTTGCATCAAAGAGGGCATTGAGTCTAGTTGAATTCACACACCGTTGGATGTAGCTGGAGAAGGTAAAGAACACCATGTAGGGCAGGATGAAGCCAACCAGTGTGAGAGATCCCAGGAGGATGAGGAAGATAGAGATGGGGTCACTGATATCCTGATTCCCATCAAAAAACCAAACAATTTTATCACCTTCACCTTCAGAGACAATAGTGACAAAGGTGAAGGTGTCTATCACAGTGCGAAACAATTTCAGGAAGGAGATGTAGAACATGCTCACTAGGACGTGAATGCCGTCAAGTTGAGAAATGATTCGCTGCATTCGGAGTGAGCGCTGGCTTATTGCGATTATGACAACTATCATTATGATGATGTAGGTGGGGAAAACATACTGAAGACCTGCCTTGGCTGACTCTGTCATGCCATCATAGAAACACAGTGGAAATCCAACGTCTAGGTTGACCCATGACAGAAACCAGAAGAGAAATCCTCTCTGGTTCCCCTGAAAGAAGATGTTGGCATTGACCATCACAATGTTGGAGTAGAAAAAGAGTCCATTAATAAGTCCACGAGTGATTGTGATATCAAGAAGGAATGCAGCGATTACCATTAGAACTCCTACCAGTGCAAATATGATAAGAGAAGTTAGCCAGTTATTAGAGCATTTCCGGCATTCAGCTGTGCCAAACACAGAACTGAGACCCTCCCTGCAGGCACCACAGAGAGTGCCTGTCCTTCCCTCCATGCAGAGCTGATCGGACACCCTCAGATCAATATTAGTCACGCCTTCCCTGCAATAGTTGATGGGGCAGGTCGATACAAACTGAATGATGTAACCACCATTTTTCTTAGTGGTGCCCACCCAGTTGTTGGTGGGTCGAGCTATTGTGTACTCAGTGAGGTTACAAGTTGATTCCAACCGTGTCTTGATAAACTCACTGCACAAACACAATTGTCTGGTGCTACCATCAGAAGCACCCAGGACAAATCCAGGGGGACAAGAGGTTGTTTTCACCTCAATTGTTGACCTTGGCCCACCTATGACAGCATAGAGATCGATAAAGAGTGTGGTATTCTCAGGGGCAAAGACCCTAAACTCCACACGACTGCATGTAGTGAACCCAGGGAGCCGTCTGACCTCTTGGTTGACACCAAGTTGCACGTGATCAGACGAGTTGGCAGATCGAGGAAATGAGTAGAGAAATGAGGCGACAGGACTCTGAACAAAATCTACAGGATTCAGACAAACATAAAAGGTGCTTCCCGGGAAAATTGGATAGTCCAGTAGGTCTCTGATATTGCAGTGTGATCTGGCAAACGGTGGGTAGATACAAATAGTTACTTCAATTGAGCTGATTTCAGACAGTTGATTTCCAACTGTCTCTCGGAAATAAAACACATTCTTGTATAGATCTACTTGACGAATACCCAATGTGCCGTAGTCTATGGAGGTAGTTGGAATGTACAGGCAGTAATAAAGTGGGTTTCCAAAGATAGAGTTTCCAGCAATCTGAGCCCTGTTGCCTGAAAAGACAACAGTAAGGTCCAGTAGTCTCAAATTATAAGGGGTAATTTTGAGCTTTCTCTCAGCAAAGAATTGTATGGCGCATACAGCAGATATGGACGACCCTAAAGTGTTGGCATAAATGGCACCTCCTCTTCGAAACGCTGTGTTGTTTGATAAAGGCTATGTTAGAACCACTGTGAATAAAGAGAATAGAGTTGTCAAGCAAGTTGAGAGCACCTCCGGTATAACCGTGGTTATCTTCAAACGTGATCGATCCACGGAGAATCATATTAGTCCTTACTGCGGTGAATACACTCACATTATTTTTAGAAAAATGGCAACCCTTTCCGTCTGTTCCAACGAGTGTAATATTCAAGCATTGACTAGCTATAAAGACCCCTGAATCATCTGCAGGATTCTCTAATGTGTTCACTTCAGGATTGTCTGAGATTATTTGAGGGAATGTATTGCCAGAGGCCGTTACATCCTCCATGTAGATATGAGTCCCTCTGCTGTTGATTAGAGATGGAAACTGAAATGCATAAAGAGCTGAACCAATATTAGCACGGTTGTTTGTGAATATCGTGTCCCTGATTAGCACCCGTACATTGGCTGTGTTCTGCTGTATCATATAGAGCATCAGGGCCCCTCCAGCATATGCAATATTGTGGGTGAAATTTGAATGGTTTATTTCCAGCAGGTCATATATTATCTCATTTCGGGATTGTCGGAAGGTATTGAGCGAGTCAACGAACGCGATTACTACAAACATCAATCCTGCACCTCTTTGCATTCCAGAGCCCGCCGTATTATCACTGACAGTCACATTCTCCAACAATGTTTTGCTCATATGAATGGTATTGTACTGCATCACAAAAATATTCGGAATGTTTCCGGTATTTGAAAGACTGCTGGTATCACTGATTTTTACGTCGACAAAGTAATCTCTCTGCCCCATGTATACAGCAAGGGAGAGCCCCCCTGTCATTAGAATGCGTTCCGTGTCATATGCCACAAGAAGAGCATTGTGCAGCTCCTGGACAGATATGAGAGGCATCCAATTACTGTTATTAACAAAGGAGCAATCATGTATGAGGAGCGAGGTTGTATAATTATCTCTGACTTCCACCAACTGGCCAGTAATATATGTATCATAGAAGACGACAACAACACCACTTCCTGAGCAGAATGCATCACTCCTCTCCCCAACATAATTACTAGGGCATTCAGTGAGTCCCAGGCTAGTAGTCCCTGTGACTGATAATTGTCTAAAAACAGCATTTCCCAGTGGGTTTATGAACAGAAGTCCCAACCCAAAACATTTGTCAATACTAATGTTCTCTAGTGTTACATCAGTGGAGTGGGTGATTATCATAACTGCCTTTTGCAGAGGGCCGAGGTAGGTAAAGGTATTGCTGACGTGACCAGGTAATCCACTGGGTACCTCCCTACCACAATTGATGATCACGAGGTGAGAGAGGCGAAGGCTGGAGATATTGAAAAATGCGATGCCTCTTCTTGTCTCAGTGTCACTCTGACAGTAGATGACAGTCCGTGGCTGGCTCTGCTGGCCCTGGATCCTGAAATTCTCAAGATTCTGGAGGAGACAGAAGGGACCCTCCTCGAGGTGGTGGACACCTCCTGAGAGCTGAAGGATAGTGTCTGAGACCAGTTCCCTGCTCCCCAGACCACACACGTGGTACTGGAGACTGGTGTTAGAGCCTGGTGCCGAGTTGGCATCGATGCTCAGAGTTGTTGGTTGCTGGGAATGGGTTTTTGTCATTAGTAGTGCCACACCGAGAAAGAGGGCTACAATGAACGATGATACAGAGAGGGGGTTTGCCATTTGTTTGTCTGTAACACTAGTGCCGAGTAAGGTATATACAGAATCCTGAGGGAGAGAAGAAAACTAGTGGGTGTTTTGCAACTGAAATGAGCAAGCTACTGGCTGTCAAGAAACATCATCAAAATCTGGTTGAGGTAGTATAATTTCACTTACCTTTTACATCAGTGCGGAATTAAAGGTAACGACGCAGAACCGCTTCAAACCGCATCAAACTCACTCTGCAAAACGGACGACGATGCAAATTTGATAATAGTGCGCATGCGTGAGAATTGAAGGCGTGGTTGCCAGTTCTAATTGGTGCCCACCGTTGGAACCTATGGAGGAACAACTGGAGGTGGAGACGAGACGGCAGGTGTGTGTTGAGCTGGACAGAGTCCTCGTAGAGCTTATGGACTGCCTGGAGCGGCTGGCGACTCTGCGCGGGCGGCTTTCTCGAGAAGTCAGCGAAGTAAGCCTCAAAACCACCCATTAGCTAAGTAAGTGTTGCTTGCATGTAGCCAATCTATGTTGTTGACGTAGGGCTATTTCAACATGGCCAAATCTCGCTACTCCATGGGTCCTCTGTCTGTCGGCCAACTCCAGTACGACAGTGTGATGGCTCCGACTTGTCTGGTTGAGGTAGACGACGAGGAGGCCCCTGGTAATCAAGACCCAGACGAGACGACACCGGCTGCCAACAAGACAACAGAGACCGGATTGGCACCTTCACATACAGTGTTCAGAGTCTTCAGACCGACTTATAGTGTAAGAACTGACACCAAATGATTTACTGATAAACTGTCCAACCTACTTACAAATGTTCGCATGTGGGTCTCTGAATTCTTTTCCTCAGAAGTTTTATCTTTTCCGACAGGGAGATGGGGAGGGAGATGGAAGGGGGAGAGGAGGAGGGGAGGAGGAGGAGGAGGGAGGGGTGAGAAGACGAAGACCTCACACGGGGGAGGCGGAGCCACGTGGGGAGGGGGTGGAGGAAGTGGAGAGGAGGAGAGATGGTGGAGAGGGGTCAGAGGGGAAGGCTGCAGTCAAAAACCCGCTGAACTGGTTTGGCGTTCTTGTTCCACAAGCACTGAGACAGTCGCAGAAACACTTCATCAGAGGTTTGTCAATGAATTAGTAGTGTATAGTGTCCATTGTAAGAGTTCCATGCACTGTATCACACAGTGACTGGTGTGTGTGTTGAGCTGGCGACGGAGCAAAGCAGACTGGAGACACTGAGACGTCATTTCACCACACTCCGGTACAGAAAACAGCAACTCTCAGAAAACAGTTAATAAATATTGTAGCCATAGGGGACTATAGTATCATGTATCATGTAGGATACCTTGTCAAATTCACCATTATTATTGTTGTTAACTGCAAACAATGGTGTTCGTTGTTGTTTTGCATAAAAATATAATCACTTGTATATATACATGGAATTCGGCTCTCAAACAATGTTTTTGATCTACGCTATAAAAAAACAAAAAAAACAGAACACAACAATAATAATTAGTTATCACACAACGGAACAGTTTTCAATGTCGTTTCTATTACATTATAATAACGCGGTGATGAGGGTTACAAAAATATGTAATCTCGGTGTGGCATATATAGCATTTTTAATATCGTTGTTTCAGGGAGCAAGACTGGGACTCGGGGTTTTCAGCTTTGGACGTTGTGTATGTATGTATGTGTGTGTGTGTAATGTTCTGGCCTCTGCAGTATAGAGGGGGGGGAGAGAGACAAGGGAGGAGAGGGGGTTGAGTTAGCAATACAAAACATCAAAGGCCTTTCAGAGCTGAAAGAGCTCGTTTTAGGGCTGAATGCTACACCAGACAGTGGTGTCAGCTTTGGTGCTAATATGGCACACTATTCTTGCATCTTACAGCAACAACCATGCACTTAATGCCTCAAAACCATAATGCTTGGGGACATTGTGCACTTAATGCCTCAAAACTTGTCAACTACAACACACTAAACAAGGTGCACATATATACAGTAAAGGAAACAGTTGGTGGAGGGATTAAAAGCAGATGTAAGCTAGCTCTCATGTATAGCTAGAGCTCAGACCTACCTACGCGGGATGTCTAGCGGTAGCCACCTCGAGACCGGGCGAGGGAATTGAGGTATTCCTGTGTGTATCGGTCGTTAGCACTGGCTCCTCGCGGTGAGGGTGGCTGACCCTCTGACCCCCGTAGGTCTGCTGGATTGTATGACTTATCTGAGGGAGAGAGAGAGAGAGGGCAAAAAGGGCAAGTGTCATGTCATGAGTGGCTTGAAATGAAGGGATTATGATGATGTCAACTTTCACTTCAATGATATAATCTCAGGCGATGTTTTTGCATACATAAGTCGCATGGAAAGCAGGGTCCTCCCCTTCAATTAGAAAGTCTTCAAGCGCACCCATGCAGCCTGAAATTAGCATACCAACCTGCACTGTTGGACATCCCACTGTCTCCCACTCTCCTCACAATGAGCTTCACGACGTCTCCTCCGTGTTTGATGATGGTGATGGCGTCTGAATGGAGCATTCCCTCCGTGGAGTTACCGTTCACCTCCAGCAGCTCGTCTCCCACCTGACGAGAGAGAAACAGTCAGTCTTTGCTCCACGAGATTTTCACCATAATAATATAGATATAGTCAAGCTGCCCTAGCTAGCATGCTTACAGACGAATTTTCACATTTTATGGATGTTTTTCTATTACTCCCAGTGGCAGCAGAGCACAATAAAGAAGTATATCCAAAAAGCTATCACGGTCAGCTTTTTTACTGAATTGAAACCTGACCGACTGACACATAAGGACACGTCTTACCCTGAGCCGGCCGTCTCTCTCGGCAGCTCCACCTTCGGCCATTCTCAGGACACACAGCGGAGCGTTGTACTCTGCACCCCCGCGGATGCTGAATCCAAACCCGTGTCCGTCGCGATGTATGTCGATGTGGTGTATCTCCTCATCCTCATCACTGTAATCAGTCAACATGAGCTTCAACACATACGTAATGTCACTCTTTCAAACTTTAGGGAACACACCGCTAATGCCATTATACTAGAGAAAGAGGAATGTACAGAGAGAGTGAGGTAGGGAGCAGACCTGTCAATATCGGCCGTGATTTGAGGGCCCACATCCTCTTCCTGATGCTGTGGCACAGAGGACGGAGGTCCGGTAGGCAAGGGGTAGTCAGGATAGGGCTGCTGCTGCTGCTGAGGATACCCAGAGCCCTCCTGCCCCTGGTGGATGTCCCATCCGTTCCCCTTGGATGGAAGGAAGGAAGGAAGGAAGGAAGGAGAGGGTTACATGGAATACTAGGAATCTGTGTGTACATAATTATAAGGATGCTACACTGGAAGACAAGTTGTGTGAGAATGAAGTTGTATAGTTCTGGGACTGCTATATACTGTATGTACTGTATGTACTGTATGTACAGTGTGTGTGTTTCTTACCATCTGCTGTCCATCAGGGTAGTCCATCTCTACAGAGGAAAGAGAAAGGGCCTTTAGACACAATCCATCTATTATTCAAGCAAAGCAGAGCCTAGTGGTTCCCAGTAGGTAATGTAAAAAAATCACAGCTAAGATACAAATTAACGCCATCAGTTAAGTAGATAGATGGTACCATTCTCAGGTCTACTACAGACTAGCTGCACACACACACACACACACACACCTCCAGGGTCAGGCTGCTGAACTGTGAGGTGGATGGACATTCCAGAGCTCTTGATGAGCGACACAATGTCACTGTGGTCCATCTGAGACACGTCTTGACCGTTGACTGCCAGCAGCTCGTCGTCCACGTGGAGGAGTCCGCAGGTTTCGGCTGGACTCCCCGGTACGAGACGGCCTGGCAGAGAGAGAGAGAGAGAGTCTTGATAACTCAATGGGACGACCCATTTTAAACGGGTCAACCAGCAAACAAGTTCAGTTTGAAAACCTTTAGTGCCCATCAAGGTTCCAGCAAAAAGTTGCCCAAAAAAGGCCCAAAAGTTGTCCCTTTTTCAAGCACCCTCAACAAAAATCGCAAATACACATTTCCCTCGAAATTTTCCCTACTGAGTCGTCACCAACCCTCTCCCTCCCACCCGTCCCAGACGACTGCTCACAGATCATGCATCCAGGTCGGAGTGTGTTGGACTGTAGGACGAATCCGAAACTGGTCTGGATGTTGGGTCTGTCAATCTCAACCTCCCTGACGCCAGGTGGGGGCGGGAGCTCCTCGTCCGCCTGCATTGGACCCACTTCCCCATGAGTGGGGGGCAGAGATTCTGTGGGTGGAGTATCAGTACCAACAAGTTAGGAGGGCACCAAAAGGTGTAGGATTTATTGCCCACCAAAGTCTTAAAATCTACCTGATACATACCAATTACCCATTACCATACAGAGATTAAAAAGGCAGAAGGAGGACTTTTAAAATACACACAGTGTTGTCAAACCTGGGAGGGGCATCTTTCTGCGTATCTTGAGGACGACCTCCCCCTGTGCTGCAGCCTCTCCCATGGCGCCGATGACGTTCTGGTGGGGTGCATCCACTACCGAGAGACCATTGATGAGGGTGATTTCATCTCCGACTTGGAGTCTGCCGTCCACGTCTGCCGCGCCGCCCGGTACTATGGCTCCCACTGTCGCCTGGTGTGTGTGTGCGCGCGGTGGGGGGGGGAATGGTAAACCACAACTGTTTGGGTGGATTTGTTTCAATTCATACGTACGTAGCTCATTTCTCTTCGCAGTGCACGCGTGTGTACATTTCACAGATTTGGGTACGTTAACATGAATTTGTAATCATACACTATTGTTTCACGATTGCACTCCATTTTCAGGACTTTCACTGCTGCCCACATTCGCATGAATTACGTATGTATAGTGGCCCAACACAAGCAAGCGGTGTATACATGCAGATTGACAGAGGAACAGTTTGTCTATATACCAGATCATACACATACCCAGTTGCTCACTCCTAGTCAAATCTGTCCTTACCTGAGAGCCTTCCTCTTTGCCGCCGATGATTCTGAACCCAAATCCCGACACTTGTCTCATGAGGCGGACCTCCTGAACCGTGAATGGCTCGTTCACCGTGTGATTTGAGGGGCCTCCCGCGTATCCGTCGATAGTGTACCCGTCAGCACTCCCCGCGTAGTGCGGGAGGGTCTCCTGTCCGTTATAGTCACCATACTTTACAGCAAGATAAGACACAGACGGTCATACACACACTCTCTCTACTTCTCTCTCTCCCGTTGTGTAGGGTAGAAAGAGAGGGTCAGTGTGACCCAGTGAATGATAGAGGTGCTGCAACACCACATTTTCCACTTAAAAACTCAATGTGGAATGGACATGTTTACACGTACATACCACACGTGACCTATGTACTGCACATCATACGCACGTGGTATAAATTACACGTTGCGCAGGGGGCAGTGCGGTAGAGCCCGTAATATTGGGTCCCCCACACGTACCTCCTGGGGGTGTCTGAGAAGGGTGAAAGTTGCCTGGTTCCCCCGTGGACACCTCTTCAATACAGTCACCAGGTCACTGTGCATGTACGTCCGCACCTGCTCCCCATTCACCTGTACATAACACACACAGTGACGTAATCGCTGACCTAGACATTATATGGGGTAGTGTTTCGGTGATGTAATTGTATATTACATGTACCTCGAGGATGATGTCGCCCTCTCTGAGCTGGGCACAGCGCGGGTGGTCCATGATCTGTTTTACCACTGGGCCCATTGGCCCTTCTCCTGCATATGTGGAGAGAGAGAGGGTGAAGAGGGGGAAAGTGAAGATGAATATTACGCATAATCTGCATTGGAGTAAAACCTACGCCAGTAAACAACTTTATGGAAAGTGAAACTAGTACGCTGCAAAGTAGTGTATCGTCCACACGTACAACATTACAAGCCTCGCTACACATACAGATACAGACGTAGCACATATTCAACCATTGAGTCAACTATTCCACACACACACACAACATGCGGTATCCTATTACAGCATTCACATTCGGTATTCATGGTCTGAGAGAGGCAATTGTTGGGCTAATGAATGGCCGGCAGGGGGTTTGGTCTCTGAATACACTAGCAGTGGCCCCAGGTAGGAGCCAGAGAAGAGCTATATTATGTATACAGAGCCAGCCATGCCGGAGCAGGTGTGCCTGTTAAGAATCACAGCTGTGAATAGCTAGAGAGACTGGGGTCTTGAATAGAGAGATGGGGGCCACTTATACTGCACAATCTCACAAACACCATACATCCACTCTTAGGAACAGCACTTGCTAGGAACTGCTTCTTATGTATGCGTATAAGCAGCTGAGCCTCAAAATACAGTGGGACCATGAAAATCGAAGGAACCAGCTTCTGTCAGGAGCTGGATGTACTAAGCACTCAAGAGACTGGTCCTGCCTAGCAATCCATGCATACTAGTGTAGCCAGCCATCCAACCATGTGGTTTGCACACATTACTGTAAGTGGGAGGAGGAGGGGGCAAGCAATATCTCTGGTGGCTCCTTCCATTTCAATATTCTATTGGAGAGCACTCAGTGGTCTATTATCCCAGCACGCCTTGTTATAAAAACACCTCCCACAGGTCCAATTGTTGCTGTTCAGAAAACACACTCAAAAAGGCTGTTGTTTTAGAGAGATGAGACACTAGGGGAGGGAGCAAGGGAAACAAACAGGCCAGTTTAGACACACAGGAAAATAAACTCAGTTAGGAGTGGGCTGGCTTAAAGGAGAGAGAAGAGAGAGAAGAGAGAGGGGAGAGAGAGGGGGGCTCACCCAATGAAAATCCAAAACCGAGTGGTCCCTTCACGATGCTCACAACCATCTTTTCCGGTTGCATCATTGGCGGTGGTGACTGGAAGTGGGCGGGGCCAGGTGGCACGGCGTCGTTATACTGCCGAGCGGGGATGTCTGGCGCATACGGAGGAAGTTCTTCTCCGCCGGGGAGAGGGTACCCGCGACGGACCTCGATTTGAACGTCTGTGTCCAGCGGGATGCTCTGGAACAGCTCCACGACCTTCTTGTGTGAGTATGACAAGACCGAGATCCCGTTGATCCTCACCAGCACGTCGCCCACCCTCAGTCGCCCATCGCAGTCCGCAATGCTGCCCTGGACAATGTTCTTGATTTGCAGGAGTTCCCCCGCGTTGTCCCCTCCGATTATCGTGAATCCGAACCCGGATGTTGTCTTGAGGAGGGAGACGGTGAGGGTGTCACCTTGTAGTTCTGCCTCTAAGTCGGGTTCCTGGTGGTCCATGTTGTGAGGAACGACGTAGGGATAAGGGTAAGGGTACCCGCCGCTGTCTTGGTGGTCTAGACCAGCTTCAGGCCAACGAGCCGCCGCTTCTGCCTCCAGCTGCTTCTCCATTGCAGCGGCAGATTGGAATGTCGGAGGTGGAGCTCGCATGGGGGGCAGCCCCCTCTCGTTTGCCATGTAGGGAGGCCCCTGGCGATTAGGGAGTTGGGCTCCCGCGTATTTTCTCTTTGCCTCTGTGACTGGGTTCTCGTATTGTGTTGTCCTCTCTACATGGCTGAGGAAGACAAGAGAAGGGAGAGAAAATATAATATTTCAGGTGCTAAATAACAGTGCATAAGAGAGGAAATTGCCTGTGGGAGATAGGGAGCAAGGGGAGGGGGCTAGGCTAACAAGATTAGAGCCCAGGACTGCTTTGATGCCCTCACAACAAAGTCACCCAGAAGTTCAGCTGGCCTCAGTATGCACAAGAACATGGAGAAGAGAATGGGAGAGAATGCTGTGGGGATGGCAGCTATCAGTGGGCCCTTCCCAGCACTAAAACTTTCCCACAAGAGAGTGAGAAGGCTGAGTGAGAGCTGGTGTAGCAACATGGCTCACACGTCTAATTGAGTGTGCATCAAAGGCCCCAGCACAGGCACCTGGAGGCAAGTGTATGCAGTAGTGGGTGTTTGTTTGTGAGGGTTCAGTGAACTAATGCCAGTGGAGGGGGAGTATCCAATAACACCTGGTGGAACCAGAAGACAGGGCTTTGATATAGGAGCCTCTCTTGGCCTACAAACTATCACAAGCTATTACCTTAGACTAGGCACTTTGGCCATTAGACTCCAGTATGTAGTGTATTATACTACAGTTCAGTTGAGATATGTATGTATCGAGTGAACATGTTGTGAATGAATGCATTGTGGGACTTGTGTCTTACTTGATGTAGTAGGTGCCGAATTGAGGGTCATTCACTTTCTCCCAGCCATAGGGCAGCTCTGAATGAGAGAAAGGAACAATGTTGGTACAATGGAGAGCATGCCTGTCAATTAGCCTCAATCCCCCAGCAAATTCCTCCTTTTGCTGTGGTTCAACTACACAGCTGATATATACATGGCTGATAATGATAATGCTGTAAGGGCTTTTGGTTAGAACTTTTTTTTTAGGAATGAGAGAGGGGGGGAGAAGAGAAGAGAGCTCACCATTTTCGCTGCACTCCAGAATGTTTTGTTTCATCCGTCCGGCGAGTCTTGGGTCCAGCCAGTGTGTGGTGCCCGTGTTGTGGTCGATGAAGTATTTCTCGTTGTTGGCAGTGTAGGCAATCTCCCAGTTTGATGGCAGGGGCCCCAGATTGTTGGGGTGGTCTGGCATGGAGAAGGAGGAGACGGCACCGGAGTGGCGGTAGGGAGGGGCCTCGGTGGGCGTTGTTAGGGATTCCTGGTGTTTTATCAGACCCTCTTTGCTGTACCCACTGGCCAGGTCCGACCTGGGGAACAGTAGCATCGGCTTCAATTATGTATGGAGAAAGCTACCCAGACAATATGGCAGTTTGGGTGGCGGTCAGTTTAGCAGTTGTACATGTTACCAAAACTTTGCCATAACTAAGGCCTGAATCCAAGAACAATCTTTAATGGTTAATTGGGACAGCCCTGTAATCAAGGTCAATTAAACCAATCTTGTTCAGCCAATTATGACCTCTGACCTTGAGTACGTGGGTCCGCTGGGGGCCTGAGGATTCGCCGGGGGTCGCGGGGTTCCGTAGAAATTCCCCTGGAATGTTCCGGACTCCAGGAGCTCCCCGTTCTTCTCCATCTTCTGGAAGGTCTCGACGGAGATGAAGTTGTAGTCGATTCCCTGTCTCTCTCCGTCCTGACAGCTGCGAGTGGTGCCTGTGGGGAGAGTGGGGAGAGTGTGGAGGATACTAGTAACAAGAGACATCTGTGCTACACGGAAACTATTGAGGAAGAAAACCTTGTGAAAGGCTTCACAGACTTTTTGTACAATTCTGTGTGGTTCCCCTGTCTACCATCACACTTCCACAAGCAAACACAAAATGTTGATGTTAGTGAAAGTTTTCAGCCCTGGATATTTCCCACATCGAACACTAGGCAGCTTGCTTTAAAGTTGACATTCAGACAGAAGGTGTGAGTTGCACATAACCAGAATTGGGTTCCTACGCAGTACATACTGTACATACATTGTGGTAGTGGTGTTGTATGTTGCTATGTGTGTGTGGCCTTGCTCTGACACGCCTCAGTGACCTATAGAACATGCCCACACAGTCTCATACACACACCTATCAACAGACGCACCATGCGCTCTAACAGCATTTCAAAACTGACACATTATGTACTCAAGCGTAATAGGCAGTGTGTGTACACACGTGATACGTTGAAACTATGCAGAGTTTACTATGTATGGCAGTACTATGGGCTGCATATGTAGCGTGCAAATGTATTGAGGACGGTAGAGGCTTCGTACATAGCAACAGGTGTAATCAGGAGACAGTCAGTGCATGCTGGTATTGGTGTGGGAAGTGGCAACAGAAGATGTAGAACTGACTGCGTTTGAATGACTTGCATGGCAAAACACCTGAGATAATTCATATTTGAACCACTGGGTAGACACGCATGGTATCCAGTTGCAAATAGTTATAAGGGGCCTCCCTTTAATAATCTAGGGGGGAGAGAGACTGAGAGGGTAGGAGGAAGAGAAGAAGAAGAGAAGGAAAGGGAGAGAGGGGGTAAGGAGGGAGGGAGGCGGGATGACGAAAGAAAAGAGAGAGAGGGTGGGGATGGATTGGCAAGTGGGACGGGAGCTGGAGCAGACTTTCCACTTCTCCCGCCATCTTTGGAGTGACAATCTGATTAGTTTGGTTAGTGGAAATGGGAGTTTGGCAGAGCGTGCAACAGAAGGCATTGTCCAGCTTTTCCAGACAGTGAGAACATGGTTAACTTGTAGAAGGCACGTATTTCCTCTGGTTTCGAGGCTACTATTGTCACTCGACAAAGTGAAAAGACAGGCGATTATTGTGCCAGACAAACACTGCCGCATCACTCTGTGTGTGTGAGACTGGCGTTACTAGGTGGGCCCTTCTGTTAACACTGTCGAAACGAGGGCAACCAGTCACTAGCTACATGCAGGAGTAGATCATTCTCAGCTCTGGGAACTGTCAGACAACACGCACAACAGGACACCGTCCACTACATAATCCTTGTCTCCAAACACATGTACACACGCACACCCATAGAGACCCAGTCTGTCTGTGTCAGTGTGTGTGTGTGTGTGTGTGTGTGTGTTTGGCTTACAAGGCACGACTCTCATGTGGAGGTTCTCTCTGATCTGGTGTTGGAGCTCGCTGTCCACCGAGTTCTTGGTGAATCTGAAGCCCAGGTATTGGCGGACGTCACGAGTTATGGTGGCATCTACATAGAGGAGACGGAGGGAGTGGGGGGATTGAGAGAGAGAGAGAGGGACACTCGTTAGCAGCACACTTCTCCACTTCAACCTCATTACCTCATTACCACACACTTACACTCACCCTATCCGATTACCTGGCATTTTAACCCTTTCGCAACCTCCAAATGTACCCACGAGGAACACCCATAGACTTGGAATGTGAGAGAGAGAGTTGTAAGCTAGAGGTATTAACTAGAGCCACACCAGCAAGGCGACGTGCTAGAGTACGCCAATGCCTAAAAAGAGGGACTAATTCTCTCCTCAATCGACGTGAATTTGGATAGGCAGAGCACGTAGTTTACATGGACGCTATGTGAGCAGGTGTCCTTAACTTAGCAGCACCACTGATTAGCCCAAACATGGCATCCAGGATGGGAATTCTAAGTGCTTAATTTTCAAGAGAATGCCTGGAGAGCATAAGGTCTGCTAGTCACGCCCCGTGCAGAGGGAGAGAGGAGAGCGAGGGGTGAAAAGGTGAGCCACAACAATGTCAGCAATTCAAAACACGCACTGCAGCAATACACATAAGGGTGATATGGTAGCCTCTACCCCCATCTCATTACGAATTGTGCATAGTTTGAAACACCAATTTGGATAGGTTACATGGTAAAGAAGGAGAGAGGCAGTGGGAAAAGAGAGAGAGGGGAAGCAAGATGGACAAATTGGTACACTTTCCTTCATGTATGGAGAATGGAACTATGTCTGGTGTGTGTTGCAAGTTTGTACGACCACATTGTAATACTGTAATCTCCACTGAAATCAAGATTGCATACATGTACAAACCTTATTACACACCCAACCAGAAACATGATAGAGGGGGATAGAGAGGGGACAGAGGGGATGGCTTGAAATTGTGACCAACCAGCGGGAAACATCTATGAAAACATGTAAGGATTCCCCAGGCATGTATTGTACGCCAAGCCCCGCCCCACCCACCCTCCTTTCAGCTCTCCCACCCCACCCCTCCCCTCTCTCTCTCTCTCTCTCTCTACTTTCTCTGTACACTCACTTTGCTTGACGGTTACCAGAGACACGGGGTCGGCCGAGCGCTTGATGAGCGCAATAACGTCCTTCTTTATCATCCCCGTAACTTTCTTCCCGTTGACTTCCAGCAGGATCTCGGCAGGAGCCAGCTTCCCTATCTCGTAATGGATCCTTTCCTGCCGTATTTCCCCGATGAACGGCATCAGGCCGTTCTCCGCGCCGCCCTCGATGTTGAGGCAAAAGTTCCCCTCTGCGTTACGGCGGATGAGGCTCTCGTGAGCCTTGATGCTCCAGTGTTTCCTCTGATTCAGTCCCCCGCCCGACATCTCTTCTTCTCACTGTGTTCTCCGGCGATCGAGAGTGATGGCAAAAAGTGCCTCGGGCGCGACGGGTTCTCTCCTCAGGGCAAATTCCCGGTGACTGGGGCTCTTTGTTGGACGAAATGGTGAGTGAGCGTATTCGCTATCACGAAGCAGTTCTGCCTCTCAAACTAATCCGGAGAAAGACTAGACGGTGTCTCAATCGCCCACAACAAAATCTCCCACATGCCTCTCTGGTTGCTAGTGGCAACCAGTGCGCATGCGCACAACGGTAAAGCCTGCCAGCTGTCGGAAATCGTACTATACTATGGCTTCACTGCACTATAAATCCTCTACAACCCGCTAAACGTTTTACACACACAGTTTATACTAGCTCTTCTGAGTGGCTATAACTTTTTAGTGCAGTGGTGAAAAGTATTGTTGCGACGGCATCAGGCCTTCCAGATCCTGCTGAGATATTCAACTGGTACGTGAGTTGTACTGGTCGTAAAAATGCTCGTAGTTTTGCAGCGAGCAAGCTTTCTGTTGTTGTCACATCCGTTGTCACTGCTGGAGCCGCGAGGCTCGGCCTATACTTGGTAGCTAGATCGCATGTCGCGGTTACAGTAAACGGAGCTTTTTCTTACTGATGTCGATTAGCTATCATGATTACGGCATATGCGGAGCTGGCTCTTTCGCCATTCTAACTGAACTGTTTTAGAGGTAGCTATGCTGTCGATCGGGAGCTCAGCACAACGAGAGAGCCTTATATTTCGTTGGGTTAGTGATCTGCATCATGCAGTAGTCGACTGGACGGACCTCGAGATGGAGCTAAACTAATCTTTCCGTCGTGTTGTTGTCGTCCTTGGAGACGCTGGTTCTGTAGAAGGTCTAATTGGTGACAAATTGGGCCGGCATTGGTGCAATAACTGCTGCTCTGCAGGCGTGTCTAGGCTCCCCAGAACTCTGCTCAGTTGTGGTTTTGCTAAATCTAGTACAGTCTCACTGTAGTGAGTGTATGTTACAAGGCGATAATGTGTCTCAATCATAGCCTATTTGTGCAATGGACAAGTAGTTGGTTTGATTAGCTGAGGTTGAAGAGTTGTACTCTTCCCTTGATCTAATTATTTCAACATTCCTCTATGTAGCTATATATATGCAGTAATACCTATGAGGCATTTAGCAAGAACCTTTTAACCCTCCGCACACATGCACAGCGAGAATTTTAGGTAGTACTCCTTTTCTAGCTGTAGGTTCTTCCGACTGCCACTTTTGTACGACTTAATAAAATCCACGCTCGAAAATTAGCAGCATCTGATAACAGATTAGATACAGTTTGCATGTGAATGGACCATTTTGGCAGGTCTCTCGTGCAGCTAATCAGTTGGCAGGAGAGTCGAAAGCAGCAACAAATGGCAACAGATCGCTATCTGTCCCAACGGCCTTTGAAAAACACACCTGATTTGCTATTCGAATGTCCAGCAAACCTCCCACACGCCTCTGTGTAAATCCAGGCACCAGGTAGAGGAGGGGGTGAGCAGTTTGAGCCAACAGTGAAAATATCTGTGCCCGAGTTGTTGTGTGGACCATGTCTCTACAAAGGATCCCCCCAAGTTGGTCCAGATCCACTGACTTTTTTTATGAGGCTATCACAACAGTTTTTCGATGGCTGTGTACACACTCGATGGGCATGCTCTAGTGACAGACATGCACCGGTGCTGGTGCATGGCGAGCAGTAGTGGCTTTCAACCCCTCTTACAAACACGGCCTGTTGACGTTAGAGAGAAAGTTGCCCAGCATGGACATCATACCTTTGCCACTCAGTAAGTCAACATATGAGGGTATGACAGGGGTCTGAAAGAAGGATAATTTCATCGCTACTGCTTTTTGGTACCTTTCTCAATCGCTTAAAAACGTTCGCAGTCATGAATCTGCTGATATCATTGGTGCTTGTCCACCTGGCCATGTTCACTATCACATTAAGTCCTTTACCAGCTCTGAGACCTCTGCAGATAATTGGGTCAAAGCCGGCTGTGTGGGTGTATTTGATGCCCAGCAGGGCCACCTACACTCCCAGACAGAGATACGACTCACACCTGCCAGTCTCCACAGCCACTGTGCTGAGGCTAGGAGAGCTGGGTACACACACAGCAACTGCCAATTCTCCCTAGACACTATATCCACTGTGTGTCTTGAAGAGCCAGTTGCGTGCATGTTTGCTTACACTGTGTTTGAAAGACGCTTTGAACCCAGTTTTTGCTGACTCACAAACCATGTAGTCGATATTAAAAAGAAACGTGTTTTTAATCTCCGCTGTTGATTCTTGCGGTCACAAATTGCTAGGCGCTACGCAAAACATTTGTCTACATGTTTGTCGGCCAGGCTCACGGTATTCTAGCGGCATATTCAAACACACGTGTAGAGCCAGGCCTCAGGTATGAACCCTAGCAAGGGAGCCAGGGAATGCAGGAAGGTGGGAATGTAGTCCCCTCAGAACATTCATACATCGTTCATTAGTACAGTAGATGGACTACCTTTCCTCCCACGGTGTACAGAAGGTTGTTGGTTGATGAAATTCCATGCTAATGGAGGGGCATCCTCGAGGCCAACTTCACTGCCAGTTGTTGGTGGACATCAGTATATACACAAACAAAGTCGCGAGAGCTCTGGGAGATATGCCTACTTGTCCTTCTCAACGTACTCGACATGTACCATAATGCTGGAGATTCGTAATGGGTCCTTAAAACCTACGCAATTTGTAGCTAAATCTCTTCACAGAACAGTGAGGAATTTGCTGAGTATAGCTAATACCGTAAAGTTCTAGCAGGCTTCCTGCAGTTCAAAGCCTTTTAAATGTTCTCTTATTGCCCACAGCTGCAACCTTGCACTCCCACCGTATTACTTCATACGTACTATAGCGGTACTATATATAGTGCTGGGGGTAGGGCTTCAATGGAAAGCTAACGGTGCTGCTCTAACGCTGTACTCAGTATGGGCCATCAAAGGCAATGCTGTACATCTGTTGGCTCACACAAAGTGTTGTGTTTACTACAGTAGAGCACATGTACATCGGGGCGCAAGTGTTGAAACAAAAGTCCTTCCGTTTTTCTTAAAGGACACTATCTACACAACATGTTTTGCTTACTATTCGTGTAGTATATCAACAGTGTATAGTTGACAGTGTTGCTATTATAAGGAGCTCAGTTTGTTAACTCTTCTCCGCTGTAGGTCTCCGATGCACGTGTTCTGTAGGAGTTAGCACAACATGCCGTGGTTCTCACGGAAGAAAAAGAGGAAACAAAAGAATGCTGCCGTAAACAGCGCCAGTAGAGACGATGCCGTCGTCACGACAACCTCACAGCCGGCGTTTGCAGTGGTGGTACAGAATTTCGAGTCTTCGGTCTCGGACCAGATCAGCGTGGAACGGGGACAGGTCGTGGAGGCTCTGTTCACCGAAGACGACTGGGTGTTCGTACGAAACGTCAACGGTCGATGTGGGTATATCCCTGGCAATTTCTCCTTCCCGTTGGAGAAGCTGAGAATGGGTCTACCGGAAGAGAGCAGTGAGAGAGTCCGCCAGCTGCGAGCACATCCGCGACCCACCACAATACACGTGGATACTTTTGACGACGACCCCTCGTGAGGGTGAGGTGGGAGAAGTGAGAGAAGGAGAGGACGAAGAGGTCAACAGTCCTGATTCGGGGATCTCGTGCAGTCACCAGGCCAGTAGCTCCAATATGGAGTCAGTTCATTCCTCCCTCCACAACACGAGGGAGAGGTTGGTCACGAGAAACTCGTCCCGACGGGTGGCGGGAGACACGGAGGCGGAGTCAGACAGAAGCCACACCCACCCAATTAGACACCCGGAAAGACACAAACGCTTCCTGATGCCAAACTCATCTCTCCCTCTTCTCGAGACGGCACCGTCTGCAGGAGAGCCTGACCACTCCCCCTCCCCACCTCCCCTCCAACCCGTTAATCTTTCCCAGACACCTGGCCACGCCCACCATGTCGCCACGGCAACCGTAACTGACGGAGACAACCTTCAGAGCGTTTCAGACGGCGATGATGTGTTCTTACCAGAGGCCAACAAGCCGCTCGGCATCTACCAGTGCGCGGAGACCTACTCGCCTCAATTTGAGGGAGAGATTCCTCTGCAAAGAGATGAGGTTGTGGTGGTTTTGGAGGCAGGGAGTGGGGAGTGGGTGTGGGCCATGGGCTCGGAGGGAAAGGAGGGACTTGTTCTGAAATCCCTGCTGCACAAATACCGACCGGACGTCCCCGAGGAGGAGGAGGAGGAGGAGGAGGACGAGATAGACATTGGGGAAGAGGTGGGTGCACCGGGGGAAGAGGAGGGTGTGGAGGAAATAGAAGAGGCGAGGGAGAGAGAGGAGCCAGCAGTGGCCGATTCTGAGATATTGACGTCCTCCTCAGCCACGCAGACTGAACTCATCATCGATGGCGTCGTTCGCGAGCTCTCCAGCTCGGTTCCCCAGAGATCCTCCGGTACCACCGCCTCCCCTCCGGCTCAGGATACTGCCTCAGTCTCGATTCAGACAGAGTTTACACTGCCCAACTGGTTCAAAAACAACACACCAGTCCCCACTCCCAACAACACTCTCACTAGAACTACCGGCACACGCGATGACTCTCACACTGGAGCCTCTTCGCACACCGCGGCACCAGACACTTCATCACCCCCTCCACAATGTCACGACTCTCACACGCAGCACAGCAACGCAAGCTCACAGCCACACCCTTCCTCCCCCCACGAAAGCTCAGCCCCTCTCAAATTGCTCTGTAATCCGCGTTCGTCTAACTCCTCTTCAAACTCCTCAGGTGCCACTGCACGAGCATCGGTGGAAAATCGCCCAAGGCATCCGAACACTTCGGTTGGAGTAAGAACTCCAAGAGGGCCTTGTGTTCCTCTCACCCCGGCGTCTACCCCACCCCAACCCTCCGTTGTACTCCAGACTCCCAGCGCTAACAACGCAACACGCACCCTCGTCAGCAGCCACGATGCTGCGGCAGCTCCTGCGATTGCCGGAACAGGAGACAACACTACAACCTCTCAACCGCAGTCAATCAGACCCAGTGAACCACCTCAACCACAACAACAGCAGCATGCAGTGAGAGACTCGGGGACAAGAGATGAGCAAGCGAGGCCAAGTTCCCGCGTGATCCCTCCTAGTAATGGGACAGGTACCATCCAGCGTCATCGACATGCACTTCTCCAACACACCAGAATCGTAAACTCCATCCCTTTCGAACCTGACAATGAAGCTGCCACCACCTCCCACCCCTCGTCCTCTGCACGTCGTCGCCGCATGCAACCAACGCCCGTTGCCACGGCAGTACGCGACTACTCCCCCCCGCAGCGAGCCAGAAACGCCCTCGTTCTACGTCGAGGTGACATCATGTACGCGCAGCCTCACGTCCCTTTCCCTCACGGCTGGGTCTGGGTGTACCACACACTTCACAAGACGTTTGGTTACGTTCCGAAAGACCACATAGCGTACATGTATCTGGTGCAGAAAGACCACGGAACTCTGCTGGAAGATGTTGTTTGAACTTCTCTCACTTTTTCCGTATAAACCTCGTGTTTTATCTTTTGGGGGCAGTACCTATTCCTTTCACCTCGTGTCTATTTCCTAGTCACTGCTTCTGTAACCTGTCATTTACTTTCATAACAATCAGTGAAAGTGGCCTGAATGCATGCGTGAATTCCACAGTGTGTGTGTGTGTGTGTGTGAACTGCGTGCGTGGCACATCACAACAGAAACGAAGCACGTCTTTGCTGTGTGTCTATACTCCTAAACTATCGATGCTATTTCCTCTGTTCTCCAGAATTCCTCGCATATTGAGTCTGAAAGCCACACACGGTTGCCCACTGACTGTTTATATTGCATTGGGATAGTGCGGTTGCGTGAGGCAGAGTACTCGGCGATTTCCTCGGAATTTTCCATTTCTAACAACAACACTCACGTGCCCACTGGCACATATGGACGTTGCATGCATAACACGCCAGCACACAACACACTGTCTCCAGCACCAGTATTCCTTTCCCCCCCATCTCAACCATGCTGTATGCAGTAGTTGAGACTACGTACATGTGTGTATCAACCTACGCTGTTCTCACATTCTCCAAAAGAGGCATGAGTACAGTACACAGCCAACACATACAGACCAACTTGCACCTATATATATACGTAGTGGCTACATCACCATTCATTTCTATGACAGAGCTAGGCTTTCGTTTAGGCTTTCAATCTGGCAATTTACCTAAACAAAGTGTTGAGCAACTTGAAATGTACGGTCTAGACTGGAGCCATCATGGCCATACATTGTGACTCGTTGTGCTACTCATGACCTCTAGACTTTTTCACACTAACATCGCGAGGCATATGGAGGCTCCCACTACGACGGAATGTTGCAAAACGAGCTGTTTACTCTGGCCCACTTGTTTACCCTCCCTCCCCCCTCTTGCTACGTACCACGCCTCATACATGGTGTATATAGTGGATCAACACAAAAAATTCAGGGCCAACCATTTTCCAAACATTTTCCCCACTTGCTAAAAATCATAATGCGCACATACATACGTGTACTATAGCCGACATGCCTTTATGACTTCCAGTGCTATTGTCTCACAGTACATTGAGAGAGGAGGAACCTATGGAAAATTGGGACTGCCTTATTACTACACGAAGACCATTATATACCTCCCCTCCCCATCGAGGAATGTTCTACGTAACACGGAGATTGGATATTATATTTCATATGTCATTGAGCATCACAAGAAAATATTCAATTCTCCAGAGTTTCTCTCAGTGAAATATTGTAGAAAAGGGGAGGTTTTGGTGTGTTAGGGAGTTGTTAGTGTGTCCTGTGGGTGTGTGGAGGAGGGGAAGAGAGGGTGGCGCATCTCAGAGGGGGAGAGGGGGAGAATGACCCTCTTGCTGACCGGCGAGTGGGTGTGGTAGAACAATCTGTCAGAGGGACAAGGAAACAGGGAGTTTTAGGTATCGTTAAAGAAGTGGCAACTCACAACTAAGGCTTCCCCATGTACATACTAAGTTTCCTACGTGCGTATGTATTTCCCAGCGGGACACATGAAAGGCACTATTGTATGGTGTAAGCACTAGTAGAACCTCCCTTCTCTTTAACTTTCTTTCTTCGTGTGAGTTAAATGTGCAGACAAATCCCAAAACTACACCTGAAGTCTCGGTCGTGTCTCTCTCTCAACTCTTCCCTCCGACCAGGACTTGGTGAGAAGCCTCGGTCGTGTCTCTCTCTCAACTCTTCCCTCCGACCAGGACTTGGTGTCCTCTGATACCTCACAGGGACCACGTTTCCATCAACCTTCAAACTCCTCCTCCTCCCTCCACTCCCCGGCTGAAACACTCTCTCCTCACTGCCACACCCCCTCACCTCACCATCCCGACTCCATACCACGACGTCCAGAGGTGGAACGGGCTCCAGACGGAACCCCTCGCGCCTCAGACTGTACTTTGTCGGTCGGTCTTTCAGAAGGTCTTCAAACTTTCTCGTGCGCGGTCCCCATTTCTCGCGAGCTCCGTGCGAATACCTGGGGGACAAACAGTGCATTGTGCGGTGGAAGTCACATTGAAAGTGTGCATAACGCGGTCGCCCGCAGTGTGTGAATGCGGCGGCCGGAGAGAGGGACACTGTTTGCTTCCAAAGTCCATTAGTTTCTCTCTGAAACGAAACTGATTTGACTATGCATGAGTTTTTGGGTGGGGGACAGTCAACAACAATTCACTATCGGAAACAAACATGTTTGTGCCACGTGCCCCGGACTACAATACAGTAGAGTATAATACACTGCAATAGGTATGATGTCATTGTGATGTAATCATACTAACCTCTGCGGTGGGTATAGAAACGGGTGTCCTTGACGACGACCTTTGACTCCCAATCGTGTGAGTCCAGTTTCTGGAAGTGCTGTAGCTCTGCAGCTCTCCTCTCTCCTGTCAGGTGGATGGAGATGGGGGGGCGGGGGCCAAATTCAGGGGGGACGTGGTAGTGTAGACTGAAATCGTCCCCCCTTTGCTCCCAGGGAAAGTGGAGCCTAAACAGACAGAGAGAGAGCTTTGGAACAGTCTTCATATCAGTAATGGGCACGAGTAGATTTCCTGCATAAGCTTTGTTCGCATGGTTGGTAAGATATTTATTAAGCGGGACAAACTATATAACACTACATGTGTACACATACTGGACTTCATGGACATGCGCAGAGCAGCTGATGAGGCAGGACTTGAATTAGCATGGTAGCTGAGTGTGTGTGTGTGGGAGTTGTGCTAACTCACACACGATCACGCTGGTACACTATCACCAACGGTAAGTAAACATGACCCACTTAAAATTTGTGTGGGCCAAACTACGTACATGTGCACGCACTATAAGTAGTAGCTACATACATACGTACTAGCAGCCAAAAGTCCAGACTGCTTTCTCCGTGCTATAGTACATAGCTAGCAGACAGGCAAGGGAGGGGTAATGGTGTGTTTGTTCACGCAGTTGTAACTGCACGGATCATTGAATTACGTATGTCGTTCTGGGTATGTGTCCTTTCTCCCTCTCCCTCTCCCTCTCCCGTCCCTTTTGACCCTCTCTCTCTCCGTCCCATTCTCTTTGTCTCTATGTCTGTGTGTGTTTGAACTGTCCTTTCTCCCTTTACCCTCTCTCTCTCCCATCCCTTTTGACCCTCTCTCTCTCCCATCCCTTTTGACCCTCTCTCTCCCCCGTCCCTTTTGACCCTCTCTCTCTCCCGTCCCTTTTGACCCTCTCTCTCTCCCGTCCCTTTTGACCCTCTCTCTCTCCCGTCCCTTTTGACCCTCTCTCTCTCCCGTCCCTTTTGACCCTCTCTCTCTCCCGCCCCTTTTGACCCTCTCTCTCTCCCGCCCCTTTTGACCCTCTCTCTCTCCCGCCCCTTTTGACCCTCTCTCTCTCCCCCCTTTTGACCCTCTCTCTCTCCCGTCCCTTTTTACCCTCTCTCTCTCCCGTCCCTTTTGACCCTCTCTCTCTCCCGTCCCTTTTGACCCTCTCTCTCTCCCGTCCCTTTTGACCCTCTCTCTCTCCCGTCCCTTTTGACCCTCTCTCTCTCCCGTCCCATTCTCTTTGTCTCTATGTCTGTGTGTGTTTGAGCTGACCTTTCCACTGTTGGTTTATCTGTGTTGGCATGGAGGACACCATCTTTGAATGGCTGGGGTAGGAAGAGAGAGGGGAGAAGAGGGAGAGGGGGGAAGAAGAAGAAAACGAGACAGTGAGAAAGTGAGACAGCGTGAGAAGAGAGGAAAACACACACGCAAAAGAGAAAGTGTTGCATAACTGAAATATCTTGTTCGTGGTGGAAGCCAGAGAGGGTGTCTAGAGAAAGAAGCGAGTATGAAAAGAAGCGGCAACCATAACATGCAGACTCTCTGATTCAGAACTCTTATTGTATTGTACGCACACACACGTCAGGCTGAGTCACGGGGGTAATTGAAGACAAAACAGAAAAGGACGCCCTCTCACAACACGCACACAAGTACCACACTGCTTGTGTTGGGAACCAGTATTGCAGGTTAATAATGTAGTTGTGGTGGACGGAAATAATGAATGGTAGGGGCGGCCTTGGCAAGGGGAACCTCTGCCTACGTTTACATAGTTTACTAGCAAAGAGAGCTGCCATAAAATTGTGTTGAAATTGGGTTCTACCCAATGACCTGTACACACTTTCTCCCATCAGTGGAACCCTCCTATAATGAATGGACTCTCTGGAAAACACCTCAACACAGTTGGTTGCTAGTGATACTGAATTTAGCCACGACGCGGCTTCTGTAGGTTTTATGGTCGGTAAGTTTGAGGTGCCACTGTGTCTGAGCTCGCCATCAGCTAGGGTTGACTTAGCTAGGGATGTGACATGTTGACTTACCACATACAACACGCAAGAGAAGGTCATAGTACATACCGTTTAAGAAGCTTCCTCTAGCTGACTTGCCGTGCATGCAGGAAGATGGGTCCAGGGTAAGACACACTTCAAAGAGTATCGCCACTTCTTGCAAAACATCACTTCCCACTAGGTGTGCATGACAGTCAGTTTGTAAGGTATCTTAGGGAACCTCGGCACTTTGTTGCATTCCTAGGTGGAGGGTAACTGAGGATACAATGCATGCTAGGTCACTGTCATAGTGTATATGTGCCTATAAATTGACACTTTACAGTATTATAAATCCTGACGAAAGCTCTTGTCTGTACTTGTGTAAGCAACGTGTCATTCTGAAAGAGACTTGACAATTCTTACGTGTAGCATACAGAGCAATGTGCATAATTATTACAGAGACTACATATATGTCCAAATATTAAAGGTATGTACATCACGCGTAATGGCTGGCAGGAAATTCCCCTCGTATGAACCAATGATCACTTAATAATTATGTATCTGATTCACTTCATAATGCCTTCCATTACCGCCTCAATGGATTGTGTGTTCCCAGACGTGCCTGGGGGCATAAATCATGTCCTTGATGGATTTGACAAGTAGCCACAGCCAAATTAACGGACATTACAGCGATTACGTACTGGGGAAAGTAGCTGAAGCCTTGAAAAATGTAAATGTAGGTCACGAGGACTGATTGCAGTGAGTGGTCAAAGGGTTGAAGCTCACAGAATGAGCCCACAGCCCACTGTAATTACAGGACGTTTCACCTGCGTTGACCGACCATTCAGAGTTGTATTAATGCCACTACCCAATCTCTACCCCATACAATGCAGTAATGCAGAGGTGATGGGGGAACACCAACTTTTCTACGTATGTATGGCATCAATCAACAAGACTGATGTATACGTCATGCACCTCGATCGGGTTGTACACTGACATGCCGTGAGAAGGTGCCGTCTGAACAATAGGCACTCATTCATTAGTCCATGTGTTCCTTGCCTTCAGTTGTGCAAGTGTCTTTACGTCGGTTTGAAGAATGGGTATTATACGCACAAGGCAAAGTGGAGAATAAACGTAGTTGCTGAAATTGCAAAAATTGTAAAAATGCACTATCCTAACATAATGCCTCAGTGAAAACATAAGCCATCACCGCACTAGTAGTTAATTGCATACTTGGCTCTGCCATTATGTCAACACACCAATCGGAATTTGCTGCACAGCTAATGATGAGTGAGTGATGTCGTTGCCACATTCTAATGATAATTGTAATGCACCGTGGGATTCCTAGTACTGTTGGGATAATAATCTCGGTCTCCATGGTAACAAACTTGTGTACACACACAGAGCCTAGGGTGTATACACAATAATTATACACACCCATCCTTATACTATACACTAAAGCTAGGGGTCTTCAGTTCCAGTGTCCTGATTGAAGAAGAGTCAATTCTCTTTCTTCCCTCCCCCTCCCCTCCCTCACCTGGTTCAGATCATGGGCCCTGGCGGGGTGGGGTGTCTCGGGGTGAGTGTTACTCCGTCTGGCGGTGGATACTCCGGGGTAAACAAACCCCTCCCTCGTCCTCCACTTCCTTCGATCGATATCTCTGTCATACGTACAACGTACCCCAACACAATCATAACAACATTACAACTGAACTTAACAGTGTTTACGTACCTCTGAGTGTGTTGAGTGTTTGGTGGATCGAAAGGTTCAAAGGTCATCGAGTGGTAGTCTTGGCAGTAGGTGTACAGTTGGTGGGTGTGGTCTGATGCAAGCTCCGCCCTCATCCTGGCTCGAGCCAACACTGCCGAGTTGAACGTCTGAGAGCTAGGGACCCGAGAAAAATTTTGGAGAGTAAAAAAAAAGAGGGAGAAAAAAATCACTGTTGACCCTTGAAATTAGTGAGAGAAAGGTCAAAAATCCTACTCTAACGGAGTGAGTATGCACACATGAAGTAATAAGTGATTCTACTACAGTTTAGTCTGACACCATCCGACCAGGTGATACGTATGTAGTATCGTGTGGTTACTCTATGGTGTGGTAATAATGGTACCTGTAGAGGTGGACAGTGTGTGAGTCAGTCAGTGACCTCATTCTTGTCTTCCTCCTCCTAACGTGGACTGGTAGCTGAGCTGCCTTCTCGCTCAGGGAGTGAGTCAGAGCCTTTACAACACAACACAACACACACAGAGAGAATAGTAGTGGCGAGTTGACCATTTTTGTCTGAATTGCCACATTTTTTACTATGTACAGTACATATTTGTGTACAGTAAACCAATGATGGCAAATCACTGGTTTGAGGCATTATGACCACATTTTATACACACACACACTTTTCCAAGTTACAACGGCATTAAAATATAAAAGGTTCACATGTTGGTGGAAATCTTCAGTGACGTAACTCACAATATTCCTGTCAATATGATTTATAGTCTCCTGATCTTTTCTCTCGCAGATCATCCTCTCATACCACCTGTTCTCCATGTCCAGTAGAGGCATCTTCATCCTCTTTCTCCTCCTCCTCCTCACCTCTCCAGTCACATTCCCAGGTGGAACCGGCGTATGGGAACGGGACACCTCCCCCTCTGGTCTGGGACTCAGACCAGGATCCAGGAGGTCCAGCTCACCACCACCGGGAAGAACGCCAAACTGTGCCGCCAGAGCCGCCATCTCTTCGCAGGAGGGGAAGAGAGAGTTTCGAACGAGATCTGCCATTCCTCCGCCACAGGCGCTCATCTCTGACAGACACAGCAGAGCTCTCAGTGCTCCCGGGGTCACCGCACCCCTGTGTGACAGAGGTCAGAGGTCAGTCTGAACTGAGTTGGTTCAGAGTCCACATAGAGTATGGATGCTACATACATGCTCCTTTGACAGAGGCTCGTAATATGAGGTCGATTCACATGAACAAGTGGATTAGGTCACTCCACATCAACTATGTAGTGCATTGATCAATCTACATAATTATGTGAACAATTGATGTGGATTCAATGTGGTTTAAGATGTGCACTGTACGTGTCAATTTCCTCTGGATAACCTGATGAAGAGAGGGGAGAGCTGAGTGAGAGAGGAGAGGGAGTGAGGGAGGAAGATGAGAGGGAGGTCCACGTCCAGCTGGCCGTACAGTCGACGAGAGAACACGCAGCCAGAGTTGTAGAATGTCTTCACCAGACCTGCGTCTGAGGAGAGAGAGAGAGAGAGAAAGTTCACCAGGGGTACGTGGTTCGTGGAGTTTATTAACTCAAAAGCAAAGAGAGTGTGTCCAGGGCGAAATGATGGCGGTTGCATTCAGTAAGTTAAACATTGTTTAACCAACGAAGCTCTTCCTTTGAAAAATTGGTGTAGTTGTGGAGAGATTGCCGCTTGCAACAGTAATTCACAAAGGACCCTATATTTCAATAATCCACCCTCTTTCTATCTATCCTATCTTACAGCAGCAGACCTTGAGAGGAGTGTCTGGGTAGACGGGTCCACAGTCTGTAGATGGCGCCATGTCCCGGACCCTCCAGAACCAGCAGACTCACGTCCCGGTCCCTCACCTGTACTCCAGTCACCACATCGAAGTCTTTTCCCTCCATCTCCCATCTGGACAACAGAACACACTCCGTAATAATAAGCCTTTCAGTATACAGTTTATAATTAAAAGTTGTATACATGTCTAAAATTTTTGAGGCAATTTGCCCACTATATTATACGTAAAATGATCCCCCTGCTTACAAAATGCACAGATAATCTTGATAGAAATAATGATTTGCTTATCCCATTGTAAAAAGGGTCTCCCTGCTCACAAATTTCAGATTCACGAATGATCCTTAGCCATGCAATTTACGATATTATAGCTCTCCTTCAAATTACACATTATTCCAATATACACTGGCAGGATTGGCTCACTTGGTCAGTTTGTATGTGGAGAGAGCAGTGGGTAGCATGTCCCGGGGCAGGACGTCGAGTCCCAGGGCAGCTATGTTGAGATCATTCACCAGATCCAGGATCCTGGCCACGAGACTCAGCCCTGCCTCGTCGACCGACGTTAGGTACACCAGGCGAGCAAACGGACATGAAGACTGTGCGGTTGACGGTGAGGGAGTGAGGGAAGGGAGAGGGGGGAGGGAGGGAGGAGGGAGAGGGTGAGAGAGGTCGATTGTGATCCTGAGGTAGCTGTGGTTGCCCAGATAGTCCCCAGCTGGTAGAGGAGGCAGCAGCTCTGTGGGAGAACACAGTTGAACCTCTGAAAGATGACCATCTGAATAAACGACACTTCTCTAAGAATGCATGTTTCTCCCCTATATTAAATAAGGGATTTCATTAACTTTTGTTGTTCCCAAGGTGTCCCCTTTGCTTATTCTCTGTAGTCACATGATAATCATGTGATACACGAATCAACCTTTCACCTCTGCCATGTGGTCCGACTCGGCAGTCTTCCCGAGAGGGTGGGGCATGTGGTCCGGCAGTGATGGGTGTGGTCAGTTTCATCACCCGCTGTCCAGTCAGCAATCCAGAGAGATCAAAAGGAGCCGCCCCAAACGGGTCCCAGGGTCTTCTGCGCTGGCATACCACCTCACTAACTCCTCCACCTGTGTGGCGTGCGTTGAGAGTGAATGGATCAGTAGTTGTTTGTTGTGTGGTGTAGCGGTTATCACGTGTGCCCCACATGCACAAGGTCCCCGGGTTCGATCCCGGGCAGAAACGTTATAATTATACTCAATAGCTTTCGTCAACAAAACCTTTTGTAGCAACACTGCTTTAAAAAGCTTTTGTAGTTCAGCCAGAATGTTAGTATTAAACGTACTGATGCAAAATCTCACCAGCACCAAATGCATGTGTTCCTAACAGTTCGTCTCTTTGTTCGGCTCCGAACAGTGATTCCAGCTGCACTTTGTCAAGACAACGATCACGATCATGTACCTCCATTGCCAGCGGAGGTCCTCTCAGATATTCGGACAATATATCCCGGTCTATTGTCCCCAACAGTATGACGTGGCTGTCCTCCCACGTGATGTCACGTGAGTGAGGGTGCCCAGGAGTGTGGTGAGGGGGGAGATTGTGGAATTGGTAGCTGATATGCACTGGATCACACCTGTATGCATGAAAAAATTGGCAGATTCTGAGCATCTGAGTTTCCGTAGTGTAGCGGTTATCACGTGTGCCTCACACGCACAAGGTCCCCGGTTCGATCCCGGGCGGAAACAACTTTTTACTTTCCAAAACTCTTTTCTATGCCACTTTTTATTCATCAAAATAGCAACTGAATCGATACTTCATTATTACTTTCTTTTTATTCTTTCTATGCCGCTTTTATCCACCGAGTAGCAACAAAGTGATAATTATAAATATTTTTCAACTTACCTCTGTTGTTGCTGAACGAGGTGCTGTGTGGGGAGATTAATGGCACGGTGGACAGTGATCACAGTTGGGTTGAGAGTTCGACGGTGAGCGTCAGACATGAGCGGTGACTCCAGACTCACACTTACTTCAAACACTGCCCAGTTTTTTAAAATGTTAGTGTACCATTAATATTGCGCACAGAATTGTTGAGTTGCACATTTTTTTCCAATACAGCTCTGTACCTCTGTACATACAGTAATTCATTAATGCACCTAAAACTGCTGAAAAATTACACACTCGGCATTTGCGTGCTAAAAAAAGAGTTGCATTCGTCCAGTTTACCTCTAATGTTGTCGGTCGAAGTATCCATTTTCGCACTGATGCTGTCCCGTTTGGCAAACAGGTCGGCCATCTTTAGTCTGAGCAAAACCAGTCCTTCTCTCTCGACTCGAGCTTTCTCCGCCGCCTCTGCTGCCATCCGTCGCGACTTGCTCTTCGACACATGAGAATCTGAAAGATTTTAAGTCTCATTTTCATATTGTCTACATGAAACCACAACCGTACCGTGTAGGGCAAATATACTGGAGTGGTTTAGTACGACAGAGCCGAGCATTTCGTGGTCTTTCAGTGGTGCACCGTCTCCTGCTGCTGTGGTCACTGGTGGTTCAGTTTGGTCTGTCAGCAAGGGACCACTCTCATCTACAGTGGTCATCATTTGCTCACTTTCGCCCATCGTCAAAGACAGACTTTTGTCCACATTTGGCTCACTTTGGTCTCTCGGTATGTCGTTGTCTTCATTGGTCGCCTTTGGTTCACTTTGGTCTGTCGGTACGTCATCATCTTCAGTGGTCTCCTTTGGTTCACCTTGGTCTGTAGTTGGAGCTTGGTCGGTTCCTTCAACATTCTCGTCCAGAGACACGGCTTCCTTCGTTGGTGAGTGGGGAACCTCAGCTGGGGAATAAGTACATAACACTCAATTAGACTTTTAGTTTCAAGATGAACGGCACTCACTGATAGAGGTACTGAGGTCAGGGTCCGTGTCTTCTTCGGATATTGAGCTAACGTTGGAAGCCTTCTTTCTCGTTCTTGCTCGTCTCTTTCCCCTCGTGGAAGCCGTCTGCCCTGCTTGCTGTCTAACAAGCGGGAACTTATCCGGTCTCCCACTCTGTGACGTCTCTTTCTCGTCCTCTTCTTTACTTGCCGGCGGTGGTATGGGGAGACGGAAGGCTCGCGGCCGATCGAAGCGAGCCCTGGGTGCAAGTTTCTCCCTCGAGTTCCACAGCCTCACCTCCATGGTATGGTCGTAGAGTTGCAGCAGGAGCTCTTCTGACACAGGGAATGTATGCCTGCCATAGGTGTACAACAGCGAGAGGACTTTCAATGGCAACACACAGTACACGGCAAAACGTTTTTGTCTGCTTGTGCTTGCATGCCTTTCTTCCACAACACCATTTGCAACATTATGACCGGTTAAGCATTGTACTAGGTGCACTGTACTAGCTGAGGACCTGCACGGAGCTTGTGCGAACGAGGGCTTACTTGTGCCTCCAGCCAAAATGAGTTCTCGACTCTGTTTTCTTCTCCTTCCCCTCGGACTCTTCTTTCTCTCCCTCTCCCTCCTCCTCCTCCTCTTTCTCGTCTTTCTCGTCCTCCTTTTCATTCCAACACCTCACAACACGCGTGACTTGCTCCGTGTACACTTTAGACACGACTCCAAACGTTACCACGTCGCTCTTGCTATATATCGGCCCTCCCTTCCTCTCTCCGTCTCTCCCTGCCGCGTCATCAGCACCGCCAGGAGGCAGTAGTTGGTACTGGAGATGGAAACAGTGCTCCGGGGCCGGGGACTCGTACACCCTCTTTATCTCTCCGTTGCGGTGACACTCGTGGAAATGGGGAGGGCGCTCGGCTGGCAGTGAAAGAAGTATCTAGCTAGTTTCTTGCAGCTATTATATTGACCTGATTTGGAATTACTTACGCGAGTCCACGGCCAACTCGAAAGAGACGCTCACTGTCGCGACGTGATCCGCTGGCCCAAGCGACGATCGATTCATTTTGTGCTCCTCACAGCAGCGAAAAGCTGGCGGGAGAGAGAGAGTGTGTGCGCGATCGACGCGCTTGTTAGGTTGCTAAGATACAGTGTACATTACGTAATGGCTCGGAGGAGATCTAGCCCCGCCTACTTTTTTGTGCTGAATCAGCTACGACCTTTCCACCCCCCTGTGAGTTCGGCCAGCATGCTAGAGCCGCTCCTGCGTCGTGCTAGAGTGTACGCAAAGAGAAGTAGGTTTCTTCGGTTCGGTCTCCCTTTTCTCTCCTTCATGGTGCTGGGATCGTTTGGTCTCGCCGAGTTCACTGATATCAGGGTAAGGTAAGGGCCCCCCACTCATTGTCTAGCTAACCCCTACTCCCACTGTTGCTAATAGCTATGCACATTCGAAGTGGTCTCCCACTGATGCTAATATGTACATTCGAAGTAGTTCCTGATTAGCACTTACGACCAAAAATCCGCGTGTCAGAACTGATTGTACTTTGTGTTCAAATTTTTTGTGTTCTTATGTTATGTGATCCATAGCATAGCTGTAAATGGTGTGTGTATGTGTGCAGGTGAAGAAACGCGACGAGAAGACACACATGTTGACAGCAGAAGAGACCCTACAGTTCCAGAAGAAGGTGAACTGACTTGCTAGCAGTGGAAAATGTGAGCACCGTCGTTGCTAAACTTCAGGTGAAGGTGGTGGATGTGGAGGAGGAGCTGGAGAAGACGCTAAAGGAGCTGGACATTGAGCACTGGGTCAACAAGAGGGTCCCCAGACCCCCTGGCTGGGAGGACTGACAGCCACACCCACTTCATTTCACCACTTAATCCAGTCGTATCACATCATGATATAAACTTAATGTTGCAAAAGTCCACGATGCCACGTCAGGTTATGGAGAAAGAGTGTCTATTTGCAAATAAGCTCTGATGTGAAATAGTGTGGTGTCACTCGGCAACTGTGTGAGGAATATGAATGTCGCAAAATGGTGTGCGATTTCATAGTGTCGCTAGCTCCGAAGACATAGTAGTGTATGAACCAGGCTCTCTGTATTAAATTGTTTTCATTTCTAATCCGGTTCTGAGTGTTGAGAGGTGTCATCTTCGTCATCGCTCCCGAAGGTTTCCTCAACCGTGCCTCTCCTGCGACGAGCTGCTAAGGCAGCAACTCTCACAGCCAGGTGTCCCGGGACACCAGCCTCCTGGAGTGGACCTTCTGTTGGCAGTGGTGGGTGGGGAGATTCTTTACTGCTCTGCAGTGGTTTGAAGTATTCTGGTGTGTCAGTTGAAGAGGTGAAGGACTGGGTGGGTTTGGAATAGCTCCCTGCTGCTGTTTGAGATTCTATTAGTGACGAAGATATGATTTCGACTGAGTTCACTGGTGTTTGTGGATCATTTAGTGTTGCTGAGGTAGTGGCATCGCAGCTAACCGCTCCTGGTTCATTTCCAGTGACTGTGGTAGAGATTGCAGTGTCTTCAGAGGTGCTGAGAAAGTGTTTTGTTTCTCTTCTTCCACTTTGCCTACTATTTGGTGTTTCTTTGTTCTCTGAGGTTGGCACTTCAGTATTTTGGTTATCTTTGTCAGGTCTTTGCTCTTGTCTCTTTCGCTGTCTCCTCCTGCTCCTCCTCTCCTCCCTCTCCCTCCCCCTCCGCTCACTCCTCACTGCCAGCACATCCTCCAGCTCCCTCACCATTTTGGCACTCACCACCTCCTTCTCTCTCGGTCCCACCTCTCCTCCTCCCTCCCTCCCATTGGCATCTGTCACACCGGTCTCCTCACCTTCATCCACTGCTGCAACATACCCCTCAAATACCTATATACATAATTATTATGGTGTTCAATATGAGAAGCTCTCCCAACGAAGTGCAATAATAAAGTACGTATCCTGCAAGACTAGTTCCACTGTATATACATAAACAAAAGTGATAAATTGTGGTGGAAAGAGTGCCAATGGTGATAATCGTCTCACTTTTTCATCCTCTGAGCTACTAGAACCCTCCTTGTCGAGGTGATCCTGCGAGGGATGAGTCCCATCTGTGGCTGCCTCCACAGAGCCTTCATCTCCACTACCATCATCCCCACGAACACCTGGAGATACGTAAACCTCAGACTACACTATAATTATTTCATCAACGGCGCTATATACACCATCTGCAAATTTCAGTGTATAAAAATGGCCATCACTGTGCATGCATTGTAGGCACAGTGCAACGCCAGTATAGTTCAGTACCAGTATGAGCCTCAGTAGGTTTCTGGAAGTGGTGAATGAGGCTGAGACAGTCCTCGAGTTGGTCTGACACGGCATCAACCATCCTCTGAATCACACTCAGGTCCTCTGTACATCATAGAGAGATTATTGTTAGCTAATTAACATAGTCATCTGTCAGGGGCAAACTCTAACCTTCACACTTCCGAAGTGGCTCTTCAACTATACCGAGAAGACAGGGATACAAGTCTAAGATGGCTGGCGTTGTTTTACCATACCTTTGTCATTCCCAGCCAAGAGATTCCCAAGATCTCGAATCCTACAGAGCAAGATAAAAAAATAAAGAAAAGATTCTCCGTTGACAGAATCCTCAAACTATATAGCATTATTTCACGTTGGTTTATGCAATCACAACTTTCAAATGTCTTTTTTGGCTCTGCATACATATGTACTTCTGAAGGGCCGCTTGTGTCCTGACGTCCATGGAGTGAAGGTCTCTAGTCAGATCACCCAGAGCTGCTGGAGAACGAGTCTTCTCAGAAACTTCCGGAACAGTCCTCTCTGGAGGGTCTCCAAATAGGGTGTTTCTATGGAAGTCAAGGCTCCACTCCAGCTTCAGCCTGTTCTTTAATACTTGCTCTCTCAGTTGATTCAGGTTGCTGGCCAGGAGCTTGAGGAGTGAGACTTTCGTACTACCACAAGTACCACTAGCAGTGCCAATCCTACTGCCACTGGGACCACTGGCAGTACCAATCCTACTGCCACTGGGACCACTGGCAGTACCAACAGGACCAATTTCACTGCCACTGGGACCACTAGCAGTGCCAAAGGGACCACTGCAGTCACCACTTGTGTCCACAGAGAGCAGGCTAAGAGCTGTGTGGCGAAGTAGCTCTGAATTTTGCACTGACAACAAGTTTGCTGCATCCTGCACACCACACAACAATAAACTAATTCTGCAGTCTTCGTCAATAAAAAAAAAAAGCAATTTTTTAACATCACCTTCAACGATTCATGTGAAAGACACCTGTGATTCCTGCTATCTCTCCTTGAAATGTTATCCTGTACGAATGTGTGGTTAGAGAAAGATCCAAATGAATGGCGAAGTAACTATTTCGAGAGGAAACTATTGTATGTAATTATTACCAGGTTGGTAGTGAGGTGGATATGGAGAGAAGAGAGGGGGGAGTGGGCTAAGTAGTTTGCACCACTTCCATCCATATCCCTATTCAGAGGATGTCTGGTGCACATACGACTGTCAAAGAAAGCTGTTCACCGTACATTGTCATACAATGAGTGACACATAAGTGACAGTGGGGCCACCTTAACCTGGACACCTATAATACAGCACAAAAGATTCATGATGGCTTACATGAATGATCTACCTGAAAGATTCTGATAAGAGGGCGTCCTTATTTCAGAAGTTAGTAGACCAAATTGTAAGGTAGATGTTTGTCTTGCGAGACAAAAGGTGCCTTGTTTCATCAGGGGTGTCCTTATTTCACTATCAGAGGGGTTCCACTGTACACTATCATGCCAATGTTGCCTGCAATATAAGAGAGGGCGATGGATACTGCTGAGAGACTGAGAGGGTGGCATTTCTCAGCCCCTCCACAACACTCTGACACACTGAGAAGAGACAGTACCGCAGACCCAGACACTGGTAGCCATCTTCAACTGGAACATTCCTGGCCACCAGTGGCCTACAGTCACAAACTCTTCACTCTGTGCTATCGTTTAAATACACAGAGAACCAAGAGGTGCTGGCCTTAAAATCTAAAACATCTCTCAAAGGGAAAATAGAAATTAGTAGACAAGGAATTGTGCTGAATTGTAGCCACCAAAAACCTGGGCAATTCCAAGATGGGCTGCCTTACTACCAAAATTTGAGAATCCATATGTGTTCTGGGAATCTCTAAGTCTGTCAGTGAGACCTGGTAAACTGTCTGGTGGCCATCTCTGCCTCGTGAACAGTTCTGAGACAGAGAGAGAGGAGGGAGAGGAGAGACTCCACCTCCCTACAGTAGTCAGACACCGTCTGTCTGGCCTTCCGGAGACTTCTCTCGTGGCTAGTTGAAACCTCAGATGTGGGAGGATGAGAAGTGGATGGGAGAAAAGATTATACATAGTTTCATCACATCCCATTTTCAATCTGGGTATGTATATATACACATACACTGATACTTCCTCTACAATTAGTCAGATAGTCAACTTTAAAGGGTTGAGTGAGAGGGGAGAGCAACTGTATACATGTACAACCACTCTATGTAATCATGTGATCGTGCGTTAATGTCCTGGATACATGACACTTAAGCCGTGATCACAGGTAATTGCTACAGTCACTGTGTTCTCTGTCCATTGACAGTGTACCCACACACTCTCGTGTCATTACCGCCACTCACTGCGCTAGTGACGACAGGTCTTGCACAGCCCAGCAGGACAAGCAGCACCATCAACAGCAGGGACACTGGGAGCGATAGTTGGGTGACCCAACAAACAGCCAGCACTGATGCAAACACTGCCCTACACACCGGTACAAAAATATTACAGTTCTCATTAAATTTGCTCATACCCTTTGCCAGAGGTTGAAATTATGCCGAGAGATTCTTCTTGGAACAGTATCTGTGGGTGTAAAAAGTATTCTAAATCAAAATTTATAAACTGATATTTTCAGAGTACTAGACGATATTAATTTCAACATCTGAGTTTTTAATGAGTGATGGTATATAGCAATACCCTTTGGGGGCGGGGTTTCAGGAGTGCAAAGTACAGTAGTTGGTAATCCTCTTCCGTGAGAAGGGGGGAGTCCCTTATCACAATGGAAATGTCACGGCAACACTCGTCGTCCTGACGACTGAAGTCCGGAGTGATCTTCAAGTAACGAGTGACCACATCAGAGAAGTAGAACATCGACCTCTGCCAAACCCCTCCAATTCCCTGTGATTAAGATCTAATCAACACAAATAATCAGTGGATATCTAATCCACCTCTGGAGGTGCAGGGGAGAGAGAATTGTCATTCTCGTTGCTCTCCGGGCTGCCATTGTCTTCATTGAAGGCAAAGTCATTTGAGAATTGTTGCTCAAGGGCTGGAGAGGTCTGCAGCAGAAGACAGAAAAAGAGAGAGATCACTTGTCACGTAGAGAAAGGTTTCTTACCCTGAAATAAACCACTGTCCCTTCATCATCCATCATCGCGCACGTGAGGCGCGGCCCGTCGCTCGCGCGCATGCGCATGCAGCGCTGGATCGATCGTGCGCATGCGTATGCGGGTATAGCGGCGCGCGTACGTGTAGTTTCGAAGGACAAATTTTGTATAATAATTATACAGTGCAAGGTAGCTAGCTAGCTAAGTGGCATAAAGGCGATAAAAGTGTGCGAACACCAACAGTACACACACAGAACAAGAAAACTTGACGGACAATAATGTGCATCAATCATATGACCCACAGTTTGGTAAACGGACATGGTCACACGTACGTGTAGTTACCTCTCTTAGCTATACACACAAATAGGCCAATGGCTAGAGCCACACCGAGCAGTTCAATGGCCGCCACCACGAATCCCAAAGTTCCCATAGCAATGGCGACAGTCGTGAGGTTGTCGCGCACGAATGTCAGGCAGCCTCGGTTCCACGCCTCGTATTCAACGTTTCGCTCCACTTGCGATCCGGGCGGGATGTAGGTGAAGTTGAACTCCGCGCAGTGGCTCTGGCGGCCGACTGTGCACTGGCAGGAGCGCGGCGGACGGCCCCCCTCGGCGTCCGTGACGTTCTCGTTGAGCATGAACCAGTCGCGGCTACTGTTGACGCCGCAACACTCAAACGTCCGCTGGACGTGCCCCACGACGTTGTTGACGTCTCTGCGGTAGTCGGAAGAGGAGGAAGAGTAGCGGTAGTCCTCAACGGCGCTCATCATCCTGTCTTTGACCTCGTTCGCGACCTGGTCCCGCAGGACGAGCCCCGTTATGCCGGCCGCGATCTCGATGAGTGCCACGAAGAAGATCATGAGAATGTAGATGAATAGAAGCGGTCGCCACATGCCGCACGAGCCCACGATCCCCACGCCCGATATGACGACCGTTACGATCCCGGCGGTCAGCAGGAGAGCCGCTCCGGACACCAGAGTGTGGCCCGTTATGACACTGTAGTCATTGTCCTCGCCGAGGTAGATGAGCCAGCCAGCCACTCCGGCTATAGCGGCTCCCAGGACCAGGAAGGCGATGTTGAGGAGGATGAACACGATCCGAGTGCAGTTGGTGGCGATGCTGTAGCGACCCATGATCTTCAGCGCAGTAATTCAGAGTCGGCGCTGCACTGAAAAGCGGGGGTTTATGTAGCGCGAAATTCATCGTGCGCATGCGCATATTCTGCCGTAAGGAACAGCTAGCTCGGGAAGATGGCTGGAGCGTCTCTTCGTGTATCTAGACAGGAGGTGAGGGCTGGGAACAGATGCTAGGAGAACGCTAGCACATGTCCCCTGAAAACACTGCTTGTCGTTGCACAGAGCAAACGGTTCCTCCCACATTCATTGATCACCTTCACTCGTGTCGCTCTCTCCAGCTAATCAACTGCTCCATTCCGGCCTGGTACCCCGGAGTTCAAGAACCTTACATTCAAGAGGTGGGTTCTCTACTCACTGCGTGATAGAACCTTCTAGAACCTTCTAGAACCTTCTAGAACCTTCTAGAACCCTGTGTCCATAGTGCAGTGTCTTCGTCCCTCTACCAGTGGAATTCGTAGAGTACCTCAAGGCAGACGGCATCGTTCTTCCTCAAGGGTCAGCCCCTATAATCCACTGCTCAAACCAGCACATTTTACGTGCTATACTGTACAGAAAATTCTTCTGTGATAGTGCCTGGCCTCTGTATTTTGCATGGGAAGAGAGTAACTTTTCTCTGTTTTTGAACTTCAACCACAGATGTTCCCTTTCAACTGACGAACACGAGACCGAACAACCAACTGGTTCTGATGATTCAGACGACGGTGAAGAAGATTCCCACGAAGATAAGGTGAGCTGGTCACCAGCAAACATCAGTTCTTCCCCAAAGACTCCCACCTAAGGAAGGGATAGGAGGTTTATAACCAGTGATTGGGACTTGTTGCGTAATAGGTTTGGGCTCTATTATGTAATACACCACAACAGGCGCCTGACTTCCCAGCCATAGTAGAAAGGATACAGACTGCTATTGACACTCTCGGCGGCCGCGTGGTACCAAAACTCAACTGGTCCACCCCCAGAGTGAGTCATGTGATGATCACGTGACAATCACCTGACCCCAGTTGATTTATCCCTGCAGGATGCCTCGTGGTTGTTGCCTGGCAACACCCTAGAGTGCAGGACGCCAGGCGAGGTCATCTTGTTGCTGAAGTCCTCCGACTTTGCTGCACATGACCTCATCCAGTGTGAGCTATTTTTAGTAACCACCTGAGCTGCGTTACTAACAATACTTATGCAGGTTTGATGACTGTGTCGATAAAGAGAGTTGTGAAGCAACTTCCACCGACTATGTGGTAAGCCCTCTTATCTTTGAGAATGCTTTCTCTATTCCCCACTGTATGTTTATCTAAGCTGTGTCTAAGAAAATGGACGGAGGTTCACCCTTCAACAGAGTTTAGATGTTTCGTGCTCAACAATTCGCTAATCGGTAAATGGTATCATAAGAGATTCCATTGTAATGTCGTTGATTAAAGGGGCTCCCCCCAACAGGGGTGTCCCAAAGAGAGTGTAGCAGCTGTTACAGTCACCTGGTGGCCCATCAGGACCAGATCAGACAAGATGTAGCACAGTTCTTTCAGAACCAAATCAGGAACAAATTTCCTGACCCTAGCTGTGAGTAATATATACCTGGACTATGCTATAGCATGGCGGAAACATTTGTGCGAGAGCTTTTGCAAGCTTGTGCTTGTTACAAAAGTGTTCTCCCTTCTGTTAAATTTTGCCGGCAGGGAAATTTGGTATTGCGGGACTAGCAGTGTGTTTTCTGCTACAAAACTGCAAAAAATTTTCCCGCCATACGAACATATTCACACTAATTTTGTGTTATTATTGCAGATGTCTTTGATGTGTGGAGAGCAAGTGAGGCAAGTTTGGGAAATTTGTAGACGCGTGGATTTTAAAATTTCGAAATTTGAATCTTCAGGGAGACATCCGGTTGGTTGATTTCAACCCGTTCTGCACCAAAACAGACTCCCTGCTGTTTTCATGGGAGGAGTTGGTCAGTGGGAGTGGCACCAGTGAAGGGGAAACCCCTGCAATAAATCCAGTAATTAGAGTCGTCGAGGACAACGGTGCCATTCGGCCACACGACTTGCAAGAGTATCGCTACCCTCAGGTTAGTTGGGCTTGTGTGTCAGGGCTTATGACTATATGTGCACGTGTGCATCGTGTATATACAGGATGCTCTTGACTTGGCAAGAGGAGAGGACATCACAAGATGGTAGACTTTCTCAAACTGGTATATATATAATAAGCCACTTCTCCCAAACCTCCCAACTATTCCTTCATTCACCCAAACTTCCACAACTGATACCCTATTCCTTCATGCACCCAAACTTCCACAACTGATACCCTATTCCTTCATGCACCCAAATTTGCTTGACATTACCATCATTGTCTCACCTCATTCCCTCATCATCACCCCATGTTTATTTCCCCTCCCTTCATACAGAGAGAAGACGAAGAGAGCGATGAATCAACATAATAAGACAGTCCAAAAACTTTTTTCAATGCACGATTTCATCATACATTCCCATACTCTTTCTTTGGTATGTACAAAAGTACAAAAAGTACCAAAAAAACGAGGCACTATAATTTCCCAAAAGTACAAAAAGCTGAGGGCAGCTGCTAGCAGCTATTGTGGCAGTCTGTGGTAGAATGAGAAGACTATTCCGTCTATACTCATGACACTGAACGCTTGACCTTTCTTCTGCTTCAGCTCCTCATCTGTGAGTGAGTATATAGAAGAAAACTAGTAGTGGATGCCCTTTCCCCATACCAGGGGCATAATATAGAAACCATTCTCCCATACACCAAAACTCCCATGCCCATTCTCCCACACGCTCAGATTCCCATGTCCATTCTCCCATACGCTCAGATTCCCATGTCCATTCTCCCATACACTCAGATTCCCATGACCATTCTCCCATACACTCAGATTCCCATAATCTATTCTCCCATGCACCCAATCTCCCATACATCTATTCTCCAGTGTGTCCCGTTTCAGGCCTGGTCTCAGACTGTGGAGTTTCTCGTCCAGCGTCCCCATTTCCTCTCTGATGGTCTTAATGATATCTGAGCTCTCAGCGCTCTTCTGTTCGTATTCGACTCTGGCCCCCTTGTACTGCTCAATGCATCGCTTGGCGTCGTCCACGCGCGGAGCAAATCCACTCCGCGCCGCCGAGATCTTTTCACCTTCGTAATGAGCAATCTGCAGGGGGAGGGAGCGATGGATGCTGCAAGGTAAATGAGAATCTGGGGCAGACAAACTAACTGACAATGCTTTTAAAATGGTGGGAGCAAATCATGGTAGCAAATGAGAATTATTGGAGAAGTTCAATTTGCTTGTTCTGGGTTTGAATCTCAAGTTTTTTCTTCAATGGCGTCCGTCCCCTCCTCCCTATTCTCTGCCTCACACGCCCAGTACTGACCAGTTTAGTGCTCTCAGCCGCGTTGCTCTTGTTGTCTTCCAGAACCATCATGAAAGCCGCTCCCTTGATTAACAGGGTCTCCCTCAGAATCCACAGGCTCTCTACTGCCGTCTCTCGCAGTCTCTCTTTCCACATTCTCTTCTTACGCTTCGCATCCTCCATTATCACATCGGTACACTCTGCAGTAGTCGCACACAAACATAAGATCTTGCAGAATGATTTCTGAAGGGCTAGGGTTTGCTACCATACTGTAGCTATATATGAGCTTAGGACAAATCTAACCCTTTCTTCATGTACATTATAATAACCAAAAACTGTGTGTATTAAGGCATTTTGATTTCCAGGTGGTAATGTGCCTATATAGAGCTTTATTAATCCACAATAGTGAGGTGAACACTGTACCTAATGTTTTGGGATAGTCAGGTTGCACAGGTGTAGTAAGGAGAAAAAGAGAAAACCTCTGTACTAATAGCTAGCACACCTTCCATGCATGTCATGACTCCCAGTGAGGTTTCCGTCCGGGCACGGAGGTGCTCTATCTTCCCCCTCCAGCCCAGAATGTCCCTCTCTGTTGCTGCATACGTCTACATACATACACAACCCCCCACAGAGCATAGACATTAATGACGGACGCAAATTTCTCGTTAATCTGAAAGAGATCCAGTTTATTGTTTATTTTCGCAATTGCAAAGTGCTCATGCCATTTGCGTACGCATTTCCTCTTCCTGGATACTATCAAACCCGACTCACCTCGTCTGCAGTATGTTGCAGCTGTTCCTCCATCTCTCTCTCCTTCACCAACCTAGCCTCCTCCAGTCTCAGTATTCTCAGTCTCTCCTCCAACACCCTCTGCTCCTCTCTGACAACAGATATTGTCATTAACCCACTGCTCACTGACATCTCTTCATTAATTAACCCACTGCTCACTGACATCCCTTTAACCCTTCTTTTTCATTTTTTTGCCTTCAATACCGCAGGTATTTTTAAATCACACAGATACCTATCATATCCTTTGATGTCCTTTGTACATTTAACCCTTTGAACACCTCATACATAACAGATACAACTTTAACCCTATTACCACACATCACAAATATCTCTTTAACTTTAACTCTTAATAATCAAGCCTAGTCTTACAGGACAAACCTGTTTTCTTTGAGCTGTTTAGCACGTTTAGCATCTTCGATTTTGCACTGCTCTTCGACTCTGTTCTTTCGCTGCTTCAGTGTCCGAAGCTCTTCATCTGTCATTATGCACAGTAGTATATAGAATGTAGATGGTATAATTATAGTACAGTCATAGAGGGTGTGTGGTATATATAGAGTACAATCACAGAGAGACTGTTGTACTCACCAATGGTCCTCATGTCTTTGAGGCACTGCTCTCCGATGGTATGGAGTTCACTTTTCTCAACTCTCACCATTTCTTTCACCTTCACACACAAATAGTACATCACACGTAACAGTCGTAAGAACACCTTTCTCTAAAAGGACACTCGTTCCAAACCAATGGAACCCCCCCCATCCCTGACACTCCTCTTTTCTTAGGAATTCTGAAATGAGGACAACTCACTAATAAGGACACTTTCTTCTGTCACATTGGTGTCTGTCTATATTAAAATTTAAGGACAACTATAGTATAGTTTAGAGTATGTCCCAATGTTCCACCATGTTTAGAGTATGTCCCAATGTTCCACCATGTTTAGAGTATGTCCCAATGTTCCACCATGTTTAGAGTATGTCCCAATGTTCCACCATGTTTAGAGTATGTCCCAATGTTCCACATGTACAGTTGTGTATAATATGTAATGACTATCATAATGACTCAGACTGGTTGCTTTTCATTCATTTCATTATTGCATTCCCATATCCGGTATCTTGCCTATATAAGTGTGCGTTTCGCCATAATCATTGAGTTCCACTGCCGAGAGCAGCTGCCGATATTCTCACGCAACGCCAGACCGAGCGCGACATACGTACCTGTTCGTGGCTCTCCTTTAGTGACGAGTCTTCAATGACGGCGTCCTCGTCCCTGGCCCTGGCCTCCTGGGAACAAACATCTCCCTTACTCCCCTCCAGTGCTCTCTCTGGAATGGCGTACGTATATAGATTGTAGACGGAGGGAGAGACACTACATGTTAACACATAACGCATAATAGCTGATAATTACATTAGTGTACTACGATGTTAAAAATCAATGAGGAATCGTAGGTATATACACAACATTAGTGTACTACGATGTTAAAAATCAATGAGGAATCGTAGGTATATACACAATATTAGTGTACTACGATGTTAAAAATCAATGAGGAATCGTAGGTATATACACAATATTAGTGTACTACGATGTTAAAAATCAATGAGGAATCGTAGGTATATACACAATATTAGTGTACTACGATGTTAAAAATCAATGAGGAATCGTAGGTATATACACAATATTAGTGTACTTTGTGTGGTGCCTATATACCTAATGAACGTTGGCAGTTGTCCAATTCAACCGCTGCCTTTGTTAGGTCCGCTTCAAGTCTGTACTTTAACATCTGAGGTGATAATTAGTATGAGACAAATAAATCAATAATACAAGCCAAAATCTCTGCCATTCATTGCTGATGCTCATAAAACCCGAAAATCATAAAAAAATCTCCCCCAAAAAATTCGCTTCCCATAATGCAAAACATTTCTCCCTCAAAATTTTACTCCTACATACATTTTCGAAGCCTTCTCCAAATTTTGAGAGGTGTTGTTCGCTGTTTCTCTTGAGGTCGTACTTGTCCTGAGCTGCCCCCCGTGCATACTGGTAGGCCTCGAATGTGAACTCCAGTAGCTGGCTGGCTTTGAAGAGACTGGTCTCGCCTTCTTTGGCCATGGCTGTAGCTCTGTCTACCTTCTGGAGGACCTGGCTTGGAACCTCTGGGAGGTGAGAGAGAGAGGGAGGGAGAGGAGAGAGGGAGGCAACTACACATCCATTCTCAGGCCGTCTCCTGAAAAGTGAGAAGCAGCCAGGAATATGATCATTCTGCCTGTGATCAAGCCAAATTTTAACATTTCGTCCTTGTTAATAGATGTTTTGCTAATGCTTCAGTATAATTATTATGTGGGACCAACATCTAGGGGCTCCCCCTTAATTCTTGGAGCCAAATGGGGCATCAAGAAAGAGGAGAGAGAGGGTGAGTGTGTGAATCAGACACACTTACTGTCGTTAACTCTCTGTGCTGGGGTTACTGACTCTCTAATCTGAGCATGATACTTCAATATCTCTTCATCTGTTGATATCACATGGCAGTCACCTGACAATCATGTGATCAGATAATTAACCCCACCCACCTAGAAAGGGGAGTGGCTGAACTTTCTGTACTCCAGTGTCGAGTTCATCTTCGTCTCGGTAACCAAGCTTTGACTTGATGAGAGCGTTTGCATCTTTGGCCTGGAAAAAACCAGAGGACGCAACCCGTCATTCCCATTCTCCCATGCAAAACCAAAACCCACCCCCACGTTTCAATACCACGATCCCCACAGAGGTCAGAGTGCAAACATTAGGGGGTGGGACAGGCGTTTGTCAAAGTGGGAGGAACCTTCTCCCCTTTGACAAACACACCTGTACATACCTAGGTATACCCTAGGCTAGGGGTGTATATAGTGACTAAGCAAACGAGACCTTACAATACTGAAAATAAATTTGAGCTACATATAATATAGCTGTTAGGGTATCTCGGTAGAGCCAGTACCAGTCACCATTAGTCCAGCCTGCACCCAGCAGGCTTCTCACTTCATCCAAGAATAAGTGAGAGCGAAGTGGAAGTACATGAACAAATAAAAAGCTATTTCTGCTATTCTCCAACTGTGTAGGACATTGATATACATACGTGTAGCTAGCTACCTATACAGCGCTGGTGAGCTCACCGCCTTTATGTCGGGTCTCATGCTAGTGATGTCGAGAGCTTCCATGGAGTAAGCCAGCTGGTCTTCCTTCCTCCCGTACGTCGCCATCTCTCTGTAGCATACGAGCTGATTCAGCACACACGACAGAAAGGGGCGAGATGAAACGGTGCGCAAGTACAACGCCTCTCACCTGTAGATATCCTTCCTGCACTCGCGTTTACGTACCAGAAGTCTCCGCAGCTAGTAGTATAGTCACGTACGTGGAATCGTTAGCGCATGCGCAAAAAGAATATCGCATGCATTTATTTTCCATTACAGTAGCATTACATCATCCTAACTAAAATTAAGGTCAGTTCAAAATCTGGAATAAACAATCAGCCGACAGCCCCGGCGATTATCTCGCAGGCGTTCATATCAGGACTGCGAACGGTTATCTTCATGTTAACCCCCTGAGCGGCCGAACGGGCAAGGCGGGCTTTAACTAGAACGTCGTGTCCGCCGCGGTAGACTCCAGCCAGCAGTAGGGAGTGGGACGGCTTGTCGGGGTCCACCTTGTCCGACCGCTCGCACGGCTGCATCCCCATGAAGGTAATGATCTGGTTCACCGCATCTGGAACAAAGGGAAACAAATGAAGAGTCGATGTATAACACTTTTTGGTGAAGGAAAGAAGGGAATGAAGAAGTAAATCTATGTATATACATTAATTCATAACAAAAACACTTTCATAAATTCCATGCATTGTGGCGAGGGGGCACAAGGGGGCACAAGGGAAAACACGACAAGCTGAATACTGGCGGGTACACAAAACTCACTAAGTTCTTTTGTGCATTTTGGCAGGGGAGTGTGTGAATGCTTTGCCAAGAGAGAGAAACAATGCAGGGCTATCTTGATGCACACTTTGTCCCTGCCAGTGTCAGTACAAATACCATCAGAACAGAACCGTACATGACAGTGGAGGTTACGGTGTAGCAGGGGTAATGAGAGGGATTGTGTGGGGAGATTTCACAAACCCTTGAAGAGACCCTGCAATTAAGTGCTTTCGTAACTCATTTTTAGAACAAACAGTTGGTTTTTTTGGGTAAAAACTCAACTAAAATGACAGTGCTACACCAGCTGCACTCATAAGGAAGAAGTAGATACTGATCTGACCCTTATTTGACTTGCCTTTGAAGAAATCATATTCGCACACAAAACCTAATATACCGTAACCTACACTTCCTATAAGTGACTAATACATTTGAGCTGTCCACTACCTGGTATGTCTCTCATGGTGCTGAGAGCAAACGTCTCCTCCACCTGGTTCTCGTCACCAATCTCATCCCACGAGGCAGCGAAATTCGGTCGAATCACTCGCTGGACGTGATCGGCCACCACCACCTCCAGATTCTCCAGCTGTTTCGGGACGAAGGACGGAAGGAAGGGAGGTATATAATACAAGAGGAATGTGAGCAGTAAAGAAACTTTGAAAACCAGTAGAACCTTATTTATTGCACTCGAGCAAAATAAGACACAATATAAAAGGGGTTGGGGGATTACCCTAGTTCTGTATATTACACACATACACAACAGCTCACGCTTCACTTCACACTTGAAACAGTGAGATATGTATGCCCAGTTATGTTTGCCGGAAGTATAGAAAGACAACTGGCAAGCGTCAACTAGCAACAGAAATTTTTTGTTGCGAGAGTAAAAATTGAGGCAGTCCATGGGGCAAAACTGTCACAGAGTGTAGTCTCGCTTGGACAACAAAAAAGGTGAAATTAAGAAGGAAAAAGATAAAAGAGGGAAGGGGGAGGGATTTGCGTACCACGTATTCGTCGGGGAAGCCCTGGACTGATTCCGGCTCACCGGTGGTGGGGTCACAGTCCCTCACGTTGAACTTGAGTGTGTTCAGAAACGTCCCACTGACTGCAGAGAGAGCAGAACAACACTATATAATACACAGTGCTGCACAGTTTGTTTGGCAAAACAGATTTTGGTTGCCTTGGCACGCGTGTACCTAAGACACTCAAAAAATCAAAATCTTTTTAGTCAAGTAAAACAATATTCGCTATCGGAACTCTAGAACAAGAATAAGAATAATAATGTGTATTCTAAGACAAAATAACCCTCTATAAGGCTGTACCAAATTTGAAAGGACATCAACTTTGCGCAATACAAAGAGCTACATAAGTATGTATTATACGTGTACTTCCACACACCTTGAGTGGCGTCTTCCATCTCGAGGAGAGTGTAGGTGCTGGTAGGCTTCCCGTAGGGGAGGGAGGGGATGGGTACAGAGGTCACGATGCTCCACCCCTCGCTCTCCTCCACCTCCACCCGCACTTCCTCCAGCAGCTGGTCGTTCAGAGTGTTGGTCACGTCAAACTGACCGCAGGGGAGGAGAATAGAGGGTAAAAACGAAAATGACAAAAAGACAATGTAAAAAACAACACACAAGAGAAATAACAAAAATATGAAGAAGAGAAAAGAAAAATACGCTCAGAAGAGAGAGTAAAAAATAAGGACTATATAAGATGAAGGAAAAGGGAGACCAAATTAAGGAGCGAGAGGAAGATATACCCAAAACATCATGTTGAATTGATGGTGATGAGTACTCAATGTTTCATTCTCTTGGCCCCACCCACCAATTGAGAGAGGTGGGAGGAGCGACCGAGAAGGTAGGCCACACCCACATGCAGCCGTGGTTGCTATGGCAGGGAAGTAATAGACAACTGGCACTCTGCACAGCCGCTGAATGAGAGTCCCTGCTCATGTGACTGTCACATGACCATACTCCCCACACATGTGACTATCACATGACTGTAGTACCTATTCATGTGACTTTCACATGAATAGGTACTACAAAAGGAAAAGGCTCACATGATGATCATGTGACATTCAATTTGATGGTCACATGATCCTCATGTGATCCAGTCTCACCTGCAGGACGAGGTGTTTGTTGAAGGTGTGTTTGACGCAGCGTACAACATACTCGGTCTCGCTCTCAGTCAATTCCACTGGCCTGTCGCTCGACTTGAACAGCGGACCGAGGTCAGCAAACTCCGGTATGGCCGCCAGTTGCTCTGGGGTGGGTAGAGTCATAGGGATTACGTGACTATCACATGACTGGTCATGTGATCCTCACTGGCATATACATCTTGTTTGGAGGCGGCTAGAGCTCCCGGTTTCTGCACAGATGCTCCCGGCGTCCTCTCGCCAATCGCTAAGGTCAGAGTTCAAACACGAGGGGAAACCCCTGTATAATCAACACTGCTAACGAGAGGGGTGACTCACATTTGGCGGGTCCGACTGGGATGGTCTCTATGGGGACAGTCTTCAAGTCGAACGAAGTCTCCTGCGGCTGACTGCAGTACTGCATCAGTGCTCTCTCCAGACCAACAACAGACACCGTCAGGTCTGGGGGGAGAGGCGGGGCCAAGAGTCACATGATAATCATGCGACACTCATACTACAGCCAGAGTCTGACATGTGAGAGTCACCTGACAGGATGTAGCGAGAGGTGAGGGCCTTTTGTTTCTGTTTCAGTATCTCGAAGTAAAGGAGAGCTCGGTCCCTCACTTCATCGTCGCCATCCATCAGACACCTGTCATTGGGGGGTGGGGGAGAGAGGTGGGACTATTTAAAAGTGAGGTGGAGAAGGGTGTAATTTTAGTGAACACCTATTTTGTGGAACTTAGATTTGATAGTGGTAGCCACTCCCACTTATTTATCGACTCATTCGAGGATATATTGCAAAGTCTCAACACACTGTATAGGTACAGGACTTAGAAGGGAAAGCGAAACAGAAAATTGAGTGAAATGAACTCTGAACCTGTCCAGAAGGACGAGGACGCTGTCGAGGAGTGAGTCACACGAGGCTCCAAACTTGGCCAGAGACGTCACTGCAGCTACGAGGAAAAAACAGAAATAGAATAGACGAAAATTGATAGTAGGTCCTTTGTTCGCCTTGAAGATATCTTTTGGGATATGCACTATTTGGCTCACACGGGCATAGCAGAGGAAAAGAGAAATAACGAATGCTGCTGTAGTCAAAACTTTCGTTGAAAAACAGCATCACGTTGAGCACAACAGAAAAGCGCTACATTTGTGTCACACACACACAATTGATACAAATAACATGATGATAGGCTCACCGGCCCTGACAGGTGGGGCCTCCAGTAGAACTCTGTTGTAGATGTAGCGGATGAACCGGTGAGGTTTGGGGGAGCGTGGTCCCTCCCTCCCGAGGAGATGGAGGATCCGCGTGGCCAACTCCACATGCTCGCAGTCCTCTATGAACTCACACAGATGAGAGAGACCTAGAGAGACAGGGAGATCACATGGGCGCCAACCTAACTTTTTATTTGTTTAAGCTCTCTAGAATCCTCAGCAGAAAGAGCAGCTACGTACTATATAGAAAACTGGCAGCAAATAGTGTATTCTCCAACAAATGTCTTTTAAAACTCCTGTGAAAAAATCAGAGTTTTTCCCCCGAGAGCAAGGAGAAACAATTGTGTGGCGAGGTGTTTAGCAAGCTGGCCACGTGACGAAGGCAAACTTGTAGATAGTCCTCGCATCAAGAGAGTGAGAGAATGAGAAGAGAGAGAGAGAGAGGGGAAAAGTGTGTGTGTGTGTGTGTGTATGTAAGAGGAGGGATAAGGAGGAGGCGAGGAGGGGAAAAAAACCTGATTCCTTTGCGTCAGGATTCTCCTCGATGATGGTAATGATGGTACAGACGATGGCTCTCTTGTATTCGAACCCTCCCTCCTCTCGCAGCATGGAGGAGAGGAAGGTCATCAGGATGTGGTGCTTGCGAGGGAACTTGACGCAGACAGAGCGGATGGCCTCCACCACGATTGTCTTGAACTCGTCGGAGATCTCGGACATGAAGCTGCTGATCTGTTTCATGAGTCGCTCCACGCTGGCCTCACTGCCCGTCTGGGGGAGACAGCAGTAGGGGGAACCCACACATTGCAACGGAATTAAAAGTTACAGTAGACCACGTTTTAGTTGATTATTCAATAGTTTTAATGTGACATCATATCTAGTCATTAAATGCAAGGATGTGCAGAAGCATGTTCATTAACATAAGAGATCCTCATTTGCATGAGTACGCTATATTACACAATAATAAACCTTCTCCAATAGTGGACAATGTAACCAGCTAGCTCCTCCTATAAAACCACACAAAAATTTATCCACGCACGTGCACAAGCACGCCATCTGTTACTACACGAGAGTTAGTTAGCTCCAAATGGGTTTTAGAACAACGTTGGCTCACTTCACTCACCAGCTGGCCACGATCGAATGCAACACACCTTTAAGAGGGTAGTGATGGCCAGGGTGGCTATGCTGCGGTTGGTGTCCGATATGAGGTTCTCGAGATCGACATTACACGTCGTCACCGCCTCGGGATGAATCATGGAAATCTGGGAACGGGACACACACCAGAATGGGAATGGAAACACGAGATTATTGAGGCGAATTTATATACATACTTGGTTGAGTGTCTTGACGGCAGCAAAACGAACTGTCGGCTTGGCCGACGTCAAAAACATCTGCAAAACTAAAGCAGAAATGATAAAAATTTAAGGGTCTACCGTAAATTTTGTGGGCAGTTTTCTTACCAGAGACTGCAGGCTGCAGTTCCCTTGCTGTAACGTTGTTCAAGTTGACCATTGCTCGGGCGGCTTCATAGACCACCATCTAGTCAAACAGTCATCACGACTTGCAACATGCCACCATTGAGTGACCCAGCATAATAGGGAACAATGTCTACTACAGGTAGCACCAATTCTACGAGGTGCACAACTTTCCAAGGATTTCGCTCTTCTCAACCAAATTTCTTAAAAGTCCTCCGGCAAAGTGCTGTCGATTTGCTAAAAAAAACTTGAAAATATTAACTACAGCTCACTTCACTCTTGTGGCGAAGACAGGTCTCCAGGAAGTCATAGAGCACGCTGTTGGACCTGCACGATACCAGTTTCATACCAGTTTTATACTGGAAAAACCAGTTTAGTTACTGTACGCATGCAAACTTACGATCTCTCCTCCTCTTCCATGACTTGACACGCAATCCGTATCTGAAAAAAAAGCAAGCAAAACTTTGAGTAAATTTCAAAGTGTATAAGCAAACTGACCAAGAGACAGTAGCCGTGAGCTGATCTCATTGAGGAGCGAGTGAGTTTGGTCACCATCTTTGAGACGGCTAGACGGTCGTGTTTGCGGATGTGGTAGAGGAGCCCCATGGCGTGGTACTGGACCATGACGTTGTCGGACGACAGAGCCTCTTGCACCTCGTTGACCCACCGCTTCACTATGTCCCCACTCCCCTTCCTGCAGAGATGCTGCGAGCGGAGAAGAGAGAGAGAGGAGAGGAGAGAGAGAGAGGAGAGGAGAGAGAGAAAGGGAGGAGGGGGAGGAGAACGAGGCAAGAGGAGATGATGGGAAGAGACAGGAGTGTAAAAGTGAGTTCGAGAGTGCTACATAGCAGACAAGAAATTCATACAAGCACCATAGAGAATGACGCAGATGTATTGAATGGCAGTCCAGTACAAAAAACAACTTCTCTTGCTTTCCTTCTTTAGGTAACGTTTTAGCCTACTTCAGGAGCGTGGAGTGACTAGCTCAGGCGTTTAACTTTCATCTTTTCAGCACACATTACTACTCTGGCACCAAAAAAGAGAATAATAGTCTTACCAGTGAGGAGACGAGGGCTGCACTCGAGACGGCTGGGTTCCTATCAACAATAGCCTGCTTCATGTACCTCTCAATGGACTGCATCATTGACGCCTGGAGCAAAAGACACAGAGTGATAAAATAATGCGACAAAAAATAATGCTAGATTGGCTCTCACGTCGAGAATTGTGCAGAGGGCACGTATGGCACTAGCTCTGTACTCCTCCTCCTTTCCTGTCATATCTTTGGTCAGACTGGGAGAAGTAAAAAATTTCTTAGACCCTGAAAAGTGTCCATATAAAATTCTTATACCTGCTCGTTACAATGATGACATCATCGGCAATTGTCGACATTTCTTTGATGGCGAGATAGACAAGTCTTCTCAGGGAAATGTCCTTCGACTGAAACAGCTTCGTCGTTGCAAAAAACACTTCAGTTGCCTCTGTAGAATTCATAGTCACACCCTGTAGGTTAGGGGAAGAGAGACCGGTAAAAATTGAACGGGTGACCGCTCGTATTTTTACCTGGTTCAAAATGCAGAGGACTTTGGTGAGAACTGTGGCGCACTTGCGGGAGTTTATGACGTTGTCGTTGAAGGTGCGGGTCTCCTGGAGGACGGCGCTCTTCTCCAGCCGCAGGAACGGGTTCCCGCCCGCTGCCGAAGGAGAAACAAAATGGCGGCCATTTTTTGAGGGAGAAAGTGGAATAGCGGTGTCTTACACTCTTCGTCGTCTTTCTTGTATCCCTTGAGGATGTTCATGGCTCCAGCTGGTCGATAGGAGTGGAGAAGAAACGAAAACGGAGAGAAGGGTCACACTAAAGACTCTCGCACACGGCCACGCTGGCAGCTTCTGTAAACCTCCGTAAATTCATAATAAACGGCGAGCGCGAGAGGCGCTTCCCTTCTAAATAGAGCGCACCACCTTTAACGGGATGAAACTTTGCACGAAGCTGGTGCAGTGGCTGACGCTAGCAGGCCTGTTCTTCGCTGCCTGGACCTCGTTGATATTTGAAATTCTTCCCGTACAACTCAGCCATGCAATGTACAGAGTCGTCCTAATAGTAAGTCCGAACATCTCTAGCTACAAATTCACAACTGGAATTCGCCCTTTTCAGCTTCCGCTCTACCTACTGATATGTTTTGGGGTGAGCGTGAGAAGGCTCTGTAGCTTTTTACTGTAGAATATTCTTCATTCACCCTATATTCAGAGCTACAGTCTGGCCACCATTGGGTATAGACTGACAACGTTCAATGACTGTGAAGGAGCTTCTGACGAACTCGTGGCTGTAAGAAAAAAGCAGATCGAAGAATGTTTGCCGACTTTTTTTTCCAATGCAGGAGGTGAAACAGGCGAGGGAGGATTTGACAAAGAAAGGACTAAAATTTTAGCTGGACCATTCACTCCTCTTTTTCATTACATTTTTCATGTCCAAAATCATGACAATAAGCAGGTCACAAAACAAGCTGAGAGTATATACATGTTTTTGATATTTGTGGTCATTTTTTTCAACAAACGATCTCTCGTGCATTAGCACTCCTGCCCCACGTACCACACCATGGCGCTCGTAAATGTATGCGCATGCGCATTAAAAAGTGACCTTTCGTACGTGCGCATGCCATGCGCCAATGTATTCCTACACCCCCGACACACCCTTACGTACAAAAGGTCGAGGTCACGCGCTCGTCAACAAAACACCGTTTTTTCTGTTCCGTTACCTGCTCGTTGTCCCTCTTTAGCGAGCATTTACTAAGAGATCTGAGGTAAAATATGCAGTTGGTGACAGCAATGACGCGGTTCATGGTGGCCGGCGGATTCGGCGCGCTCGTCAACTGCGCCCTCGCCAACTACTTCACCACGCAAGTGGACCTCCTCCACGAGATATTTCTCCACCCCGTGGCCGCCGCAGGCTTCTTCAAGACCCTTCTGTGCGGATTTTTCGGCGGGACTCTGCTACTGCTCGTGTGGCAGTTCGTCAAGGTGCGGATGGTTCGCTACCTCTTCCAGTGCAACGGCTGGTTCCTACACCCGAAACGCCCGTTGAATAAGGTTAGCGGCCGCTGCTTTGTTTACTAGCTTGCATGCTACGGACACGCCGGCCGGTAAATTTTACGCTCGATCGTTTTCTAAAGACAGCATTTGATCCGGTAGTTCACAAATTCTTTCTTCTCTCCCGTCGCGCGGTTTAGATATGGCTACTGTTGGTGATAGCTCTTCTGGGCCGAAAAGACAAGGGCTCCATGCAGTACCAAGACTATCTCCCTTCCTATCCGCTGCCCTCGCTCAAGGAAACCTGCAACAAGTGCGTGACCGAAACGTATTACTGAGCTAGCTGTATCCACTGACTATATACTGACGCGTAAACTACCGTTGTTTGTTAGGTATCTGAAAAGCGTGAAGCCACTGCTGAGCAGGGAAGACTACCAGGAGACGGAGAAGGTGCGCACACAGAGGGTGACCCCTTTGGTGGTCCACTGGAATGCTGTTATGGCTGGGTGTTAATTTATGATTATGGTTGACCTTTCTGCCTCTCCCCCTCACACCCCAAATGGTGACCTTTTAGCTCCCACACCCTTTTTTTAATTTGATTGTATACACTAGAAAGGAAACATAACTTCTTTCACAACCCAAACATTGTGTGTTTATATATTATGTAGGCAGTTCAGAAGTTTATCAAGAAAGATGGAAGGAGGCTTCAACTTATTCTTAGGCTCAGGTATGTTGCCAAAGTCTTTCGCTTCTAAAGACAATATGTACGCTAAGCTGCCCATATTGATGCTACAAAACATATTTTTGGAGTGATATCGATTCTAAAAAAACGGTGTGTAAGGTGAGAGAGAAGTGGGAGGAAGTTTGGGGGTGGTTAAGGTATGGCTGTTATGCAATTCAAGGCCAACAGAGTAAGCCATCTAACCTGTTTTACCAGTTCCCAAGCCATTTGACCTTTCCTTGGCAGCTCTGCCCAGCCTAGGCATACAATCCAGCCGCTTGCCATACACAGCCTAATTATCATTCCGTGGGGGTGGAAATATTTCCATATCTCTTGCTAGGGAAGGTATACTCCTTACTAGACAGACATTTATTGGCTAGTATATATATCTTTTTCACCTTTCACACTCAGAGCATTCCGAAACCGAAACTGGCTGAATGAGTGGTGGCTGGACTATATCTACATGAAGCAGAGGACACCCATATGCTGTGAGTGAAGTGAAAGGTCACCCTTGTTCCCACTTCCTGCCACAGAGGAAGTTATTGCCTAATTACCCCCTAAATTCAGGATGTTCCTGTTTAATTTGAGAAAGCTGGTGTTTCATTACTTTCTAAATTGTTTTAATCTGTGTCTCTGCAGTCAACTCCAATTACTTTGCAACTGGAGGAAAGGTTCTTCTAACAACTTCTCAACTGGACCGAGCAGCCATGATCATTTATAGCACCACCATGTAAGTCCCTCTCATTTTGTGCCTCTTCCTGTCTCCAACCAATGTCTGTTTCCTTGTTCTTTGTGCCTTCTAGCTGAGAATTTGGCCGTTTTTTTTAAAACCAAGCGACTACGTTAATGAAGCAACTATCAAGTAATTGATCACAGATGGTTTGGAGCAAAATCACAGAATGTTTTTTATTGCCACTACTTACTCTGAAATTGCAGGTATCATGCCCTTATTGCCCCCTTCCTTCCCTCCCACCATCACAGGTTCTTTGTCAAGCTAAGAAAAGGTGGACTTGAAAACCCACGAGCTGCCAATATCGTCCCATTCTGTTTGGACTGCCACCAGTAAGAGTACAGCTAGAAATTTCACTCCTCTTTCTATCGTCATCTTTTTCTTACAGGTATCTGCATGCAACAGTCAGAGAGCCGGGAGAAGAAATCGACAAAATAGTCAACTACTTTGGTGCAGAGCCACTAACCCATTTCGTAATTATTAGGTTTGGGCCGCAATACACAACCCTGTCTCTCTAGAGATGCATCTTTCACTTACGTTTTTACTGCAAAAAAACGTCATATTTTCTCCTAACTTCCCCGCACCGTCTCCATCTCCCTTTTGCCTCTCTCTTTCCTTCCCCTTCTTCTAAGACTTCACTAATTTACTCTCTTTTCTCTTTCTCACTTCTCTGCTTTCTGCCTCTCCTTTCTCCTTCCCCACCACTCTCCCAAATCTCCCCACCCCCTCTCTCTCTACACCTGTCTACAGGAGAGGCAAGTACTACAAGCTGCAGGTTCTCTCAGTAGGCGGCCAGGTTCAGTCACCTCTGGGAATCAGACGAGGTCTGGAGAAGATCATGGAAATGGCAGGAGGTCTGTTGATAATAACCCGGGGAAAACTCCAAATATAGGATGTCTATCTGTAAAGAAGTTCTGCCCCATACTTCAACACTCCTGAATATAGATATAAGACCCTTTCAATGTCTCCAAGGTGTATATACCTTATGCAGAGGTTTATTTTTAAAAAAATCATATTGCTCAATGCAGATGATGATGATGAAAGTGGGGTTGCTTCATTTACTGCACTGCCGCGGACTCAGTGGGCCAAGGTAATTGCTCCTAATACTGCACGTTTCAAAGTGGGCGTAAGGCTCCATTTCTACTTTACCGACTCATGTTTGTGTCATGTTTCATGCACATGTTGTATATAGATTCACGGTCGTATGAAGGAGAAGGAGGTGAACAAGGAGACACTGCGGACCATTGGTTCCTCCATTGGTCTAATTGCCCTTGAGACACAGGATATGGACAACGATGTATGTCAACTCCCCTTGTGTGCTCCTCCTCCTCCTCCTCCTCCTCCTCCTCCTCCTCCTCCATTTCTCTTCTATATCATCCCTTATACTCTATATCTCTCCCATCTCCAGGACATTGAAAAGCAAGCCAAGTTCCTGTTCCACGGAGATCTCCATAATCGCTGGTTTGACAAATGCATCACGTTGTCCGTTGCCTCTTCGGCCGTCGTCGGAGCAAATGTCGAACACTCTGCCCTCGACGCTACTGTAAGTTGGTGTGGTATGTGTGATTACATCATCACAATGACCTCCGACCCCCAGGTTGCAGGTCAGATGTGGGAATATGTGATGACGGATGAAGAATACGACGAGAGAGGGCGAGTCATCGAACCATTCCGGAATCAACGTGCCTTCCCGGTTGCCCCGCCCACTCAGTGAGATAATTGGACCCAAAAACCACTAGTCACTTTTTACATTATTGGTATATACACAATGCATAATTATGCAAATATGGCCTCTAATGAAGTTGACGTGGGTTTGCATTTCCGCCTGGGCTATATAAGATGCGCAAGAGACGCAACACAAGTTTCATTGACATTTTCCCAGCATGTTCTAGTCTTTTGAAAATGCTGGTAATCGAAGAGTGTAAGTTTTTCGGTTAACCAAACGGTCGTTTCATTGGTGTGTGTGTGTGTGCTACGTGATCCACAGTCTCCAGTGGGACCTGAATGGACTGGAGGAAGACTTGGAGCACTCGAAGGCCCACCTCCGTCAAATGATCGCGGACTCTGACCTCGTTGTGATACAGACATACGGGAAGGCTGTCCCCAAGAAATGCCGACTCAGTCCCGACGGCTGGTTCCAGGTATGGGAATGGGGGACCGGTGAATCTGGGTGGTAAAGCGAGTAACCTGGCACCTCCTTTCTCTATCTTAGATGGCTATGCAACTGGCTCATTATCGGAAGTACAACGAAAATGTCCTTACTTACGAATCCGCCACGACAAGGTAAAATCGTACACGTAATCAATCAAAAGCCTGAATCCCTTAAGTAGAAGCTATGTTCTGTTCACCTGTAACAGTAAAACCTGCGAAAAAGGACCCTCTGAATAAAGGACACCTCTGAATAAAGCACGCTTGGTTCTGCCCCATACTATATTATACTTCCGAATAATGGACACCTCTGATTAAAGCACACTTTGAATGTGTTTCAATGTAGGCTCTACTACAAAGGACGCACAGAGACCATTCGTCCAGTGACTGAGAAATCTGTCCAATTCTGCAAGGTACACTCATCTCTCTCACATGATCCCCAGTATACATACGTATCATCCATTCATTATATTATTTATATCCGTGCTTTTTGCAGGCCTTTGATGACAAGAGTGTGCCCCCAGAAGACGTCAAGAAATATCTAAAGGAGGCTACTGAGTAAGCCAATAAAGTCCCTGGATTACTAGTGAACTATATACAACATATTGAGGCTGGAACATGGCATCATCTTTTATGTAGTACTTGGTGAAATGGGTTATTCAGCATCATGCACATACATATGTTTTCACTTTAAGTACACATATCACTGTTCATCCTTTCTCTCCGTTCACCCTATCAGTTTATAACCCCTTCCCGTCCCGTCGCTCAGTCTGCAGTGTCGTTACAAGATGGAGGCGATGCGAGGACTCGGAGTGGACCGCCATTTGTTTGGACTCTACTGCGTTGCCAAGGGAACCAACACTGACCCTCTTCCCGACCTCTTTACTGACAAGGTAAACATGAAAAGTTTTTTTGTCAGAGTTGCCTGCTTGGCTTCTACACAACTGAGCCTGCCTGAATGATTGCGTATAAAATTTGAGCACGGACAACAATTTTTTGAAGGTTACCTGTCTAATTTGTACAAATGCAAATTTTGGGGAAAGGCGCGAAATTGTAGCACCACCAATTTTCTGAACATTTAACCTCGTTTCATCCCCCTCTCTCCCATTCTGTCAGGCGTTCAATCTCAGGTTCAACCTCTCGACCTCGCAGACTCCGGTACGGACCACGGACCGATGGCGACTGGAACGCTCGTCAGTGTGTGGTGGGTTTGGAACGGTGACAGACAATGGATACGGCGTGTCGTACCTCGTCTACGACGACTACGGTGAGAATAGGGTACAGTACACTGTATGGCTATACTCTTAGAGGTATACATTTACTTTACCTATGCGAATTGGCAGTAGTATAAATTATACTGGAATTTCAACATCTATTGTAATCTTTTTCTCCTCCCTGTTAGTGACATGGAGTGTTCACAGCAAACGCTCAAGCCCGCGCACCGACTCACAGGAGTTTGCAGAGTGCATCAGACAAGCCATGGACGACCTGCGAAGGCTTTTTGACGCCTGATGCACACTACATTCCAACTCATCCACATGCAACACAATGTACAAGACACACAGCAGAGCAGAACAAAAAACAGTGTAGTTGTAGATTGATGGACACAACAAAAGATCCCCTTAATTTAATTTTTTGTATAATTATACGTGCCTTAGCTTTTCTAAAGCAGGCCTGCGCCATACTGCGCATGCGCCAAAGATTGCGCTTGTGCGCAGGACGGCGGTACAAAAACGTCTTGTAGACCGCAACACACTTGTGTGGTGGAAAGGATGGCGGAAAGAGAAAGCGGAGCTGAGTCAGTGCACAGCCAGACGTCCTCCTGCACGCTGGACGATGTCGAACTGTCCGAGCTGATAGGCTCGGGTTCCTACGCCAAGGTGTACCGCGGCGAGTGGAACGGGATACAGGTGGCGGTGAAACAGTTGCACCATATTCTCCAGGACACGAACAGGCAGGACAGAGAAGGGCTCGCTAAAACCTTCCACAAGGAGCTCGGTATGAACATGGAGCTGCGACACCCCAACATAATACAGTTCCTCGGGATCGTGACGCCGCAGCAGCACCGCACGACGCCGGCCGCCGGCAGAGTAGGCAAGGATGCAACTAACAAGCCAGTTCCTGCAGTCAGACGGTCCCGCTCGTTCCCTATGATGGTGATGGAACTCATGCACTGCACTCTGGACGCACGGCTCGCCGAGTACAGGGAAAGCGGTACGCGAATGCCGTTCTCAGAAGCCGCCAATACGGCGACAGACATCGCCGCCGCGCTAGTCTACTTGCACGGAAGGCGTCCGCCGATCGCTCACCGCGACCTGGCGCCGAAGAACGTCCTCTTGTCCGCGTCGGGAACGGCCAAACTCTGCGATCTCGGCGTCGCAAAGTGGGCGAGCGGGAAACCATCGCAGAAAAACACCGAAGGTCCCGGTACACTCCCCTACATGCCACCCGAAGTGCGCTTCGGCAGAAACTATTCTCTACTCGAAGTCGACCTATACTCGTTTGGAGTCACGCTACTGGAGATGAGCTGTGGACTGGAGCCGAATCCAAAAGAGTTTGCACACATGAAGGAAGACGGTTCTTACCAGTTGGTGGAGGAGAGGGCGAGGAGAGAGAAATCGTTTGCAGCTTTGGGTAAGGACCACCCAATGTTGGACACCATCGACCAGTGCCTGCAGAGCACTGTTAGCAAGCGACCGACAGCCAAACAACTGCTCGGCATCTTTCAGGGTACGAGGGGAGGCCTGTCGCCGAAAGAAGAGATTGGCAAAAAAGAATTGCTCTCTGTGCGAGAAAATAGAGAAGAAACTTCGAGAAACAATCGAGGAGCAGGAGAAAGAGATTGCGAGACTCCGCGAGACAAACAAGATGCTCGAGAGCTTTCGCGAGGAGCAGCTCAAACAGCTAAAGACGAAGCTCCAGACGGCGGCGTTGGAGGGAGAGAGATATCAGCTGCAGTTCAGGGAGGTTCAGGAGGCCCTCGACGAGCAGATTGAGACGAATCGGCGACTTGAAGTGACCAACGACTGGGCAAACGACATCAACATTCTCCTGAGGCAGAAGGTTGAGATGGACAGTCAACTGTGCCGTATAAAACCCCGCACGGGAACCTTTCTTGAAAAGGTTATATCCACAGTAAAGTAAGACCTTATTCAACCTCTGCACCATACTTGCGAAAGCTTCTCTTTTGAAATAATGGTGAAGTTTATAACCCTTCTTTTAGATTCCTCGTATGTTGTATATTTATATAGCTACAGTTTTATGATGACAGTGTATAGTGTTTCTGGTCATCCAGTACTGGTGTGGTGATGTAGGTGGACGTGTTTTACTTGTGCTCAGGCCAGCATATACGGTGCAACTTTGTCGAATTGAGACAAAAGTCTCGTGCTATTTTTATGTATGGGTATGATGCTCCATGCAACGAAAACGTCTTTTACAACACAACATTATGCAACAAAACCACACATTGAAGACTTTCGTCTCACACACAACAAGTCTCACTGTTGTATTTTTGTGTGAGTGTACACCAAAAAGCTTCAAGTACTGTGTTGTCCCTCTATCCCAGAGTGTTAGTCTCAAGTACCCAAGCGAACAGAGACCCAAACCGGTCCCAAAACCACGCAGGAGGCCAGGAATGCTTGCTTCCTCCAAGAGTACCGATAAATTGGACGACTTTTCTTCTGATGCCAACTCACTCACTAACAGTTGCCCTGAGCCACCTCGGGCCCTCCACCGGCGTCCGAATATCTCAATCTCTGTCTCCTCCCTCCCTGCCCTGATGACAGAGGAAGGAGGCGAGGCCACCTACCTCCAGCTAGACGAAGTGGCAATGCTAAAGGACGAGCAGAAAAACAGATTGAGAAGTGGCGGTAAATCTCGCAGCGTCTCTGCGATTAACAAACAACGGTCATCGTATGAAAACCCCGATGACCCCATCTACGTGAAATTTCCCGTGACCGAACCCCCCACGCCGCCCCCCAGGGACCAGCCTTTCCGGTTCTCCGACCTCTCGGCCAAACGTGCGACCTCACTGTACAGCAACCGGTCCCAGGACCAGAGGGCTCTGCGACCGAACAGACTCAGCGTGATCGACGAAAAGGACGAGAGCGTTAAGTCACCGCAGGGCCTCATGACTCCTCGAAACCAGCGCACCACGCAGAGTATGAAGAGTCCTCGTGTCAGGAGCGATTCTTTGCTGCTGGAGCCAGATCCGTTTCTTCGCCGGCCGAGTTTCGACCGCCAGCGATCGCGGGGAGACATCCTCATATCAGAAGTAGTCACCTCTGTAAAAGCAAAGGTGAGGAGAAGTCAGAATTGTGAAGTTTATGGGTGGGACACTTTCAGGAGTGCTTTATTGTACAATTGGCAGCAAAAAAATGTCCTAAGCTTGCAAATTAGCAAAACGTTGTCCTCGAGAAAGATTCCCGGTATAGAGGGTACGAATGTTGCACAACAGACGCACATGTTCATTAGGAACCCAAGAAAATGTACGCACAACATTCTACGGAGCATTAAGACAACGCAGGTGGTTAACAAACAAGTTTGTATTATACGATACGTGTATACTGAAGTTATGCCGTATGGAAAGAGAAAGTGTTAGAAAAAGATTGTGCACTCACTCGTGTTTATAAACACAGCTAGTCCCAACTCCACTCGAACTCTCGGTGTTTTTGTTGAAAGGTGTTTGTGGTTGTGATAGAGACGTTTGGCACAAAAAAACGGGGCTTTCCTCCTTGTGTTGCAGAACCCAGGGGACCTATCGGCAAAGAAAGGAGAGCTGGTGAAGGTCACCAACAGCGTGATTGAGAAGAAGCTCTGCGTTGCAGTGAAGACAAACGGAGACAGCGGGACCATCAGAAAAAAGAACCTCCAGCAGGTTGTACCAGGTGAGCAAGCAGTGAAGACACACCACACACACTGTCGATCACTGACTATCTGTCTCATATTTTGCATGTGAAAGTATAGTTTGTAGTAAGGAGGTGGAACTCCTCAAACCTAACTAATGGTATATACAGTAGAAAGCGACCTTCATAAAATGCCCTATTTCAGGCTTTAAATGAACCCCAAGAGTTGTTATCGTCTGTTTGTAGAGAAGTTCTGAGGTGCCCTTTTAGAGTATAATACAACAGTTAGTTGTTCTAAATCTTCTACATTTGGTTTTCTAAAAGACGTAGAATTATTCTCATAAACTATATCTTCCGTGCACCATTCAAAATGCAGTGGACATCCAGTATGACCCCTTGAACCCAGCCACCAGCAGCAGGAGAGGTGTGTTTGACCACATAGCTCGCTGCAGCAACCCACACGACCAGTGGGTGTCCCCGGTCGACACCATGAAGATTATCATCATCCCCTCCTCGCTACACGCCGGTGACACGGGTCTCCTCGTGAAGATGACCGACTACCTCCTCTGCTGTACTGACGACGAAGAGGAATCGAAGTTCGACATTGACTTACGCGAGCAGCGCCTCTTGAAACTGACAGGCTACGTTCTCCAATGTCACCCGGAGGGAAACAACGGCGCCCCGGTACACTGGACTATGGAGGGATCGCAAAACGGACGGACCTGGAGCCACCTCTCCGAGGAATCCGGCGCCTACTTCCGCAGGAGTACCACGCGCTATTTCCCCGTGACGAATCCGACGCCGTGTCGCTACTTTAGACTGACGCAGCTCGGGAAGAATGCGGAGGGAAACTACAGGTTCTGTCTCAGTGGTATGGAATTCTACGGACAGCTCTACTCTTCAGTGGCAAAGGAGAAACACAATGAGCACAATGATTAATAGCACACACACACACACGATAAGTGAAACGATTACTTAGTGCGTCATGTATGAATGTCAGTAAAATATACAACAAACTAATGGAATTTCAAGAGGTGTTTTTGATAAGTCCAGTCAATCCTGTCCCTTACTTCGCGTTAGCTCTCTCCTTGTTGTCCCCAATCTATTTAGAGATAGAGTATTGTATGGTAAAGATGAAAGTTTGAAGTGAGATAGGAGTGTTGGAGCGACATAAAGGAACAAGGTTGGACTTACAGAGTAGACGTCCCAGCTCTTCTCGGGGTCATACGGCTCCCAGCGACTGGCGGGGAAGATATGCTTGTTTCTCTCGTACCAGGTACGAAGAACCACTTTCCCTGCGTGGGACTGGATGTGGACATACAGAGCAATGAGCATTACACAACCACACACGATATAACCTCGCTATTGCTAATAGCAACACTCAACGAAATACTGTTAAACAACATTATAGTGGTCTGGTCACAGTAGAGCATGGCATTACAATCAGTAAAAAAATGTGTGAAAAAAGAGACAATAAGCCTAGAAATTTGGTCTGGATAAATAGACTAATGACCTCATCTCTTTCAACAGAAGCATCATTCACCAGTCGCACGTCTTCATGGACATCAAATGAGAACAGAGGACCTACAAATAAGAAGGGATCGTACTTCATAATCTTTCAACCAGCCCTATTCCAAGGCTCTCCTCAAACTTTTGGGGGAGCTGCCCAAAATTTTTAGACTTTTCCACTGACCGCTCTTTCCTCTAGCCTTGTTGATGATAAAGTCATAGAAGGAGTAATGCTGTAGACATGAAATACGTATCACAAAATCAATGTTTAAACTTTGGTATATATAAATTTGCTTACGTGTGGAATAATCAGGTCTTCTTTAATGTACATGAGGTTGTCAACTGTGACGGCTCTGTTGGGTAAAGAAGTAACAACAAAGTGTGGTGGGGTTGAAATTCCCTGTCCCACCTCAACTCCGTGAACTCCTTTCGAATGCCTTCCAATACTTTTGCCAGGAACCTGTGAATGGAGTCGCCTTTCTTCATCTGTGGAGGTGGAGAAGGAGAGATAGAGACGGAGAAGAAGGCGAGAGAAGAGAGAGAGGGGCCTTCCATTTGCTCACCTTTACATGTCTACGGTGCCCTGATCCATCCCAGTAGCTGTATGTGATCTCAATCTCCTCCGCTACATTAAAAAACAGCAGAACCCCTCTAATCTGGACACCAACGGCTTAAAGTGCCCATATTAGTGAGGTATCCTCATTTCAGGGTTAAACAAGGAACTGTTCATGGGGAAAGAAACGGTGTCCTTATTAGAGAGGTGTCCTCATTTCAGGGGCATCCTTGGAGAGTGGTTCCACTGTTTGCATAAAGATTGGACTCACCTTTTATCTTCTCCTGCTGGGCGACCCAAGATTGCCGCAGCTCCTCTCGCTCCCTACGCTCTGCCTCCTGGGATCACCTCGAGAAACACATCGACCAATCAAATCACACCTCATAGTCACATAACCGAATCAAACCATCATGTGATAGTCATATTACCACGTGTAGTAATCATGTGAGTCACATGATCTTATGGAGCGGTCATGTGATAGTCACATGACCTGGTAGAGGTGTGTGACGTTGGTTACCTCTCTGTCTCTGTCTGGAAGAAACGAAGTGTCGACTTCAGGATTTTTACCGAGTCGTTTCTTCTTTGGTTTTGGTGGACTTGGTGCTATGTATGGAGAGAAGAAAAAGAGAGAGAGAGAGAGAGAGAGAGAGAGAGAGAGAGAGAGAGAGAGTGAGAGAGAGATGAGAGTGAGGAACAGAGAAGGAATAGAGATGGGGAAAGAAAAGAAAGAGGGGACAGGAGGGGAGGAAGGAGAAGGCCTCTAAACATTGGACAAACCTTCATCTTCCTCATCCTCCTCGTCCTCCATGGCAAACGATAGTGCGCCACCTCCTGGCCTCTTGTGCTGTTTTTTTGCCTCTGACTCACTAAATACATACATACATACACACAACACATCTCCCCAGTTGTGCAGATCAATAGCAAGCTTAACAACTTATAGTGCTGCTAACTTCAGTGGATACCCTCTAAAATTCCGTCTTAGTTTCCGGAATTGCATGGCTCGTGACTTACACTGCTGATTTATTGGCCAGTTTCGCAGCGACCTGCTGTTCTCGAGCCTTCACCAGAATCTCCCGTCTCTCTTTCATCTCCTCCAGAGTAAGTAATCCTGTAGCATAGCGGAAACACAATCATATTATAGCAATGGGTTCAGTCAGAAGTACAATCATAAAGGGGTTCACAGCTTACCAGCGGTACTGGACTTGAGCTGCTCTTCCACCACGTCAAAAGAAGTGGCAAACTTGTCACTGACCTCAAACTTCGTGGTCCCATGCTCCTGTTGTGAAAGTTGGTGGTATTCTACGCATGCGCAGAAGTTGTACAGCAAGAAACGCACTTCGGCTATCTTCTTTTTGAGAAGCTCCAACTCTTCCTTCTGCCTCTCTCTCTGTTTCATAAGATTAACCGCTCGGCTCCCCTCCGACGCCGCTCCTTTGTAGTGTGCCATCCTCCCCTCTCTTGTCCGCGCGATCGACTGCGCGCGCGCACACCACACGCGCGTTATAAAATTTCTTTCTCAAATTTCGCTAAATTAGAAACTCCAATCTACTGCAGGTTTTTCATGGTTCAAAGGAACGTCTACATTGTCCGACAGCTTAGTCTCTGCAGTTGAAAGTATCTGCGAAAGAATAAAAATATATTCACCAAATTTACCATGTAGTAGTAATTTACATCGTCAAAATCTTTGTCGAGATATTTTCCGATATTTTCCTCCGATTTCTTGTCGAGGGAACTGATCAAATTTGATACGAGAACAGAGACCTCAGGACAGTAGTGGGACTTGAGAGTCTGCAGAAAGAGAACAAAATACTTGAAGTCACCGTCTTCGTATAACCCAGCCATCAATACAATGTAGAGGTGCATCCGTGTGTGTATGGAGAAGAGAGAGAGAGAGAGGGGAGGGGGGATGAGGCTGGTAAGTTACGCACTGGGATTTCCCAGAGACAGCTCTCCAGAGCCTGACACCTAGCAAGGTCCCTCTCTTCCACGAGGAAAGGATCGTTATCCAAGGATACCCCTATAATTGAGAGAAAATCGATTTCAAGTGTATACAGTTAATTAACAGATTATAAACTTACCATCAGTGTTGCTACGGTGGAGCAGAACTCTGCAGTTTGGGTGTCTCTTTAGCAGATTAGTCACAAACACCACTCCCACCATTACTCCTGTCATGTGACCACATGCAGCAGGTCATGTGATCATCATGTGACCAATTACCTTGTGGGGGTGCACTCAGAGCCAACCGAGCTATCTTTTTGGCGAAAGCTGCAACCATGTACAGTGGCAAGTGCCTGTAAAAATTTGAGATGTTACACAAAAATTTTATTCAAAATTATTTCTGGGATTCACGTGGAACTGAGGAAGGTGTCCATAAGACTGAAGAATCGAGGCATGTACTTGACATGGAACACAGACGGCTCCAGCAACCCGTACAGTTTGGAATAGAAATCCGGATAGTCCCTGTAGTAATGTACATATATACCACATTATGGGGAAAATTGGAGAAGAGCGATGATAATAATAATTTGCTCCATGGACTGCACATCCCGGTGTATAAATGGTCACCACTATAGACAAAATGCCACTTTCCCGCCATACAAAATTGTGTTCTTTACCACGGGATAATGCAAGACTCACAGGTGGTAGTGGTGCATGAGAATGAAGAGTCCATTGAGAGCCAGCAAACTCACCACTCCACCTGAAAAAACAAACGCCTGTCTTCAGCTCATATAATACAAAAGCCACCGAAACCCTTGGTCGATTAGACGCCCCCCAAAACCCCCCCACTTTCACATATCATTATACCAGTGTCGTATGAGTCCACCAGGAAATCCAGTAGCAGTCTCGGTTCCAGTAGGTGTGGCATCACCTCCGAATGGATGAGGACCAACACCTTCTTGTGCAGTAGTGAGCTGAGCTAGAGGGAAGATGGGGAGTGGAGGAATGGATCTGGTCAGAGGTGCTATATATATATATATATGTGTGTGTATTCAGCATCCACTCATAATCAAGTGGAACCCATCTCTAAGGACACCCCTAAAAGTAGGACACCTCTCCAACAAGGACATATTTTCTTTCCCTCAGAACCATACAATTTATTTTCAGTCCCAAAAATAAGTGTGCCGTGCAGCGGTGGATTATGGAGGATGTGTGGAGGATAGGGAGGTGGCTATGTATATATAGAGGTGTCGTGGGTCTAGAACTCACTGTGAGACGCAGGAATGCCAACCAAGCATCACTGAACCTCTTCCTGTGTTTCTAACAGAGCCACCACGTGCAAAACACAAACACAGGTGGACAAACTTGTTAATCACGAGACAGAGATATCAAGTAATACGTACTTGGAGTGTTTGCACGTCGAGAGCTCTGACTTGACTGCGCGACATTTTGGCTCTCAGAGGATTCGCCACATCTTCCTCCATTACCTCCTCTGCCTCATCCTCTCCTTCTCTCCTCTCACTCTCCTCTTCCTCTTCTCCAGTCTCTCCCTCTTTTCCAGCATCTCTCTCCGGTAGAGGAGGTCGTCCGGCAAAGAGGTCTGTGAGTTGAGAGTCATCAGTTGCCATGTGGGAATGGAGCGGTTGGAGTGCAGCAAAGGAATTCTCGGCAAGCTGCTGTGTCAACTGATGTTTCTGGAAAAATTGATGATTCCTCCATTTACACCCAAGAATGAAAAAATTATGTACACCCTCAATACCTTTTTGAAAGACAGAACACTCCTATATGAAAGAAAACAAACTTACAATTGATTATATCGTACATCAAAAGCCATTTCTTACGCTATATTCTTCATCCAGTGAAACCTAATGTCATCGTAAACGAGGTAGTCTTCAAACCGACCAATGAGAGAGCTCGTGTTTGTTTGGTCGTCGAGGAGACGACCTGTGACCTGGTGAAGTAAGGAATTTGGGAAGGAGTATGAGTGAAATGTGGCAATGTGGCAAGTTCCCTCAGTCTTGATCAGCAATAGAAGAGAATTCAGAGCTGCTTCCTATAAAAAGGACCACAACAATCTTGGGATCACGTGATAGTCTGAATGTCACCTGAACATCACGTGACTCGTGTGCTAGAAGCGTGAGGAGCTGCTCTTTACAGGAGGTGTAATTTTCTCTCATCCAGTCCCTAAACTTGACCACCACGTCATTCTGCGAGCCCTGGACCCCAGCCTGCTGCTTCCTACCAGCTGGAGAGTTAACTAGCCACGAGTAGTGTTCTTGGATTAGGTGCCCGTAGGCCGTAGCGACCGCTCCGCATGACCACTTCACCACTCTTGCTCGCCGAGACTGTAATATAACTCAAGTCCATATACGACCATGTGTCAGCGGATTTGCGCGAACCTGAAGATAGTCCAGGAGGTCGACGAGATTGTTGGCGTTTTCCTTGCTCTCTATAGCACCTTTGGCCAGGGCTTGAATGCTCGCCTCTGTCACTCTCGCAGCCATTATTTCAAACGACAACGCCCACACCCGCGTACTACGTGGGCGGGCTCTATTTAGAACACGGCACCACGTGGGTGGGCTCTGTTTAGAACGATCACCGTTTTTTTAAGGGCTGCAGCTCGTTGGGTAAGCTGCTAGCAGTGTACTATGGCCTCTCCGTGTGGGTTCCAAGTGACGGGGACCGTTCCCACTGGACTGGAGCGCTGCGCCGCCGAGGAGTGCAGCGAAATCCTCGGAAGGAGTGTAACGGCTCAGCGGGGATCGATCACGTGCACCTTAGAGTCCGCGGAAGAGTTGGCAAAGGTATATACACACGAGTTCAACGGAGCGTGAAGTCGAACTTCCTGTTTACTCGCAGTTTGACCAGCTGAGATCCGTTGATAACTACCGGGCGGTAGTTGGATCTCTCTCCAATTTTTGCAAAGGAGAGGTATGAACCTCCTTACTGTTTCTAGAGTTTTGAACTGTGAGAGCAGCAAAAAAAATTTTTTTAAAATTATAGACCTAGGCGTTTTCAGCTTCTGTGGTATATAGGTGCATTGTGGGCTTGTCAGGGGTGGATCATGTGGGCTTGTATAAACTGACTATGAAGAAGCCTGCAGCTTTTCCCAGATGGGTGTTACCGAAGTTTTCTGCTGTGCAACTTTTTCACAAGACGCAGTAGTCTGTGCACAGTGTCTCTTTTCACCTGCAGTCTACGGTGCTAGAGAGGCTAAAGACTCTGCCGTTTGATGGTCTACTGGATTGGACAGCTGCTCTGTCACTGTGGCAGTTTCACAGAGATAATCTGGACCATGTGGACACCTCTGGATGTCGGTCGGATCAAGCGGGGGTGAACGGTTCCAAGGAGTTGAGTGGCGATAAGGATGAGTCAACCTCAAATGGTGCTGGCTCAGACAGACAGAGAGAGATAGCTCCATCTCATAACCAGGCAGTTGAAGGGGTTGAAGATACGGTTGAGAGGGCTGCCAGTGCCGGGCAGGGGAAAAGGCTCTACAGCTCACTGTTGCAGAACGAAGGGATTACATTTCGTGTCACTTGCACCAGAGGAGGTCGAAAGCATGGCTTCTCGTCCCCTGAAGCTGCCAGGAGCTTCGGTGCCGGTCTGGCCGATTTCTTCGACTGGAAAGTCCAGTTGAAGAACCCAGACATTGAGGTGCTCCTGGCCATATCGGGTGACGAAGCAAAGGTGGGCGTTGCACTCAACCGGGAGTCAAAGTTCAAGAGGAACATTGCTCATTTCGGACCCACCACCCTCAGAGCCACCATTGGATACGGAATGTTGAGGTGAGAGCATTCATTATGATAGAGAGAGAGAGAGTGACTTGCTGTCTGTTTGTATGGGTCAGGTGTGCAGAGATTCAACCGGGAGATGTTGTATTGGATCCTCTGTGTGGAGGAGGCAGTATAAGTATTGAGGTCAGTGAGTTAACTCTGCATTGGAACTCCTCTAATCCAGACTCCAACTCTAATCCAGACTCCAAATGGGATAAAAGTAGAGAGGTGGCTTTATTGAATTACATGCAAGAGCAGCTAGAGAAATGTGTCCTTATTAAAGAGGTTCTCGAGAGGGGTTCCACTATTACAAGTAGGCTCTGTCCCTTCCTTTTTCTCCTTCTCTCTTTTTATTCTCTCCCTCTCCTTCTGTCACTCCTCACAGGGATCTCTAGCATGGCCCGAGACGCATCACATTGCAGGCGATATCCACCACCTGGCGGTACAGCGTGCTGCAGCCAACATTGAGTCACTGCTCCAGGAGATGAACCACGGGAAAGAGATGTATGCCAGAGGTGTCACACACGGCTGTCTCCGTGTCATTCTTACTCTTCCTCCTGAACTCTGTACACAACACACACACACACAACACACACTAGAAATCATGTGAAGGTCGATGTTTGCCAATGGGACGTGTGCCAGCTGCCACTGCGGACATCGACTGTTGATGTAGTCGTCACAGACCTGGTATTTGCCCCCTTCCCTCTCTCTCTCTCTCTCACTCTCTAACTTTGGCAGGAATATTTCTCTAACTTTGGGATGCTCCCTCGTACACTCTAAAATGCCAAGTGATTTTTTTCTTGCCAAATCTGCCCTCCAAAAAAGTGTCTTCCTATATCTCCTACACTTGTACTAAAACGTGTGCATAAGTTTGTTTTTCTTTTGTTTCCCATTGCAGCCTTTTGGAAAGAAGTAAGTGACACAGACGTGCAGTGATATGTGCATGATACATACGGTGTTGTCTGCCTGTCTGTGTGGGGTGGACTTGGCAGGAGTGGAAGCAGACTGGCTAACTGGAGCCTGTACCCCAAGGCCCTCGGGGAGTTGGCTCGCGTGTGCAGACCTCAGACGGGAAGAGCCGTTCTCCTCACTCACGACAACAAGGCCTTTTCTAGAGCTCTCCAGAGAAATGGGTTCTGGAAGAGGGTGAAGACACTGTGGCTCAACGTGGGAGGACTGCAGACAGCTCTTTACATACTCAACCGCAGCTCAATGCTGTTTCACTGATCACTGAAAGCAATTTTAATCACTCATATTGCAAGCGCATGCGCTTGATTTAACGCATGCGTTAGATAAGGAAAGCTTCCCCTCGCGAGGGACTGTGAACTCTGCGAGTGGCGTGTATGTGCGAGCAGGAGAACGTGTGCCGTCGTCGTGTTGTTGCTGTTTTGCTGCAGTACTGCACACTCTCCTCGTCTATAGGCTCTGGTTTACTTGGGCCAGCGACAGTCTGAAGGGATCGCGGGACACGTAGACGCCATGACGTCCACGCAGAGAGCTGAGGCGCTGTTCGACTTCGAGGCTACGGCCGAAGTAGAGTTGAAGATGCGGGTATGCTCCAACCGCTGTATGAACGCTCGCTGGTAGTCAGTAAGTAGTCCTGGCTCACTGCAGACAGTACGAGCAGATAAACGAGTATTGGTTCGTGAGCGATATTCTGCATGCTATGCTGGGGGGATAATGTTCAGGTGAATAAGCAATTACTGCCTACACATATCTGTCGACCCTTTGTCTCTACTCAAAAAGTACAGACTAAGCTTTGACTCTTCAATAGATGCCCCTACATCCAAAGTCTTTGTGTGCCAATACGTCCGGTGGTAGCAATTTTCGCAGGCCTGCAAACGCATTGAGACAAACGAAATGCTCAGTTGAAATCCCAATAGGTTGTCGGCGACGCTGTCTCTCACGTGTGCACAAGACAGTTTTTCATTTCTGTGACCCACTGTTGCGCTTTGCTAGCTCGCTTGTTATGGGCGTGTTTCTATAAAGGTGTATGTTGTATGTGTTTATATACTGTACCTCGACAAGTTTACTAACTGTTGCAGTGCATGTGCTCTCCTAGCAATGTGTACCAACTCGTGCGCTACAAGAAATGTTTGTCTTGCGTTTGCTTGTAAAGTGCTTTATATAAATAGCTTATATAAGTATCTCCACAGAGAGGTATAACAGTTATAAAATATAGCAGGGTATTGTATTCAGGGGCAGATTTATATTTATGGAGAGGATGCACATACTGGAGTAGTATTATCATGAATGTGGGCTACAATATGACGTGTAAATCTCTTAATGTGTTTAAAGTCCACAGCAATGATTTTGGGTTCAAGCCAATAAGTTAATCGCGTGCTAATAGATCAACGGGCCATTCTGCACCATCTACGGTAATCCTCTCTTCCTGCTGCACAGATACTGTATGTAGTTATGTGTATACTGCATGTGTGTGTGAGAAAGATGATTGATAGAGCATTGTATCCTGGTATATACTGCTTCTGCAGGCCAGCCAGAGTGCTCTTTTTGCTGTATTAGAGCCAAGTCTAGGTGCTATATATATATATATATATACAGCCAGCCTGAATAACCTTCCTGCTTCTCTATAGGCTTTGTAGTGTGTGTGTATATTGTTAACCCTTGACTGATGACAAGCTGCAGCATAGTTACTAGGTGTTACAAATACTTCTACTTACATTCCGCCCACTTCTCTCAGGCTATCTTTATAGCTCATCAATGGGATCTGTGTGTCAAGCGGTCTAAATAAATGCCTGCATTTACTACCGTATGCATGTAGGGAAAGGAAGTACATGCCTCCCATAATGCCTGTGTACAAACATGCCACTACGTCCCTGCACTGCTACATAAGCCAGTATGGGGTTTAGCCACACTAACTTTGTGTAGGTGTGGCAAGGGTATGTAAATTGAGCCCGTGACACGTGTGCTCTAGCTGTTATTGAAACTTTGCACAAAGTGCGGTACAATAATATTGCCCGAGACTTGAGAGTGTTTACAGAGAAGCCTGTTATAATTGACACTCTCAGTAAAGAACACACTTCTATAATGGGAAAGTTCTCAATCCTGGGCTAAAGGTTTACACTATTACGAACTTGGCCGTATAGAGATAGCAAAAGTGTCCATGTCCAAATTTTTCACTCGGTTGATTGTTTGTGTACAGAAAGGCGATGTGGTGGTGGTGAAGCGAATGAGCGTCGGGGAAGGCTGGTGGGAGGGAGAACTGAACGGCAAGAGGGGCCTCTTCCCGAGCTCCTTCGTGAAATTGGTACGTTCGTGACACGACTGAAATTCACGCTAATTAGGTAGAAGTGCATTGATGAAGACGGTAACGGTGTAATGGTGCGTAAGGTGTGCCAAGTACTGACTGTGGAAAACAGTTGTTTCCATTCCATTAAACAGAGTCTGTGCCAAAATTCTCCTCTGAAGCTTGCTGCAGTTGTATGCTCTACTGAGTTGTTGGTCTGTATACTGTGAATAATATCGCACGGAACGAGAAGGAATATTGTGTTCCTCACAGCTGCCTGCAGTTCAGGAACCGATGGAAATCCCCACCTCTCCCCCTGCCCCTCTCACTCCTCACTCCACCAAGAAGGCCTTCATGGACACGATGCTCGCGCCTGAGCCCACCTTGGACGAGATTTACGACGACGAGAGAGCGAGGGAGGTCTTCGTTACTGGACACCATGTGGTATCCATCGAGGTAGGGGGAAATTTAAAACCGGTTTAGAACCGGATTTTTGAGTCTTCATTTCGTTGCAGGTGGGTCCGAGGTGGAAGAGTCGGCCTCCGAAGCTGACGGTGGTCGTCAAGGAGCCGCAGACGGAGCCCCGGTTCAGCGGAATGAAGCACGTGACGTTGTACGACGTCGACACTAGAGAATTGGGCAGCTGTGTTCCCCGAAAGTACAAGCAGTTCCTCTGGCTTTACGACAGACTGGCTGAAAATTTCCCCTGCATTTCTCTCCCGCCTCTACCAATCAAGCAAGGCTCAGGTTAGAGGAAAAAGTTGTGTAAAAATATAAAGTAGTAAAGTCTATGCAATTAATATCTGTGCAGGCGGGTTGTAGCGGCGGTAATAAGAAAAAGTAGTGGAAAAAGTTAAATTCAAGTGCGGAATGGAAAAGTAAAAAAAACACCTCCGACGGGACTCGAACCCGCAACCCCCGGCTTAGGAGGCCGATGCCATATCCATTAGGCTACGGAGGCTCCTGAGAGCGTGGAGTCGAAATGTGCTAATTTATTCATTGTGCATTACTACCACAGGCAAGGAAAGAGGCAAGGAAGGCCGCAGAAAAGGACTGGAGAATTTCTTGCGCAAGGTTGCCCGCCATCCCGTCCTGGGCTGCACTAGATTCCTGAAGGTTTTCTTGACAGAAGACACCAAGTCAGACAAGGTATGTTTGACAACAAAATAATAGCCTAGAACTTTCAGTATCCTTATTTTAGGAGTGGAAGATCGGCAGGCATCTGAGCGGGCACAGCCACAATATAAAGCTACCCAAGACACCCAGAAAGCTGTTCCACGCTCCAGTCTACTGTACCGTCAAATACCCTCCCTACAACGTCCCAGTCAGCCAGTGAGCAGTCTGCTTTGTCTGTTTTTGCAGTGGTCCTTTTTGCGTTGGCAGTATTTTTTTGCGCCAATAGTAGGTGTTTTGTCGGTTGTTTTGTTACATCCTCTGCCTTACCCCCTCTCTTTCTCTCTGATGTAGATTAGCGTCGATCGAAAAGTTTTCGAGGTTCAGTCGACTTCTAGAGAGTAACGTGAACACCCTCCACGTGGCGTGTAGGGGAGTCACAATGTCGCAGCGAGACATGCTGTCCAAGGTCAACCTTCTAGCCAAGGACCTCAAGTGTTTTGGCAAGGGAGTGGAATCTACTGGCGGAGGTGTGTTGTTGATCTGCATGTATCACATGTTGCGGGACGATAGATATACACTTTCTACTTTTGCATGCTTCGACAAGTGTAGGTCTTAGAGAAGCTATTGCAATAAGACATCGGATACTTCCTTTTCGGCAAAGAGTGTAGCTTTCGTGTGTTTTTAAGGATTTGTGTTTTCTGCTATAGCTAACCAGTGAGTACCCACTGCTTTTAGCCATAACTTAATTGGTGGTGTTGTAATTCGAAGCCAACGAGGCCTATCCTGATGCCAAATGCTAGCGATCCACTGCTTAACCGTTGACTTTAGTAGCGCTGCTGTTTATTTGTATTTCAGCCCATCGCCGTAAGCTGCAAGCCAAGGTATCGGTGACGGGTGTGTCCTCGGTGCCCCTCCCCCCAGTGAGTCTCCAGAGCTCCGCCCACACCACGGGGGGCAGCAGTAATGACCTCCTGGGGGGTCCAGGGGGCGATGGGCAGGAGGAGAGCAGTGGGGGAGAGGAAGGAGACACGGGGCCTCCGCAGTGGAACTGGAGGGACGACACGAGGTTTGGACACATTATTCTAAGAGATTACCATAAAACAGGTGTGCGTCAGTTGGAATGCGTACTGAATAAGTCAGACATCTCGTCCTTTGAAATATACGCACGTAAGGAGCCCTCGGGCCCTTTACATGATGACCTCGCTACACTCAGAGTGCCACAATGCAAGGGCCCTCAGGCTTTTAACGCATGTAGATTTAGGGACTCGCCAATTGTATATATATACAGGTTCAGCTCGATGTTGAGTCAGTTGCTGGAGCTGGCCTCAGGGCTGCAGAAGATGTGGCGAGTGTTCCACTCCCACCAGGACTCCATGGAGACCGAGGTGATGGAGACACTCCAGGAGTACTCCGGAGTAATCAACACCCTCCCCGGTCTCGTGCGGCTTCACGAGGAGGCCATGGAGTACTACAACTCCAGTAAAACGAAGGACTCTGTGAGTACACACAACTCCAAAATCAGCACGCAAATGTCATAGTACGCAACAGTAGTAAACACATAGGTTAGTTGTAGCCGTCCTAGTGTTTGTGGAGTAACTCAGTTAGGTCCACAATTCTAATCTGTGTGTTGGAATGTTCGCAAAATGCCAATTATTGCGCATCAAAGGAGGTGGGTTTTATCGCTTCCCAATTCACGGTACTTTCACTGCTCTTAATACCTTGGCTTCATTACCCCCATCTCTCTCAGAAAACTGAAGCAGAGGAAGTGCGACAGAACTGCGAGACACTCAACAACATTCTCCTGTCGGAATTTGACTACTTCAGCAATCACCTGGTCAACGACTTCCCCGCCATGATCCAGCGCCTCCTTCTACAACAGAGCAACTTCCACAGAAAAGTATATTACGTTTACTATCGCTGCAACATCACTAAAATGGAAGTACGGTAGAACTCCACCCTAAGGCCACTCCTGAGATAAGTAATAAGGACACCGTTTCTTGCATTTACTCCCTGAACAAAGGCACCTTACTAACTTTCTTCTGCCCCAGAGACAGAGAATGGTTCCACCGCAGGGATGGGTGTGATGCATAGCTTCATATGGTGTATTGTAACTGTGCCCTCAGCGTAATACTTAGTGTGTGAAGAAAGTTTTTTTTTCTTCAGATGGCCGAAGAGTGGAGCTCACTCCATGCAAGATACTCTGAGCAAATCTCATCATCAGACACCCCCGTTCAAACCTCCTCCTCCTCCTCCTCTTCCACACTGCCGAGAAATCACACAACCTCTGCCTCCCAACCCCACCTGCACACCCTCCATCCTCCTTCCCCCGCCTCACAGGGGGCGCCCTCTGACCTCTTGACCTCCTCCGGGGGGAGCTACAGTCAGGACGACGTCGTCGGCTACACCGCACCCAACCCCCACCACCTACACTACCCCAGTCAGTCCCAGTCTCACCCCAACATCCACAGTCTAGGGCTCGCTTCAAAACCCCCAGTCAACGACAAAACAGCGACAGATGACGTCGATGCGAAATCCGGTCTCACTAGCAGTTCGGACTCTCACGCCGAGACTGCCACGCCCCCTACTGAAGTTGTCGCAGAGCCTCCGAGAAGCCCACGAAGTTACGTGAATTTTGACATCGACGAGCTGAACGAGACGAGTGTTGCGAGTCGAGACCAGCGTCTCAATCGACTCTCGCCTCTTGAGCTGTCCATAGAGAAGGAGCTGGAGAAGACGCACGGAATGACACCGACCAGCGAAGAGAAACAGGTGGGGGACCTGGCAGAGCTACACCCGTACGCCAACTGGCAGTTCGAGAAGATGAACGAAAAGGCGCATAAGGCGCCTGCGGCTGCGAGCACGACGCGAACGAAACCGCTCCTAAATGGCGTTCCGACGGGGAGACAGGAGAGCAAATCGACCACCGGGATCAGCTTCTCTCCACCGAGAAAACCGTTGAAGCCTCCGTCGCCATTTAGACTACAGAACCTCTCTGACCTTACCTCCATCGATAGCTCTTCCTCTGTTACTCCCTCGAGAGAGACATCCTCGCCTCAGAAATTGTCTAAGTCTTCCGAAGAAGATGAGAGTCGGGGAAGGGGTGGTAAATCGTCAGGGAAGGGACACGGTACTGCAAAAGTCTATGAGGATTTAGGCAGTAGAGGAGGATCGGCCAGAAACCCTGACCAGATTCTTCCCTCGCAGCTGAATCTTGGAGGGAAACCGAGGAGCTACACGACAACTTCTCAACTCCTGGCAAAGAAGAAACCGCTTGTTCCTCCCGGTGGAAGCGGTGGCGGTGCGGGGAAGCGAGGCTCATTGAAGTCTCGTCTGGGGAAACGCCACCACCAAACGGAGGGTTCTGGCGGGACAGAGATGCTGGAAGAACTCGAGCGTAGCTACGAAAAGGAGCCCTCCGCGAACCCGTCGTCGTCGAGTAGAGGTGCGTTTTCGAGTCCGGGACAAGAGTCTGGGAAGGAAACGGTGGCGGCAACAAAGCCAGGATCTGAGCTACTGCGTAAGTTGACCCTACGACGACAGAGATTGGAGCAGCAGATGATGGCATCAGGTAGTAAGCACACATCCGGCAGCAGTACCACTACGGGAGGAGGGGACAGTTCTACACGGACTTCCACCTCGAGCACGCAGTCGGAGCTCGTGTGTTCGTACAACATGAAGAGATCGCAAGATGACATCTCCAGTGCTGGTGGTGGTGGGCAGTCGTCTGTTGCCGATATTGAACTCCGATCGAAAGATGAAGGGTCCTTGGCAAAGTATGGCATAATGGAGGAAGGGGGCACCTTTGAAATTTAACGCTTTGTTTGTATTTTGTATGTGTATATTATTATACAATCTCAGTGCAGAGTTATAAGTTTCTGACCTGTTGGGTATTACATACAGGACGCTTAAATACTTTGGTGCCAGTTTGAGAAATGCTCTGTACCACCGGCACCACATAGGACACAGTGTCATGTAAGAAGAAAAAAAATAAGAAGGAGTTTTGCGCACGCGCGCAATCGTGCGCGTGCGTACGCGACGTCTAAATGTTGCCCACCTGGCCGGCTTGTAGTTTGCGTGTGCGATGCTTTCAGAGCCTGATTCTGAAGAGGAAGGCTCGGAATGGGAGGAGGTGAGATTTTCCCGCCGTTGCTTGTCTGCGTATATGTAGTTTCCACGCTCTCTACAGGAGATCGTGGTCGTGGAGTTGAGCGGCGTCCCGAACCCAGACTTGGTGCTTGACAGCAATGGTCCGTGTTCCATTCTGGTGGGTGTGGCCATGAATCTACTTGTGCATGTGGGCGGCAACCTTTCATTCTTCAAAGGGTTTGAGTACGCCTGAACCAGTTCTGCAACTCGGGAGCTACGTCTTCAAGGGAAGATACGAAGGCAAGTTTAGTGCATACCCCATCACAAGAGGAAATTTTTTATCGTTAAGTTATTTGCAGATACCCCTGGAACATGTCTTTTCTTCAGGGAGAATGGTATGAAGCACAATTATGTGGTCATGTAACTGTCCTTTTGTTTCTTAGGTAAAGAACTGCGGTACGAGTGTTCCTCGACCAAAAAGCTGAGTATGTCCCGCGTTGTTTTGAAGAAAAAGCAGACTAGTAGTGCAGCCAACGGTGAACTAGCCGAGAAAGACGGGACATGAATGGCTTAGTCATAGCACACATCCTTGTAGGCATTTGTATTGTGCACTCCCCTACTTACACTTGGCAAGGGAACAGTTGCACATTATTTTGCATTACGCTTTTATATATTCGTTCAAAGTGCAATTGATCATGTGTAAATACTTTTCTCATAGGTGGCCAACATGTCCTAACGGACCGATACACCACACACTACAGCACATTTCTACAACTACTACACTGATCCAGTCCGATCTTTGCCGCTAGTCGGCACCTTCGGGGGCGGTGAAGATCTAATCGCCCAGGGTCTCGTGGTCGAAGGTGTACTCTCCAAGGCCGGGCCCCACCCTCTTGAGCATGGTCCAGTAGTCACCCAGTTGCTTGATGCCCTCGACCTGCTCGTGGAGGAAGTGGCCCTCGATGAAATCGGCCATCTGTCGAAAAAAGAAAGGGCGGATAAACGAGTGGTCGATGTAGTGTGGTGTGGTATTACGGGAGTGAAATTTACACGCCGAAACTTACGTGGAAGTCTCCGTGCTTGTCGGCCACCTTGTGGAGGTCGAGTAGGGCCTGGTTCACCGTCTTCTCCAGGTCGAGGGCGGCCTTGATGGCGTCCTGGCCGCATCCCCACTCGTCCTTGGCCGGTTTCTTGATGTCCTGGAGCACGATCCTCCCGCCGCGCTCGTTCTGGAACTTCATGAAGGTCTGGGCGTGTTCCAGCTCCTCGCCGGCGGCCTTCCGGAAGTACTTGGTGAACCCTGGGAGGGCCACATCGTCCCGCTCAAAGTAGAAGGACTGGAGAGGGTAAAAATGGGGAAAAAATTAGTAAAAACAGAGAGGGACTCGGGTCGGGGGATCTTACCATGGAAGTGTAGGTGTAGAAGGCGTACAGCTCGAGGTTGATCTGTTGGTTGACTGCCTCCTCGGATTCCTTGTGGTAGTTCTGGCGCACCTTGCTCTCGGCCATTTTTCTGGCTTTCTTTTTCTTCGTTCACGCGAGGGGAAAAGGTAGGCTAAATAGCGGTTACACGTAGCGGGGAAAAGCTGAGACGTCCGTGCAGTCACTGCTACAGCAAGACAACTGAGGGAAAATGTCGTCTCCTGCGCTTTTATGCGATCCTCTTCGACGCTCTGATTGGTCAGTTAGGGAGTCACATGATGGACCTTTTGCGCTTGCGCAAAGAAATTCATAGGTTTCCGTGGACGCTACGCGTTCCGATTGGTCGAAAATTGGATTACGTCATCATTTTGACTCTCACTAGTGGTCACATGTTCTTTACCTTATTTGGCCTATCCAGCCACGGTATACACACATGCACTGTAAGCCGTTCATGAATAAGTCGCCGGGTAATAGGTGCCGCAGATTTTACACAACAATCAGTCGGTAAATATTATGGTACAGTTGTCTCTGATTCACACAAGCCTATTAGAGTCAGATAAAAATATTGGACTATTCTACATTTCAGATTGTGTTCTTGATATCGTATCATGCTGCCAGTTGAACGTTTCCAAGGAAACCATGCATGGGGGCATGGCCACGACACTCCTTGAGATTAGGCTCCAGCAAGTCGAGTCCGAGCTCCTGCCAAACGTCCACCACTGATGCCACAAACTTCTCCTGCATCTCGGGGGTGTGGAACGGAGTCGGAGCGATCCGGAGCTTCTCTTTACCCCGTGCGACAGTCGGGTAGTTGATGTCTTGGACGTAGATCCTGTGCTTTTCCATCAGGAGCATGGAGGCAGCCGTACACTTCTTGGCATTGCCGACCTGTGTGTGTGTGTGTGGAGAGAGAGGAAGAGAAAGCAGCGTGATGAAACATTGTGTGTATATACTGTCAGGAAATGAGAACATGCAAGGTGTAGCCACGGAGCAAATTCTTTTGTTCTACTACTAGCAGTGGTCACTATACACTATCCTGATATAATTACATACATATATACATATCGCATCACACTAAGTACACACAACTCCCACAGGCTGGCTACTACAATACTTACATGTAAGGGAACAATGTGGCTCGGACTAGGCAGGGCAGGGAGGCGGGCTTCTTTTAGAAGACGTCTCAGATTGGCGACGGATGCCTGGTGTTTCTGCCTCAGCTCCCTCCCTTCCTCGGAGGCCAGGATCTGGATCGATCTGCGTGCAGCCGCCGCTTGCATGGGTGGCATGGCAGTGGTAAATATGAACCCATCCGCGTAGCTCCGAACCATATCCACCAGTTTTTCAGACCCCACAATGTAGCCACCGGCAACGCCAAACGCCTTTCCGAGCGTCCCCGAGACTATATCGAGTTGATCCATTAACCCTTCCCTCTCTCCCACTCCTGCTCCATGCTCCCCGTAAAGCCCCACTGCGTGAACTTCATCGATAAACGTCAGAGCGTTGTACTTGCGGGCCACTTTGCAAATTTCTTTGATGGGGGAAATATTACCGGACATCGAGTAGACAGACTCAAACGCGACTATCTTTGCCTGGTTCTTGTCGTACTTTTTGAGGAGTGTTTCGAGATGATCCGGGTCATTGTGGTGGAAGATTTCCTTCTTGGCCAAACTGTGTCGCATCCCAATCACCATCGAGTTGTGGTTCGCCGCGTCGGAGAAGTAAACGCAGTCCGGGAGCATCTTCCCGAGCGTGGTGAGCGTTGCGTCGTTTGCCACATAGCAAGAGCTGAAGATGAGCCCGGCCTCCTTGCGGTGGAGTTTCGCAACCTCTTTTTCCAGCTGGACGTGGTGGTAGCTGGTGCCAGATATGTTCCTAGTGCCTCCAGCACCCACTCCATTCTCCTCAATCACGTTGCTGAAAGTGGGCAAAATTATATTATATACAGAATACAGAGAACATATAAAGCAGTCAGTTGTAGATGAAGGCTATAATATACCCTTGATGCAGAAAGAGGAGAAAGTGCAGGCATGCAGAAACAATCATTGTAGCTGAGAAAGGGAGAAGGGAGTGAAGACAGATAGTAGGATAGAGATTTTATAAGGAAAAAAACAGAAATTGAACTCACATTGTTGCCTTTACGACCGCAGGGTGTTTGCTCATTCCCATGTAGTCGTTGCTGCACCAAACAGTCACTTTCTGTCCCTCATCGTACTCCATCCCCGGATCAGGGTAGTGGTTGGCACGGGGGAACTGACGGGCCTGCCGCGCCATCACTCGGAACGTCCGATACGAGTTGTCCCTTCGTTTGGCCTCAATTTTGTCCCCGAAAAATGTCTCGTAGTCCAGTTTGCCACCATCTATATGCAAGAGAAATAGGAGAGAAAGAGAGAGAGAGAGAGAGAGGATAAATAAAGGAATAGCTGGTTGTCTAATTTTAGTCAAGACCAGAAACTCATCAACTCAAAATTTTTGGGTGCTTGATATTGTCCCCGAACACGAGAGCTAACCTTTACCCCAAAAATTAATCCGAGACCAAGAAAAAGAGAGAGGAGGACATACACAAGAAGGTGACAATAGTGTTGTATTTAATGAGGAAAGGAAAATCACGAGTCTGCGTCCATAGAGATGCACAACATGTTGTTACCAAACAACGCCAGTGCTAATATTCATGAACCAAGAGCTAAGATAACAACACCAACATGCCAATTACATCACATGTCACGCCTCGTGTCCTTGTACTAATTTAATTCGCATTCCTCTGTGCCAAATAAGGTTGGTGGTGAATATCCGATACTCAGGGCTGTTTTAGTTACGATGTGTTACGTAACACAGGATACTTGCACTTCCTCACTGGTGTATACATCCTGTCATGACCTTTCCCACAACACAGCTTTCCTACACACCACCCCATGAATGGCATAATACACAATACTCTACTAGCTACTACTAGAGTGAAGCGGATATAGGATAACCAGCTACTATGCACAGAACCCTTACTTCAGTCACATCTTCGAGTTGTAAATGGAGATGTATCGAAATACTGTAGATCCCCACAGACACAAACAAGCCGTCTTTTCTTTTACCCATTGTGACCTTACAAGTTTGTCAGGTGTGACAGGATTTACTAACAGGTTTTAGATCAGTTTTAGTACATTGAGATTTTGTACAACGAATCATGTCAATGTGACACAGTATGAACATGATATTAGCAGTGTTTGTATGTGTGTGTATGCATCCATGTACCTGATAGAGGTACTGCAGGAGAAATGCTGGGGCCAATGGTTCGCTGAACCGTCTCGGTGACCGTGTCCTTCACAAACTTGGACCAACGGAATGGACATTTTCCTGACAGGAGAGGAAGAACAGCACAATAGCAGCATACACAAAAACACACACTCCAAATATTGACACTCTCCCTGCTGTAATAGATGGAAACTCAGAAATGGCAAAACTGCTCCAACTTGACTACTCTCAAGCTAATCATCGACTCACCGACAGGTTGCAAGCCTTGTGCAGCACATTCGCAATTGCCGTCTTTGGTTGCCCGTTTCACTCCGCACACTCCTTCCCTGGGTAAGACCTCTTGCTTCAATTGAGCCGACACGACAGCTTTATTCCCCTCAGATACGGCAGGAGAGGTCTGGGATGCAGGGGCAGCAGTGTGCAGCCGTTGAGATTGGACGGCGGCTCGGAAAGGACACTTGCTCAAGCCTCCAGCACCCGACATTCGAGGCAACGCGTGCACCGACCTGTAGAACTTTTCTGTAAACAATGGAGCGAGGAAGAGAGACAGTTTGAATTTAGAGCAGCTATTCCAGTACACTATAAGATTAGTATCTTTGCCACCAAACACTCTTTTGCAGCAAAAACAAACACAATTCTAAGGCTAACTTGCAGAGAAGCAAAGGCTGTGCATTCTGCTAACTCTGGCCGTGCAAAAGAGGGCCATGTCACGTAGCTCTACTGTAGATACAACTCGAGTAGAAGAGAAACAAAATAGAAGAGGCTTTTATTTGAACGCTGACAAGAGAAGAAAAGGCGATCCAACATTACACTCTTTCCAGGCTGTTGAACCGCGGCAAGATTGATGATGGATGTTCGCCAAACACAAGAAAGACAGTGGAAATTTTAACACCAGCAATAACAGTAAACCCTGTAAACCTCTGCATTCCAAGGCCAAATCTTCCCAGCACCAAATCGAAATTGTGTGTATAGCTACCAGACCACAATGCATGGACATGTAGAGGAGGCACGCCATAGGTCGCCAGCCCCGCCTTTTCGACTCACCCAGCGACAGTGTCTTGGTCAGTGGCGCCCGGTTGAAGCCTCCGGGAGCTGCTCGGTGGAACATGCGAGCCATGACTGGACAGCGCTGGCCGTACATGTTGAGAGAGGGCCCGGCGTGACCGAGGAAGGAGGCTGGGACGCGGGCGAGGAACGGGCACTTGGCGGAGACTGCGTTCACGGACATATTCTGCTCCTCGTCGAAGTTGCGGAGAATTATGTGTGGAGTGGAGGTCGCCCTTGAAGGGAAGGGAGGAAGTAGAAGCACGCAGAGAAAGTGGGAGGATAAGGTGGTTGATTTTTCAGGGTTTCTGAACTTTGAACTCTCCGCGATATTGTCACATGACCCCACGTGACCTCAAAAGGTGAAAATGGCCACCTACTTCAAAATACGGGGAGGAGATCGCCCACTTTGAGGTGTTTTAGAACTCACTGGACGCCGTTTGGCACCATTCTCGCGTCTAGGGAGACCTCATTTACCAAGCCAACATCGACCGTGGTCGTTTTATCACCGGCAAGCGGGAAAAGGTGCATTGGTCCAACCGGTAAGCTTTTTGGCTCCCAAAGTTGCACGTTCGGCAGGACATTCATGGGCGTGGTGAACGAGCGGTGTCCCGACTCGTCCAAGCCTCGAGTATGAGTGAAGAGCCATCTTCTGACTCACGAGGAATAGCCAAGAGTCTCAGAGGCCAGAAGCCACCCTACGTGTGTCCTCACTGCTCGAGGGAGTACCAAAGTCACACTGGGATCATGTACCACATCGGCCAATTCGGTCCTCCCTCCAAAATCCCTCGGTGTCTTGCAGAGCCTGGTTCCTCGGCAGCCTCCAGCCCACGAGGACCTGCATGTGGGACTGCACCACCATCGCCTGCTACCGGTTGCATAAGGAAAGCAGCCAAGGTACCGCGACGAGACCTCACTTGGGCCGAAGCGCAGCAGATCGTGGAGTTTGATTTCGACACTTGCTACCAGCGGCTCGAAATTGACACAGAGGTTGAGATAGAGAGACAGAGCACAGAGGAGGATGTGCCGGGGGGCAAAAAGAAGGGGTCCGGAGCCAAGACCCCTCAGAAGAGGGGCCAGGGGTTGACCCCGCAACGGAGATCGGGGAAAAATAAAGGGAAGAGGAAATCGAAACTGAAGACGCCGGGGAAGGGAGACATTGTTCCTCTACCAGTAGCTGATGTTCAAGTCTTGGAAGGAGTGGAGTCTCCTGATGCCCCGCCCCGCTCAAACTCGTTTTACCGGTTTGTCGAGACGAGCGCCGAGGACCTTGACGAGTTGGTGGAGTACGATATCGACGAAGAGGATTCGCAGTGGCTCCAACTGGTTAATGAGGATCGCAAACAACAGGGGCTGACCGCCGTCCCCCAGGAAGCATTTGAGATTCTCATGGATCGATTGGAGAAGGAGTGTTTCTTCGAGAGCCGGACAACGGGAGACACGAACGACATCTCCATGTACAACATCGACGAGAACGCAGTCTGCGTCATTTGCAACGACGGAGAGTGCCACAATACGAACGCCATTCTGTTCTGCGACATGTGCAACCTGGCCATCCACCAGGAGTGCTACGGGGTCCCTTACATTCCCGAGGGACAGTGGCTCTGCAGGCGATGTCTCCAGTCGCCCTCGCGCAGCGTCGACTGCATATTATGTCCGAGTAAGGGAGGAGCTTTCAAACAGACGCTGGATGGTCGGTGGGCCCACGTCGTCTGTGCCGTGTGGATCCCCGAAGTTCAGTTTGCCAATCCTGTCTTTCTCGAGCCGATCGACGGAATCAAGGAGATCCCGATGGCTCGTTGGAAACTCACCTGCCAGGTATGCCGGAGGAGAATGGGCGCGTGCATCCAGTGTGCCAAGCAGAACTGCTACGTCGCGTTCCACGTCACGTGTGCCCAGCAGGGCGGGCTCCAGATGAAGGTCGAAGTTCAGAAAAACGGAGAGGTGAAGAAGTTGGCATTCTGTCGGCTACACTCGCAAAAGCGACGGCGGGGAAACAAGGGTGCGGGGAGAGAGGAGGGGAAGGAGGAGGGTTTGGATGAGGAGGAAGACAAACAGAGTGGGAAGGACGAAGGGTCTAAAAATGGCGGAAATGTTGAGGAAGACAAGGACGGTGGGGAGGGGGTGGGGGAGAGAGGGGGAGGGGAGGAAGGAGGGGAGGGGGCGGGGAAGAACATCAGTACGGAGAAAGAAAGAGAGGTTGGAGAGAAGAAAGGCATGGAGGAGAAGAAATCTTCAGCTCTACCAGTTGTCAATATTCCATATGTACCACAGCACCGGTGAGTGGGAGCGTTTATAATACAATATACATACTCCAAGATTTCTCTGCTATCTAATCTGTACTGTGGTATATAGTACTAGCAGTGGGTGAGTGGGAAGAACTACAAGAATGATTCCTATACGTATGCCTTCTTTCTCTTTGTAATCCTCCTGTTTTCCTTCCTCTTGTTCATCCACCACACATATGTACACAGTCTGGACCGTATCATTGGTCGCGTGAGCCTCCACAAAAAGTCTCAGTTTATTCCAAAGCTGGTCGGGTTCTGGAAGCTGAAGCGACAGTCTCGGAACGGAGTCCCGCTACTCAGGAGGATGCAGGCCAGCAACCATGGCCAGCGTACAGCAACTGTGAGCCAAAACACACACGCACACGTCTTCTGTGCTTTTAATTGTAGTACATGCAGACACCAATGACACAAGAGAGAAAGTGTTCACATTAGTGAGGTGTCCTTTTTTCAGGAGTTAAATTGCATAGCAAACGTAATTGGGGAATGTATAGGTAATGGATCATAGAGGGAGGGAGGGTGGGGCTGGCTCTGCATTAGCACAGTGTTTGTGCAGCCACTCGAGTATGTCTGTCTTCTCAGAACCTGACGGAGGAAGAGAGAGAGGTTCTGTCTCAGCAGCTGTCGCAGTGGAAGACTCTGAGACACGACCTGGAGAGAGCCAGGCTCCTGGCAGAACTGGTCAGGAAGAGAGAGAAACTGAAACGAGAACAGGTAGAGCCTGCCTCTATCTCTTCCTCACTTTTACTCTGCCTTTCGTTTATTTTTTCTGGAATGAATGCAACACTCTTTGGCGAGCAAATGCAAGTGCAAATTTCAGTGCTTTAACGAGGAATATTAGATACAAGTTAAAGTATGGACAGCACTGTTTAATAGATTTGAAAAGCACGTACTACATTAGATGGTGTTATTCACTTTCCTATTAAAGTTCTCTCTCCCTCGCTCTCTTCGTCCCTCTATGTTTATTTGACCTATCTCTCCCCCTTTCCTTCATTCAGCTGCGGATGCTCCAGCAGACCAACGAACTCCAGCTCTGCCCCCTCAACACAGTCATGAAGAGAATCCTCGACAACCTCTCCAGAAAAGACCCAGCCGACATCTTCGCTGAAACTGTCAACGTTGAAGAGGTATACATATACAACTTATATTCTTCCACTTGTAAAGGAAGAAGTGTAAGAGGTTGAAGAGCTATACTTGCAATAAAAGGCTCTTGATGATACAATATACAGTAGTTTTAGCTTTGCTCTTGCCTTGGCTTTATTACTGATAGAATGTTTCACGATTTCAGTTTGAAGGTTGTCAACTGGGTTGACTTTCTCTCTTCTTTTCTTCCGGAAGGTTCCGGACTACCTCGACGTGATATCTCAACCGATGGACTTTGGGACGATGAGGAAGAGGGTCGACTCCCATCATTATCAGAGTCTGGACGAGTTTGAGAGCGATTTCTACCTCGTCTGGCACAACGCGACCGTCTACAACGCCAAGGACACCATCTACTATCGAGCTGCCATCAGGATTAAAGACGCCGGTAATTTGTTGGGAGACTCACTACCGTAAAACTTGGCAAAAATGATATGCATTATGGGTACCGAGAATTTTCATCGTAAAAACATTCAATGACAGCCAATACGTGGTGCAGTGTGCATTTCTATTGTTTTGGTCACATTACACCCTAATCTAGAGTCCGGTGGGACAGAAGAAGTATCAAGCTTATTTCGGGCAATCAAGAAACTGTTCTTGGGGAAAGAAAAGGTGTCCTTTTTCGAGAGGGGTGTCCTCATTTTGGGGTGTCCTTAGAGAAAGGTTCCACTGTAAATCTCTTCCCCCTCTCTCTCCCTGGCTGACCTGCAGGAGAGAAGATCCTGCAGCAGGCGAGGGAGCAGGTTGAGACGGCAGGGATCAGCCCCGGCACCGGTCTCCATGATCCTGACGTGGCCGAACCTCCTCCCCTCACTCCCTCCACTCTCGCCAAGACCGTCTCTCTCTCGGAGGGCATCCTCGACAATGGTAGGAAACAACAACTGCAGCTTAACGTATTGGTTTTCTAAGTTGTAAGTTAAAAAGTGGCCATTCTACTATCTTCGCTCTTGGTACTGTACATATTGTCCAGCTTGCCGTGTTTTTCATTGCGTCTGTATTTACCTTTGCTTTTCTTGCAATCCGAATCTGAATGTACACACTACTATGTATGTAGTAGTTAGTCCTTATATTCACTGTGATTTTCTAACTACTGCAGAAGTATACTTTATAACCAGTGGTTTGATAAATGCTGCAGAAGACTTTGAGGAGGCGATGGAGGAAGACGTGAAGAAGTTCCGCGATCGTCTCCCGAGTGCCACGCTCGACGAGCAGATCGAATACCTCGAAGAGAAGCTGGAGATCATACAGGTCTGTGTTAGTGATCATGATATATACATAGGTAGGTGGGCGGTGTATTACTCTTCCACATTGAAGTAAAATTATGTGCACGATGCTGCATATATGTAACTGCATTACTCTGCCACATGGTGCAGGGGCAGTATACTGGATACACGCTGAAGAGGAAGGAGAAGAACTTGAGACAGCAGCTGAACGCAGTTCGAAGGCAACTCCGACTGCAGAGACCTCGAACATCAGGTGCACAAATGTCAACACACGTAGAAAAGGAAAAACTTTCGTGAAAGCGTTTTTCCTCAGAAGTTTTAGGCCAACCAATAGTGTGAGGTCTTTCTCTTGTCCACTATCTCTCTCTCTCTCTCTCTCTCTCTCAGATTCAGACGACACGGCATCGTCTCCTCGTCGGCCCCCTCCCTCCGCGGCACCTCGCAACGCAGAGGAACTCGCTAGTCACGTGCTCCACGGCTCGCTTCGCCTCACTCCCTCTCGCCAGCAGATCCTCTCCCACTCCGGCATCAGTCTCCCGGACGGCCCTCCGCAACTCCTCGACGAACGGAGCGGGAAAGACGAGTGTCTGCGTGCGGCGAGCGTCGGTAAAGAAGACAACCGGAGCGAGGAGGGAGAGGAGAGGGAGGGAGTGGCGATGAGGAAAGGAAGAAGAAACAGAGTGTTGGGAAGAGGGGAGAAGGGGAGTAAGGAAATTGACGGAAAGTCTGGAATCGAACCTTCAAATGGAGTACAGTTGAAAAAAGCGAGTGAAACGTACGTCCAGCAAATCAAGAAGCGTGCGCACAAGATCCAGAAACAGAAGGTCCAGAGACTTGCTGCTGCAGCTGCCGGCCAAACACGAGATAGGAGATCGGGGAGAACGAAAACGGCCACGGTAAAAGCTTTAGAGGCGGCAAAACAGCAACAAAACGACGTCCCGCCCTCTCCGCTTTCTGACACTCTCCAGAGCACGAGAAGAAGATTAAGAGGGTCTTACTCGTCAACGAGAAGCTGTTACGGGAGCTCTTCCTCGATAGTCGACTTCACAACCGGCGGTGGTGTGGAGTTTTCCAACGAAGATCGCGTCCTTCTCTCCCCGCTGTCAGACTCTGGACTCTACCACAGTAGACACCAGAAACTCGACACGCTGAGTGTCCCGAGCGCCAGCAGTCTAGACGACCTCACAGTGAAGTCACCTCTCCAGCCACTGAGACAACACGACAGGAACAGACGACACGTAAAGAACTCATCGCAGCAGCAGTCCGCAGGGGGAGAGGGGGTCGGCGAGCACGCAGTGGGGGAGAGGACTGGCGAAGGAGGAGGAGGAGGAGGAGAAGGGGTGGAAGGTGGGGGAGTGGGGAGAGGAAAGGGGGGAGAGAGAAGGAGGAGAGACAGAAAGAGGGCGAGGACGAGGAGAGGGGAAGGGGGAAGCACGGCGAGGAAGAGAAGGAAGATGGGGGAGAAGAAGGCTGCAACGGTGATGAATGGGGTGGTGAACGGTGCACCAGAGTACAAGGTGGTTCTGTGGGACTTGGTTTGGGCCAAATGTCGCGGCTACCCTCCCTACCCTGCTCTGGTTAGTGTACATCTTCATTTGAGACGTCCTGCTTTATAGTATGCTTCCTTGTCTTACCCCTTGAAAAGCCACTTTTTGTTTCTTTTTCCCTTTGTTGTTTTATGCTTCGTTCGTGTTGCGTTCCCCATCCTTTTGACATTGGCGAGAAAAGCGAGGTCATGTAGTCGTTGGGAAATTGCGTTTGTTCAACTAACTAAACTGTTGATCTGTGTTCATGTCTCAGGTCGTAGACCCGGGGATGTCTAGGAAAGGTCTGATTGTCAACGGAGAGAGGATCCATCCTCCGTCGCAAGAGGTGCTAGAGATTCAGAAGAAGATGCCCGGAGCTCCTCACCTCGTCCGCTTCTTTGATGGGAAACGCTCGTGGTAAGTCTTCCTCTTTTCCTCGCTACTTTCTCTCCTTCTTCATTTCTCCCTCCTCCATCTCTCTTGGTATATGCACACGCACAGTGGAACCCCTCTAATCCAGACATCAATGGGACAGAATAAAACTCATTGTAAGGTGCCCTGGTTTCCTTAGAGAAGGGTCTCCAACTGTATAATTTTACAGGTGTCCCCTTTTCTCTTTTTTCGTGTCTCTGCTAACATTTTCAATTGTAATTCGCAAAAAAACGTTTTTCATGTCCCCCAGGCAGTGGTTACCGGAGGAGAAAATAGAGCGTCTCGGGGAAACTCCAGAGCAGGATTCGATCAAAATCTCGATGAGCGGTCACAGCAAGCGCTCGGTCCTCCAGGCCTTCCAGCGGGCCAAGCAGTACCAGAAGAAAGTTGAGAGCAGAGCCTACCCCCACATTGTGGAAAATGACAGTGAAACTGATGATTCGGACAGCTAGTATTCAATAGACGATGCGTTCTGCTTGTTGTTCCCGACCACTGTCAATTGTTTTTTTCGTGTACATGTCCAATCACACACCCGAAGTATACCCTCTGACTACCTCGTGCATCATACTATCATATCGCTATATTACTATTGCTGTACCTCTCACTCCACCACCTATACATTCATCAACCCTGGCCTTTTGTGTATCACACGTTACGTTTCTCTCCTTGGTGAAAATAATTCCACACCTGCACCACCGAAGTACTCGAATTTAGATGGAGTTCTGGCAGCCACAGTCCACGCACCTCGCGTGATGGGGCCCGGGCGGGGCTGGATGTGGAGCATGCGCAATAAAGACTGAGAGTATGCGGAGATATCCGAGAAAGGAGGGCGGGGCTCGGTGCGAAACTTTTGGACAGCTTTGTTTACGGGCTTTCGGCACACAGCTGCAACAACAAAGAGAAGAGAGCGGCGAGTTGGTCTATATAAGAGACCCGGGCAGTAAGCGAGTACCTATGGATCCGCCGGAGACGGACGTGGGCGGAGCAGTGCACGCTGCCGCTGTACAGCGTGAAAACTCAGCAGCTATTGCTTCCGTAGTAATACCAACACTAACGGTTACTGCACTAAAAGAAGAAGCGGCGAGTTTGACGGGAAGAAGAAGCGAGTCCTCGCGGCGAGCAACTATACCGAAGTCGCACTCGGAGGTGCAGCTGCCTGCGGAACTGCACCCAGCGCTCTTGCTGGAGAGAAGTCGGAGAGTCCGCGCCGAGCAGCAAGTGGAGGCGGAGAAGCAGACGTGCCTTGAGCTGACCCGTCTCCTAGAGCTCGAGCGACGGAAGGTGAAGCAGCAGGCGCGTCGGCCGTCGACCATCTCCGACTCGGTGGCAGCGGCGAGGAGAGATTCTGGGGTAATAACCGTCAGTTTCGGCGGCAAGGGGGAAGAGGAGTCGCTGCATAACGGGGAGAGCGAGAGAGAAGAAGGCCTAGAGAAGGAAGAAGGAAAAGACAAAGGAAACGTAAGTATGGTTAAGAAAGAGAGTAAGATGTACACAAAAATTCTGATGTGTTGATGCATAGCTATATAAGATCTGAAGACATAACATTTCAGCAGACCAGCAGTACACTCTTCACAGGCTAGTAGGCCCATAATACAGTAGCATGCTAATACAAATTTACTGTTGAGCTGTCCCCATGAACTGGCTGATCCATCTGTCACACTGGTATACCCAACTAGCTATCAGCCTTAGCTTCACACAAAGCCTTTGTCTTGAAAACTAATTTTACAAGGCTCATTACTCCCACCAATATAATTATATTTCCATGCAAACGATGAAATTATCACAATATGCCACCCCATGCCCTCCTCTATAGACCGAAGAGGGAGAAATAAAGATTTTATCGACGTCCGAGGACACCACTCCGAAAGAAAACAACTTTGGACACCTCCCAACCCAGTTTCTCTTCAACAACTTCTCCTCAACTGTATTTCAGCAGCTTCCGAGGGATCTGCAAGAGATGTTTCACGTCGAACATAACCAAGAAAATTTTGATGGTGTGTATAATTGTCAGAGTCAGATAGGGAGGGAAGGAGAGAAGGGTGGAAGAGAGAGAGGCAGAGAAAGCAGCATCTGGTTTTGTTGTTAATCGATTAAGAAGTCTGATTTGCTATGCTTACTAGCAGCTTTTGGGTCAGCGACATCTGCACAAAACAAACAGCATCAGCCTATTGAACGCTGCCAAAATCACTCCCCCTCTAACTCGATTTCGCCGCGTCATTCCATTAGGGCTAATTTGCCGGCCTTATAGGTGACAAACTGGGCAAAGCTACACGGGTTGAGGTACACGTATCTACCATATACAGGGCCCTCAAAGACGGAGACATTGGGTCTAACTGGTAATCCCGTCATGGGCCACCATAGTGAGGGCTTTTGTGGGAAATGTTGCCAGTCCACAAGCCACTTTAGGTCGTGTTCGCCATGAATGTGTCTTTGTCTCTCCTTACATGCGGCCCTATTGAGTGGGAGAGCAAGGGCCCGTTCAAGTAAGCATCGTGCTAATTGCACTGTTGCTTGTAGCTAGGTCCCTTTTTCAGCCAACTGAGTGCGGAGAAATAGGGTCTGCAGACCCAACTTTTCTCTGAGCCAATTGACTTATCCAGTCTTCATTTGGTCCCAATTGACTTACAATTGTTACAGACCTACATTGGCTTACTAGTCTCCCACATAAATAGATAGTCTACTCATAGAAGAATGATTTCAAGGCCATGACCTAACATTACTCTAAAACCTACAATTTTAGTGCAGATCCAACCCTATAAATTACGGCATTCACATACTTTCTGAATCTGATAGCAATTGGTCATTTACGTAAGCTATTACACATGGGATTTCCCATTTTGGAAAACATATAGTCATCAGTGAAAGTTTTTTTATGTCTGTGTGTCTGTTATTCCCTTCCCTTAGCAGAAGGACAGCCTCCATCAGTCCTGTCCCTCGCCTACAGAGCCATTCGCAGCGACAACCCTCGCCAGCTCCGAGACCACCTCGCCGTCATCGGGGAAGCCATACTGCAGTCCGTGGAGGGGGCGGAGCTTCTTGGGGAAGCCTGCGAGTGCGGTAGTGACGGGTGCGTGCGAGTGCTCCTTGATTCCGGGTGTCTTCCGAATTCCTCTATCAGAGCAGATGGAATGAGCACCATGCACTTGGCTGCGCAGAATGACCACGCCTGGTAGGTATATATATATCCTTCTTCACAGCTGTATCGTTAAATGGGACATCCCGTTTTGATGTGGATCGACCTGCTATGAAATTGGTCACTCTTTGTGCATGATCGTGCAAGTTTAAAAGCATTTTTTTTCTAACTCACAAACTGTTAGTGATACCCTTAGCTAACTACCTTAGTGGTTAAACCGCCAATTAGTCTGTGGTTACACATCTGTGCGTATTATGATGATGTCGTTCTGCAGCTGTATATCACTGCTGTTGAAATGGGGGGCAGACCCTAGCCGTACCGACGGTGACGGTCAGACTCCTCTGTTCATATCTCTCTGCGAGGGATACAGAGAGTGTGTGGACATCCTCGTGGACGCTGGGAGCTCCCTACAGATCGTTACCAAGGTCTCTTACAATCTGTAATACACCTGTATGTTATCGGGGTGCAATTTCAGCTCATCAGAGAGAAAACACTCTGGTTTGAGAGAGACGGGAAAAATGTCTACATCATTGGGAACATAACTGTATAATTATTAAACACTTATTTTTGAGCAAGACTTTAACACAAGTTCTTTCCCAAGGTTTTTCTTACTATACTGTAGCCTTGAATATTGTGTTTGTCGCTTCCAGCGAGCCATTACTATCTACTCCCCATGCACTACACACCTGCAAGACCAAATTATCCATGCGTGAAGTCCCGTAAAATGAGAAAGAGAACAATTTGTTCGTGGCATATGTGAAGAATTCCAAGCAAGGTCCAAGTGCATTCCAAACGATTGCCATTGACAGATGAAGAATGATACCACTGTATTCATCCCCCTACTGGGATTATATGTAATGTTGTGTCCTTCTCTGGAGGAAGTTCACTCGTAAACATTGCATTCCACCTCCACTGTCACTGCCTGACGACGACAGTGAATAGGGTTAAATGGGAAACTTATGAGTGAGAAAATGTTTGTGAAGTTAAGACTGGATATTGCAGGCAACACAAACAATAACTCCTCCCCCTCCAGATGGACTATACGATGCTACATGCGGCAGTGTCTGGAAAGATGTCCGACGTCCTGCGTCGTCTCCTCGTGTCTCTCCGCACGACCCTTGACCCCAACTCCGTCTCCCACGTCATCAACTACCAGGACAAGGACGGCAACACCGCCCTTCATCTGGCAGCCTCTCGTGGATTTCAGGTCAGTGAACTACTGCTATAGCTGCTATAGCTGTGACGGCTCTCTAGTTCTCTGCCTCCCCGGTTCCAACTTCGATTGCCGAAACCTTTATGAAGTATTTTCACGAGTAAAACACTTGGTTTTAGTGAGCTACGCATGCATTGGGGGAGAGATGAGAAGGAGCGAGAAAGAGGGAGAGATGAGACTTTGAGCAAGATAGAGGGAGAGATGAGACTGCAACTACATCTGACACTCTCTATAGTACTCCCCCTCCTGGCACTCTCTCTAACACTCCCTTGCAGCAATGTGTGGAGGTGTTGTGTGGCTCTCCACAGACCATTCTAACAGTCAAAGATCGCTGGAATCGGACCGCTCTTGACATATCCACTGATGATTGCAGGGACATACTCATGAGTAAAGGTACAGAACAATGCATCAGAACTTTACACTTTTTTCTCACCGACTTTACTCATTTTTTAATTTCTTGGCTGACACCATATATTAACAATTGCATATTAACCATTTCTAATTGCAGACAGTAAAGAGGTGGTGGTGTGTGTGCAAGCTAGACTGCCCGACACTCGCCAAGCCACGCCCATCGCAATCGGCCGCACTACGATCCTGCGTCACTACAAGTGTCTCGACGCGGAACTCCTCGCTGCCCAGACACTGGAACAGTACTGCCACAGTCTGAAGGGGCACGTTCCCATTCCCTCGTCTCTGGAATCCGACACGGAATCGAGCCACAACGACACCCTTCAGCGAAGCACTAGCGGAGGAAATGCCGATTTTTCCTCGAGTCAACCGAGCGGTCGACACGGAAACGAGAATGATGTTGGGTGGGCGGAGTCTCAGCCTCCAGCAACATGGGCAGAGCGGATTCAACAGGATTTGGATTCAAAGGGAACCACAGGGGGGAAAAGGAGCCCCCGGGGGTCGAGAAAATCCACAGAGACAAACCCCTATTACGGGGACCTGAAATTTTTGTGGGGGGCCCAGCAAGAGATGGACAGGATGGATCTCGGGGGGTCCAGTATTGTGAGCTACCGCGTGGGTCCCCTGAGTTGGGCCCCCGGGGAACTGGGGAAGCAGCAGAAGGGGAAGAGTCTGCACGCCATGGTGGGGGACCGGAGGGGGGGTGGGCTTGGGTGGATCACGGGGGGCAAACCCACGGAAATCCACATCACCCTCAAAGGTATGATGTAACGATGACATCATCGTGATCAGTCTGTGATAAAATTTCCCCTTCTTCAGGGCACACGGAAGGTGGGTTGGATCAGCTGGCTTTTGAGCTGATGATCCCCAAGGCAACCCTGCACCATTACATCTCCATGGTAACGGCTTAATCGCTGTCTCGTATCACATTCTTACTTCTACTTCCATCATCCCCTCTCTCTACTTTACTTCTTTGCTTCTTTTCTCTCTCTCTCTCTCTACCTTTACTCCCCTCTTCCCCTCCTTAATTCAACTCCTTCAGGTGATGCGAGATAAGGCGGTGGTATTGCACGGACCCCAAGGTTGCGGAAAGACGTACCTTGCCAAAAGTATTGCCGAGTTTCTCAAGGTACTACATGCATTATGGTAGCATGTTTGCAAGCTCTATTCTTATTTTAACCCTCCTTTCCTCGTTTCTTCGCTCATTCTTCCATGCTCCCCACAGCACAAACTGGGCTCCACCACCACCCACATTCTCCACCTGGCCCTCCACCAGTCCTTCAAGAGAGACGACCTCTTCCGAATGCTCAGACTCAACGGTCAGTTCTCTCTCTCTCTTTCTCTCTCTCTCTCTCTGTTTTATCGTCATTCACTTTTTGCAGGATTGCTGAAGTCGGCGAGCGAGCATGCAGAAAAGGATGAAGAGCCTCTTTCTCAACACAAGTGAGTTGCTTGCATTCAGTTTCAAAACGATTATTCTTGCTGCATATGCGAACTTCGCAACTATGACAAAAAAGCCAGTGTGAGTCAACTATCACTAATTGTTCACAGCTCTCACATCGTGATACTGGACGACCTGGATAGAATCTCGGGCTACTCGACTCCCAGCGTCCTGGGAGAGCTCCTAACGATGCTTAATTATAGGGGCCCCCTCAATCCCACGTGGCTTGACGCCGTCCACAGTCGCGAGGGGAACATTCTCTACCCGGCCGGTCTCTACTTCCTCAAGAACTCTGCCTACTTCATCGCCACCAGGACGCAGGCTAGGTGGGTGTGGCCTACGAACTGAGTGGGTGTGGCTTACATACTGGACCCAGGCCAGATGGGTGTGGCTTACTTTTGGGGGTTTTGTGTAAACCTAAGATTTGGCATATTTATATCTTCCTAAGTGCTCTCTATGCAGAGCCTGTTTGTCGATCACGTTGCATATGAATGTGGATGTGATATTTCTAACTTGATTTGTTTTAACCGGTTTGTTCGGTTATTTTAAGGCTTACAGTGTATGCTGAGTGAGAGTATACTGTGCCATAGCACAGTGGTTTGAGGTTTGCCTTGTGTTGTAGATTTGAACCCTTACCAGCTGAGTTGCCCTGGTAGCTCAATTGGTAGAGCGCTCGCCTAGACTGCAGAGTGTCGTGGGTTCGAATCCCACCTAGGGCAGCTCTTTATATTTCCTTGGAGAGCTGTCCTAGGTGTAGTTGATTTGTTTGTTGTGCCTTTGCCTTTCTACCTCGTAGTTTTCACATACATACGTAGTGCAGCATATACAGACTATATAGATAGGGTGAGTGTACTGACTTGTGGCTCTCTGTTACTTACCAACGTGTTCTCCATGATATGTACCCACAGTGGAGAAGCGCTGCCGGCAGCAGTGATGGATCAGTTTAGTCACATCCCGCTGGCCCGTCACAGCGAGCCTACCTCTGGGGTTCTCTACCGACAGCTGGTGGCCAGGTTGATTCACACAAGGCACGGAGACACTCCTCACAGGTGAGAGAAGAATAAGAGAGAGAACACGATGTGTGGTTCAGTAGTTTCCACATAATTTACCCATTTACCTTGTGTGTGTATGTGTGTGTGTGTGATTGTGTGTGTCTTCAGGTGGGACAAGGTGCACCGCTGTGTGAGCTGGGTCTGGGAGATATGGCAACTCTACAACAACTACATGAAGCAGCTGGATCTCACCGAGCTCTCTCTCGGTAACCATGCCAACACCCGCCAATCCCTGCTCACTCATCATGTAGCACTCTACTACGTAGACGCTACATCATGTCCTACACGACACACACCTGCATGCAGTCTTACCACATCAATGGATACGTACATACACTGCATTACACCTGGTTTTCCTTCTGTTACAGGTTTGAAACACATGTTGCAGTGCCCTGTGGAAAGTGGGAGTTCAGACAACATTCAGAGGTCCGAGTACACACATCCACACCCATACAGTGGAACCTCTGAACAAGGGACACTATATGGAGCAACGATTTTGTCCCTTGTAGAGAGGTTGTCCCTATAATGAATGTATTAGCATGGGGTTGAAACGAGTGTCCTTTGTAGAGAGGTTGTCCCTATAATGAATGTATTAGCATGGGGTTGAAACGAGTGTCATTTGTAGGGAGGTCCTCCCTATCCACTGTATTGTAGCTATGTAGGGCTATATGTAGTACCACACATTGCGAGGCCATGATTGTGGGGTACAGTACATGTCCAATCAAATCACGGCCTCTCTTGTCTCCCCTCCTCTTTCTCTCTGTCTTCAGTTGGCTCAGTCAGCTATGGGAGCACCACGTGGCCCCCAGAATCGAGGAAACAGTCCTCCACAGTAGAAGAATGGAGGGACAGCATCATCAACAGACTGCCCACCTGCTGCTTAGAGCTGTTGTGGACCGAACATTCAGACCAACATGCCCTCTAGGAATTGGAGGTGTGTTTCGCTTTCTTTTTACCACAGAAATACACCCGGAACAATGGGTGCATGTTAAAATTTTCCCTTTTTTCAAGTAAGCAAAATTTTGGCCTAATGTTTTTTCTTGGGCACACATTCACCAGCACACACAATGTAAATTTTTTCATGTGGTCAAAATCGAGGAACAAAAGGAAAAACGTTTTCCCCAACATAGCGTAGTTGTTTGAAGACCCCACATGCTCTTTTTCCTTCTCATTTTAGCTGCTTCTTCACTGCTGGAGAGCCTTTACCCCCTCACCCCCTCCCCCTCTTCCTCCTCCCTCCCTCCCTCCCTCTCATCTCCCTCGTTTCGACGGAGGCACAGCAGCCAAGGGAACGGTTCTCCGGGTTCCTCTCTCGTGTCCCCAGTCCAGTCCATCGGCTCGGTACCTGACATCAGACGTGGAATTGTGAAATCATCAGAGTATGGAAGTCTGGGATCGGAGTCCCCGAACATGTCTCCCCGCACTCCCAAAAAAGTACGTACGTTCATACCGAAATTGAAGAGTTTGTGGCTGTTTCTACACATAACACTTTACAGCGGCCATATTTATAAAATTTCACTTCAGGTGATGCGTGGTGATGGAGACATGGACACTGCGTCGCTGGACAGAGTAAAGCTCAAGAACGGTAAGTCAAAATATCACAACAGGATCCTGTAATACAGTTATAAAGAAAATGTGTCACACTCAATGGTTTTCTGCAAACTGCATCCCAAAAATAGAGCAGTTTCGTGAGTAAATTTTTGAACAGCTATTATTTCATATGGGTGTACAGTACACACAGGGTATCAGGAAAAAAAACTATATAGTTGTCTTTTCTCTTCAATATGCAGCTGCCAGTCGCAAGAACACACTTCGCCGACTGCGATCTCGAACCATAAGCCTGTTCTCCAAGGAGGGACTGGGGCTGGGAGGAGGAGGAGGATTTGGGGAGGGAGGGGGAGTTGGAGAAGGAGACACAAAGAAAGCTGGCAAACCTAAAGAGACAGGCTCCACACTGCCAAGGTGAACCATTATTACTATCCAGCACTCACGTAAAACTGTTGCGATATATGACTGCATTTTAGTACCACATGCAAGCACTCAAACCTAAAACTGTTTTGATATAGTACCGCATGTAAGGTTCTACTCAATCTACAGAGAGTGTTAGTTGCACCCCATAATGTTACGTAACTGTACAGGAAAAGTCCTCTAAGAGCAAGTGTGTTTTTTTTACTCAGAAATATCTCTTTGCCCACAGGATCTTCAAGAAGGCAAAGACCAGACCAGCTCTCCCGGCTCTCTCAGAGAAGCAGAACTCCAAGAGTCCCAAACTGGACCGCGCCCACGACCTGGAGGATTTCTTCGACATGCTCTCCACCGCCAGCTCTAATCGCTTTGACGACCAGCGAAGCCCCGCCCCCAAGGCACTCTCCCAGTCGAGAACACAACCAAACTCCACCTCTGCTGTCCAGGAACCCTCGGATAAGAATCGTGACTCTCTGTCAGGTGGTCTCCGTAAGGGATCTCGACTGGAAAACATTCCTCCCAGTCTTGTCATGTCCATGCCGGACCTTCTGAGTGACGACGAGTCCGATACCCATTCCGTTGACAGTCTCTATTCCACTCCAGAGAAGTCCCAGTCCCATTCCAAGCCTCGGTCCTTGGCCTACGCCAGCGGGGCGTCGTTGCCGCCTCAGAAGGCCCAGGAACAGCACAGGTGCTCCTCTCCCGAAGGTCCGTTGTCAGAGCCACTCCGGAGACGAGCGATCCACAGAGCCGGGAATATAGTGGGAGAGGAGTTAAATAACTCGTCTACTGGGAGCTCACCCCCTGCAGGCAGACACAGAGCGAGTCCTTTGGCTATCACTACTTATGTATACAGTCCTGCGGCACGGAGAAGCATCGAGGGAGATGAGGGGGGTAGCGAAGACATAGGGAAATGGAGTCCAAACCCATCCTCGACTGTTGAGAAAGAAGAGGGAGAGAAGGGGGAGGTGGCAATGCTTGATCGCGAATCCCCAGACGGGAAATACCCGACGGAGGTTCAGGTCGGAGACGTGGGTCTGCCGCAGCGAACATTCCCAGACAGAGCGGCTAGCAGACGGCACCAGAGAGTCCACGTCTCCCCCTCGGACCCCGGGCCCGTCCCCAAGAGGAATCATTACCATTGTGAGAGTGGGGAGACGGGGGGAGGGGTGAAGGAAGGATGGGCGGAGGAGGTAGAGAGGCGTGGCAGTCCCGCCTTTCGCAACCCCGGCGGCAGGCACAGAACATTGTCTCCGATAACAAACACCACGCCCCTTGGCAACGGTCAGCTGCGTCCGAGAAGAGTGCTCTCCGAGGGCGACAGGTGCCAAAGTCTTGAGGAGATTCTGGAGTCGGAAGAAGCCCGAAGCTCTCACATCCTCTTCGACGCTGGGCTAGGATTTCTCAGCACCTCTCCCATCGTGAAGGGGGTTTCATTGCCAGCTAGGGGCCAGTCTTTCTCTGGAGGCAGTCCAAAACTCAACATCAGAAAGCAACCTCCCATCAGCGAACATCACGAAATGTAGAAAACCTAACTCTTGCTGTCACACATCACACGGCTATCTACCCATGTAATGCATGTGCACTCTGAAATTGGCATTATATAGAACTTCTCAGGTCAATCAATCCTTGTCCAAAAGAGGAGAAGAGAGAAGGAATTCTGAAGTGCAAACCCTCGGCGAACTACGCATGCGCGATACTGCAAATTGATGGGCTGGGCAGTATGCGTCGTGGACAGAGACAGACAAACCAACTACCGTAACCCTCGCTACGCATGCGCGCCGAGGGTAATTAGTTGGGTCGCTTTTAACTAACTGGCCTTATCTCTCATACAACAGCAGCTCATGAGCTCTGCAAGAGTCAACAGGGAATCTTAAAATTATGCACAGCTGCCAGTTTTTACTCAATTCTTATAACTAAGCCTTTAGTGCACAAATTATATGTTCTCATCATGCAGATACCAATTTCCATACGTATCGGAATTTAGCAGAATAACATCATTAGCTAACTACCAACATTATATACACATAGACCATAGTTCATGCAGCCAGTTAAACAGTCAATGTTAAGTAGCTAAACTATAATAATAATTATCAAGTCTCAGGCAGTTTCAGTTTAATCTGTTCAGTGTGACTGACACTCAACAGGCTCTTACGGTGCAGGTACTCACACGGTAACGGCGGTCTCTGTTTGAGAAGTAAATTGTTGACATCACATCATAATTATGTCAATTACAACACAATATACTCACCCGGCGGCTGAGTTATATATACTGATCATGCCTCCAAAGACTCCGGGGGCAGTGTAGCTGATGCCTCCTTTGAAGTCATTGAGGTAGCCAGTCCAACGGCACCTGGTGCAGAGATGAGGCGTGTTGCAACACATTCCATGCCACCTGAATGTATTACAACAACAGCAAACAGTCAGTGTCGAATAAGGGACGGCCTTGGGGCATCAAAAGTGTCCTTTATTCAGAAATGTGTGTCCCTTATTTGGAGTTGATAAAATACACTATAATTACAGCAGAACCAAGTGTCCTTCATTAGAGATGTGCCCTTTATTTGTGGGTCTTTTTTTAGGAGGTTTTGACTATAGTTTATGTCAACTGTGATAGCTATATATAATAGAACTTTCTAGAAGCAGCCACCTATAGCTCTTGAAATACTAGCCAGTGTGAAGAAGCCTGGCATTGAAAGGGAGAAACTCACTCTCGGTCGTGTTTGCAAGTAGCTTTGCTCTGGACTCCAGCTAAATAGTAATTTCCAGGGCAGTGGTATTGCCCAGTTGTTGCAATGTTGTTCATCTTGTACCACTTGCAGACACGTTTTGCCGGGTCGTAGTTGTTTCCAGGCATGCACAAAGGTGCAACCTGCAAAAAGTAGAAGAAAGTGAAATATCTCTTTACTAGGGAGTATGTATAAACATTATGGTGAGATACTAGCAAGCATGAAGCATGCATGGCGTAAGTTTACTCACTCGTTTGCAGCCGAAGAGGAACTGACGGTCTTGGGCTCCAGCATTGAAGACACTCCGCATATGATAAAGGGCGAATCCAGCCCCACAAGTTACACTCATAGGTTCGTGCAGTTTATTGTTCCACTGCACCGTTACACTGCCTCCATATCCAACCCCTTTGTCTCCCTCCTCCTCTTTCTGCTGCAGAAAGACTTCCAGCTCGCTAAGAGTGTCGTCATCGGCACTCCTCTTCCCGATCTTAAACTTGTGGTGGTGTTGTTCTGTGGGGCCCCCCATGTCCTCATCATCCTCCGGTGGAACCTCCTCCATCTTCACGAAGCTGTCGCCTGGAGCTTCATAAAATTCCCCGGCAATCTGCTCCTCCACTTCTGTACCCAAGTGCATGAGGTACACCCTTCGCCCTTCTTCTTCGTCCGGGATGGCTCCGTCCTCAGAGCTGAGTAGAGCGTCTTCTTGTTGTTGTTCCCCCATTCCTTCATCCATATCGCCACCATCAAACTTGTCTTGCTGCTGGTAGGAATCGCCTCCATCTTCGCCAAGGAACTCACCATCTTGCATGTCTCCCTGGACATAGTCTTGGGTGTCTGGGATATCTTGAGTATAATAGGACTGGCCACCAGGTTGGTATTCCTGGTTAGGGAGGTTGTGTCCCCATGACAGTGCACAGAGTGCAAGACCGACTACCAGTAGCTTCCTATAAAATAAAATAGGTAATTCTCCAACTCTGTTAGTAGTCGGCTGCTTTACTTACATTGTGGGCCTGAGGCTCGATAAATGTCGCTCACCAAATGTGCTGCAGCTTTTTATACCCACGAAGCGCATCGAAACGTGATCTAGTGCACCCCAATGCCGTGGAGGATTGATTGATCGCACTTCGTATGATAAATTCTGCACCTCCAATGAGCTAACCATCCATACTAGTTATATAAAGTCAGGGGGGTATATACTAGCATTTGTCTGTCCTTCCCCTCTCGTGCACAGTTATGATTTGTCTTGTCTCCCACACAAAGCGGAGTGTTTTGCATTTTATAATGTAACCCGCTGAGTTTGTTGAGTCCCAGTCTAGAATACCGAGTGTTCGGATACCACCAATGGCAGCTCTGGTTCTTTTTCACCCTGGGTGTTAGTTTTTGTTCATACCTGGCTTTACTTGTGAGTCAGGAAAGCCCAAAACTATTGCAACAGGCCTACATACAGAAAGTTTGTGACTTAGTCACACAAAAATTCACAGTGATCAGTTGCTATGTACATGTATGTGGATGTGAGGGGGAGCTACGCTACGCAGGTCACTACGTCAGGCGTTTGATGTTTACAGCAAAAATACCCTTGCAGATGGGAGCAACATAAAATGGTGTGAACATTGCTAACCTGTTTACATTAGGCACCGTTAGCAAACCGGGATAATTTTATGTGCGCTGTTTATCACTCTAGATGACTATGGGGAATTTTATAGATATGAACTAAAATTTGACAACAAGAATAAAATTCAACACATTATAGGTATAGATAAGAACTAACATTTAGTTATGTGAACGAAATTCAACATGATACACACTACACGTTCAGACTATGGCCTACAGCAACTAGCTATGCCATCGGAAAGTATTTCTCTATAAAACTATCAGTCGAGTCTCGAACTACGCAAACAGTTTCTGTTCAATCTCTTGTGGGACACACTGAACCCTCAGCAGAACCTGAGACTACAGGTAGACAACCGGTAGCGTCTGTCCCTGTGTCATAAGAAGCAGTTCATCACACGCTACACGCACGCATGAGCTTTCTATTGCTCCATACTGACTCACATGTAATTGCGGTTGTAGTAACTGATCATACCACCAAAGACACCACGAGTGTAGTAGTTGATCGGTTTACGGTAGCTGTTGAGGTAGCCAGTCCATTTGCATTTGGTGCAGATACGCGGAGTGTTGCAGCACAGCCCCCACCACCTGTACAGAGATAATATACACAACGTCCAACTCTCAAAAATGACCGTACTCTTCTGTGTTACATGTATTACCTCCGAATAAGGGATACCTTTGAAACAAGGATGCATTCAATGTCCCAAGCCATCCCCCAGTACAGCATACATTAATAGCCATCTTCTTCTTATATTATTAGGGTGTACAGTAGCATAAAACCTCCAAGATGGACTCACTCTCGATCACGCTTGCAAGAGGCGCGGCTGTACACGCCGGCGAGGTAGTAATTTCTGGGGCAGTGGCGACCGCCGTTTGATCCATATTTGTTAACCTTGTACCACTTGCAGTGACGCTTCGAGGGATTGTAGCCGCGTCTTCGCACACACGCAGGGGCAACCTGTAAGTAGATCAAGATCGCAGGATAACTAAGAAATCTCTTGCTCGATGCTATGGACTTCACAAACACCTCTTGAGTAAGGGACACCTTGAAGACACCAAAGGTTTTCATTTTCTGGTGGGTCTTTTTCACCTGTAGAGCAGTGTTAGGGTTAATTATGCTCTTACTCGTTTGCAATTGAAGAGGAAGAGTCGGTCCTTGGCTCTGGAGTTGAACACGCTTCTCATGCGGTAGAGACCATATCCTGCACTACACACGGCCCTCAGGGTGCTGTGGTACTTATTGTTCCACTGCACCATCACCGTATCGGACTCTCCCTCCTTCCCCTCTTCTTCCTCCTCCATTTCGCCTTCGCTCTGCTGGAAGAGGGCCTCCAACTCCCTCAGAGCAGCACCGTTGTCTTCATCCTCGCTCTCCCGCTTCCCTCGTGGAAACAAGCCATGGTGGCGATGGTTCTGCTCCGTAGGGTTCCCCTCTCCTTCCTCCGGTTGCACCTCCTCCATCTCGAGAAACGTCTTGCTGGGACCTTCCAGATACTCTCCGGCGATCATCTCCTCAACTTCAGAGTCACCACCGCCCATGTACATAAGGTACACCTTCCTTCCTTCTTCTTCGTCCATGATAGCTCCATCTTCAGCGCCGCCTTCTTGCTGCTCCATCGTACCCTCCCCAAACTGCATCCCATCCCCTAACGCTCCATTCGGACCTTTCCCACCCTCGTCTTCCAGCTGCAGGTAAACGTGTTCACCGACGGTGATCGGGAACTTACCGCCATTTTCTCCTCCCTGTACTTCTCCAAGAACGTAATCTTCAAGATTAGCATCGTCGTAGTCTACTTGTCCCTGGACGTAGTCTTGAACCATAGCATCGCCGTATTCTTGTTGACCCTGGGCAAATTCCTGAAGGTTGCCGCCGTCATATCCTTGTTGTACCTGGCCCATGGTTCCATCCTGCTGATGAGTGGCTGGAAAATCATGGCCCAATGATCCGGTGAAGAGCACAGCGACACAAAGACCAACAACTTGCACCTCCCTGTAGAAGGAAAAAGCGGTCGAAAGCTTTCTGCAATACAAAAAGGGTGTTGAAAAGGGATGTCCCTTTCTTTTGCTCAAAATAAACCTGCTGTATAGCAGCGTCCCATTTCGAAACGGGATACATGTTGCAAAACTCACATGGTGAGTGATGTGAAGATGACAGTGAAGACTCGCTGTGCCCTACGCAGGTACACAGCAACTTTTATACCCTTCCGAAGAACACGAAAACTACGCCAACGCACACGATAGTTTTCAACAACATTTTCCATATTCGCATTAAAAATTCTGTTTCTCCAAATACAAAATAGAAACACAAACACAGGGGGGTGTTCATATAGTTTGCCTCTATATTATATATACAACATGTTCAATGTTTCTCTCTCTCTCTCTCTCCATCATCAGCGAGCTGGTCAGTGTTGTTTAGATGGCTGTGGAGGCCCCCCCGCCCACTAATCACTGGCGTCCTCGTCACTGAAGTATGAGTCTGGTTTCAGTTGCTTCCGCTGTCTCCCACCGGAATGGGACTCGGCAGACCCGGAATGAGACTGAGACTCCTCCCTCTCTCTCATGTACTGACAGTGCCTGCATGATTTCACACAACCATGTGAATTGTCAAAACACAATATTGCGCAGCTCGCTCACTAACTACAATTTGGGTTCAGCATACACTATCGCTATTTGCGATCATCCTCACCTGATGGCTTGTCCCAGCGACCAATCATCTTCTTCCTCGCCGTCTGATTCCGGTTCCATTGCGGTGGCACCGGAACCAGACGGCTCCCCGTCCACCTCACTCTTCTTCCTCTTCCTCTTCTTCTTTTCGGGTTGCGCTCGGTCGCCCAGCATGTTCTTGGGGCAGTGAAAACTCAGATGTCCAAACTCCCCACATTCGTAACACCTACAACGAAAACAAACAAGACAGTGAAACTGAATAGACGTGGTTTTGGCATAAGGAACTCTTGTTGAAGCCATAGCAAGCTTGTCCTATGGCCCGGTTTCCACCCACCGCACAAATATTTCTTGTAAAAATGATGCAGCTACTGCACGATGTTATTCCAGCTACTACTGAATTAAAACAGGTACATGAAAATCCTTTTACGGCATACGGTCTTCCTTGCCTTGTCTTGTCTCTGTATGTTTTTCGACGAATGAATTCGGCTGTCCGCCCGTTCTCCTTGGCGATGCTGACTTTGATGGTGCGTCCAAACAGCTCCTTCATGTTGAGAGCCGAAATGGCCTTGTGAGCCGCCGTCCGCTCAATGTAGAGAACGAACGCCACTCCCTTGCTCTCCCGCGTTTCTTTGTCTCTCACTATGGTAACCCTGTTGTGTTGTCACGTGGAAATCATGTGACAATCACGTGACAATGTAAAATATCATCACCTACTTTGCCACCTTTCCATACTTGTCGAATATCTGGCAATTTACAGTGGGTAAAAAGGAGCGAAAATCGACTCTTTTTGTGAAGGCTTACTTGGTGTAGGTCGTTGTTGGTCAACTCATACGGAAGATTACTGGCGTATACGGTGCTCTTACTCGGAGCCAGTCCCCCACTCATGTTTGGTTGAGAGACAAGCTGAACTCTTGTGTACTTTGGCCTTTGGACCCGTGTGGTGAGAGGTGGATTTGGCGCCAAGCGGTGGCCATGTCAACGGTCGAGGAGGAGACGGAGGGTTCCTCGGAGAGGGAAAGCGGCAACGAAAACTTCGAGAGAGGCATCCTGCGCAACGGTAGGAGGTACACCAACGTGTTCAAGCGCATATACCTCAAGGTGACGTTCTACCTACGTACCCTCTCGCCCTGCGTGTTATATTTCTCGCTCTACATCAGTACGACCGAGAGTTCGACAGCGACGAGTCGGCAGGAGAGATTCTGAGCGATTTGGAAGGTTTTGCCGAGGACGAAGAAGAGATAAACAGACAACAAAGTATGTACACATGAAGGCAAGGCCTCAACCTAAGTGAACTGTCTTCAGTGGCGGCTCTCTCTCTCTCTGTATGCAGGAAAGCAGCTGCCACCATGTCTCCTGCCAAGCCCTGCGTTGTCCTCGGATTCAGAAGAAGACCAGGAACTAACTGCCCTCCTTCACCAGAAAGTCGTCAAGGTGAGTGTGTGTGTGTGTGTGTGGGTGTATGTATTTCTCTGTTTGAATTGTGTCTGAAGGTGAAGAAAGAGATATGCTGGGACGAAGAGGAGGAGAAACTGAGAAAAAAGAGTCAGTTGAAGAAGGTAGTGCGAGCAGACTATTCGTCTTCCGATGCTGAAAGTGAAACCAGTGACAGTGAGGGAACTCGCAGACCAATACGACCGAGGAGGAGGAGGAGGAGGAGGAGGAAACAGTGGAAGAAAGGTTGTGGGTGGGTTTATCTTGATGGCGGTGATGTCTCGGAGACTTTGTACGAGACGGAGTATCCGTCGGAGTGTGACCCCTCACAGGTACAGTCTGAGCCGGAGGAAGTGGGGTGGAGTACCCCACCACCCCGACTGGAGTTACCCCGTGTTGCTTACTCCACACCCCGTGCACCCAAACATCTCCGCCGGCACTCTGCAGGGTTCACGGACGAAGCCATCATCGAACTGGGCAAGAGACTCTCTGCCCCAATCGCTGAACTGGGCAAGAGGCTCGCTGCCCCGATTACTGAAATGGGCAAGACGCTTTCTGACCCTGTTGCTGAACTAGACAAAACGCTACCCGTCCCAACTGCAAAACGGGACCCAATTGCCGAAGAGGACAAAATGCTACCTGTCCCGATTGCCAATCAGGACACCCCGAGGACCGATGAAGGCAGCGACTTTGACAGCGGTGGATTTGTGAGTGGTTATGATTCTGCGAGTGAGTACCTCAGTGGCCCGGGAGAATGCCTTCAACAACGCGACCCAAACTCCGATTCGGACAATCTCGAATACATTGGTTCCCCCAATTTCCCCCTGGTGGGCACTGGCCCCGGGTCCCCCGAACTCCTCCCTCCCCCTCTGCCCCTCTCACCAAGCCGGTTTGACGAGAACTTCCCTGTAATTAGCGAAAACCATCCGCAGGGCACCGACCGTGGAGGGAATGGAAGAAATTTGCAAGATTTAAACAAGTGTGCATCACCTAAAACTGATGAGAGATCATGTGATGGACCACGTGATCCTCATGTGACCTCACCAACTGGCAACACGTATACCAACATAACTTACGTCACCTATTGCACAGGTGGTACCAGCCATTCCTCCTGTTCTACTTGTTACATGCCGCAATGTTACCATTCCTCTCATCACCACCCTCACCGATATCCCTACTGTCACCACCCACCACCCTCACACTTCTCTTCAGCTCCTAGTACTACCACGTGCAACTACTGTCCTCTGGAAGCTGTCGTTAATCGGGCCAGTCCCGATAACATCCACAAACTGGTCGATCCTGATTCGGTTCAAATTCTGGTCAACCCGGAAATTTTCCGTAATCTGGTCGATTTTGAAACCGTCCGCAAAGCGGTCGACCCGGAATCTGTCCCATATACGGTAAATCCGGAAGCTGTGAATACCCAAGCAAAGAAAAGAAAGCTGGACATTGAACAGTCTGACCCATTGCCTAATGGGACAGAGCCGCCACCAAAGAAACAATGCTACTAGATCTGTCACTCATTATTATTAATCTTCTTTCTTTAAATACGTCAAAAATGAAATTGAAAAGTCTAAAAAGTAGTTAGAGAGCAGTTGTAGTGACGTGAGGGCTGCTCTCTCTCTCCATGGTAACCAGCTCGGCCACCATTTCCTTACACCAGGTATCCATGGTAACCTTGGCTAGGTTGTCAGGAACAACTGGAAATATCTGGAGAAAACGAGAGGCAAATTCAGAGTTATGGCAGCTATGGGTGTTCGGAACCACTCTCAAAGGACACCCCTGAAATAAGGACACCTTTTCTTTCCCTAACAAACAGACACTTTCTTCTCTCCTATTAGTATCCAGATTAGAGGAGTTCACTGCATTATGCAAACCTCTTGCAGGTGTCTTCCAGGGAGCTGTGTTGACAATTTCCTCCAGATGGGAAGCAGCTAAAAAAAAGAGAACCAGACAAAAATTTTAAGAAAATCTCTATCTTCTCTGGTTGGAATACTGACGCACCAGTGTGAATGAAGAGAGACCACATTTCTTGAGAGGAACAATCACTTTATCATTCAGATTGTGCAGCACATTGTTGACATGCTGAAATAGAGAGAAAACCATGTTTTACGTCCCTCTCCCTCCCTCCCCTCTCCTCTCCTCTCTCTCCTCACCTTCTCATCGGTGGTACTCTGAGTCAGAAAGTCATGTATGTTGGACACAAAGTTCTCCCAGAACTGGACGATGGCCGGGGTGCAGTCCTGTTCCCATGTCTCCATGTAGTGGGTCCAGATCTAGACACAACAGCCAGCACCATAACTACCTTGTGTACCATTTACTGTAAGGGAAACTACTGATGGAGAACTTCGGGGAATATCATCGTTTGAACATCAACACTCTTCTCAGCCAAATTGTTGTGGAGAAGGGCGAGGCAAGTTGCCTCTAAAAGTCTCGTGGTATAGTGCGTCTTGACTTACGGTAGTAAATGTGAAGAGTAGGTACTGGCTTTGCGACCCCGAGTTCTGGAGAAAGAGAGAAAAATCGATTCAAGAAGTCGTAAATATAGGCCCTGTAGTACGTATCTGCAGTAGCGGGCGTCATTTTGATGTATAGTGTGGTAAATCATTACCTCTGACAAATCAAATGTCTACAAATTTCAACACTGAATAGTTACAACATTTTATGAGCCTGATTTGGGGGCAATAAATATCACCAAACAATGCCAGCGGTGTCATATAATATATATACCTCGCTGGTTCTCCTGATATTCTGTATAGCTCCACGGGTAAGTCTGATGGCTCCGTTTGTCGTGACCTCCAGACTGGCGTCGAGACTGCGCAGTAGCTGACACTGGTCCCCTCCCCCATCTGAGGACTGGTCTGAACTGTACACCTGTGGAGAAAGAGGAGGGAGGGAGGGAGAGGAGGGGGGAGGGAAGGAGGGAGAGGATGGAGGGAGGGAGAAAGATGAGAGAAAAGACAGAGTAGGAAGAAGGAATAAACACTATTGCGTATATAGCAGTGGAACACCACTTGAAGGAAACCACAAAAACAAGGACACCTCCCTTTCTTTCCGTTCTTGCAAGTTTAAGAACACCTCGTCAATATATGCAATCTTTCTTCTGTCCCATCGGTGTATGGATTATATAGCAATGTGCACTCTATATAAGCCCTCTATACAAACAGTAGAACACCTCGCCAATAATATGGAATCTTTCTTCTGTCCCATTGGTGTACATGTATTAGCAATGTGCACTCAATAAGCCCTCTCTCTCTCTATTATAAGCAATACAAACAGTACCTGATGCACGGCGTTGTGGCAGGTAGCTCCCAGCAGCAGCCACGAGAGGATGTGGAGTAAAGAGAGATTGTCGTGCCACCGTACAGCCGTCGACCTCTGGTGAGGACCTCTACTGAACACAACGTACAGGAGAGTCGGTCAAAAATTACGAAGAAGAAAAAATTTTGAGAGGGAATTACAAGAATATTTATCCCTTAAACCTCGAGTAAAAATACATGAGCAAGGAGATAATGAGAGGAAGACAGGTACGTATCTTTCACATTTGAAGGAAGAAAAAAGTTGGTTATTTTGTAGTTTTCGAGGAATCCTGCGGTGTGTTTTTTGCGGGTGGATGAAATTCTCCAGCTAGTAAAAACCTGGGTAGGACGATGGATCTGATGTCTTCATTGATGAGTCTTCTCAAGTAATCGACTGGGGTTCTGCCATGCTGGACCCTCAGGGCCACCAGCTGGGCCATCAGCAGCTTCTGTCGTGCCAGCTCCTGTAGATACTAACGACACGCACACATCAGAGAGAGAGAGAGAGTTAAAATAATTGGTAAAGAATCAGGCTTCAAGCTCGTTTGTTTGCAGCGCTCGAAAAACAAAAAGTGTTGAGAAAAATGGATTGAGTTTTTATCATTCAATGTACTGAACTGAATCGTAGGAAGTTCTCTTAAAGACCATTCTTGCGTGAGGAAAAGTTTAACCACGTGTGTCTATGTGTGAGCATGTTTAAGTGTGTGTGCGTGCGTGTGTTCACATGTTTAAAAGGAAGAAAAAGAGAAAGAAAAATTGCTAGGGATTTGGACGAATTGCGCGGACTGTCTCCTCCACCTGGTCAGGAAGACGGTGGGGGCTGGCATCGAGGAACAACATGCTGTCCATGAAGTCCCACTGCTGCTCGTGAATAGCGTTAAGGAAGAGATCTCTGAAGTCAAATTCGTCCCGCAGTCTTGAGGCGTAGGTTTTCTGGGCCGTCAGACTGTCCACGTAGCTCAAGTAGCCCCTCTCTTCCAGAAGTAGCACCTGAGTGAGACGAGTGATCAGAAGTGGGAGAGAATAGGAGAAAATTACGGTTCGCAGTTGCCTGCCGGAGCCAACGACGCGACAAGAGGTGAAGTCGCGGACATTTCGTAAATGGCACGCACTGCCGCGCAAAATGAGTTGCAATTCTCCCTCTCCGGCATTGTCGAGGTAATATTACGGCATCATAGAAAAGTGTCATGCAATATCATTTTTAGCAATACAAGTCCAAGTTTTGGGCGCAATCTGATTGCCAAGTTGTAATGCCCCTGCAAAGTGTCTAGTCGTAGATCACTGCATTCAGCATACAAATAATGGCCACCAAAATTTCCAGTTATGTTGAGTATATATACCTGAATGAGGCTGACAAAAGTAGAAGAATTAAGACTCTCAGTGGTCTGGTTGACCTTGAGGGCCTGTCGGATTTGACTCACATAGAGACACGCCAGTCGATTTGCATCCTGCACCAACACAGATCACATGACCGTCACATGATCAAGAAATCTGTTCGTGTGTTTGTCACATGACACATGATCAAGGAACCTGGGTCATGGTTGACTGTCACATGACCAAGGAATATGATTTGCCGTGTCATATCAAAAAGTCTTAGTCGTCCGTGACATGATCTGGCAATTTGGTCATGTGACTGTCACATGATCAAGGGATCTGGCCACGTGACTGTCATACCCTGGGAGAGGCGAGGAAGGTCTTGTACCAGTGATGAGCCAGCTTGAAAAGGCCCGCCACGGGGCAGGGCACGCGATACAGGATTACCTCCAGACACGCTGTAAAGGTCTGCATGAAGGAGTGAGCAGCTGGACTACGGAGCAGCGACTGAGGCTGGCGACGAGAGCCGGAGAGAGAGAGAGAGAGAAACAAAATGATCCAGAACGTGTGTGAGCAAATTATACACTGGCAATTAAGTAAGTCGTCCTGTACAGATTTTTTTGCCTAGAGGCACCCCTTCCTGGCAGGAAAGTTTTAGAATGAAAGAAGCGAGGAGTCGATATGCAAAAAATGACGAGGAGTTCTAAATGTAGCCCACCAGGTTGTCGGGTGCCGAGACAAGGACTTGAATGATAAACCTCAGAAACGCGTGGACTGCTTTCTCGTCTCGAAGCAGCTGCAAAAAAGAAGGGATAGGCACATTGGGACCAAAGGAAAGGGAGAGAAAGAGACTTACGTAAGTGGTTCGCAGCTTCTTGCAGAACGAGTCAAGCAGGTGAATCTTTCTGAACATGTGAGAGAGCGAGAGAGGTGTCTTCTCAACGTAGAGGGCAAGATGGACGAAGGAGCGCGGAAGGACGTCTTGCTGAAAGTTGTGAGAGTTAACTGCATCCTGATGCACAGGAAAAAGAGAGTTCAATGTCGGGTGCAAAAATATTTGCAATTTTGTGATTCTGAGTGGAAAATTTTTGCATCCTGTGAAAGAATTTTTTTATACCTGCAAAAAGTAGGTGACAGGAGATGCCATATTGATACCCTCTGCATCCTCTTCTCCTCCCTCCCCTTCCCCCTCTCCCATAGGGGGCGGGGCTGGTAGGGAGGCACTGAGAGCACTGAACACTCTCTCAGCCACGCCCCTCTTTGCAACGCTCCTATTGGCCACACCCTCTCCGTCGTACGAGTGTCCGAAGAGGAAGATGAAGAGACGACGATCTGCGAACTGTGTGACTGTACTCTGGAGGAGGTTACTGGCCACTGCAGTAACTGAACCTGGGGCTTGGTCATCACTTTAGCGTGGGAGGGGAGAGAGGGAGGGAAAAGATCATTACAAGCAACTTTTCACTTGCCACATAGGCTGGTGAGAGTGGCACATTTAATCTTTTCTGGTTAAACTGGAAGTTCTTATTGCGAAAGGTGTTAGTAATGCAGCGTTTGGACCAACCTCGATGTTTGCCATGAGCTTGATTCTCTTCCAGCTTCAATCACCCTGAAATTGAAATTGAAAGCACAATTATGAAATGAGCAACAATCCTCTAATTTCCGACTGACTTGGCGAGTGCAGGGATGATCCGAGACACAAGGTACCCCGAGACCCGCGTCGCTAACCGCTGGCAACAGGTCGCCACGACAATGGCGCAGTTTGTGATGACCTCCTCGGCAAAGTCGTTAGTGACACGCCCACACACGGAACAGAGACCGGAGTGTAGTTTCAGCATGGAACTGGGACGGAGGAACACGCTGCCAAAGCTGCTGATGCTCTCGACTGAATCGACACTAGCCATTGGTTGGAGGGCTTTGTGAGATACAGGAATTGGGCTGGACCTTTGGGGGAGAGTGGGAGGAAGAGAGGGTCAAGAGAGGGAGGAAGGGAAAGGGGGGGAGAGGAGAGGGAGAACAAGAACACAGGCATGCAGCTTTCCTAATGACATACAGTTGGTGAGGATTTGAACAAAACCAAGTTCGGTGTGTGCAGCTGTTACCAACGACTCACTCGTGAAGGGCTGAAGGCGATTCCTCCCTCACTGGGCTCAGCGACGCCCTCCCCTTCTCCGCCCTCGGAACGGTGTGAGACTCCAGAGAATGTGTTGGCTGCGACAACGATGACGCACTCAGTCCAGTGTAACCCACCGCCTGCTTCTGCCTGCTGGACAGAGCTCTCTTCAAATTATAACATTTTTTGCATGGGGCTCCCCACTATAGGACACCATTGACAAGTATTAAAATCTCCACCCACTGTACAAGACACCAATTTCTTCGTTCGTTTCGTTCGTTACTTATTGCAACTTATGTGGTCTTAAACTAGGAAGGTGCGTGATTGCTAGAGGTGCCTGAGTGGAGAAATCCCCCCCCCTTCCCCCCTCAGTTTCTAACCTCCTGATTGGGGGGGCTGCTACTTGCCCCCCGGGGGGCAGAAGGGGGCAAGTGTGCGGGGAGGCCTCCATCGTGTTGAGAGAGATCTCCATGCAACAGCGGACGAGGAAGATGAGGTCGTGATGGAGCTCACTCAGCCCAGTCTGATAGTTATGGATATACTGCGGAAAAACATGGAGAAAAAATACGTCAAAAGGGTAAAAATTTGGGGGGAAAGTTGAAATCAGAGAGTTGATCTACATACAGAAGCAACCCTAAATATTAACACAGCGATACACTACTAATGAGATTCCAAACACGTACAAACGTGCGTAGAGAAACTCCGCACCTTGTAAAGAATGACGTAAAACACTCGCAACCACGGTTCCCTCAGGGAGGGGGGCAGGACCCCCAGACTAAATTCACACCGCGTTCCTTCCCGCCCCCTAGCCCCCGGCTCCAGACACTGCAAAAAGGCCTCCTCCCCTGAAAGAAATACGGGAGACAAATCGAGGGGTTCTAATTTTCGACCCCTCTAACCTGTGGGGGCCGTGCAGGTCACAAGACGATTGAGAATAAAGCTGAGAGCACTGGCAGTACTGAATTCAGGGTTCTGATCCAGGACCTGTAGAAACGATGATGACATCACCATCAACCACACGTGGGTGGCGACCTCACCGGGTACATGTGGTCGATGAAGACGTGGAATACGGGGTTTGTTCGGAGCAATGGGGGGTCGTGGTGGAGCGCCGGGAGCTGAGACAGCACCGCGGGACGCATCTCGGGCTCAATCTGCCACGAGGAGAGGAAAGGAGCGTTAAAACGTGGTCGAGGAAGAAAAGACCGGAGACACACTTACAGAAGATTCTCTGTGAGTTCGTTCCTGCTTCGTCCTCTTTAGATTTTCCTCCGCATTCGACTCTGGGTTGGCCAGATACTGTGAAAGAAGAGGGAAAACGATCAGCTCTTGAAGAAAAAAGGTTTTTGGTGCCATATTGCTAAGAAAGATTGCAGCTGTCGACAAAAGGAACGTCTGAGAAATAATACAAGTAAAAGTGGGTGTAACCTTTAGCAGGAGAGCCAGAGCCAACTGCAGAAGTTCGCTCTCTTCTTCGGGGCTGGCCAAGGAAGGAATGGGGGACGAGGGGAGACCAGAGCTGATCGAGGTCTTTGGTGTCTGTCCACTCAGCTCACTGCCCACCGACTCCTGAAACAGAGAGAGAGAGACTCTAGAACATATCGGAATGTGGTCGCAGGCTGCCTAGGCTCGCTTGCCTATGCCCTTTTAAAAAGTGGGGGTGTGGACGTCAATGGCATGCATGTCGTGCGTGTGACAGATTAATTAGCCCCCTCTTTTGGAAGAACACTGGGAACCTAGGAGAAAGAGACCTTTTTGCTGGCGTGGTCGGTTGTGCTAAATCTGGAGTCAGAAGCGGAGGGAGACATGGAGGAGTGTGGAGTCAGGCAGGAGACGAGGCCCTGGGCAAGGTCGAGGGTCAGCAGCCCCAGTCGCGGAAGAGCCGTGTTGAGGAGGGAAAGGGAATGGAGTACGAGGGTTCGGTGGGAGGAGTGGTCAAGGAACAGCCGCATCAGGAACTTCCGCAGTGGCTGCAACACACAAAATATACCCACTACCCCAACTATAGCTACATAATGCATAGCCAACGGACGCAATGGCATTATCAACCCGATGCAATCAACCAACCCTGAGCGTTGAGAAACTCAGCTAGCTGAAGTGCAATATACCATGTGTGGTGTGTGGAGGCAACGCGTTTTATGGGAGTGCGCAATTTTAGCGGCACATGAAGCAAAACATGAACAATACAAGCATAATCAATCAACCCTCATCCCCATCCTTCACCAAACGATTTGTTGCTTCCATTCTAGAACCTTCCTCACCTTGAGAGTGGAGACAGAGAGGTTGCTAAGGCAGTAGTGGGCTCTGCTGGCAACGCTGCTGGTCCTGTCCTGGAGCAGCTGCACCGCCAGACAGAACGAGTAACCCACCATCACCTAGGCAACAAACAATGACATCGTTGCAAATTCAACCAAATTCGTCCGCAGTTTCTCACCTGAATTCCAACGACACTTGTGCTGGCGTCGTTCCAGTCCAGTTCGGTCTCGGGACTCAGCATGAACTCCAGAAAAATGCTAAACTTCTCAACTGCACACGAAAAATGGATTTCATTGAGCAATGCTTACATGAAGTTTACTGATTATAAAGTGGTTGCATCATGACGTCATAGTTTAAGCCGAACCTGTCTTGAATTTGTCGGTCTTGAGTCCGTCCCGGAATGTGACCCAGCCTGTTGACCTCTCGAGCCCTCTGGACAACTCATGTTCACTGCAGAGTTGAGTGAGTTTACATACATACATACACATATCAAGTCGCGCACTGGTTTTCGCCCCATAGAGAATGTATGGAGGGGTAATAGGAATATGTCAATGAGTTTACTGCTATATGATATGTATGTGGTGATTTACTTGAGGAACTTGAGGCAGAAAAGAAGGAGAGCAACGCAAGATCGTGCGACGTAAGATGACTGACTGCTTAGACACTTCCACACACTGCAGAGAGAGAAAGATGGAGAGAGAGAGAGAGAGGGAGAGAAAGATAAAGAAAGAGAAGAAGAAAAGAAGGTGAGGGAAGGAGGGAGAAAAAGTAAGGCGGGGAGGAAAAAGAAAAAGGGGGACGAGACCGAAATTAAAGAAAACAGGACGAAAGAAAGAAATGCAGCTACAAGGGGAGGTTTACTAACTCCCTGAAGAGGAAGCGAGCCTCCCTAACTGCATCCTCTTCTCCCATGTCGTGGAGGACGCGACACCTTCGGAGGAGAACCATCACACACTGGACCACCTTGTGAGTGGCTTCCGGGTGCAGCTTGGGCTTCAGATGCTGCGAGACGACCAAATAACCACCACGACATTGTATGCAAGAGGTGACTGTACAGGACTCACATCTCTACAGAGCTGGAAAACCAGGTGCAAATCCTCTTCCTCTCCTCCTCCTCCTCCCTCCTCCCTCTCCTCTGACACCTTCTCCAGTAGCCCAGAGAAGGCGGGCGCCTGCTGCGACGAGTCCATCTGCACTGTGGCCATCTTCCTCAGCGGGTTCTTCCGTGGCTTCGACTTTCGGCCGGCGGGAAATCCCGGTCAAAGTCTGTCAGGTCTCCGCTACCGCGAGGGGATTTCCCCCTGTTGCTCACGGCGCCCGGGCTCATCCCCTGCTCCTCCGAACCCCCCCTCTCCCCTCTCTTTCGGGGGAATGTTCCGAATTTCCCGCTGCCGGGGCTCACCACCGACGTCGTCGTGGAAGAAGGCGGGAAAACGTCGGATAATGTTGTCTTTTCGTGAGTCAGCTGCTTTAGTTTTCTCAGCGCCACTTTCATCGAGATTCTCTGCTGCTGTAGTCGCATCGGACGGCCTCCGTCCGTCCCACTCCCTCCTCTCTCCCTCTCCTCCTCCTCCAGCTGTCTCTCGCTCTCTTCAAGCAGCTGAGCGGTGAGAGAGAACCAGAGTGCCGTGGCCTACAGGAGAAGAAAAGACCACCATAGATCATGTCGTGTGTTACGTGCACAGCTGCATAAATCCCCTTATCCCTCTTTCCGCTTCTTCCTATTTCGGACCCACTAACACTAATAAATCCAGTGTATACAACACATACCTTGCAGAGAAGGCACGAGTTTGTTGTCTCGTGGTGATCGGTGTAAGAGTGTTTGGAGCCCCACGGCATCTGAAGCATCTGCAGCAGTAACCTCTTCAACATACCGTAGTCCAACCCGTGCGTTCCCAGCTTCATCTGCATCAAGGTCAATTGACATTCAACGTGCTCTTAATACCGTGATTAACAAAATTATAGCTCGTCTTTTGTATTAACTACACCAGTGCATTATAGCAGGATGATTATTATCTAAAAACTAGTTGAAAAATTTCCAGGCTTCCAATGATTTTGTATACATACATACATACACTCAGATGTGTCACACTTAACGTGGGCACAATTTCTTTGTTTGTTTGTTTGTTGTTGTCGTTGTTGTTGTTTACCTGAGAGAGCCAGATGTCCAGCATGAGAATGGACCTAGTGAGAGAAGAGTTAAGCGAGGCAATGGCAAGTGTGTCCGCCTCCTCCAAATACGACTCTGACACCAGAGCCGACTCACTGTCGCTGGGGGAGAAGGTGGACAAAGGGTTAAGACATTGCTGGGGGAGAAAGTGGGCAAAGGGTTAAGCAATCAATTCAGACGAGTGAGAGGTGGTGGTAGAGGGTAATGTATTGACCCTTTAAACAAGTAAAGATGAGGCTGTGTTCATTGCGCAGTGTTTTTATAAAACAGCACATTGGGTTGGGTCTGACTGACACAGTCACACTCCCAAAAGACTGTATACATGTACCATGCACTTTGTAAGTATTGTACTTTTGATACATATAGAAGCAGGGGGGTTACACATCTCAGGGAGAGAAAGACAATAGGAGGCACACCTGGCAATACTCCCTCTCTCCATCGACTGTCTCCTCTCTTCCACCTGCTCATCGAAAGACGAAGCAACGGACACTTTTGGCTTCGTACCCCCTCCCCCTCCAATACTGCTAGTCTTCCGATGGTTCCCGTGCTCCACGCCACTCTCAAACATGTGATGAATGTACGGCAGTCCAATCTTTAGCCTCGTCAAGTCCTAAGACATAATATATACACACGCAGTGAATTTGGACTGTTATATACACAAAAACCGGATATAGCTGCAATATTTTTTATTAATACGGTTTAGAATGAAAACTTCGCAGAAAAACTTCCATTGACAGCTCTCAAACCGAAACTTCATCACCACCACAAAGAAACAGTGTTGAACACATACAGCATGTATTAGGGTATTTCCTCATAAGAATCCATGCACGCATAGTATTTGGGTTGTGACTCCATTTTCCACCTCCTTTCCTTTCACCCGCTCCTCTTTCTCCTCCTCATCCCTCTCACTTGAAGCCAGAACAGTGCCCTCTGCATCTCGCCACCACCGGAGCTGTCGTCGCCCCTGAATCTGTCCCAGATGAATTCCGCCATCTCGAGGGCCTCTGCGGAGGTGGAGTGGTGGGACAACAGTCTGTGGTAGTGGGTGCACAGGGTGGCCATCTTCCCCGTCTCTGTCCTCAGCTGTACCAGCAGGTCCAGCCACTCCGGCATCACCCTGTTGAAGATCTACAGAAAACGTTTGAATCACCACGTTAAAAACAGTTATACGGCTTCAAATTTGGTAGTTTAAGGGTTAATTGGGATGCAAATTCAATGCAGTGGGTAGTAATTTAGTTAAAGTGAAAGCTATACACACAAATTGTCAGTGGAATGAAATACACACATACCATTATAGTGGGCGTTCAATCTTAACTTTCACATATAATCTTGGAAAGTACATTATTCACTATCAATAAGTAACTCACATTCATAAAGGCATCTCTAGGAATGTGGCTTGACTTGAAATACTGGTACAGACGATTGAGAGAACGTAGAGAGCTCTGGTACCGCACGATGGAGTCACACTCCTTGTCCCTGTGGGGTGTCATGTGACTCTCACACGCACATCATGTGATCTTTAGTGAATGTGAATATGTGATTTGATTTCACTGTATCAAAATGTTGCCAGGTTTATGCCGTAAATCAGGGGACCGTTCTAAGAGATCATGTGACTGTTCATGGAGGTCATGTGACTGTTTATGGAGGTCATGTGACTCACCAGAGTTTCCCGACCTGGGCACACGGCAGTGGGTGCGGTTGAAGAGCAGCTACGAGACAGTCTCCATTTGTCTTGGCCACCTCACAGAGCCAGGTCGTCAGCAGCTGAGAGGAGAAGTGGAGGAGGAGGAGGAGGAAGGGAAAGTATCGCAATAGTAAATTTGATTGTGTTAAGCTTACAGGATCGACGAGTCTAGATATGTCGTTGTAGTTTGAGAAATACTGGAGATCTGTGAAGTAAATTTAAAAAACACACATGGCACCTTCTCTGTCGTATACAAATACACAATATCGTTGGTTTGTGAGCTGACTCAATGCCAGTGCATTTTACCACAAGGTAGCAGATGGTGCATAATTAGTACAGGAGTATTACAATCAGTACATAATCACGTTGGAATGGTTTTGTTAGAGACAGACTGACTCACACTCGGTGACGTCTGGACTGGGGTTGTCAGAGTCGTCAGTCTGCGGAGACGAGGGGATCTCCTCCTCCACTTGTCTCAAGACATCGTAGTAACTCCTCAGCCAGTCCAGAGCAAGGGACGAGAGGCGTACCAGCCACTCCCACTGACCCACCTGTGGAGGGGGAGATGAGGACTTTGTCAGTTGAACCCACGTTTGTTACACGATGTAATAACTAAACACATACCATATATTTTTCAAATACAGTACAATGAAGTATATATGTATGTATACTAATGTTTAGCAAACTGTGCATCCCCCACCCAGTTTGTGAATAGTTTGCTTTCAAGCTTTCGTAAATCGCTAAAAAGCAACTTTTGCACAAACCGTACTGAACATCCTTCTCCTGCAGTTCATTCTGCCTCAGTGTATTTACCGAGACAGGACCACTGGGGGTACAGAACTGCGACAGTAGCCAGATCCCCTCGCGGCTTCCCTCCACCATTAGTTGGTACGGCAGGGCGTGTATCTTCTGCAGGCCCTCCACCAGGGTGTGTGCGGCAGCCTTACTGACGGTGCCTGGGAACGTGGACGTCTTGTGGAGCAACGGGGAACATTGCAACAGTCTGAGAGGGAGGAGAGAGAGAGAGTGTGTGGGTGTGTGTGTGTGGGGGGAGCAACTATGCCAAGGTGTGCCCTTAAATCCATATGCATAGTGGGGGTACATAATCACATTGGCGAAATAATTGTTTATGAAAGTCGTCGTTTACAAGTGGAAAGAGCCCAGTTGCTTTAATGTACAGAACTTAGCGAAGAAATGAGTACTGACTCAGACACGGCCTCCAGCATGGCAGGGCTGGCCGCAGGATCGCTGGACGTCCACGGATTTGGAGGGCCAACTGTGAGACAGATATACACACACCACACAAGACGATGTCAAGTAAGTGAATGAACAAGTTCACAGTTCTCAAGATTGACAGTCAATTCAGGGAGGCAAGGTTGGTTTTGCCAGACCTCTTCCCTACACAACAGCATCCAAGGCCTGCATTTACTCCCAATGTACACAGTTTCCAAGCTCGGTAATACTGATTGACAATACTACCAGCAAGTTGTACACATCGCTACGGCAGCCCCCGTGGGACAGACTGACCTTGATACATATGGCCGTGGTCCTCGAGATCTGCGTGCTGTTTGGAGTGACAGGCTCGACACATGCGGATGGGTTGCCCCCCTTGTATGGCCGTGCAGCGCTTGTCGTAGCACGTCACCTCCGCCTTGTTCACCTGACTCTCCTTCCCCAAACACTTTTTCTGAGATCACATGACCACAGTACAGAGTCATGTGACTGTCACGTGAACAGCATGTGTATTATACATGTACCTGGAATTCGCAGTTAGGCTTTACATCACCTGTAAGTCATGGTATACACAATTAAAACACTTTTGAGTGTGAATATTTTCCACAAGTTTATTTTTTGGGTGGAAATAAAATTTGACAAGTTGCCAGTCGTTGGCTATAACTTACGGAGAGGACTTGGGATTTGTAGTGTTGGGTGACTGTCGTCTGAATCAGCAACTGATCTGAGATTACGAGAAATTGATACCGACAGTATGAAAGGAGGGAGAGAAGTACGTACATAGGAGAGAAAGAAGGACAGGGGAGGGAAGGAGAGAAGAAGGAGAAGAATAAAGAGAGAGAGAAAGTAAGACGGATGGCGGGAAAGAAAGAGGGGAGGAAGGGAGGGAAATAGAAGAAGGGAGAGACCTGTGGATGACAGAGTGGCATTCGTGGCAGAGAAGGAGGTAGAGTTTGGGGGACCCACGACGCTTGTGCCGAGCGACGCACGGAGCATTCAGACACAACTGAGAGGGGGAGGGAGAGAGGGAGGAGGGGGAAGGGGATAAGAGTACAGCGAAACAAGATATGTTGGTCTGATAGTACATACCGTAGATGCCTGGGCGTCTCCACGACGACAACCGACATTCTCACAATCAAGAGCCTGCCATTCTGTGTGTATGTCTGAATTTGCTAAATTCATACAGAACACACTCCTTACCTCCATAGGGAGAGACGTTATGGGAAATCTCAGAAGAAGGTGGCCAGTAATGGAGAAGTAATTTTAGAGCGTTGTGGACAGCTGTCTGCGTTCCATGGGCGATGAGAGAGAGAATATCGGTACAGACGTCTCTCTTGAGGAACATGAGTGTGTCGGTCGTGAGGAGTTGGTGGCGGGGGGTACAGGTCTCCAGGACTAGCATGAGGGTGGACGTCATGCCCCCGGGGGGCAGTGAGGAGGAGTGATTGGCTGATGTGGAGGAAATTGGAAGGGGAGAGAGGGTGTGTGTGTGTGGAAGGGGGGATTAGAGAAGATGAAACAGTATAATAGGGCACCAACATTTTAAAGGCACAATAAGGGTATATATATACATACAACGATTTCGCATTTATTGTAGGCACAAGAATGGAAGAAGAGACAAACCAACTATCCTTAATACTTTTGCTACAGTTGGAGTATGGAATGGTAACATCTGCTATCTCGCTGCACCTATCCCTATCTCGCCCAAATTTCGCTGTCCCTCCTAAATAAGGGTGTCAACCATTTCGCATTTATTGTAGGCACAAGAATGGAAGAAGAGACAAACCAACTATCCTTAATACTTTTGCTACAGTTGGAGTATGGAATGGTAACAGGTGCTATCTTGCTGCACCTATCCCTCTCGCCAAAATTTCGCTGTTCCTCCTAAATAAGGGTGTCAATCATTTTGCATTTGTTGTAGGCACAAGAATGGAATAAGAGACAAACCAACTATCCTCAATACTTTGACTACAGTTGGAGTATGGAATGGTAACATCTTGTTATCTCGCTGCACCTATCCCTATCTCGCCCAAATTTCGCTGTCCCTCCTAAATAAAGGTGTCAATGATTTTGTGCAGTAGTAATCCAGTAGTGGGTATATATGTGGTGGTGGTGGCTTACAAGAGCTGGCCTGGAGACATGTGGGCAGGATGAAATGGCAGAGTCTGGAGAGGATCTCCTGAGAGGCCTGAGGCCACTCCGGGCAGGAGAGGTGGAGGAGGGAGGAAGAGAAGGTGAGAAGAAATGGGTAGGGGCTCCCTTTCTCCACGGCCAGCAGGTAGCACAGAATATCCAGGAGAAGAACGCCCATCTCTGTGGAGTAGAGAGAAAGAGAGAGAGGGGAGGATTCAGTGGAAGACGTGATTGAAATTGGGAACGGAACGTACTTTGAAACACAAACATTTTGCTGTACACTGTAATTAGATGCAGTGTAATACGTACTTTTGATGCATACAGTTTGGGATCGTAATGGTGCATGAGAATAGGTATAGTGGGGGATGAAGACAGGGAAAATAAGAAGATAGAAGAGAGGCAGTGGGAAGGGGGGAAATAAGAGGGTATTATTACCGGGTTTGTTGGTCTTGATGTGGGGCATATAGGACATGAGTCTGGGGATGTATTCAATGGCTAGATAGTAGAGTGCCATCCGAGCTCCTTTACCCACTGTTACTTCAGAGCCTTCGCTCCCTCTTCTCTTGTGCTTCAATACAGCACTGTATGTGTATGTGTGTGTGTGTATGTGTTGGACAGACGAACTGTGTACCATTATAAATGCTGGGGAGTGCGCAATGCAGTGCGGAGTAACTGCCAAATGCTGGGCCTAACTTTTTCGTACTTTCAGTAAGATCGTGGTGGGAAGGGCTGGCCAACGAACCATTCTGAATGTCTTGACTACAGCTGGAGGGGAATGACCGCGTAAAATTGGGCTTAAATGTTTCGTAAAACATGGAAGAAAAGAACAGACCAATCAACCCTTCCAATTGCCTTGACTATAGCTAGAGAGTGCAGTACAAAGTTTGGTAAATATCCAAGTTTGCCCACTGTCAATGTGAGAGACCATCAACGATGAAGTTTTGAGACTATCGGACCTTTCGAGGATCTCTCGTATGCAGCTGAGTGGCTGCAAGAAAACCTCTCCGTTTGTCGCCTCGTTCGCCATGTGCAGACGGACAACGGCTGCATATTATAAAGGGAGTACAATAGGTTGCAATACTCTTTAGCTGAACTGAATGCTCACGCCATATGGTATCCACGCTGGATAAATTGGGCGAATCTTCTCTCCGAGCCCTTGCCAGACTTCCCTGGACTGCCGATCTACTGGAAACATCGTCCCACTTGATCTTGTACACAGCCATCGGACTCTGTCTTTTCGTTCCTCGTCCTGAAGTTTTTTCTTTCAAAATTACTGCCCACGCATTTCTTTTCGTTGAATTAGAACGAGAAGACCGTTGCCACGGAAACCGGCTGCTGAACAGGTGATTTTACAGCGAAGACTGGATGGAGCTGAAGAAGATGATCGCTGGTACTCCCACGTCTCTGCAGAGGAAATCAGTGTTTCCGCCTCTCCTCGGGTACGAGCGAGACACTAGCATCTCCAATGGCAAGGGAGGACAGATGCAGTCCGTAGGAAGACAGCCCACGGAGACAGCTTCTAAGCGGGAGAGACAAAGCGTAAATCCTCGGATCTCTCAGCCTGCAATAAGGACAGTGACGAACGAAAGAGACGCTGAGCTCCGCCGGAGACAGCACACGGTGAGCTAAGATGCTGCTAGTATGCCTGGCACTATAGACACTGTGTGGTCTAGAAAGCTGAGGCTCTGGTGAGGAAGTGGGACTCTCTGCTGGTGAGAGAGAGAGAAGACAGACACGTCCAGCTACTGCAGAGACTGGACCTCCAGCGTAAGCTCATTTCCAAGAATGACCTTGCCTTCAGGCAGTCCCTGAGGGATGCCGAGGAGAAAAGATTACAGGTATGATGTACATAGTGTATATATGAGTAAAAAAGTACTGTGTAATAGTTGTGTGTCTGCTGTGTTTGCAGGAGTTTCAAACTCAAAGGGATCAACAGAAGAAAATTATTCGGGACCTTAGAGCCCACGCTAAAAGAAGTTTGTGCATAATTATACCACACTATGTTTCATGATAATCAACTCATGTTGCAAATGTTCTGTATAGTTGACGAGCACAAGAAAATGGTGGCAGAGAAAGCTGAAGAACGGGGGTTTTCAGCCAGCCAGCCAGAGCGAGTTGTGGTGTCCGCAGAACTGAGGCACCTCCAGTTTGAAGAAAACAAAGAGACACACGAAGGTGGCCCAGAAGAACTGCTGAGTGATGGTTTTCCTGCGGACTTTGGCCACACATCACGATTACAGCAGCTTCTTGATTGTAAGTGTTTATTATGTGGTACTGTCATTCTACTACAACGCTTGTAGCTTGCATCTATTATGTGGTACTATGAGCTTTTTGGTTTTTCTACAGTTGATCCAGTTCGTGAAGCAACACCTACTATATCCAGTGCATGGGTTATTTTGAAACACGACCACTCAAGGAAACTGCAACCAATAATGGAATACTCCCTTCACACACGAGTAAGCTTCCACCGTTTTAAATTACTGTGCCCCTTTTAATTATCCACAGGAGCTTGCAAATCCCACATGTAAAGTTTTGCTGAAATACTACGACAACCCCATCAGGCTTTCAAAGAGTGGAGAGGTAACACAATAATTGTCCAGTTTACACGGGAATTATGTTTTCCGACTGCAGAAAGTGCCTCTGTCGGAGGTAGTAGAGGCAGAAGCTCAGATGAGAGAGCTGAATCTGAGAAATGATTCAATGTTGACGCGTGCCCTGGAGTTGAGAACTCGTGGAAACCAGGTCAGGGCTGAGGCACTGCTCCACCGCAAACAAACACAGGTCAAGGTCCCTATTCAAGAGCCAACCATGTACATGCCTGAGGAAGAATACGAGCATCTGGACGAACCACTCCACCACCTCCCACCATTTATGCCATCGGAACGAGAGCCAGTGACACATTCTCCCATTGAACATGTATCCAAGAGAAAAAAGGTGAAATACCTGACAGAGGAAGGTATTCTATCATCCTCATCTTTGGAAAATAGTAAACAAAAACAAGAAGCAGCTAAATCAACGTTTCTAACAGACCACGGTGAAGAATGTGAGAGACCAAGGATGGATTATGTTGTGAATGCTAAACCTGGGTCAAGGTGGCAGCCATTGTCCTGCAATGCAGCACAGGAGTACAGTGGAACGCGTGTGTTACCAACCAGAGTGTTCAGTTCCCAGGGAAATAGCAGATATTCATTATGGAAACCACTATCCTCCCACTACAGCCCATGGAATTCATCACCCAGTTAATGAATGATGTGTCGAATTCTTCCCGCCCAAACCCATGAATCATCTTTCAGCACTTACTTTCTAGGTAGTTAGCAGCAGTTTACACTCCTCCCCCATTTTTTTTTTTTGTCGTTGACTCTCTCCCTTTCTCTGGCACTACATGCTTCATTTCCTACCGCTAGTGTGTATGTGCGTAGTAATTAGTAGCACTGAGAAGGCATCAATTGTAGTTGTGGTGGCTTTGAGAAAAGCCGGTTGAGAAGAAAAAATAAAATAAAAGGAGTTGAAGAGAGCAGGCGCTCTACTTGCTGCTGGTGTATTTGGTGACGGCCTTGGTGCCCTCGCTGACTGCGTGCTTGCTCAGTTCTCCTGGCAGGTGAAGGCGGACGGCTGTCTGCACCTCGCGGCTGGTGATCGTGTGTTTCTTGTTGTAGTGAGCAAGACGGGAGGCCTCGGTGGCGATACGCTCGAAGATGTCGTTGACGAACGAGTTCATGATGCTCATGGCCTTGCTGGAGATGCCAGTGTCGGGGTGAACCTGCTTCAGAACCTTGTAGATGTAGATGGAGTAGCTCTCCTTGCGGTTCTTTCTCCTCTTCTTCTTCTCGCCCGCAGGCTTGGACTTGGTGGCGGGGGGGGCTTTCTTCTGGCCTTTGGAGGCGGCAACCTTTCCAGGCATGATGATCGGTTTGTCGGTCTTCGGCAGAGAAACTCTTCGGAAGGATCGAGAGATCGGAATGTGCGGAGAGAAGGCGTTGGCGGCTTTTATGACGGATTGCCGGATCAGTTGGCCGAGGATCGTTTGGCTTTTGACCAATCAGATTGCGTTTTTTTTTGTCGCCCGCGATCTGAGGTTCAACCGGACCGCATCGGAAAATGGGCGCGACCAATCAGAATCGTTCCTGGCGAGCGGCGTTTGGGGGCGGGACGTCTAAAAAAGCACAAACGGGTGCCAAAATCCCCACTTCGGTTTCTTCCGCGATTCTCTCAAGTTCACTCTCTTCGACAACTCAACGACTTTTCATCGACATGTCTGGACGTGGCAAAGGAGGCAAAGCCCGCGCCAAGGCCAAGAGCCGATCCGCCCGTGCCGGTCTTCAGTTCCCGGTCGGAAGAGTCCACCGTCTCCTCCGCCAGGGCAACTACGCCGAGCGAGTGGGAGCAGGCGCCCCCGTCTACCTGGCAGCCGTCATGGAGTACCTGGCCGCTGAGATCCTCGAGCTGGCCGGCAACGCCGCCCGCGACAACAAGAAACAGAGGATCAACCCGCGCCACCTCCAACTCGCCATCCGCAACGACGAGGAGCTGAACAAGCTGCTCAAGGGAGTCACCATCGCCCAGGGAGGCGTTCTCCCCAACATCCAGGCCGTTCTCCTGCCCAAAAAGAGCTCCAGTGGCTCCAGAAAGGAATAAACTTCTCCCTTTTTATTTTTTCCCTCTCAAACGGCTTTTCTAAAAGCCACCACAACTACAAAAGATCACCACTAGCACCATTTTTATTACCGTTTATATGTGAAAATGTTTCTTATGAAGATCCCAATCAACTGCATAATTAGCTACTCACTCTTCGTTTCGGACGAGAAAGACGGCTAGAAAAGTAAGACATTGCTTGTCTTGCCATTGCCATCATGCATCAACCATCATACATCTATGATGCTAGGTACTATGAAGTGCCATGTCAATCCCTATATATACTAAGTACTAGTGATAAAAAAGGCGGGGAATCACCTTTCAAGGTTTCCCGCGCGCGGCAATCGCGAAGTCGGGTGTTTGTTTTTGCGCATGCGCAGTATGTCAAGATCCGGAATGTAATTTCCTTCCGCGTGTGCATGCTGCATGCATAACCAAAATCCCTCGACCTGTTATAAGATCACGGTTTGTGTAGGAACCTCTAGACCCTAGTTTCTCTTCCACAGAGATCTCTGCGAGTACCGATCGTCGATAAAAGAATCGGCCTCTAGCCCGGGACCCAGCGTGCACACGCAGACTAGACAGCATCCAGCTAGCCCGGTTCCACATACCGACCAGCTAGCTGCCGAGGCTTAGGGAGCAAGAGACGGAGAGAGAGGGAGCTGCAAGCAACAACCAGACAGTGACATGAGTACCACCTTCGACGCGACTGTTCCAGAAGGGTTGACTGAGCTCCTGGAAGAGTTTGCCATCTCGGTGCTCAAGGAAAGACCCAAGGACCTGGTCCAGTTTGCGGCGCACTACTTCCAGAACCTCCACATGTCCCGACAGCAGACAGGGGGAGGAGGCGGCAGCGAGCAGCCCGTTAGGATGGACGTTGAAAACGGTGAGGCGAAATGCCGTCTCATAGATGGCGTTGGCTCTCTATCTAGTTTTTGGTCTTTATTGCGACTAGGAAAGGTGTAGAATTTAGCACTTGGACCGCTCTGTAAGGCGATATATTTTGGCAAAGACGAACTGGCATCAAAGACCCCTGTGTTTTATGATCAGGTGTTGCGATATTTACATCTGGTGTGCGATTCAATTTCTGCACCACAGAGAGCGATGAGGAAGATTTGGAGCCGCCCCTGTCGTATCACGAGGCATTGACGTCTCGCCGGAAGTCAGTGTTTGGAGAGTCCTACGAACCAGACGACGAGGAACTGCCGGAGAAGGTATGCGAGTGTCGCCAAACATTTTCAATGTTTGCTTTTCCCTGTCGCATGAATCCCGTGGATACGTGGAGTGTTTGTTTTGTGGGCTCTTTGTTGCATATCTCCCTCTCCTCCTCCACACACACACACGTAAATTATATATACACACACACACACACACGTATAATTATATACACACACACACACCATATACTGGTTCCTCCCTCTCTCCTTCCCTACTGTGCTATATACGACCAGCTGGTCCATCCCAAGTCAGACTCCCAACGAAGAAGACTAATAGAATCAGTCAAGAAGATATTCCTCTTCAAATCTTTAGACACTGTGAGTGGACTAGACACATTTTCTTGACAAACTGTGCATCCCAGTGTGCTGCTAATGTGTCTTCTCTTTTGTGTGTGTTTTGTGTGAGTGCAGGAGCAGACAAATGAAGTTCTAGATGCAATGTTTGAGAAAAAGGTCCCTCTCTCCTTCCGTAACCCCTTTTCTCTTTGTCTATGTACAGCTCCTTATGTTATACTTTCCCTCTTTCTTTTCTCTATTTAACACACACCTCTCACTCTGCAGGTGAACCGGAATGACAAGGTCATCGTCCAGGGCGACGACGGGGACAACTTCTATGTTGTGGACAGGTAATGGGAATTTCCTCCGCGTCTGGTCATCAGAGGTGTATACTCACAGTTGGTGGCACTCAATTGAAGCTGGAATGTGTGTCTGTTATTGTAGACGCTGCCTGTGGAGTAAGCTGTTACGTAGGCAGTGTACTAGCTAGGGCTGCTCTCTCTCTCTCTCGCTATGTAATTTGGTGCATGTGGTGTGTACATACGCCGAGTCAAAACCAGCTGAAGTCTTATACAATTGAAAGAGAGAAAGGGGCTACTGGAGGAGAGGAAAGAGAGAGAGACCTAACAGGGTAACAAGGGCAAATTTCACCATTCCCCTCCTCGGTTAAGTACTAGGTTCAATGCTAGTGTATTAGGAAGCACAGGAGAACCCCATATTATCTCAAATACACCAGTGAAAACACTGTCTCTCTCCTTTATTTCCAGTGGTACATTTGATGTGTTTGTCACAAGAGGCAGTGAGGAACCAAAACTGGTGAGTTAGTCAACGCTCTGTTCGTGTTACGTCCCTGTGCGTGTTCTGTTGACAGGTGTTCAATTATAACAGTGAGGGAAGTTTTGGAGAGCTAGCACTCATGTACAACACACCAAGGTGAACGAGCACCCGGGTACTTCTGCTCTTTATGTTGAATCATCTCAAATATCTGTTGAATCACCAGTCACTTAGAGAGTTAATTAAGAGGCAGCCATAGCATTGACTAGGTGCTCAGGACACTAGAATGAACCAGAGACAAGATATGCTAGAATCTTACTACCAGTAGTAACTTACCAACACCCCCACCCCCCGTGGCGTCTTAGGGCGCAATCTGAGACTAGGACCGTTGAACACCTAGAATTTTTACCATTATAGCCTAGCTCTCTTAGTTTCCCCAACACTTTGAATCTTTGTGCAGGGCTGCGACTGTAGTAGCGACTTCGACCGGAGTACTTTGGGCTCTGGTGAGTCCAGTGGTTCTCCACTGTCCCGCTTAAACCTTGCACTGTCCCATCCTAGGATCGGACAACCTTCAGGAGAATTATCTGCGGAGCAGCGTCAAGAAAGGTAACAACAAACGCTCTCCCTTCTAATATATGATTGTACTGACAACCTCTTTGTGTCGTCACAGAGGGAAATGTACCAGAGCTTCCTAGAATCCGTTCCAATGCTCAAGACCCTTGAGGTATGTATATACGTACGTACGTTAGGTAAATGTTAGGAAGAATGGTTCCTCTCTCTCTCTCTCTCTCTCTCTCTCTGTCTGTCTCTCTCTCTCTCTCTCTCTCTGTCTCTCTCTCTCTCTCTCTCTCTCTCTCTCTCTTATATACTATCTCTTTGTCTCCATACGATATCCTGGGCATGGTCCCCCACTGTAGCCATATGAGCTGCTCAACTTGGCAGACGCTCTGGAGAAGAAGCAGTTTGGTGATGGACAGTGCATCATCAAACAGGCAAGGATAGCTAAACTAACACCCATATCCACCAAAACTGGCTAATATGCAATTATCTGTGTCATTAGCTTGTGATGTGAGCCTATGTCCATAGTAGTCCTTCAGATTGCGTGCTTTTGTTGCGAGTTGGAAAAACAGTGGCAGATCATTGTTAATGGGGTTGCCAAGAATGAGAAAGCGATAGTATTTGGAAGCAAAAAGGTGGTAGGATGATGGGATTAAGTCAAAGACAGTTAGAGCAGAGAAGAGGGGTGGTTCTTAGAGGTGGTGTCTCGTTGCTTCGAAATCAAAATTCATTCTAGCATGCTCCATTTCTCACAGGGTGACCAGGCCTCGTCTTTCTATATAGTGGAGAGTGGAACAGTAAAAATCTTCAAAGAAGATCCAGTATGTGCTACCCACTGCTCTTTCTTAGCTGTGTGTGTGTGTGTGTGTATGTTTTTTTGTTCTGTTGGTGCATGTGTGGATGCCAAGTATGTCCTAATTAAAGGAGTGTGTCTGTGTGTATTGCTGATTGTGTTGTTGGTGGGCCACTTTGGCTAGTGGGGCCCATTTAGCCTCTTCTTTACCTCCTTAGAACAACCCTGGCTCTCAGGCTGAGCTCAATACCTGCACTACTGGCCAATACTTTGGAGGTATACATACATACAATGACACTGTTATACTTTATCTTTGTATTGTGACGTTGCATCTGGTCTTATGATGCTCTATGATGCTGTGTGACGCTTCTAGGTATGTATGTACACATGGAAACCAATGCGAGCGAGTGGACAAATATAAATTTTTACATTGTGACTCTTTATGATGCTCTGTGATGCTTTGTGATGCTCTGTGATGCTCTGTGATGCTTTATGAGTCTCTGCGATGCTTTATGATGCTCTGTGATGCTTTATGATGCTCTGTGATGCTTTATGATGCTCTGTGATGCTTTTGTGATGAGTTTTGGTGGTGCATGCTTATATACCACGTAAGGAACGCTGTCGTATGTATGTCGGTGTGGTGGGGTTGTGAGTGTGGGTGTGATGAGAGTTCCCATGTTCACTCAGAGTTGGCTCTCATCACTAACAAGCCACGAGCTGCCTCTGTGTATGCTGTTGGACCCGTGACATGTGCCGGTGAGGACTGTGCCTGTTTCTCAATCCTGCCCCTTCTATATCCCTGTGTCTTCTTCCCCCTCCTCTTTCCCCTATTCCTCCTCCATTTTTTCTGTCTGGCTCTGTGTTTTTGTCTCTCTGTTTCTCTCTGTCGTTGTTTCATCCTCCTCCTCTTTCCCCCCTTCTTCTTCAAATCAACCCTTCTTCTTTCTATCTTTATCCTCCTTATTCTTAAATCCACAGCATTAGATGTCGGTGTGTTTGAGCGTCTGCTGGGGCCCTGTATGGACGTCATGAAGAGAAATTTCGAACACTACGAGGAGCAGCTGATGCAACTGTTTGGAACAACGTTGGACATTACCGACACCCGATAGTTTCCTTCCGTCATCACTCAGCAGATTGCACACTATATACTAATATATAGCCTCCACTATTTTATATATACCAATTGCATACCAATTTGCTCTGTATCATGCTCATTCAATTGTAATGTATAGATCATTATCTTTATCAATTTAAAGTCTTACTTGTGACGGATTAATAATATAAGGAGCTGCAATACAAACGAACTGTATGTAGGGTGCTCAACTCTACATACGTACATTAAATATAGCTAACTATAAGATGATTTAGAGTAGGCAGCCACTGAGCTTGTTAAAAGTGATATAACAATTGTACATGTGTTACTGTGCTACTAAAAAATTTTTCATGTTAAATCATGTAAAAAAATGGGTGGAACAATAATAACACAAAGTATGCAAGAATATGAAAAACATGAGCAGATAGAACATTGTATACAATGGTGTGTGAACACAAGTAAGATGCGTGTCAGGTGACCTCAGACTAGACTATATCATCGTCTGTTTCATCACATTCGCCGTTTCTCCTGACGCCAGAGTTCAGAGTGACGTCTGCCGAGTCTTCGCGATCGTTTATGATGAGCGTGCTGCGGATGTTGCCTAGTTTGACTCCTTCTCTCAGTCTGTCGAGGCCTCTCACTGCGTTGGGTCTGTCCTGGTTCTTGTCCACTCTCCAGGTGAGCTGCAGAGACAAAGACACAGCAGTATCACATTCTACATCACACTCTAAGGCTCTTCTACATTTTGTAAGATAAATTGCAACTCACTCTCTTCACAACTAAACAGTATAAGTCTTGTAGGTATTGTTAAGGTGGTAGTGTTTTAAGGCATCTTACATGCATATATAAGATAGCAATTCAGTTACTCATGGGCACCATTATGATCTTTATTATGGAGAATATTTTTGAGACTTTATCTGCGTACCTGTACTAGTGGTCCTTGGCCAACGTCTTCTCTATCAACACTATCGTAGTTTATAGGGTCACGCTCGATCACAACAGAGTTGTCGAGATCCATGAGTTTCACTGCGACAGGAACGAGAGTATCATCTGGTGCTTCGGGATAGGCAAACCCTCCAAACATGTCGTTCAAGTTGTTCTCACACTGTGCAGTAGACGGAGTGAATAAGCGAGTGAGGGAGAAAATGGATGCCAAAGATCAGATTAAGTTTTTGAGACTAGATATGCAGACGTATCAGCTTTGCTTGCCTTGTTGGACTCTCGTAAGAAATCACAAACACATTCACCTCCGATTGCTGTATACGAAACAACAAATGATCAACTTTAACTCCACACAACAAATGATCATCTTTAAAGTCTTCAAGGGTGCAATGTTCTGTAACTCACCGTCCATACAATTGGTACCACTCCAGCAGGCATTGCAGATACACTCGCCGTTTACATTGTTGCAACTGTTACCATCGGCTCCACAATCGCAAGTCTGGGTACAGTTGGCACCCCATGTTCCGGCAGAACAATCTGGAGAGACAATCAGAAGTACATACACACGCACAACTTGATAATCAGCTCCCTTTCAACCACCTGGTACAATAGATCCCCTCTAAAATGTCATCCCGAAAAACAAGGACATTTAAAACCTCACTACTTTACGTTGATGCCAAGATCAAACTGTAATACACGTAGTATTCTTCCTAATCAATTTTTCCTAGAAAGCAGCTAATGTTAAATGAATGAATGAATGTTGGGTGACTCACTCTTGCAATAATAGTTGTCCATGAGAATGGAGCCATTGGTACAGTAGCATCTATACTCCCCGCGGTCTGATATATCCATACATTGTGCACGGGCCCCGCATGGATTACTGGCACAGTTTACTTCATCTGCACACCGGTGGTATTAGAGCAAAGAGGGGGAGAGAGAAAGAGAGAGAGATGAATTGTGCTGCAGTTGAGACAAGGTTCCAATGGCCTCACCCTCAGGGCAGACTCCAGTGACTGGGTTACATGCGGTGGCGTTTTCACTACAGTTGCAAAATTCACTGCACTCCACGCCCCACGTGTACTCCTCACACACTGCAGGAGGACAGAGTGGGGGAAGAGATAGACAGAAAAGAGAAAGTGTGAGTTTTTTTCCTACTTGCCTAGGACAGAAGTTAGAAAGGAACTAGCAAACATGTGACATTGTGTGTGCTTTGTTTGGGCCTTTACTCTCGCATTGTGTCTCATTCAGCAGTCGTTGACCGGGAGGACAGTAGCATTCGAAAGTCTGGTTCACGTTTCGACACTCGGTATCTCCACATGGGTCATCATCACAGTCGTATACATCTGACAAAAAGAAGAGATAGAGAGGTGCATCAGTCAGTAGATGTACTAGTATATTTATTAGTGGCACCTTCTTCAGGGCAAGTTCCGTTCACATGGTTGCAGTTAGTGGTGTTGTCAGGGCAGTCGCAGTCAAAGGAGCAATTCAAACCCCACATCCCCCACGGACACACTGGGAACGTATAAGACAAAAGGTAGAATAAGGTCACGTTGCTAAGAATGTCGCGACTTACTCTCGCAATCGCTCGTGACGTTCAGAAAGTACCCGGGCTCGCACGAACAGTACGGACCGTCCTCAGTGTCAGTACAGTTGGCGTTCCACCCGCAGGGCGGCGGATCGCTGCTGCAGTCGGCTGTCACTAGGGGAGAAAGATCGAACAAACTACGCGTTGGCAACAAAAGGGGGAGGGGCTCGTTCCTCTAGAGACATGGAGCGACCGTTGAACTACAGAGCTAGCTAACGACATCGGGGAAAGATTACGGTCATACCATTCTGTGCTGAAACTCCGAGTGCGCATATGAGGAGGAAAAAAGCAACTCCCAACGCTCTCTCCATGACTGGGAACGCCCTTTTTCGGTCGCAATTCGCACGTCTCTCGGCCTCCGTTCAACGATCGCCGCCAATCAGTGAAGTATCACTGTTTTCTCTGGCAAAGGAGCCTCAGGGACAAATGCAGGAACGTCTCTTCACACACCAGAGGGGTTTTGGCGCGTGTTTATCAGATGTTGCTAGGGGAGGACGAAGAAAATACGCCCCCTCCTCCCATCTCGCAAACCCCTACAAATTACCGTACGCCCTCGCGTGTGCGCGCGCGAGCGCGAGCGCCCATTGAGCCCACGTGCGCACGCTTTGACTAACTTTCTCTCACTTCTTCTTGACCAATTCACTCATCCCCAAGCTACCATGGCTGTAAGTCTCTCTATCTCATTACTCGATACTCCCGAGGAACATTTCTCTCCCTACAGGCGATGCCCATCAACCCCAAGCCGTATCTGAACGGCCTTACTGGTAAACCTGTCATTGCCAAGTTGAAGTGGGGAATGGAGTACAAAGGTTACCTCGTTTCCACGGACAACTACATGAACCTGCAGGTCTGTGTACACTAAAGACCATCATACAATAAACAGTCTTCTAGTAGCACCAACGACAAGATAAAAGACACCTGGGCATTTTTGCTGTTTAGGCTGCATGCTTGGAACAAGCAGCAAAGTTGCCCCATAATTATGTGGTAACTAGGACAGTAAGCTAGCACACTATGATACATGGGCTGAATCACCTGTTTTGTCAAAAGACAAATGTTCCGACACCTGGCTACAAGTGTTTGTTATTGTTCCGACAGCTAGCCAATACGGAGGAGTATATCGAGGGTCAGCTCACCGGACAATTAGGAGACGTCTTAATAAGGTAGGGGCTCCCTCTCTCAACCTTAATTACAGTGAGGTTTTTATTCTCTGTTGGGTGTGCTATGGTGTGCAGGTGCAACAATGTCCTCTATGTGCGTGGCGTTGAAGAGGAAGAGGAGGATGGGGAGATGAAGGAATAATCTACACCACCCTGCAATATTATCTCCCTTTTTCCCCACTCAAGCTAGAATAATGTTGCATCTTTCTATACATGACATTTTGTGTGAGTGCCCACTCTTTCACTCCGACTTGTAATGTAAAACATCATTTCATCTTTCCCGAACACAGTAATTAAAAACTACACATACTGCCCACTCCTTCTTTTATTTCCGACTAACGGCATTACATTTGCTCGAGGAAAGGAGCATTCGTGAAACGGTGTGTGTAGGTGTGTTGTGACATGATATGTGGTGCAGGTCTTAGAGCACGTTCCACTTCCCAGTCTTTCGGTAGGAGTTCATCATCCTCCGCGCCTTCTTCTTGACGTCGGGGTGAGGGTCGTTGTAGAGTCTCTCCGCGGCCTCCACTATCTCTGCCTCCATGTGAGAGGGGGAACCATCACCCAGTGCATGGAGCGCCTGTGTCACAGTCATCACACAACACACATTAGGATCTATCCTCTGTTAAGTAATAAGAGAAATGTATGAGGTGGCATGGAGAGATTTCTCTGATTTATCACTAAGCGGTAAAAGTTTCCTAGTCTGATGTTTACAAGTTCAGGCAATGATAAATGATGTAACTTGTTGCACAAGACGAAGTTGTATCGTGTATCAGGGGCCTTACGTGTTCCCCAAAAGATCTCCGAGTTTTGGCTACATTATCTCTGTGCTACACGTGTACCTGGTCCCTGACAATGCCGCTCTCGTCACCCAACATCTGGAAGATTCTCTGCCAAATCTGAGGGATGTCTTGTCTCACGTGACACGGACACAGCTCCTTCAGTGCCCGCCGTCTTCTCAGGGGACTGGGGTCATACGTCCTCTCTATGTACTCTGATATAGTCTCATCACACATCTTGTCCAGTTTTTCTATTCCCCTGGCTGTTGACTGTTGTAGCTCGGTTTTGTGTTGCTATTTGAAGAGTGGCAAGTGTGGTGCAATAGGTGTAGATCTTTGCTATTTGCAAGTGTGGGTGCAATAGGTGTAGATCTATAGATAACGCGTGCCTTACGTCATCGAATATGCGTTTAGCCAAAGGTCAGAGTTCAATGTAGTCGCGGTCTCGAAAATGTCTAGCGTTGAGTCAAGCAGAGAAGGGAAGGATCAGAAGGTATGCATATGCTGCACACACAGTGGTAGAACACTGCTATACCTGCGGACTTGTTCCTAGGATGACGCCGAGGGCGACGCTCAGCAGACCGAGGAAGAAAGGGTGTGTCTGTCCATACCATAGTAGTTCAGGTTGTTGCAGTTGTGGAGTCTCGCCGTCTCTCTGTGTGTCTGTTACACAGCAACAGGCGGAGGAGATGAAGGAGGAGGCAATGGCCAGGGCCAGGGAGAAGCAGGAGTTCAGGCAGAAGAACAGAGATGCTGCCAGTATGTGTGTATGTATGTATATACAGTAAAAAAGACCTATCACCACCGCGCACTGCACTTTTCAGCTTTACTTCATCTATCTATAAGGTAATACAACTGATAGAAGCGAGCTGAAGAAGCTAGACGGGTCAGTCAAGAAAAACTCTGTATTTGTCAAAAAGTTGGTAAGTTACAATTAAACGTATGCACTGTGAAATCATACAACATCACTTTTTCTGTCCCTGCAGAGGACGCTGACTGAGCAGCAGAGAGCCAGCCTCACATCTGACTTTGAAAGTCTCAACCTCACCAGATACATTGGAGAGGCTGTGAGTGGGAAAATCGACCTGCTGTTAGGTGAAAATAATGTGCTCTGTATTGGCACGTGTTTGTTTTATTTTACAGGCAACAGGGATTGCAGAGGCAAAAATCAAGGTTTGCTTTTTAGCTCCACTACTAAACATAACAGAGCGGGAAACATGAACCACCTTTGCAAATTTTGCTACTGAAAGCGATTCACTAATTTTATACATATCTCCATGAAATTGATTTGTGGCAGGGAACATTTGTAGAAAAGAAAGAAAAACAAAGTATGTGAACGAATAAAAAACAGTTTTTCCTACACACACGCACACATGCAATCCTTGCCACCTCAGCTGGTGGACGTGGGGTGTGCAGTGCACATGTGCTCCCTCCTCCATGGCCGCTACTCCGAGTTCTCTGGACTCCTCCTGGAGCAGCTCCAGAGGATCTACTCTCCTCCTCTCCCCAGCAAGATGGACGACGAAGACCGCGCTGCCAATGTCACCAAGTTCCGTCTCGGCCTAAGACTACTTGGAGAGGTACTGTATAGATTTGGCGAGATAGGTATAGGAAGAATCAAGATTGGGCGAGAATAGGGAGAGCATGAATTCACTCAAGCTATCCTATCCGTCGTCCCTCCCCCGCAGTTAGTTCTAGGAGGGCTGGTAGACGAGGACGTGGGACTCAGTCTCCTGAGGGACATGCTGCACCATGTGGCGGAGACAGACAGACTGACTCATGGACGACCCTATCTCACCGTCGTCCTCAGCTTTGCGCGACACCACGCAGAGGACTTTGCCGCCATATTGCCTCGTCGCCAGCAGCTCTTGCTGAGAAAGTACTCCATCAAATTGCCAAACTCGCAGGTAGGTATTGTGGCAATCGATTTTAGCTAGAAGCATCGAAATCGCTAAGTTTAGTGGCTGTGATGTATAAATGCATGAACAAGAATTTATACTTGCTATTTGGTTTTCTCTTCAGCTCGTGCCGCGTGAGACTCGGGGAGAATTTCGCAAGATGTTTCGATCGTATTTCAAACTCATCTCGGCCCACCTCCAGAGCGAGCGAAGGTCCATGAACGAGCGGGAGAGAAGAAATCTCCAGATACTCCAGAACAAAGGGGAGCTGTCCGAAGAGAGGAGGACCGGGAACGAAAATGCTCAGAAGGCGTACGACAAGCTTCTGACCAACACCAACGCTCTAGCTGTGAGTGGCTAACAACCACAAGCACCAAAGTGTGGGTATCAATTTTAAGGTGCAGAAAGATTTTGGGGGCTTTTTGCTAGATAATCTTGTTTTTTTTACACACTTCCTTTTGCAAATCATAAGTAGTCTCTTACGGCCCTCCTTTTTCTTTCTTTCTTTCTTCTGCGTATGTTTACATACAGTTCTCATGTACGATATCTCGTGTACTTGTATGTATATGCAGGATATCTTGAATGAAGAAATGCCAGAACTGGAGGAGTTCAAGCCGCCACAGCCACAGTCCTCTGACATTTCCATAGAGCTCCAGATACCTGCTGGCCTCACCGAGGTGAGATGGGAAATACGTACTTTCAGCTATCTTTCTATATATAAAATCCCGTTGCATATAATGCTCTTACATAAAATCAGGTGTATTATAATACAACAGTAATGTATGGAACTGTGTGTACCTTGGTATAATGCTCCTTTTGCCTGCCAGCTAGAAAAATGCGCGACAGAAAAAGCCATTCTGAGCGGTTGAGTGACTAATCAAGCTGCGATATACACTCCTGCGATATTTCATTTATGCACCGCACAGTACATTAATGGCGTACTATGTTGTACACGTATCTCTATTCTGTAGTCAGTTGAACTGAACCCATCCTCTCTGTGGGAAGACGAGGACAGCTACCAGTTCTATGTCGGAGTGGCGGACATCCGCCCGTTTGTCCCCGCCATTCTGTTCGAGGGGAAGAAGAGGGGGACCTCGGAATCCTCCGATACTGCTGCCGCCACCCCTGCCTCAGACGGAGGAGGGGGCGAGGCCAAGACTGAGGGAGACGATAAACCAGAGGAGGAAGGTTTGAACATTTTTAGTGATCCTCCATGAAATGGACCGTTAATAGTTTAGTTGGCTGGATTATCTTATCAGCAAAACAAAAATGTTGGCGAAATGTGGTTCTTATAGTAAATGTATGTGTCAGCGGGCTTTTAGGAACACAAACTTTACGCCGAAATATTATAGTGTGGTTTTCGTGTTTTTGTGCATATTATCATAATTATTTTACTTCATCCTGTCGCAGACGAGGCAAAGGTGTTGGAACAAGTGATACGAGATACGGAGGAGATATCACTGGACGAGGAGGTGGGGGTGGAGGAGGAGGAGGGAGGGGAGGGTGGGGAGGGGGGAGATAAGGGAGGGGGAGCTCCTCTAATCGAGCCCGGATCAGCCATCGCCATCTTGGAAGAGTTCATCACCAGGTCCCGTTTACACATGGTTTGGGGGTCATGTGACTGTCATGTGATTGCCACGTACAGGTTGCCGAATCTGATGAATCGGAAGTTTGTCGACGAGTTTGCGGTGGAGTTCTGTATGAGTATGAATTTCAAGGGGAACAGAGCTCGTCTCGCTCGAGCCCTCTTCAACGTCGATAAGAACAGGTGTGCACACGCAGTGCAAGTTTGTGTAGGTTCTGGCCGACAGCGGTATAGGCTTTGATTTGTGTTGAAAAGGGTCTGGGGAAGATATTTTGGGCTATATAATTTGGGGATTTAGTAAAGGCTCTTTTTGGCCAGCATTGAAAGTGTTTTTTGTCAGTAAATCAGAAGGCTTACAAATTTTTGCCGAAGTATTGAAAAATTTGGTTGATATATATTACCCACTTGCTGTGTCCAGGATGGACCTGATTCCGTTCTATGCGCGACTGGTGGCGACGCTGGCTCCGTGTGTTGATGACCTGGCCCCGCTGCTGGTGGACATGCTCCTGAGAGACTTCAGGTTCCAGGTGAGGAAGAAGGACCAGATTCACATCCACTCGAAGATCAAGAACTGCCGGTTCATCGGTGAGCCTTCACGAGTGCAAGTCGGGTACTGGGGTGACGTGGTAATTCTATTTCCCCTCTCCCACACGACGACGTACAGCTGAACTGACAAAGTTTGGGCTGTGCTCTAAGGCAGAGACTATGAAGTGCATTACAGTGAGTGAAATATATGGTCTTTGATTGGCGAGTGAAGCGAGACCACCTAGTCGTCTAAAATGAGTTTGTGTATACGACGGCACTGTCTGTACTGTAATGTTTTGTGTAATTGTAAATTCCACATGAAACTGCTGAAAATAAGCACTTGTGTTTGCTCGCCAGTAATCTACTGTATTGCAGTTCTAGCAGAAGAATTGAGTAGTAGTATCGGGTGTTTCTGTTCTTTCAGCTGTGTCTCCATGACTTCACCCACCACAATATCGACATGGCCTGCACGTTCATTGAACACTGCGGCCGCTACTTGCTCCGCTCTGCCGACTCACATCTCAGAGCTAAGGCACTTCTGGTCAGCTACACATGTACAATCTCCCCTCCTCTCTTCTTTGCCTCTCCCTCTCCAAATTCTTTTCCGGCCCTTCTCCCCTTCTCCCCTTCTCCCTGCCTTTGTCGTGTGTGTGTGTGTGTAGAATGATACATACAGACATTCAGCAGTTGGTGGGAACGTACATGTACTTTGCTCTTTGAGACAAAATGTCCATGTGCACAAATGTATGGGTATGATGGGTGGGGAACATGTGGCATGAAATACATAAGAAGTGTTGTCTACACACATACTGTACAACACGAACATGATAACTACACCCAAACACAACATCTTGTATCGTTTTCACGTCGTCCGTCCGCAGGAGATAATGGTGCGCAAGAAACGAGTCCAGCGTCTAGACGGCAGACAGAGGAGTCTGGTTGAGAATGCCCTCCACTGTGCCAACCCCCCACTGCCAGCTGCCAGAGAGGTGGTGGTTCTGCCTCCCATGCTCGAGTACATTCAGAGGCTCCTCTTCAAGGAACTCAACCGAACCAACACTGAAAAGGTTTTTATCACTAAGTACCAGTAGTACATACATGTACTTAGTAGTACCAGTAGTACATACATGTACTTAGTATATACCAGTAGTACATACATGTACTTAGTAGTACCAGTAGTACATACATGTACTTAGTAGTACCAGTAGTACATACATGTACTTAGTAGTACCAGTAGTACATACATGTACTTAGTAGTACCAGTAGTACATACATGTACTTAGTAGTACCAGTAGTACATACATGTACTTAGTAGTACCAGTAGTACATACTGTAGTATATTATAGGGATGACACAGGTTGTCCTGCATTATGCCCATACATTTGAGATTTGTACGTGTCACTTTTATATTATCAGTCCACCAATACATATTAATGCCAATACGTTTTCAAACTGCCTTAAAATTAATTGTCCAAACGTAGTGTGTTGGTTGGCGTAAGGGTTCGTTTTTAAAATGAGATTTCAGAGGACCTTAGTGATGTACGTGTGTTACTGTCAATATGTGGACCATCGTGTTGTTGTGCCGTACGTACTCACAGATTCTGAGACAGATGCGAAAGCTTGACTGGAACGACCCGGAGGTAAAGTGTACTGCGTCCTGAATCTCTCATTATCGACCACTGGTGTATACATACACGTATCAATCAGGTGGTTCAGTTTGGAGTGACATCGCTGTCCCAAGTGTGGAGACTCAAGTTCTCTAACATACACTGTCTCGCCAACCTACTCGCTGGACTCAGAGCCTACCAGGTCCGGGTCTCCATCATCATTTTCATCTTTTTAATCTTCGTTGGTTTTCTCTCCTTTGTATGTATGTATAATATCATTCTTTCATCTATGTTGCTTTGTCTCTTGTGATATCTTTCTTCTTCTGTTTGTATGAGTACATCTGTGCATTGAAGCATTAATCTGTTGGTAGGATAGGAGGATGGAGTAGTACTTTCTCTCTCACTCTATGTACATATGTATCTCCGTCCCTTCAATTATACTGCCACTGCATGTGTAGGAGGATGCAGTGTTCAGAGCGGTTGACTCCATACTGGAGGACATTAGACTTGGTCTTGAGATCAACCACCCAAAGTTCAACCAGCGGAGAGTGAGCTGCGTCAAGTTCCTGGGAGAGATGTACAACTACCAGCTGATCGAGTCCAACGTCGTTTTCCGTGTCCTCTACCTCCTCATCTCCTTCGGCTGGAATGTGGATGGTGCGTGTGTGTGCGTCCGTGTGTGCGTGTACTATATTACCCCCTCACCTTTAGGACTATCACCGGCACAGGCTGGTTGAAATTTTGTCAACATTTTGAATGACTCCTCAATGTACAAAATGGGAGTATATAGTACATGTAGCTTCAATGCACAAAGAAAATGGTCATATTTTCTTCTCACAAACGTTGTACACCCATTCTCTCAATTTCCTCCCACTCTAGGCTCTCCTTCCCCCCTGGACCCATATGACAACTACTTCAGAGTGAGACTGGTGTGCACTCTCCTCGACACCTGTGGTCAATATTTCGACAGAGGCTCTGGAAAGAGGAAGATGGACTGCTTCCTCGTCTTCTTTCAGGTGGGCAACCTCTCTATCTAAAAATTTCAAGGTGCAAAACTGCAGAAGCAATTTTGAGAAATAGCCATTCTCACCAGTCCTTGGGGTTTACTGTTCTTCAAAGAATGATTGGAGACATTGAAAAGTGCGGAGTTTATGACCCACAAAAGGTTTGGTCCCTGTCTCTAGTTTTATGCATGAAGAACTGTATGAGTATGTGTATTGTATACTTTAGGAAATGTGGCCCAAGTTGCGGGAACAGTTTGATGCGTAGTTTACGATCCAAGTTTTGCTATCAAGTTTGACCATGTTGTAATGGCTGTTGTGTCTGCAGTGCTACATATTCAGGAAGCGGCAGCCGGTCCCCCTGGAGCTGGAGCATCTTGTGGCAGACACTCTGGAGCCACTGAGACCAGACCTCCCTCTGTACTCCACCGCCCAGGAGGCCTACGAGGCCGCTGCCGAGCTGGAGAAGAAATACAAAGACAAGATAGGTGAGGGCGGGGGCCTCTCTTTTTTCCTCTCAGTGCTCAAGTTCTTGTTGTGATGTGTGTGTTGTGTACGCAAGTGTGGTTGAACAGCCACTCTAGAATGTACAAGATGAGGAGAGGGGGTTTGATAGTGTCTAGGATAGGTTGAAACCTCTTAAAAAGGAATAAAGGACACCTCTCTACAAAGGACACTTAGTTCTGCCTCACACTAAGACATTAGTGTATAATACAACCTCCAAATAAGGAAACCTCACTTTTGGTGTTACCAAGGTGTGCATTATTTAGAGGTTTCACTGTATGTGGTTCATAATTACAGGTGACTGGGGTCAGGAAGAAGAGGAGGAAGAGGAAGAGGAGGAGGTGGCGGAGGAGGAGAGAGGGGGAGGAGCCAGCGAGGAAGAGGAAGAAGAAGAGGACGATGAGGAGGAAGGAGACGATGATGAGGTGAGGTGTAATTTCACATGATAATCATGTGACGTAATGTGCAACATTTGGTAGGAGGAAAACGAAGAGGATGATGAGAGAAATGCTGGAATTCCTGATGATGTAGGTTTGTGATCATGTGACTGATCATGTGACTATCATGTGATGTGTCTCAGGAACCAGAGGCAGTCATAAAGCACACCCCCAAGTACATCCACACTCAAGAAGACGAGGATTTCCTGGCTAACCTTGACAAGATGATGGCCGACGATCTGCAGGTTTAACTCTGACGTAATTGCTGTTCCTATTTTTACTGTGACACAATACTGACACAATACTGACACAATACTGATCCAGCACTGTCTGTTACTAATTTTAACTATGATGTAATGTTTTAATACAGCAACGAAGGCAGGAAGGGATAAAGGTTTCTGATTTTGATGTGGGTGTGCCCCTCACTCTAATGGGAGGACAGACTAGGGGAAAATCAGGTGAGGGGCGGAGCTTGTTGCCGTTGGCTACAACTTGTAAATGCTGTGATTGTCATGTGACCTATACAGATCCGTTAGTTCATGAAGAGGGAGAGTTGAGAATGAAGTTTAAGGTGGTCATGCGGAAAGGGCACAACAAGCAACAGGTGAAGTCATGTGATTAAACCAAGTGATCATGTGACTATCATGTGACTTCACCTACAGGTGAAGGAGCTAAACATACCACTTGACTCTGGTCTGGCATCCAGCCTTCAAGACACGCAGAGAGTGAGCCTACATCATGTGATAGTCATGTGACGATCACTCTTTGTCATGTGATCCAACAACAGGCAATGAAGGACGAGCGTCATGAGATGAAGAAACTCGTGCTAGCATACGAACAGAGACAAGAGGAAGAAGATTACAGCGGTATAGTCCAGAGCTTTAGGGGTTAAAAATACAGTGTGCTGGGGGTTAATGAATGTTTACAGTTACAGTTTATAGTTTATCTAGAGGGTTAATTAAGAAAGTTGGTGTTGCTCTTTGCAGCAATGGTGGCAACAGAGAAGGAAAAAATTCAGCAGAATAAGAAAGTGCTACTCTACTCAGATTCAGTCCCTCAACAAAGACGTTCACAACAACAACATGGCAAACAGACGAGTAAACAAACAACACAACAAACCCGACAAATGAATCAACAAGCCAAACAACCAACAACTCAACAAGGCAAACATGCCAGTAAACAAACAGCACTACATACACCCAGCCAGTACCAAGGACAGCAGCAAACGACACAGAGACAACAGGCTCCTGGTGGAAGGGGTGGAGCCACAGGCGGTCGCCAACGGCAACAGCGTATCCCTCATAAACAACAACAGCAGCAGCAGCAACTACCAAAGTACGATCAACTGGATGCGTAAGTGGCAAAAACAGATTGCGCCAATTAAATTTTCTTTCTAATTCAAGGTACTACTGACACGTCCATGTGTGCTCATGGGTCTATGGCTATGTGACACCATTGTGCAAGTCCAGTGAAGACAAAAGCCAAGAGACTATTATAATTATTTGCTGTTTCATTTGTGTGCAGCTCTAAAAACTGATTTTTACATACTGTATCAATTTTTAAAGCCGTGTTACGATAAATAATGTACAATTGTACATATACAAGCATAATTAATTAGTGCGCATCATGAGAAGCTGACAGGTGACAATGGTATTTTATCATACATCACAAATGGAGGAATATTATTACTTTAGTACAGATGAGATTCGGGTGTGCAAGTCTATGTGTACAAGTCAGCTGAATTGTCTAGAGGATCGCGAGGGAGGGTGGGGGAGGGAGGGCATCAGGCAAAGCCGAAACCTTCTGGACACTCCCTCACCGCTATCAATAGCATATGCTTCAACTTGTCGTATGTTTCATACTGTGGTAGATCGAGTTGGTTGAAGCTGCATGTGGAACAAAAAAGAAGTTAATTATGCAGTGATGTCTGAGGCATGCAATCAGTAAGCACGGCAAATGAAAAAAACAAGCCGCCTATTTTAAAAGGCTCACCAGGTGTGTGCACAGGGAAGACGGTCGGTGGAGCGATCGTCACGGTGAATCTGAAACTTCTGAACTCCGTTCATGCCCTCCAGTGCGACAAACCCCTGCAGTGGGACCTTCGACGTCCCCGTCACAAACTGGAGGAACCTGGCTCGGTCTGCCTGGTCAAACGATCGCAGCGCCCGCCAAAACCACTGCACCTATAATAGAGACGGAGAGAGAAGTATTGTATGCTACTATAATCACTGATTGCCATTTGTACAGCTATACCATACAAGCTGTTCACTAATACACCCAAGGAATCATGCAAAAACAATGTAGCAACACAAAGGGCGACCTCTCTTTCGCCCTACAGTACAAAAACTACCTACACATTATGTACTGCTGCTGTTTGCGTTTCCAAAATCCTGAAAATTGATCTAGATTGAAACTGAAACCTAACCTGCAGGGAGGTCTCTTGGTAGCTGCGGTACTCTGTGTTTGCCTTGAGGTCGTCAATGTCAATTGTCGGGAGTCCGGAAATCAGCAACTCGAGCTCCTGTTCGTTGAATATGGCGATTAGATCTTTGGGGATTATCTCGTAGAATCCCTCCAGAAAGCTTTTGATCTGGGCCTTGATGGACTCGGTCATCTTCATCTGGCAGGCCAGCTGGACGTACTCTCTCTTGTTGCACTCCGTCACCGCAATCTGTCGTCCGTTCTCTTTCAGGTCTTTCACCTCCATCTTCCCAAACTCCCGTATCTATTGAGGTATAGTGAGCGCAACAAACAACATCACACACGCTTGGTTCTAGAATACTTGTAGGTCACTGTCAAATGCAGGTAGGTACATTACGTAGATTCAGGTTGTGAATCTTGCAGACTTCAAGCTCGCAAAGATGAGCAGACATGGAAACAAATGTATGAATAATCACGTATTTCAACCGAGTGACTACTCCAAATACTCCGTACTCTAATGGGGAAGGTGCACCTAGTATTCGTGTCTCCCACTCTCACCGTCCTCCCCCTTCCCTCCTCCCTTATTGCAACCGAGTGACTACTCCAAATACTCCGTACTCTAATGGGGAAGGTGCACCTAGTATTCGTGTCTCCCACTCTCACCGTCCTCCCCCTTCCCTCCTCCCTTATTGCAACCGAGTGACTACTCCAAATACTCCGTACTCTAATGGGGAAGGTGCACCTAGTATTCGTGTCTCCCACTCTCACCGTCCTCCCCCTTCCCTCCTCTCTTATTGCAACCGAGTGACTACTCCAAATACTCCATACTCTAATGGGGAAGGTGCACCTAGTATTCGTATCTCCCACCCTCGCCTTCCTCCCCCTTCCCTCCTCCCTTACTCCCCCACCTCTCACACACAAACCTCAATACTAAAGGTCAGGTCATCTCCAATGCCACTTTCGTCCACGTTGTGCTCGATAAGGTAAACCATTCCCTGGTAGAAGGAGTAATCCTCGCTCTCCATGTCGGTGTAATGGACTGCCTTCCCCAGAATATGCTTGTAGAACGACCGCGTAAAGTAGCAGTCCAGAAGCTTGTTGTCGTAGATGGCCTTTGCAATCATACGGCCGATGAAACGGAAGTAGTTCAAGTGGTTGGGGTTGACATGGGAGCTGGGGTTGGGCCGGTAGGTGACTCTGTCGCCCGGCGACGTGGTGAATAAAGCGTAGTTCGGGTTGAACATGTCCCGAGCGATAATGATGTAAAACTCTCGCAGGAGCCCCCCCGCGTCTTGCCCTTCTTCTCCCTCGAACTGAATGTAGAGGTTCCCTTTGAAGTCTTCTGGGGATCGTCGGTAGAGCTCTCGGAAGGCGTCCTCGAACACGTGCTCGCGGCGAAGATGAACGACTATGTCTTCCCGTCGGAGCCCTCCGTCGTCCAGGAGCTCCAGCTCGTGTCGGAAGTAGCGCCGTTTGATGTCAAAGTCGAGGATCTTCGTGTAGTTGACGAGGATGGAAAACGGACCTTCGGAGACGGGGACAGTGCTCTGGCGAAGGATCTGGTTCAGGACCGTCCTGTGCTTCTCTGTAGGTGGAGAATGGACGGTTTAGATGTGTGATTGGGAGGGAGAGAAAGCGAATTGGGATTGAGAGAAAGATAAAGAGAGAGGGAAAGACAAACATCGTGAGACAAAAGCCATGTAACTTCAATGCACATGCAACAACATGCATGTAAAGAAGTGTTGTTTAACTGCATGCAACATGTTCTGTTGACAACCATCATACCATCCAGACATTTTTTCTTACAACAAAGTTGCGACGCGTACGTTGGCCTTTATATACTGAACGTACCTGCAAACATGAGGAACCTAGCAGTGTCCGGTGGGAGGTGAGAGTAGGAATCCTCCCCCTTCGCAAGTCCAGGGGTGCTCGGAACCGGACTGAAGTCCATGCGGGGGGCGGGGCTAGTGGGGTCCCCACTCTCACTCCCGGCACGGAACAGAGACAGTTGTCCCGAGGATCGGCTCCGTGACCCAGCAGTGCGCAACTTATTCGCCGGCTTCGTCTCGTCCGGGTTGTTTGCGTGGACGAGAAAGAAAGCTTCCACGGTAGACTGGAGGACGAGCACAGCATGAGGGTCGCTGGTCTGCGCCAACATATCGAGGCATTCGCTCAGAGCCTGCCACAGGTTATCCAGCTGCAATTGCCGACTCAGAGGCTCGAGAATGAAGGACGAGTGACTCGCGAGGGTGTCCTTAGAGTGGACTTCATCGGGTTTCTCTGTCGTCTGATCAACGACGTCCATTGCTCCTTGTTCGCGGGTCGACCCCCCGGCAGTTGAGGTGTTCCCTTCTCCTCCACTGCTCTCTTGTGTCCCCCTCTCCTCAGTCACCACTGACAGACTGGCACCTGCAGTGGCAGTAGCAGGCCGGGACCCATTCGAGGAGGACTCTGCAAGAGAGGAAAATGCCACAATAGTATATATACGAACAACATACAACAAGCCACAAGTACCTGTGAACATTATCGCTACCTTGTTTGTCAGAACTGGTAATTATGTGGTGTGTGAATGAAAATGAATTTAATGGACACAATGCACCATTGTGAAGTAATTAGTTATGGCACAATGTGCAGGGAACAATGGTTCGTTTTCGATAACAGTCAGCTCTTAACGTAGCCACAAACATGACACACATGACAAGTGTCAACATTGGACAGTACACATCTACATAGGCTCTGCTACGCTTGAAACACGGCTCACATAGGCTGCAACAGAAGCAAGGGACATCTACATACATCTAGGCTCTGCTACGCTTGAAACACGGCCCACCTAGGTTCCAACAGAAGCAAGGGACATCTACATACATGTAGGCTCTGCTACGCTTGAAACACGGCTCACATAGGTTGCAACAGAAGCAAGGGACATCTACATACATGTAGGCTCTGCTACGCTTGAAACACGGCTCACATAGGCTGCAACAGAAGCAAGGGACATCTACATACATCTAGGCTCTGCTACGCTTGAAACACGGCCCACCTAGGTTCCAACAGAAGCAAGGGACATCTACATACATGTAGGCTCTGCTACGCTTGAAACACGGCTCACATAGGCTGCAACAGGAGCAAGGGACATCTACATACATGTAAGCTCTGCTACACTTGAAACACAGCTCACATAGGTTGCAACAGAAGCAAGGGACATCTACAGACTGGCCTGAACCATTTGCACGTAAAGTGAAACACAAACTGCAACACTCTACAGAACGATCCTAATCCCTCACCAGCTGTCTTCTGAGCAGCACCCTGCAGTGCCGACAAGGCCGACTCCCTCAGTTGACACACCACCTTCAGCATACGGAGGAAGAAAGACTGCTGCGATCCCTTGCAGGTGAGCGGGATCATGGAGGGCAGGTGCAAGTCCTTGGAGTGGTCGACAACGCCGGGTTGCTCTGGAGTCGCAGTCGGTAACACTACCCCGGGGATCGCGTTTCCAGACTGGGCGGCAGAAGACACTCTCCGAGAGGTGGACGGCAGCGCACTGTTTGAGGAGAGAGTGGGACGTTCCAGGAGGGCCCCCGTACTTCGGGGTTCGTCTGAGAAATTCGACCCCTTTTGGCTTGATATCAGGAGGTCCCAGTTTGCGTTGAGGTCATCGATGACCACAGCTATCTGGCTGCATAGCGTGAGGCCGATGGTGCGTATTCCGTCCAGAAGCATGATGAGAATGTTCTCCCGCGTGTTCACACTGCACTTGGAGAGGTTTGTGAGAAGCATCGTTGCGTCGTCGAGCCCGTCTTCGCTGCACAGACCGGAGGTGAGGACGCTGATCACGATCTGGAGCAGAGACGGCTCGACCACCTCTTCCTCCGTCACGAAAACATCATCGCTCGATGCCGACTGGATCGCAGTTCTACCTCTCTGCTGCTCGGGGACCACAAGGACGGAATTACTGGGCCTTGTGGAATCTGTTCCGTGGCCGGATCCAGAGTTTGAGGGCCCGGGGGAAGGCTCAGTTGCTCTTCGACAGAGCCCAGTTTTGGGGATAGGTCCAGACGCGAGGCTCAAAACGCGGAGGAGCTTGTCAGTGAGAGAGATGCTCTCGCGCACAACGCTGTCTTGGAGAAGCGTCATCAGTTGACCTATGGTCGAGTGAGAGAAGATTTCCTTCGCAGAGCAACTGGAGACAGACTCCAGAAACTGGAAACCCTTCAGCGAGCCTTTCCCCTTGCGGCTGGCTGCTCCATCAAGACGAAGCAGGATTTGCCAGAAGTTGCTGACTACCCTGTTGGATTGCTGCTTTGAGCCGCCACTACCTGTGCTACCAACCAACAAGGCACCGTTTCCTCCAGCAATTTTGTCGTTTGGCATGAGTTCAGACGGAAGAAAACTAGATGGGAACTGCCTGGCAAGGAAAACCAGCAGATCGAGAACGTTGTTGCAGACGTGAGAACTGGCCAAAGAGTGAATGTGGATATGGGGGTTTGAACTGACTTTTCCACTCGGATGAAAGTGGAAGACGTGGGTATGGGTGCCCAGAGCAGCACTTATGGTGAGGTTAAGCCAGTGGGGAGGGGAGAAGTTGTGAAACGGTGTCCCACCCTGAACCACCACCGCACCAGCTTGCTCACCTCTTCCAGACGTTTGAGTCAAGGGAGGGGGTAAGGGGCACGTGTGACTAACACCGGAAGAAGGGCGAATGCTGGGACTAGCCTTGTGCAGAATCTCAAGGAGACTGGCTACAATCCACGCCCGTGTGGAAGCGTGCTGGGACAGGTTCTTCACGATGCGATGGAGCCGGTTATTGTGAAGCTTGTTCTGGTCAAAGAAGAGCAGAACAAGGAGACAGGTGAGTGCCTCTTGGTCAAGCATCTGCTTGCTGCTCTGCTCGCCACGACCCGCCTGCAACCCTCCTGAGTTTGACGTGAGGTTTTGGTAGAGCCCACCTAACCTGCCCAAGTGGTGATGATGATGATGATGATGATGGTGCCCTCCCTCCAAAACCTGGTGCGGATTCAGGTTTAGTATGGCGTAGCGATAGCTGGAAGGATCCCAAGATGGCGGGTGCATGTAACCCCCACCTGCTGCACCCTGGTCAGTGCTGGCCTGCTCGAACAATCGCTCGAGGACGGCGTGCCTCTGCTCCAGAATCTGTCTTCTTCGTGTTTCTCTCTCCTGTCTCAGGGCACGTGCCTCCGAAGCAATGTCTTCTGGAAGGTGAGAAATGATCGAGTCGTCCACATCCGCGAGAATGGTTCGACGGAGCTCGGGGGCAAGGGTGTGGAAGAAAGAGGTGTTGTCCGTGGAAGCACCAATGGCCGTGGCTCTGCCAGTACCAGAGGGAGCACTGCTGGGCTGTTGAGATTGGGCCTGTTGTTGTTGTTGCTGTTGTTGTTGTTGTTGCTGTTGTTGCTGCTGCTGTCTAGTTTGCTCAGCTCTCTCCTGCTGCAGAAGCTGGGGAGGTAAAGAAAAAGGAAAAAAACAACAGTAAAAACCGTTACACTCTGAGAGTAAAGGACTTGGTACCTCTTCTTGTATGTTGGGAGGTAGCGCCGAGAGAAACTCCGGGCTGATTGCTGTGGCTAATCCTTCCCGTCGTGCCTGCCTGGCACGCTGCTCACGTGCATGTTGAGCAAGGATCTCCTGTTGAATGTTCTCTGGAAGTGCTGCAAGTACATCGTGGTCAATTGAGTCGGGAAGTTGCTGCAGGGCTGGAGGGACATTGGCCGCTGCAGCTTCAGTGGAAGTACTAGAAGTGCCAGTTGCACCAGAAACAGCAGCACCAACAGTAGCACTCTCTTCTTCCTCCATGGCATTCTCCTGGGATGTTGAATCCCCACTAGTACCTACAACACCTGCTCCGCCTAAAGTTCTACCGGGACTCTCTGCAGATACATTCTGTGGCTCGGAAGGTTCTAGCATCGTTCCACCTTCCCCACTACTCTCTTGGGGCAGCAGTTCGCCAACTTCTTGCCATAGTGTTCCGCTCATCATGGAAGCGCTCTCAGTGGCTACAATATTTTCCCCCGTGTGAGATGTGGGTGGTTCTACTTCATTGCCCCTCGTGCTGGTGTTAGTTCCGGTTGTTCTGTTCTCCTCCACTCTTCTGAGCACCTCTTGTTGCGTCGGCATCTGCAGCGAGGAGATAAGGGGGGCAAGCGTGTCAGAAGGACTGGGCGACGATTGCCCCGCAACAGAAGTTGGTGGTGAGGTTTGCGAGATGGCGAGCGAATTAGAAGCCGTGGTTACTGCACCGGTGGGTGTTAATTGGGACGAACCTTCGCTACTGGAGGTGGGCATCAATTGGGAAGCAGTCATGGAAATCTCCTGTGCCAGCGAGTTGGCTAGGCTAACAGTGTCGGTGAGATCTCGAGAAGACTGGGGAAGGTCGAGCGAGTTTGACTGAAAAAACGAAGTGACTTGTGATGCGATGCTCTCTGCAATGGAAGCGATATTGTTGATTCGGGAAGCTGACGGTGAGAGTGAAGCAGACGCAGCAGATGATGATGGTGGGCGCTGCTGTTGCGAAGGAGAGAGTGAGGAGGTGGCAGAGCCTGCATTAGATGTGGTGGAAGCTACAGTAGACGGAACAGTGATGGAAGCATTCCCATCTCCTCCGGGGAGATTTTGTTGTTGGGTGTGTTGTTCCGATGTGTGTGGTGATTGCATTTGAGTAAAAACGGGTAGTCTCAGAGAGCTCCCGGAATAAGGTATGTTGTGTGTTGGTTGTGAAGGCTGCGAGGGTGAGGTAGACGACAACGCGAGCGGCTGGAAAGGGGTTAACTGTGGCTGTGTTGTGCTCGATGCAGCACCTGATGCTGTGGTTGAGGGAGTTTCAACAGAGCTCGAAAGAGGAGGCGGTGGAGCTCCAACAAAGGCAGAGAGAAAGGTGTACAGAGGATCTTGAGGGTCAGTCTGTTCCAGTGTTGCCCTCGCCGACTCCTGAGAGCCGTCAAAGCTAGAAACAGCACTAGTAGTGCTAGCTGTACCTACTGCCGGTGACGACGATGCTGCTGACTGCCCTGCTAGGGAAACTGTTGTCATTGTGGGAAGCTGAGATGATGAGACAGTGGCGCATGACGACCCGCCAGACGCCTGGGTGACCGAAGTAAAAGCTGAGGAAATTGTGTGCGGTGCGGTACTGGATGTGGTGGTATCTGAGACGTTTGCTCTGGTCGACCGAAGTGAACCTTCGGAGGGAACAGTGGGGTCGAGGAAAGAGGAAGAAGGGACATGGTTATCTCCGGGAAGTGGCAGTGGAGGCAAGGGAATCATCGGGTCAGCGATGAGGTGGTGAGGGAGGTAAGACATGTAGAGGCTTGGATCAGGCTCGTCTGCAAACTCAATGTCACCTCCTTCTTCTCCCTCCCCTTCTTCTTCATCTTCCATGTTGTTTACTCCCTGAGACGATTCGCCGACAGTTGCGGGATCTTGCAGCTGCTCCCGAGTGTTCCTCACCGCGGCGACAGTCTGAGCCAGAGCATCTGCGACTTGCCTCAGACTGGACCTCAGCTGGTCCACGGACCTGTCTCCTCGCGGGCTTGAAGGTGTGGCTTGGTCCGAAGTGTTAGGAACCGAGAGCTGGTTTTGTCCCGATTCCCCCGCTGCGCTCCCCGATGCACCCTGCGTCTTCGGAGCCGTCGCCTCCTTTGGCTTGTTCTCCTGCTCGTATATCGGTGTGAGGTGCTCGATCAACCGCTCCTTGAACAGGGCGATGACAAGGTGGGCAGCTGGGCCGTCGAGAGCTGCTGACTCTTCCTCCCATCTCTGGAGGGTTGTCGGTATAGTCGACGACTCAAATGCGTTATCTTGTTCCTGAGGTTGAGCTCCAGCAGCGTCTGTTTGAGAGAGGAAATCACGTGAAAATGTGTCCACGTTTAGCAATCACTCAGACAGAAATTTGGCCTAAACATGCATTAAACAGTGAGCCCAGTTTTGATTAACCTCTTGCCCTCTCTGACGTTGAAGCTGAGCCATTTCCTCGTCCAGTGCCACTGCTACTTCCACCAGCCTCCGAGCTGATGTTGGTCAACACCTGCTGCATTGCCTGCACCGCGGCCTCGGCAGACGGAGTGATGTTGTCGAAACTGAGACCAGCAGAATTCGGCCCGCCGCCCGAGTTTCCTGTCGTGTTTCCACTATTGCTCCGTGCTATCACCTGTTGCTGGGGGTGGTCCGCAGGCCGTACCAATAAGGGATGGAACTGGGGCAGAAGAGAGGAGGGAGGGGTCGGAGAAGTCGAGAAGGAGGAGGTGAGAGGGTCGAAATCGGAGGAGTGCTGGGAGAGGTGAGTGTGGTAGGCCCGGGAGAAGATGGAAGGGAAACCACTCGGCATGTCCAAGTCAACAAATGGGTGGACTGCAAAACAGTAAAAGAACAACTTGAGAATGATCATACAACAGTATTTTTGGGTCAGGAAGGTGTATGTATGTACGTCAGTGGAAAACACATAAGTCGCGTATGTATGTGGTACGACATTTGCTTTTGGAGGTGTACTCACCCATTCTTTGGTGCCCAGAGCCACGAATAGTGTAAACATCTCCCTCATCAGCAAGTTCATAATCATACTCTAAATCAAGCTCATCCTCCTCATCTTCTTCCTCCTCTTCCTCTTCTTCTTCCTCCTCCTCCTCCTCCTCTTCCACCTCTTCCCCCTCTCCTGTTGCATCATTGCCAGCTGTAATTTCTGCCACTTCGTCATCAACATTAACCCCTCCACTTCTGTCCCTCTCTCCCTGGAAAACAACTATGTGAAGTGACCGTAAACAATCATAGTTGCAAACTCTTACATCCAAGCTAGCCTCTTCCTCCTCTTCTTCTTCAGCTTCCGTTCTATCACTCTCCTCCTCTTCCTCATCCTCTTCATCCTCTTCTTCCTCCTCCTCTTCCTCCTCTCCCTCCATTTCTTCCTCGTCCTGCGTGCTCTCAGCATCAGAGAAATCGGAGGCCACCATTTCATGATCTTCTCCGAGGGCCTCACCCACCGCACGGAGGTCTTCACGAGTCTCATCAAATTCTTCCTCCTCAACCTAACAAATCACAAGCACCATGTCACTCATATCCTTGTGCCGGTATAAGGTATTGCACAGGTTGTATAGGCCCACGTTTCTGGGTCAAATTTCAAACATTGACGCACATACATAATTTGAACACTGATTCTGAAGGTAAACTCTCTATTTGTGTTGTTCACAGACTGTATTCTGAAGCAAAGGCCTTCAATTGTACGATCGGAGCACAGCCACTCACAGTACATGCATATGGTAGCATGTGAAGGGTTTTGTGAGGAAGTAATAGACCACCAAGTTTTGAAAATGAACGCAGTCCCACCTCTTCCCCGGCTGAGTTGAAATTATCGTCGACTTCCAAATCCTCCTCGTCTTCCTCCGAGGCATCTGACTCCACCCCGCTGATGTCTCCATCGCTGGCCGACGTGTCGTGACTGTCGTGTAGGGCAGGGACTTCCCCTTCTCCCTCGACCATTACATCACTGATAATAGCGTCAGGATGAACCCCAGCATTGCCTGGTTCTTGTTCTAGAAGGTTGTCCACTATCTCCTACAAGAACAAGAGCCAAAGCTATCACTTGCTCACATACATAGTACATGTGTACTGTATACTGGGATAAGGCTACATGGGTAAAGTCAAGGAAGAGAGAGAAAGAGGCATAGATACCTGAATGTCCATATCTCCAGACGCAGCGACCGTAAGCTCCTCCCTGTGCTGCCGGCCGAGCTCCTGTGCCAAGGTGATGATCTCACGTCTCTGCTCCCTCTCTCTCTCGTCGTCTTCCTCCTCTTCCAATGGAATAAGGCTCTCGTGGGTTGCCTCCAGGAAGCTGGTGTCCGTCTCTAGTTGCCGAGCTCCACCTGCTGCTACTGGTGTGGATGCTGAGGCCTGGGCTGGGTGTCGAGGTGTGGAAATGACACCAGGTGTACCAAGTTCAGGGTTGCTAGGTTGGTCTTCCCGTATCTGTGGTGTTGCCTGGGTACCAGTGGGAGGAACTTGGGATGTACTTGTTGTTGGTGGCGTTGCCGGGTGCGTCCCTGTCCCAACGAGAATGGATCTAAAGTTGCTCCTGTTAGAAGTTGTCTGAGTGGCGGAAGTAGTGGTCGGTCTGTTAGAGGGGGGAATGCCACCGCCAACCGTACCGGTACGGTGCTGGCTCAATGCAACCTGGTTCACAATCCTCGTGAGCACCTCCAGCGGCTTCAAGATGTTGTTCACGGTCCCTACCAAGTGGGAGCTGTTGAGACTGAGCGAGTGGGTGGCTCGGGCGAGATCGGAGATGAACCCTCGGCGGATTAGCAGCCGAGAGAAGTTTGTGGGATTCACTGTCATTCGTGGAGCACCGTTGTTTGGCGCGTCAAGAATCTGGCTGAGGAGTGAGGCTAGCGTGCGTATGCGCATGTGTTTGAGCTGCGACTCCGCAAGGGACAGCGCGCGCTGAAAAGCCAGTTTGAATTCGTTCACGAGGATCAAGATGGCGTCTTGTGGGTACTGGATGGTGGCCAGGCACTGGAGAAAGGAGCGTGCGACCTTTGAGATCGGAGGTGTCCCGCTGTTTTGGCTTAGGTTTCCCAGGAGAAGATGGTCGAAAATGAAGGCCAGTACTGTCATTTCCTGCAGGTTTAAAGGAAACAGACAGCAAGTCTAGATTGTGCAAAAACCTTTACAGGCAGATGTTTAATTACAAAGAGCAATGCTTGATACGCACATAATGCTGACACTTAAGGTGGTCTGAGTACAATGCCTATAATATGTCTGATTAAAGGTGACACAGAAGGGAAAAAAACAGTGCTACTATAAATATGAGGTGAAGTATTGAGGCTGACCTTAGAAGGTTGACCACTGACTCTCACGGTTCTGCAGCTCTCTGCTATCTGCTTTGCACACGACGGGTACGAGTCCACCAGCTCGGCGAGCAGACGCAAAATGGCCGACTTTGACAGCAGCGGCTTCTTGTCTGTCACCAAAGACGGCTGCTGGACAGACTGGTTTGTGGAACTGATCTGACGAGAAACAACCTCCACAGGCTCAGCGTCGTTGTTCATCTCCACGGAGGCTACATCGTCGTCCAGATCTACGTTCCCGTGAACCTGCCTGCGATACGACCCGTGCCTCATCCTCTGTCTCTGAGCAGCCGAGACCATCTCTCTCACCGTACCATACCTCAGCCTCGTCTCCGACTCTTCCTCCGTCTTACCCCCACCATCCCCCATCCCTCCTCCCCCTTCCCCTTTGTCCGGTTGCATCGAATCCTCGAATAACGACTCGGCGCAAAGGTGATCGATCAGCAAGTTTATCAAGCTCTCCTGTACAGTGTTCAGCACCACTAGCTCCGGTTTCGGCATACCGGGGGCCAGTTTAACGTTGCAGGACGGCGTCCTTAGAGTGGTCGTGTAGCTCTCGGGTTTCGTAGGAGCTGAGCTCAAACGAACGTACATCAACGCCATCTCCTTGAAAAGGTCTAGGTCGCGACAGCCAGCCGGTCCAAGTTTTCTCATGACGTAGTGGAGCTCGCGACTCACCAGCGTCGTACGGCCGTCCTTTGTCACGTTGGCCGGGTTTAGCACCTGTTTCAGGATTTCTTCCGTTGCCTGTTTGAGAAGTGGCCCCTCCTCAAGACAGTGTCTGAAGATGAGCATTGCAAGGGAGGAGAAGCCCTGAAAAGAGGAGCGCTGGGTGAGAGAGAGAAGGGCTTGCGGCCCTCCGTCCTTGATGAAAGCCGCAGCGAGTTCCGGTCGCCGTGTGAGACGGAGGCACAGTCGAAGGTTGGCATGGAGAGCGTCTGGAGGCTGGTTCGGACAGACTAACAGCTGCGTACAGCACTTTATGACTCTCGTTGCCTGCTCTACGTCCATTACAGTCAACTCCAGTGGCTCAGGCATCACTTCGAGGATAAATTGTGCCCGTTATAATATAAAAACAATATACATAATAATTTTCACATACCTTTGGGGTTTAGTTTGGCAGCTGCCTCCTCTTCAGGCGTGAGTTTTCGTGGAATTTCTATTCTCAGAACAGGCCTCTGGGCATTGGTCTCCGCGTTTATCTGTGGTTAGAAGCGATACCTTTTATAAAGTACATTTATAGACTCCCTGCCCACCAAGGCACTGATGGCCGAGTGGTTAAGGCGTTGGACTCGAAATCCAATGGGCTCTGCCCGCGCAGGTTCGAATCCTGCTCAGTGCGTAATTTTTTCCTCCATTTTCTACGAATCCTCCCATTTTATTTCCCCTCAACTTTTTTAACATGAAAAAATTTTGCTAATGAGTTTTTTTCCCCCTGCTCCTTACTTGAACCATGGAAGCAAAGTGAATGATGTATCTGTGGCGACCAGAGAAGAAGCGAACAATGGGCTCGCTGTTCCTGTATGCTGTCTCTATTCTTAGAGCCACATCGCTAGTGAAGGAGGTCCATCGTCCGTGTGTATTCTCCATGCTTTGCCACACCACTTGGAAATTCTATGCGAACACAAAACAGCTGAATATGATCAAAACTTTACACACCTTTTTAAAATATTTTTTAACCTCTCTTGGTTTCTGGCGATTGTTGTACATCATTGCAACTTTTTCCCAGGTATCTAGCAGCAGCAAAAAGGGAGCGGTCCACCTATATTGTTATATGGATATATAGTAGGATAGTGGTTGATGAATTATTCATGAGCTCAGCTCACTGAGGGTTTGGGTTTTCTGGGCTGGCGCAGACGAAGTCACGCGTTAGTTCCAGCATCTTTATCACTGCACCCAACAGTTCCGGCTCACATACAACCTCAGCACAGGAGAACGGTAGCTCCTGTGCATGGGGGACAGCAAATTCTTATCCTGAAAGTGCTTAATTTTTTTATGCCTAAAAAACATACTACTTCATTACTGTATGCTGCAAATTCTACAGCACACAAAAGGGCCCTCTTACAGGTTGCATTTCATGTCTAATTGTATTTTCTAGTGTCCATATTTACTACTTGGAGGGGGGGTTGGTATGTATACTCTATTGCACTCCTTCTTTTCAACTATAATATATATATACAAGTGAGGTAAAGAGACACGTCTTCTCATGCTCACAAACCTCCATCAGGAGAATCAGGAGGTGAGTCAAGTTAGCAGTCACGGCAATAACTGACAGGTAAACCTTGTCGATCGTTCTTCCCTCAACGATCTCTTTCGCCAGAGAGACGGCGGCCGCACGGACCTGATGGCGGACCTTGGCAATGGAGGACATCCGCCAGGGGTGGTTGTTGCGCCTCATGAGAGCCGTGATAATGTCAGCGATGCGGTACACGCTCTTGGGTGAGTTGGAGATGGCTACTATACTGGAAGGCAGGAGGCTAGGAGGGAGAAAGATTTGTGAACCATAAAAGTGGGATGTTACATCTTCTACACACAAAAGTGTTCTTGATAAACGGAGACTCTGTTGCTTCTACGAACAAAACTGGGTTCCCAGTATACATACTTAATAAACACCAGTTTGCAGTTGGTTGAATATAGCTGTAGCCTGTTCTGCAATACACAGCCACAGGAATGTCAAGAAAATGCAACACAGAACCACTGGCGTGCCTGACTTGCCTCTCCGTGATGTTTGCACATCATAGATTCATGCAATATATTGTATTATGAGCTATGAGCCAGCAGTTTCAAAGACATCCGCAATTTAAAACCCAATCGATACAGTTTCTACGGCAGCGCTCACCAGTCGCTGAATTCATCCAACTCGGCTCTACTCAGCGGTGTCAGCCTTCTCTTCTCCTCCTCCTCCTTCCTCTTCTGCTCTTCTTCTTCCTTCCTCTTCCTCTCCTCCTCCTCCCTCTCTCTCGCCGCCTTCTCCTCCTCCTTCTTCTTCTCGGCAGAGGCGTTCTCCCCGAGCGAGAGAGCTATGGCCTGCATTATCTGGTCTTCCTCACTCACTTCCGACCCAGTCTGAGGAGCAAGTTGGCAATACAACTAGAGTCAAACCACTCATATTCTCCCACGTGATAACCAATGTTGTATACCACACAGTATGTAGATAGATTGAGGGCTCAGCTCAAGTAGAAAGGTATAGATCATGAAGACGCCATACTAGCACCATTTCACATGCTGTTGCGAACATCACAGCCCTCATTGACCACACCCACCTAACGCATGCCCACTCACCATACCTACACCCACCAATAAACAACAACAACCCCCACCCACTAATAATACGTTGCAAACCACACCCCTGACCACACCCACTGGGACCTACTGCAGGTCCAGAGGGGGTTGGTCGAGAGAGAAGCCAGTCCATGGCAGCGGTGAGGTTGTCTCCGCAGGCCAGTAGGGCTTCCTCTCCTTGCTCCTGCGAGAACCCCATGTCAAACAGCTGCTGGAGATGATGGGGGTTCACTCGCGGGGGCTGTGGTGGGGGGGCTGCGGGGGGTGGCTGAGAAACCTGGTTCCCCTGCGGCGTGGCCCCACCGGAGGTGGAGGAGGCGGAGGAAGAGGCAGTGGCAGCCGCAGTGTCTGAGGAAGCTCCGGTCGACGAGGAGTTGGGCGGAGCCGTTGCCGGCTGGCTTGGCGGAGCTGGTGGGGCGGGCGGAGCTTGGAGTGCGCGGTACTCATACAACTTTGCCTCAATCACCTAATGGCAATGAACGTCAAATGAACAGGTTTTACGTACAAATGAAATGGCAGAGGAAAAGAGTTCTCGGTGCACCGAAAGTTGGCGTTAGAATCAATAAACCTCTGAACATTTTCTTAATCTTTTCTCACCTTCTCGCTGTTGTAGATGTGACGAATGGTGGACAGAAGAAGATCGACCACCTTGTGGTGAAGCCGGTGGAACACACGCGAGTGGAAAAGTTCCCTGAGGCACGGATGAATGGCCTTCTGTGTCTCGATCACAAATGCCAGTGGGTTGAAGAGAGGGTTGAAGAGTAGCTTCTTCCCGTTTGCCTGCGATGGAGGAGGGACCGAGAGAGGGTGGGTGGACTCGAGGATGGACGTGGCGTCCACTAGTTTCTCGGCGAGACGAAGCCATGACTCCATGAAGTCTATGCAGCTTCCTGGAGAGAGGGACAGAGAGGAGAGAGAGAGGAGAGAGGGATAGAGAGGAGAGAGAGAGGGAGAAAGGAGAGGAGGGAGGCTACCAACATTGACCAGTAGAGCAATACCTGTAGTAATTCACAGTGCACAGTGAAACCTCTGAATAGAGGAAACTATTAGGACATTGAAACCGTAATTCAGAGGTGCCCCTTACTAGACTCAGTTACATTATACACAGTATTTGTATGGGGCATAATAATTAAGGAGCTCTTTATTTCAGAGGGTCACTGTACAATGTAGAGCAAACTGTAAGAGAAAAGAGAAGGGGAAGAAAGGAGGGGAAATGTAAGGTTCATCGTACCGTGGACGGGTCCCTTGTTCTCCACGTCAAAGAGGTCGTCGAGAATCTTGAGAGCAACGTGAAATGTGCTGAGGAAGAAATCCAAGAACACATGACACCAGCAATAATTATGATCCATAAAAAATATTAAAAATAGAACACTCTGAATCAAGGATACCACTCTCTTTTATGAATTGTTAACTCTTTGGCGTGTGCTTATGGCTAGGTTTACACTGCGATAAATGTGTGAAGGCAACGGATAAGGTCACTGTTTGGAGTACTCGGACAGTGTTCAGCGAGAAACGCCGCCAGTCACTCGGTCTTTATTGCACTCGTCCCTAATACAGCAGAGCCCATGGATCAGAGCTTGCCGAACACACAGAGTGCGGTCAACACCACGTGAACTACACGTACAGTGGAACCCCTCTAATCAGGACCCAATTGGGGCATAAGTCAAGTTTGTCACCTGATGTAGGCATCCAGAACCTTCTTCTTCTCAAAGCAGTGGAGAACCAAGTGGTAGGCCTGCTTGTGTTCGTCAAACAGCAGGAGTTCACAAAAGTCCACTGCGTACATCTTGAACGTCATTCTAGAGGCACCAGAAACAAAGAGTACGTGTAAATCAGATGCGTATTTTTGAGGATGAATATTGGCTGTATTTTCCACTCTCGGAAAACTCCCCCCACATAAATGAAATCATTTCCCACGGACTCCTACGTCTGAAAATCTGGTTAGCTAATAAACTGCTGTGAGATCTTGAAAGAAACAAAGACGAAGAGATATGGTTTACCCTCCAAAGAGCCAGTCGCGAATGGGGCTCTGCATGGCCGAATGACACATCTCCGGCATGGGCACCTCCCACTTGAGGCTGTCCAGGAGCAGATCGGTCACCTCCGAGCACACGTTGATGGCCTCTTCCGAGGGGGGCTGGTAGTGGGAGAACACGAACCCGCCGCCCCTGCGATGCGGCCGGTGGAGGGGGCTCGTGCTCACTTTCACCAGGAAGCTGAGTAGCTCCGCGAGGGAGCGGCCCACGTGAGACGTAATCGTGAACAGCGGTGGCAGCTGCTTGAGCGACTGTATGAGAACGTTTGGTTTTATCTCCGCCGGATTCCGGCCCAGTTTGCTGATTGGTTCCGGCGTCCCCGATCTGTCTTCGGAGGTCTTCGTGTCTGATTCCGATGTTTCCATACCAACCCCTTCCTGACCCGACACTGTCGCTGTACTCGAAGTGTCCATCGATACCTCTGTAGTATGGGTCTGAGACCCACTGCTAGTCCCCGTTCCAGACCCAGATTCATCCATGTTTTCAGACGTCGGCTCTGGGGCCTTCTTTTCGCCTGTCTTGTCTGTCCGTTCGTCTTTAGCGGCCACGGCGAGGAGAATGAAACCCTCCCAGACCAAGGCTCGGTAGAGGCGGGCCAGGTGGTTGAGTACCTGCTGGCCGACCGGTTTCGACCACTCGTTCACACATAACATCCGTGAGTCAATCTACAGTGGGAGACAATGTTAATATTTACAGGGAGTTTGTACCAGTTTTTAAGCCTCAGGTCTACTGCACTTTAGCACTTAAAGTGTAGCAAGGCTTTGGCCCACGTACTATTATTGCAGACAACAACCAAACTAGTCGGCGGAGCATTATACCCTTACATTTTACAATCCCCACTTGCTTACTATATTGACAGTAGAGGGGGGAACCCCTTAAGATATAGCTGATATGGCTAGTCTGTTAGAGGGGGAAAACCCTTACATTATAGCCGATATGACTGGACTTGCAGAGATGAATGAACATCCTGATGAAGGCATTCACTGCCACCAGTCTCTGCAGCAGGGGAAACGACATGGACACCTGGAGGTTAGCTGGCATCTCTCCGACTTCCTCGAGAAGAACGGAGGCTCCTGCTTTCTCCGGAGACTCGAGGAACGGAGAGAGAGAAGCGAGGAGGTCGTTTAGCTGGGTGACGGCTTCCCGGACCAGCTCTGCCGAGTGTCCAATGTTCTGAGAGAGGAGAGGTGCGAGAGGTGTAACTCAAACCTCATGAAATGGGCAAATGCGCATGGAAGCTACCTCTTCAACATCTATAAACTATTATCTTTTCCTCTTCTTTGGCCAGAAATTAGAGACAAGTTCAGGCACATACACATACTTTAGTTGTCTAGGAAGTACTGTTCGTGTTTTAGGAAAATATTTGTAATGTCCTTAACAGTCACAGCAGTGTGTTCAAAATTTATAAAGGACATGTGGTAGAAATTACAAATTGTATAGGCGCACTGTGTGGAAGCGGTGCCTCTGTAACCAGAGTGCTGAGCTCTCTTTCTCTCACCAGAATGCTCTTGCAGGCAGCGGTGATGGTGGCACAGGCGGTGGAGGTGGGGAAGTCCAGAGGGAGGGAGGGGAGGGAGAGGAGTCTGAGGAGCGGGGTGAGCCCACCCTGGGACACAAACTCCCTGATGTGGTCGTCTGTGGAGTTGTTACTGAGGATGGAGTCCACGAAATGGACCTGTGGTGGAGAAGACACACATCGTAGAACTAGGATAGTAAGGAGAACAAAAAAACTGAGTTGGAAAAAATGTAGCGGGTGACCTGATTCATCTAGTTCAGGGTGTTGACAATAATTATTTTCCCCCTCCTGACGCCTTCACTCAAAAATCAGGTAAATTTTTAAGGACGGCCAAATTTTTAAACAAGGGAAAATATTTGCATCCCTCTATTGGTATACATAGAGAGAGAAAGTAGGACTCACAACATTGATCATGTACTCAGTCAACGGTGGACTAGTCGGCTTCTCATTTCTACAGGAAAACAGACGTCAAATCAAACACACTCAAAACCCTGTTTCTTTCTCTCACTTTGATTTGGCCGTTGTCTCTCCTCCATTCCCCTCCTCCTCATCTTCTTCCTCCTCTTCCTCCTTTGTCGTGTCACCGTCCCCCTGCTCGTCTTCGTCTCTCTCGTTCTCGCTGTCCGTCTCGTCGGCACCCGACGATGGGACGACGACGGTCGGAGAGCTGAGCTGGGAGGGAGATTTCGACGAGGTTTCGGCCGCCGAGGGTGAGGCCGTGTTTTGACCCATGGCACACAGCTTGTTGAGTAGCTGCCGGGAAAGAGGAGGAAGAGATGAAGAAGCGAGCGAGGACAGCAAGGCGTGGGGGAGAGAAATGTGTACAGAGAGAAATTAGGGAAGCATTAAAACGTAGTACCATTGTACATAATTAACACAAGAGTGGACTTTGTGCATAAATTATCGTAACCTTGTGATGCATGCTTGCGTAAAATTTAGTGGCAGCGAGAGATATGCAAAATTACACAACACATGCGCATTAATTGTTGTTTCAATACTGTTAAACTGTATTTTAATGAGAAATGTAGACAGAAAGGAGAGAATATTTAATATAAGGCAGGGTGAGTGTATCAGTCATTTCCAGGTCCCAGGCAGTAGTGTAACTGCCGCAGACCAACTATGCTTTAGACTGAGTGTGTCTACTGTGGCACTGACTATTGACGACCAGATCGTGACACTGGTCAGGTCTCGACTGGGATACCTCAGTGCAGGAGAGGGAGGGAGGGAGAGAGAGAAGGAGAGAGGGAGGGAGGGAGGGAGAGAGAGGGAGGGTGCAGCTTTTCAGGGGGAACTCGCATATTTAATCGTTATGTTAATCTATTTATCCTCACAGTTGATAACTAATAGAATGAATGCATTATTGGCGAGCAAGCACAATGCAAATTTCAGAGGCTTTGTGCAAAACATAGTGGTATGGTGACAATTCAGCAACCAAAACTAATACACGAAAATCGACAATGTACGAAGGAAGAAAGGGAGAGGATAGAGATAGGTGTATCTTACGGTGATGAGAGCCTTTATCACGTTGCTTCGCAGCGTCGGCTGGTGCCTCATCAACTCGTCCATCGCAATACCGAGGTTGTTAGCCGTATCCCCAGCTGCAAGTAATGTAATAATGTGTAAGTACTTAACGAGAAACAGTGTGACATTTTCGTGATATATAGCTTACATCGGGAATCTACCAAACCCAACAATTGTATTATAGCAGAGAGGAAATGGTTGAGTTGAGCTAAAAGACCGCTCACTTTTTACCGGCCATTATGCACGAAATTCCATTTAATGCCCACCCTACATAATTATGACGTCATAATGAACAGGTTTCAGGCTCTGGACTGACCTGAATGGTCCACTCCCTTCTTCTTCCTCATGGCGGGGAGGTACTCTGGGTTGATGAGGACCCCGAAGAGATGGTCAAACGGATCGGCCTCGATAAACAGCTGCAATCCTCTGGCGTTGAGGCACAGGGCACTCAGCGTGTTGGGTAGCGAGGACAGCACCTCTCTAGTCACCGGGATCTGTGGGGAGAGGTGCGCAATCGGGTAATTGGACAGCCCAGATAGGAACACAAAAGCAATCTATAAACTGGACAATGGTATAAGTTACACAGGATTCTTTACAGATATCCAATTCTTTAATTGGACGTCCCACAGATGGATGCAAAATAACTGTGGGGAGTTATTACGTGATGACCAATTTAGGAACTGGACGTCCGAAATGAAGATGCAGTAGTGGTATTGTGAGGATCAGGCAACGGGACAGCTGACCTGTTTGTTGATGATGGAATTGAGCATGACGCCCGGGAGTCCGTTGTCTTGGAGAGGAGTCAGCTGAGATGGCTCGTGGAAGATAAACACCGTGGCAACCTCGGTAGCTGGGGGGAAACATTTGTGGGTTCACATCAACACATCAGTACACGTTACGCTCGGCAATTATTCAGGACTACAGATGTCAAACATAATAGTTAGTGCATTGTACACATATACATAGATGTATGTACGTACCAGGAAGGTAGATGGAAGGACCATAGTACTCAGCATTACTGACGATGTGCTTGAGAGAGTGTGGCAGTGAGGAGTCCACAACTACAGGAGAATGACAGAGAAGAGAGAGATAGATTAACAACACTAATTACAGGGACGAAGGAAGGGAGGGGGAGAAGGTGAAAAGACTCACACGTCCTCATGTTCTCTGAGAATGTTGGTTCGGGAATGGCCTTCTTCAAGAAGTTAAGAATAGACTTTATGAGAGCCGCTCTCTCCGGCATACACGTGCACAGCACCCCCGAACTGAACGCCTTGCCCGCCGCCCGCGTCAACAACTGGGGGGTGAAGTCTCTGTTCCCGGCGGCAACCGACGCACCACCGGTGGCTTCGGTCGTATCCATAGCAACCACCGGTGTCTCCGTTTCCACGGTAACAGCTGGCGTTTCCGACGACCCAGCATCGGCAGAGTTACTATTGTTCCCAGTCTCTCTCTCCGTAGCCAAAGGAATGTTGCTTGTTTCAGCGCTGCCTCCCTCAGCAGCAGACGAAGAGGAAGAAGAAGGTAGAACGATGGATGGAAGAAGAAAAGGAATCTCCCCTCGACATTGCGCAACCTCCATTTCGAGTCGCTCCAGCATCTTGTCCCATCCTCCGAGACTGTGGAAGGCGGACATATCCAGGTTTGTGATGAGATCAATGACTCTCACTGCCCTGGTCACCAGCTGAGGGGAGGGGGGAGGAGGAGACAGACAGAGAAAGTCGGTTTGGCAATCACCAACTATACAATGTTTTCTGTCACAAAAATCCAATTCAGCTGCTACTATGCAGTAGAAAGTGACTCAAACACAGACGTGCATGTCTGTCTGGGCTCAGATCCTAGTAAGAAACAATCACTAGCTCATGAGAAGATCTCACATCATCGCCCTTCATGACACTACACTTGTGTACCAGCACACACACACGTAATAAACAGCTACATGCAGATGTATAGGGGAAAGCTACTACGCACACACATCATTACACTACCATGCAAGACGTCACCCACACACTGTATGTATAGGAAGCCGCTACGTAACTCACAGTAATGTTTGAAGGTTCGAATGCTTTCCACTCCAGAACTTGGATGAGACTTTCCATAACACCACTTCCCACCAGTGCATCACCACCTTGATTGTGTAGGGGAGAGAGAGAGGGAGGGAGGGAGGGAGGGAGAAGGCAGAGGAGAGTGGATAAACGGTTCACAAGCCACATTAGTTAAGGTTTACCATACACACATACATACATACAGGCAGCAGAGTTGCTACGCACTCACTGGCTTCGTAGGTTGCCAGGTGGTAGAGAAAGGAGAAGAGAGCCGTTGCGAAGGACAGGGGGAATTCCCCAACCCCCTTATCGGCCGTGGCCACGCCTCCTTTGGCGAGGGTGAACGAGGCGACGCAGTCTCGGACCAGTGACGGGAGAAAGCCGTGGTAAGTGGAGGCTCCAGTGGCTTCTATGATGGCTCCCAACCTGCGACAGTGGAGATACAATTATTATGATTACTCCTCTACCGTGAGGTATCAGGGTGTGTATAATCACAAACTACACCACGGACAACGCGAAACAGTGAGCTGCCCCAGGTGAGACTCAAACCCACGCCACTCTGACACACCTTGGATCTCTCTCGAGATGGATGATAGCTGTAAGAGTTCTGAGAACGGCAGCTCTAATCTCCTGCAACAGTAGGACACACGACATCGTGTGAAGGTAGTACTACACTAACATTCAATTCTATGGTGCATGTCTCAACAACTTGGTAGCGAGGTAGAAAGACAAGGCAAGGCAAACAAGTCAACTACACCCAGGACAGCTCTTTCTTTTCAAAGAAAAGAAGAGCTGCCCTGGGTGGGATTCGAACCCACGACACTCTGCAGTCTAGGCGAGCGCTCTACCACATGCATGTACAGCACTTACCATGAGGCTTGATTCCCTGATTTCAAGCACCTCCACCAGTTCTTCCACCAGACCGTCGTATATGAGAGGATCCACTACATCCACGGGTGCTATGGAGTACACTGTGTAAGTAGGGGTGGGTGAGAGAGAGAAAGGAGGGAGATATTAACCCCACCTTTAAGATGCTGGGGTCACCTTCAGAATAATGGTCATTTTTTAAAATGCGCCTCTGAAACTTTTATTATTATTATTTTTTATAGGCTACAAAAATCCTCCTGGCAGACATGTATTTAACCCTCGGCGCGCATGCGCAGCGAGGGTTACAATAGTTGGTTTGTTATTCTGCTACTTAGTTCGCCACTCGCAGGTGACGGACGAGAGTCAGAAAGGGGTTGAAGAAAGGGGTGCTACCTAATATTGAGATGGCATGAAGGCGAGCCATGACACATTTCAACCTCTGTTGGTAGTTAGTGAAGTTCCTGGCCAGTCTTATCCGTGTTAGTAGCTGCATCTGGAGGAGTTGGAGCAGAGAGAAGAGGGGAGGGGGGAGAGGGAAGGGAGGGTGTGGGGAAATGGAGAAGAAGACAGAGGAAGAGGGGAGGGGGGAGAGGGAAGGAGAGAGAGGGGGAAGAGGGGAGGGGGAAGAGGGAAGGAGAGAGAGGGGGGAGGAATAGCGAACAAAATAGGGAAAGATGGGAGAGTCAAAAAGTAGCAAATCAGCGAGTGAAATGCAGGACGTACGTATCAGATATACACATACATGGTTCAAAGTGAAATTTTATTGCGATGCGCACTGAATCTACTACAAACCAACATACATATACAAATACCTGCTGCATCTGTGGTATTCTATGCTCTCGTGTAATTCCACTCATCATGGCCTCGATACTCAGTGGACTCTGGGGAACGTTGTACACAGTGAGTTGCAGACACACACACGTCAATATTTCAAACCATTTCTCTACTCCTCTTATCTGTACCTGTACGTCACATTATAAGAGGCAGTTCTGTTGGTCTTGGTTAGCCCATATTACAGCAGGTAACGTATAGTTCTTGTGAGATAGTGCAAAGGCTTTGCAGACAAGCAGACAAACTAATATACATACATATTACGACAGTAGCGGAGGTTCTTTAATTTTGCACCATTCATTATACCTGATCAACATTCTCAAGTATGACAGTCGACTGTCCAACATCAAGATCACTCTGAAAAAGATTCACGTTGTCAGTACATAACTTTAACTTGTGTATGTACATATTGTAGGTATAGGTGTGTAGTAGGTGGAGTTCAAATGGTCACCGGTGGGAGAAGGGTTAAATTTCAACCTCTCAGAGGTGGTGACCACGCCCACATACAACATACTGTGCCTCCAGCTCTTACAGCACTGCCATGTGTGGGACAGTACTGCCTTTACATGGAGGAAATATGCACAAGCCTGCTAGAAGCACAGATGGAGGGTTTCAGCCTCATTTTGTATATATAGTATACAATTATACAATATACATATAATTAGGGAGGTAGCTTTGAGCCAGTAATCTAATAACCTCTCCTCCCCCCCCCACACACGCACACACACACATCACATACATCACATACATACATATCGTGAAACCAGCCTCTCCTTTTCACATCTCAATAGATAGGGACCAATGCTATCCTCTAACCATCGTACTCCGTTGACGATTAAATATGATCGTGTATTTCCATAGTGTACATGCAGTACGTTAGTATCATGGTCAACACAAGGAGCCAAGTGACGGAATCTCAACTGCCAAACACTTACTCCAAATCTCTACATGTAAGGTCCTGTGGATGACACAGCTACTGGTGTATTGTGTAGTGGTGCTCTAGTGCACACAAGTCTATTTGCGATGGCCAACGTATTGTATGGTGAGAGGTATATAAATCACTCAGGATCAATTCTTGCAGTATGTGTCAGTTTAGCTGCACAAAGTTTCAGTCATGCTTACATTATGTCAAGATAGTCAAACGTTGAGGAACACATGCGGTAGATTTCGGCGGATACGTTCATACCTTTGAGGCGGTGGTCTGTATTTCAGGTTGGTATTCAAAGAACACAGTCATGCTGGCTGCTGGTAGAGTGTGGGTCTTACTACAGCACTGGGCCAGACCGAATCCGTTCTGTTTCCCTCCCCACGTCTTCAGAGAAACAATGGCAGTGTGTTATTGAATGAGGAGAGGAGGGAGAGGAGGAGGAGGAGGAGGAGGGGAGAGGAGGAGGAGGAAGGAGAAACGGAATAAAACAAGGAAGGGGAATAGGAGTAGAGGAGAAAGATAACCAGGGAAAGAAGGAAGAGAAGATAGCAAAGAGAAAGAGTGAGAGAGAGTAGAAAAACGTTCCCAATACAAAAATCTCTATTGCTACCTCTCCAAGGAATTCCAGACAAGAATTGAGGTGAAAGCGATGCTTCTGCGGCAATCGAGAGATAAAATTCGACCGTTTGCTGTGAGATAACAAAGAGCGTTATTACATATAGCTCCCTGGCTCACTGGTTTAGCTAACTAAAAGTCTTCTAATTGCAGCAAGGATGTGTGTGCTGCTTGTTACCTGAAAACATAGAGAAGGTTGAGGACAGCCAGCACTACGTCCATGTCAGAAGAGGCCAACAGAGTACACAAATGCTGCAGGAGGATAAGATGAGAGAGGAGGGATGAGGATATGTTGGAGCGGTTCATGCAGTGGTATATAGCAATCTGGACACAATGGACCAGGATGTCCTCAGAGCAGGGTTCTGAATCGAGTGTGGTCATGTGTGTGTGTACATTCACATGTACATACAATACCTCAGTGGAGTTGTAGATGTTGCGAGTGTATGAGTGCTCTACAAGGAGAGCAGTGAAATATAACACAGCCACAACCTTCCGCTTGAACTGAACACACAGAGAGAGAGAGAGAGAGAGAAGTAGAGAATAATTTGAAACGGCAGCAGTATATGCCAAAGTGTGCGTATGCATGCATCGATCACACTAGATGCATGCATAGCAGTAGTTTCATCCCTATGTCAATAGTATGAACCCAATGTGACGTTAACAGACTGCAGTAGAGAGTGGGCTGTTGTGGCGGTGGGTATGTATGACGGGAGAAGAGGCGAGACGAACAAACCAACCTGATCATCCTGTAGTCTCGGACACATGAAGACGCACTGCGTGGGGTCAGAGTTCGCCAGAGAGGCCTCCCCGTCCCGGCACGCCTCGCTCAGAATCTTGTCAAACCGGTCTAACACGTCAACCCAGTGGTACAGCTCACACTGAGCAACAAGAGAAGACAGACAAACATACAGTGAATGGAATGCACATACATGGTGAGGATTCTTAATTAGTGAAATTTCGTCTAGAAAATCATTTTTGATGGCTATGTGCACACATCCCAAGCACGCAAAATAGTCATTAATGCAAAATGTATGCACATAAAATGGAAACGAAAACTATGCATCAGTTTAACGTTCAAGTACAACTTTTGAGCAGTACATGGGCAGGGCCTTATAAGCCTTGTGTTTCGCAACTGATGCACATGTTTCCAACACGTTCCATGTTCACAAGTGTACACATCTGTGCATTACATAGACCACAGATGCCATTAAATTTAGAGGTGTGCCTTCAAATGATATCACTTCCTTTACATGGCAGAGTTTGGGGGTGCACAGAAGCACTTACTTGCGTGGGTAACACACACATCCAGCCAATACAACATGACATCATCATAATACAAAACTTACATGTAGTCATCCTGCTGTATAATTAATTGCACTGAGTATTATATGGAGTTACACACAACGGTCAACAGACCTTGCCATACTTCCAGACGGTGATGGTTTCTAGCGTTGATGTCAGCTCGTCGTCGGAGCAACTCTGCAGCTTCCCGACCAGCTGCTTTGTGTGGAGGGGCTACAGTGGAAGCAAGAACAGTGGCTAAATTGAAACAGAAACTAGCACACGTGTTTACAGACAATGGCGTGCTCGCCCGCCCAACCGCTTGTGATTCTATTTATTGCCCTCCTAACCCAATCAACTCTGAAGAAACTGCCGGTAAACGGAGCGCCATTACGTTTATTCTCACTCACCAACTCAACGACTCCCCTCCTAGGCTTGCTTTTCTCTATCTTCATTCCGTTTCCTCGCCCCTAGCAACAGCTCTGGTTCAACCGAAGCGGCCCGGACACACACGCCTCTTCTCCTCGCGTGAGGCTGACGTCTGGGGGACGTCCGGTACGCAAAGAAGACTCGCGTTTGCAGTCTTCCAGAGTAAGTAACTGCTTTTTACCACTACCTCCCCCGAAATGGCAGAAGTAACATTGTGTTCAGCAGAAGAAGAGTCTAGAAGGACGAACACGCTCCGCCGCGCCGCCACGCATCGTCATCAAAATTAGAGTGCAAAGGTGAAAAAGAACTGCTTATGCCCACGCGGCTCGTACGCATGCGCAAACACTGCACCATTGCGCGTGCGCACTAGACTGCTAGCTCCACCCCCACAAACTGGGGAGAGCTTTTCTACCGGCAGTGATCGCCAATGGCTCTGCATTTCAGCGCCGAGAGGCCGGACGACCAGTTCTACACCGACTTTGGAAACCTCAACAAGTTCGAGGAAGAGGTGAGCCTCTGTTGGCTACCTCACTACCCCTTCTCGCCCATTTCTCTCTTCCCTCAGCCGTTCAGTAAACTGAGCTCGATTCTGTTCAGCTTTCTGGTGTCGCCGGAGCAGGTAAGCTAAGCCAACTACCGTTACTCCACACTCTCTCTATTCTCCCACACAGTCTTCTCAATTGCTGTCAGAATTGGAAGGATTTGCCACGGAGTACTCTCTCGGGCTCGCTGCCCTCAAGAACCTCGTCAAATCCATCCTTATCGTATCCCCCAAATTCTGTCCCACAGACCTCTTCTGTTCTAATACTTCAGCTCCATTCACAGTTTATTTCCTGTGTTTTACTGTCATTGGGCCTTACTTTCATTGCCTATGTATACAAAATCGGAAGCAACATCCAACTAGCTACCTCCATACATTAGACTTAGAAGCGAAACTGAAACCATATTCTGTCTCTTCCTGAACTGTATACTGTATGTGCCGTGTTTAGTTCTTCAAGGCAGCTCTGAGGAAGAACCTGAGTCCCAGCTATGTAAGGGAAGACCTCGTCCAGTTGGGTGAGAGTTTGAATATGACTCACAATCATTGTTAGCTAGCTGTTGTATAATGCTTCACATTCAGGTCTCTCAGAGGAGAGAGCAGAGTCAGTTTCAAAGCAGGTACAATACAGCAAAGCACGCCCTGTGTTTATTTTCCATTCACCTAACATCGTGCTAGCATTTCCCCTCCATTATGCTTTCATTTATGCAAGTAAAAACTAAGGATTTAGGCCTCTTTTCATGGAGATGTCATAAGAATTTGCAATTGTCTTTAGTACAGAGAATAGCTATATATGTAAGTGCAGCTTTATGCTCAGACTGAGGCACTAAAAGCTCAGCTCTAAACTCAGACTGTGGGACTGTATATAAGCTGTAAGTGTATCTTTGTCAACAGTGGAAGGCAAACCTGGGGTCAATGTCCAGAGTGGCGGCAGGCCAGTCTCTGTCAGTCAATCAACTAGTCGACATGGAGTGGAGGTTTGGCGGTGAGCACCTTACACAAAGACCATTCTTTATTATTCATACCATATCTCTTTCTCAACTCTCTCTTCTCTCTCTCTGCAAATGTTCTCACATCTTCCAGTGACAGCAGCTGACAACGACATGGACAAGGTGGGAAACTCTTTCCTACAGATCAAAATGGTCCTCAACAAAGGCTCTGGCACCGAAGAAGTTTTCATGGGTGAGTTTCAACTTTTAAAAAAAATACTCATCTCTTTTATGGTATCCTTATGATTTTATACGTGCAGAGCTAACTCTGCCGCAATTTTATTCGTTTCTGCATGAGATGGAAAAAGCCAAGGCATGTCTGGAGTATCTGAGTTAGAAAATTGACGTTTTTAGACAATTGTTTGCTATATTATACATTTCACCTGGAATACTGCACACAGATGATACAGTACAAAACCCTAAAATAATGCGCTATAATAATAATTTATGATTGGGTGGTTGGAATGAGTTTCATCTACGATTACGTCGTTTTCTTCTTCTCCCTGTCCAATCCTAAAACGGTGCGACCCAGAGTCTGCAGTGTTCCGCTGAACAGAAGTGTCCCGGTAAAAACCAGGGCAGTCGCCAGCCAGTGCTGGGCGGTAAACGGGTTGTGAAAGTAGAAGATGGAGACGATGAGACTGAAGAACTTCCTGAGCGTGACCACCAGTGTCACGAATAGCGAGGTACACTGTGTTGTGAGTGTGAAGACTCCCCTGATGCACACGTACCTGAAGTCAATTCAGGACTTTTGTTGTGGCCTCTACAATATGGGTTTTGAATCATCTTAGTGAACTCTAAATTCTCAGCTATGAATTGCTTCTCATCTCACTGACGAAAATGTGACCTCATTTTTGGAAAGTTGATTTCTTCCAAGGGGCAATGTAAAAACATGGGACCATGAACAAGGTTAAATAAATGGTTCTAATGCATAAGGATGTTCTACCCGTTTGAGGTTCTAGTGTATGTATATGCAGTGGAGGTAGGATACTGTGTGATGCAGTTTGCTATCAGATAGGCCCACATGTACGGCAGTGACAGTGGTCCTAATGACACTGGTGCTGCAACAGCAAGACAAGAAGAATGTATAACAGAAGTGAAGTATGGCATTAGTGACAAATTTTCGAGGCACTAGTATTGAGGATGAGCAGTTTGGAAAGGTTTGAGGAAACTATATACATACTCACAGCTCAGGTTTTAAAAACCCAGTTATGTATAATATAATAGCTCTAGGTCTTTTCAGAGGATCACGTGCCACGAAATTTTGAAATCAAGGAGGTTGTGCTAACTTGAGGCAGAGAAGGTCTTCATCCTGCTCCAAATGTCTGGAGCTAGCAGCAGGAACCCCGGCAGGGGAAGGGCATGCTGAATAGTGGGAGATAATATAAAACACACTATGATAATGATACAGTTGGAGATAGCTAGATTCACAACCAACTCACATTATAAAACATGGCTTCTCGTGCGTGTTTTCCATGTGCTGCGTAGATCTTCTCCTGAAAGAGAAGAAGACATCAAAGGTATATATATAGAGCGCCCCGAGGCTGTAAGGGCTATATATGTGTAGCTTGCCTGGTAGATGCCCATGTAGGCTGATAGAAACAGAGCCAGTAGAAGAAAGGCTATGCCTGCATTGAATAATATCATAGCAGAATAGCTAGAGAGCCACTACAAAGGGTTTTCTGCCACGCCACGTTCATCATTACTAGCAAAACCAATTCTGAGTGGAGAACAAAGCTCTAAACTGCATATCTTAGCTTGCCCTGCAGAATTGCTAATATAGCACCTCAAATTAGCAGTAAAGTGTCCCAGCCCTGCTATATAACTGGCAAAGTTTGCTACTGTATATACACTGAGGAGTTTCATGATTCTCCACGTCCCTTCATCCTCTGTCTCCCTTTCACTATCATCATCTTGCTCTTGCTGCCAGAGAATGAGAGATAGAGAGTAGCTAAGGTATAGTTACTTTAGCTTCATTGTATGGGGTTCCACTTAGATTGTGACGTAGCAAACTCTGATAGGAAAGTCCACTACCGTGACAAGCTGTGCTGCTTCGCAACAATACCTTATGCAAACACATCTGTTCTACATCTTGCTACTGGCATGTGTGGTGGTAGCCATTCTCACCATTTGTCCAGCAGAGGCAAGGGTGGCAATGGAGATCCCCACAGTTATCATGGCCACTGACAGATACTTGGACAGAGGATATCTGCAGAACAGAGGAAGCTAACCTGTCAACTACTATACACAGGCCACTAGGAGAAACATAGTGAAAGAATCAGCAGTTCAGAGTGACGAAGTTCATAAATGACTGCGTTTACTTACACAAAAGCTATTTCCACACGAGAAAACAGTAAAATCTTACTATACAGTAAAACTCATTGGCAAAACAAATTTCATCAAAAATTATGTCACATGCATATACTATACCTTTTGCTCAGTAGGGAGAATACCCAGTATCATATTAGCCATCAGAGAGCCCTATAGTGTGGTTACGGAGAGAATAGATCAGAGACGGGAGAGTGGAGTGAGAATTTGGCACCCGTACCGCTCTGAATATCATGTGGAGTGGCATGGGAATGTCGAAGATTAGGGAGTAGTTGTTGATGACACTCACACAGAAGTAGAGAATCACCATTATCATATACTTTCTGGAAAGGAACAGAGTCAAAAAAGCATTTAGAGTCGTAGCCATTACGTGTAGCCAAAGAGTTTTGTTCTGTCGATTACTGTATGGGGGCAGAATGTAAGCATAGATAGTAGAGAGCGTTCCGTAAGCTATATTATCCATGGTGTATAGTGCATGCTGTACCTAATAGGAATGATTGGAGGGACTGTGAAAAAATGAGAGACGAAGAACAGTCCTTCCACCGAGATGAAGAGAAACTGACAGAACGTGACGATGTTTCCAGCCCCCGAGTCCTCTCTGACGACAGAGGGACAGAAATAAAACACTAAATATAGATATGACATCTCGCATAAGTCTCGCGAAGGCAAGAGTCTCCTTGCGAGGGGGCTGGCACGAGCTAGAGCTTGCAACTGCCATAGCTGTAGATAGCTTCCTTGCTCACTTGACGATCATCTCCAGAATGACTACGTTGGAGGCACATCCTAGGAACACTAGGAATATGGCCAGAGGTACTGTATTGGCCCCCATCACGCAGTGGCACCCTCAACCCTAAATCGATGACTGATCAGCTGAAACTACATCGAAAAAGCATGCGTCCTGTCTTGATTCTGCGCATGCTCAAATGCGCATGCTCAAACGCGCATCAGCGTTGGATATGCCATTGCAAAACCAGTGACAAAAATATAAGACGACATGAAGTGAGAGACATTGCTAGCAATAAATATTATACCAGTCATTCTGTGACAATAAAAAAAAGTGGCATAGGTTATAAAAATGTGAAGAATATATTTCTACTCCATGGACACAGCTGGATTGTGGAGAAGAGAGTGAGAGATAGAGACTGTCAGTAGATGGTGCTGTTTCTACGGTGGCGATCTAAAAGAAAATAGACAACAATCAACTCTGTTGTAAGGGCTACCAAACTACACGCACAATGGAAGTTTATTTTACGAGCTTATGCACACACGTTTCAATGGTCTATAGTACAAGAGGGAAGGGGCTTGCCTTGTCTGTGTTCTGAGTGCTGACTCAGCTCCCCTGGATTCAGGACCAGGTTGCATTCAGGAAGAGTGAAAATAGACACAGCTGCAGGCGTTGAAAGAAGAAAAACACACTGTCTGATAAACTAGACAACTGCTATAAAACCTTTTTTCGCAAAACATCTGAAATAATGAACGGCAGAATCAGATGACGTACTGTTGGGCAGCATATGGACCCTGGGTCCCAGAGAGGAGAAGTAGGCGTGGCCCATGGCTGTCTTTGCCGGGACTCTGTTTCTGGACTGGAACTGCAGCAGAGATCCCATCAGATCCAGTGCCACGTGGTCTAACCTGCAATCACATTCACATAAATCTTAGTGCACGGTTAATGCTGTTGCTGCCTTTTAAGTATAATATTATACATGAATGTTTTTGGAAGAGTGTCAAAGTAAATTGCAATGTCTGTTGAGTCTGTTATGGAATAGTGACCTTGGTACGTGGGAAGAGAGAGGTTGTGGGTGGTAGACTGGGTAGTTAGCCTGGACGAAGTCTTGGTTGCTGGTGATTCCTGGCCACGTGCTCTCAGTCGGTGTCCCCAGTGTCTGTACAATGTGGCAGAAGAAGGATAGAATTTGCTGAAAGAACCGGTTATGCAATGGAAAACTAGTCTTCCCTTTTCTCTATAATTTATATAGCTGTCATGGGCAAGTCATCCATACTAACCTTACAGGACCAAATAGTTAAAACTTGGCTTACGTAGGAACCAAAATCTCGACTCTGTGTGTGTGTCTCATACCTTCCATATGAGTTGTAGCTGCTCTCCCACAGTTCCTCCAGGGAACATTGGTCGACCACACGCCATCTCAAAGAAGATGCAACCAACACCCCTGGAACACAGGGGAATGCATATGCCATGTATAAACTTTCCCAAACATTATTTGGATATTGGCAAGTGACATTTTTAGAGCATGGGATACTTTTTGCGGTGGGAAAAAGTGAATTGCACAAGCTCCTTTACTCAAACACAATTCCAATTATGCATTAGGTTAGAGCCGCCTGCTCCTTACCACATGTCAATGTTGTCGGAATAGTTGGTGGAGCCTAGCAGAACGTCCGGTGGTCTGTACCTAAATATTATAACACAAATCCACAGTAAAAACCAGACACCGGCTACGTATATATGACATCTCTGTCTTACCAGAGAGTAACTACTTCGTTGGAATAGGTCTTTGTAGGAACGCTCTTGGCTCTCGCTAACCCTGCAACACAAAAGAAGGACGCACACACACATACTGTTATCAAACACTGTTTGCTCCATTCTCAGAATGAAAGAGGAAAACGTATAAAGAGAGTTTCCGAGAATGACTCTTTATGTCGAAAGTTTAGTTTTTGCTTGAGTTGCATGGCGCACTGGAGTTTTGAATTGGGTCAATGCTAATATATACACAACAGTAATGTTTGCATTCGACAATAGAAATTCACCATAATTCTTACACAAGTATTTGTGATTTAGCAGACCATCTCTCAGGCCCCTGTCTTACCAAAGTCTGCTAGTTTCAAGTCTCCGGTTTCACTGATGAGCAAGTTCTGAGGTTTCAAATCTCTGTGGAGGACTCTGCGTGCATGGCAGTAGGCCAGTCCTCTCAGGAGCTGGAATAGGAACAGCTAGAACGGAGGTGGGGGGAAGAGCAGAGTAAAAATTGAGACAAAATGTCCATAGCTAGTGTATTACAGGTTAATATTGAGAAGGGATCAGATCCGAGGCGACAAAAAATCTTAATTTGGTCTTTGATACCTAAAATTTGACATACACATTATTATGTTGAAGCTAGAAGCTGGCTGAATATATTATATATAATATAGGTCAATAATGACAGGGAATCACACCAGAGGCCAACAAATTAATCTTACACTGAGCTTCATTGAACGTATACTTTGCCGCACATAGTAGGTTAAAGAAAGAAACTTAGGTTAACAACAAGCGGGGATCAGAACAAATTTGTTACACGACATCTTAAACTGGGCTTCATTCGTCCATGAAACAAGACCCCATGTCACTAATATAATATAGCCTCACCTTCACGTTGTTAATGTGCATCATGCCGTTGCAGGAGTCCATATAGTGTTTCATGTCTCTCTCCACGAACTCAAACACCAGAGTAAGAGAGTTGTGAGTGTGGATGATGTCGTGAAGAAGAACAATGTTGGCGTGTTTCAGATCCTTGAGCAGCGATATCTCTCTGATGGCAGTGCATGGCGCTCCCTCGTCGTGCTCCAGTCGGATTTCCTTGAGGGCTACCACCTGTCCTGTGATTCCACTTCGTCCCTTGAACACAGTGGCATATGTCCCCTGAGACAGAGAGTGCGGACGAGAGAGAGAGAGAGAAGGAAGTGTTTTTTTTGTGTATACCGTAAGCAAAGGCAACAATACAACTATATTATACACCATTCACACACACTCTTGGCTCCCAAACATGGCTATGCAGTTCTCGAGTACTATATACTCCGTGTCTGATGAAATCAGTTTGCTGGCCTTAGCACTCAATAGCGTTGATACTGTCGAGAGCCGAGAGACTTTCCTGATATCGCTGTCTTAGAATTTATATTGAGTATATGTATAGGTTGACTTGAATGATTATGTGTGTGGCCCAGACTATGGGAACATGGAGGAGTATCTCCAACTCTGCTCTGAACTCAAAAGTACACGGTCCACAGTACAGTTACAGAAGACACAACAAATCATGCCATTGGACCTACTGAAAGTTGACATTAACTGGTAATTGAAACCGATATGATGTAATCTGGTACATTAATGGGTTTAATGTGGGACCTCTCATCAATAGCTATGATTTATAGAGGTGATGTGATTATGTTTGTCTGTCATTAGCTCTCCTGGAGGTAAGGTAAGTCTGCACTCTCTGAAACGTATTCATCACCACATAGACTAAACTCTCACACCAACTAAAACAGTTAACTTTAGTCCACACAGCCGCAAATTTCACTCTCACTTCACTAGAACGAATGCAACTCATTAGCGCACAACATTTCACCGCTTTATGTAGCAGAAAAACAGGGAAAACGTTGGTCCATGATTTGTATGTAGCCTGTGAAAGGTGCACTTGACTTCCAGTCACTGGGCCTTATAGCTTGACTTCTGACAGAAGCTGTTTTTTTGGTCTTAGACCAAATGTAGCTACAATATGCTGATTAAGTGGTAAAAGAGTTGACTGGAGTAGCTAATTGGACAATGACCCACGGAATTATGCTAGATTCTTTCGTTAGCTTTTGGGAGAAAATCGATCCAATATATTATAGTGTGTGAGAAGAAGAAGGAATGATCATAGCAAAGCTTTTAACAGTGATTCGTCAAAGAAGGATTTAAAATTCACTGCTTCACCAGTGCTATCACTTAGACTGCTCATTTGGGCATACCATGGCATGTGGTAATGATATTCACAATCGGCAGAGCCGAGACAAACATCACCGCTTCCTCGCCATCTTTCGTCTCGTGTGCTCATATATCTCGTTAGCGACTTATGAATATCTCGTCGCCCGGCAACCAGGGGTTGGAATGCCTCGAACACAGTGTGGGAGTTTGCTAACGCCAGCTCCTTAGCTGTCAACCCCCTCCCTCTTTCTTCCTCTTTCCGGTCCCCTTCTCTCTCAACTGTCTCAACCAACACTCCCTTCACTCCTTCCTCATTCCCCCTCTCCTTCCCCTCCTACTCTTGTTCCTGTAAAATTTCAAACTGCTCATGATCTGCTGTAGCTAAGAACTTTTCACCAGAATTGTGTGTTTGGCTATTATGCTTGTTCAAGTGTGTGTGTAACCACACCCCTTCTCCTGGATTAACGACCTGCTAATGATGATGTAAGAGTTAATCCTCGGAGTATTGTGGGAAGGAGAACAAGAGGCAGGAGCTATATAGTTACCAAAACAAATTCCGTCTACTCTCTGAGGCTATGTAGAACGTCAGACTTTGCATTAGGGATTGTCTACTGTTTATACAGTGCTCACTGAGAAGGAAGAAATTTAGCACATGTGTACACAGCCATCCCTTGGGAATTCACTTAGTTCTCTCTCTCTCCCATGAGGGGAGATGTATGACGCAGCTACGTAGTTACATTATACCCACCTCTCCAAGTTTCTCCAGGTTAGAGTATGTCTTAATCTTTCCATAGCCCAACTCAGACTGTGGCAGGGGAGACAGAGACACATCAACATAATTATGAGTAAAGGAGTGTGGAGATAGAAGATAGAGGTGATCAGAGAAGTAGAAACAGAGCCGGGGAGACAAAAGTAAGGGAAAGCGACAGGGAACGAAGGACAGGAAAAGAGAAGGGGACAAGCCTGAGCGGGAAGTAAGAAGATGTAACATATAGACTAGTTAAAGAAGAGAAAATTAAACCGAGAGGGGAATGGGAGAAGAAAAGAGAGAGAGGGATGAAAGAGAAAGGGGAGGGAGGGTGTAGGCCGCCCATGTGAGGATCGTATCTGTCTG